GTCCAAGGAATGCTGGATGGGACGAAGCTGATAAACCTCAGTCGTCCATATAGCATCGCACATGGCAATATAAATCTGTACACTCATAACACTCTGATTGCGGTATTTGACTGTAATGGAGTGGGATTATCTCAACAGAATGATGGTGCTGACCCTTATGAATTCAAGTTACAGATCTAGGGGTGTAGTCCTATTCTAAGTGATCATATATTCCTGCCCTGGTGGACATGGCCATGCCAAAATACATGAAGGTTGAAATCTGTGAAGTTGCTGTGGCTGCAATTCAAACACTGATACCTGCAAGCTCAAATCAGCTGCTCTGCAAGCCTAGAGAAGCCCGGATATAAGAGTGCAACATACGCACATCAAGAAATCTTCATTCTCAGTGCTGCCGGGTACTAAGAACAAACAATATCATCCAGGGAGTCAAAGTCAGTGCAAATCGTACATTTCTTTTCCCTGAAGTATTAAAGTCCATAGTATATGTGCATTCTTGTTGAGATCTCTGTGAGTCGCTTCATCAGAGGATTGAATGATGGAGTGAGAAGCCAAAAAACAGATAGCACAAAAGCCAGAGACATGATTTCTGGAGCAACAAGGAGAGCTGGTGAGAGGTAAAGTTGGGAGAGAAGTTTCTAATGAATACAAGCTACAAGCTGTGTAAAGTGAGCTCAAGTTCACGGGCTTTCACAGAAACACCTAGCAGGTGCGGTTCCATTCTGTGGGCTGTGAGGTAGTTATCTACCTGTTGTTTGGCGAAGCCATACTCATGCTTTCTATTCAAATCACAGAGTCGTTCTCAATAAATGTCCTTTACCCTTCTCCAAGTGCATTCTATGACAGAGCCATTGGTCAGGCAGCGCACACTCCGCTTCGCCGTTAGCCGCCCCTATTGACAGGAATTTTCCGCAGGGTCCCATATACCTTCCGCAATTTCCTGGTCCTCAGTTGTTAGTGCTTCATTCTTCCCACAGAGTTACTTGCATAAAATGCCTTGGGTTTAACCCCTACTTGATGTGAGGAAGTGGCATTTTAGTACACACTTCGCGAGCTCATTGCATCGGAAGCACCTAAACAGCACGCCCCGGCGGAACTACGGGCCAACGGTTAAACTATGAAAGGCAAGACTGGGTGCCTATAAATTTTTCTCCATTGACAGAACCTTTATCCCACAACACCGAAGGAAAAATACCGACAGTTCACTGCTTTTTCTAGATATACACACACAAGGCTCTATGATAGGTAGAAGGGGTGGGAATAGTTCCACGCATCTATTCCCCCATGATTTCCTCACCAATAGGCTCAATCAAGATACATACAGTAGCCCCCTTGTCGGATACACGGGAAACACAGCTTGCAGACCATGATGTCCATTCACTTGATTTGTTCACATCAGGGGAATTGGTACTTTGGCACTTTTTTGGCAGTGTGTTGGTCCTCTGCGACTGCAACAATTGTGGATATATCAGCACCTGCCTCGGTGTTCACCATTCGCTTAGTTACCATAATAACCGCCCCTTCGCTATTATATGACCGTGCAATACCGTCATTCCCAACATGTTTGAGGCTCTTTGGGTCAGTCTTCAGTTTAAAATTGACACTGGTTGCTTTTTCATCCCATTCTCAAATAGTCAGGTTCGCCTATTCCAACATGTGTCCAGGCGGGTTTCCGACGGGTATAGTAAATGCTTATATGTGGCCTGTTGAGCATCAAGTGGAGGAGCTGGTTGCAGCCACTGCAGTAGCTACGTTGAGGTACGTAACCAGAGGTAGAAGCTACATGAAGGATAAAACAAATCGCTGGTGTTCTCTAATAGGCATCAACTTCCCGCGGCGGGCCGGTTACATACATCTACGCCAGCTAAATCTACTCGTTATCGATGAATATTACCTAAACTAGCTCCAAGGGAAGGGTATGGTACTCGACACAATTCATAAAATCCATAAATAGTGCTAGTATTCGCACCGACTCTTTTGGCCGTTATTTCCTTTTCTCCACATCACAGCTGGCAATTCACGTCTAGCAGGAGAGGTTAGCCAATCATTTGCTGGCGCTAGGCGGCAAATTAGGCGCTTCCACACGTGGCCGCGCGAGTCGTGCCGCCCCACTGACAGAGCTCTGTTTACTGAGGTGTTGCTATAGGCGATGGAACACTCCTGGACCAAATGATAGTACAGTCTACCCTAAACCCAACGAATTTAAGACCTCGTTTTATAAATAAGAACTCCACTCGTTTTAGCGAAGTAGCTTGTCAAAGAACTGCGCCGGGGAGCCGTTCCATAACCAACACGAGACGGATATGCCCCGCAATCTCTCCACAAACAGTCATCCAAGTTTACATCTACATCGCGAAGAGAGAGTCAGTCGCATTGCTAACCACGATTCCTTGAAAACTTAACCCTCAGAGAGCCGTACCATCTCCCCAAACCTTTCAACCCAATTCCCTGTGTCCGTCCCCGGCTACCTATGGCAGACCATTCCTCGCAATCAATAAGCCCGATTCCGACTTTCTACTGTTGTTACCTTCTCCGCTCGACTGTTCGACACGCTAGTCTCTATATTGGCTCAACCCCAGACCCAAGTCGGCGCTTAGCCCAGCATAATGGAGACAAGACCGGCGGCGCTAAACGGACATCGAGGGAGAAGCTGAGGCCTTGGGAGATGGTGGTCATTGTAAGTGGGTTCATGAACAGAGTGGGTGCATTACAGTTTGAGTACGTTTAGATTCAACTCCTTCTATCTTTCTTCAATTCATTCTCAATTTAGGTGTATTCTGACTACGTTATATAGGTGGGCGTGGCAACACACACAAGGTTCCCGCCATGTCGAAGTCGAAAGGGGCGGGAACGAGGAGCCGGGCTTAAGGATATGTCCCCGGACGGGAAAAGAGGTCAAGACCAGGGGGAAACCTCGCTCCTCGCTACGGAATATTTTGGCGAATCTACATATTTTACTACAGTCGCCGTATTTTTCGGAATGGCCCTTGGAGGTGCAGTTTTTCGCAGAAGATGTGTATCGCGCGTGGCAGGATTGGTCGCAGCGCGCGGATGGTTTACTAGATGATAGAATCAAGGTGATAACGGCTTTTGGTTCTGAGCAGGCGTGCGATGTCGAAAGGAAGGAACATCTTGGAAGCGCAGGAAGAATTGGAGCACTGGATGTCGGTTACGACCATCTTGCGGAGTATGTGGAGAAATCGTTATTTTTACTTGAGTCTGAGGAACAGATCGATTGCGGTGTATGCAAGCAGAGGTTGGATTCACAACATGATATGATTGCAATATGTTCACACAATCTGTGCCGCTGCGCTTCCCACCTTCTATGTTTGGCGTCACATTTCTTGGGGGCAGCAGGTTTTGGTGGAAAGTTGGTACCAAGAGAAGGGACGTGTCCCGCGTGCCGCAACCAATTGGAATGGCCAATCCTCATGAAAGAAATTACATTGCGGTTCCGTGGCCAAGAGGAGATAAAACGGTTAGTGAGACGAAGACGGCGGGCTGAGGGCACGCGGAAAGCCAAAAAAAATTTGAACAGCGTCAACTTGTACTCGGAAGAAGATACAAGCGATGCCCCAATATCATGCACAAAATTTGGAAGCATTGGATTTCTGAACCATACATATCCCTGTGCGGATGACAGCAAGATTGGAGAGCTAGGGAGCAGTATTGACAGCGCAAACAGCACAAACTCAGACAGTGACTCTGTGAGAACAATCACGCCTGAGATTGAGCTCTATAGCCGACGGAAACCATCTACGAAGGCGAACTGCTCGGGTTCATATACAAATAAATCCGACTGGGACAATGCTGAAATTATCGAATGACAACCGACGAGAGAGGGCGTTCTCTCAGGGGATAAATATCATGATTGAGTGTTCGCTGGCTTTAATAAAGGTCCAAATTTTCTCAGCGATCTGATGCCGCAGACATTTTCAACAGCTTTCCTTGCTGTCTCTATAACGTCCAGCGCAACCTCCCGCTCCGTCCGACCCGCGTCGATGATGTGCACATTGTCGGGGTCCTCTCTAGCGATAAGCGTCTGAAATAGCTGGCGTATTCGGCTCTGAAAGGTGTCGTTCTCATATCTTTCTAGTCCATAGCCACCGCGCTTTGCGGCTTCCTCTGGCGATATGTTCAGGAAAAGCCATATATCTGGCTGCGGCAAACCGATCTCTGGTTGCCAAGCCCAATCTAGTGACAGTCCAGGGATATCTTTGGCTGCAGAATAGACAACTCCGGAGTAGGAGTAGCGATCGATAATGACAGTAATGCCATTTGATATATCTTGCTGTATTTCCGTAGCTGCCTCCCATCTATTGGCGGAGAACAGAAGGTGAATAGCATGATCGTCCAGATGTGTGTTTCCCATCAAATACGCGTTGATCATCTTCCCTATCTCAGTAGTTCTATCTACAATCGCTCGTTAGCATCGGCATGGATATGATAGAGCATCTGGTGGCACATGAGCAAGTAAGTACCTGGAAAACGACGGTACTTGACCTCATGTCCGTCTTCTTGGAGAGTCTTCTGTAAAATTGCACATTGAGTAGATTTGCCGGCACGGTCCAACCCTTCCACCACAATGAGAGCCCCCCTCTGCCCTTCATTGGTTCCCTGTACTGCTTTCATAATACCCCAGATATATTTCCCGAATCAATTGTTTGTTGCTGTTGAAAGGCGGGCGGAGTGGATTTTCTTGGCGCGGTCATGTGCTCGTTTGGGTCGTGACAAATTTCTGATAGCAAGGTTGCTTTGGCTGCTGCAGTCATGTTGTCTCACATTCTATAAGATCTTTATTATAATCTGTAGAAAAATCAACATTGTTATCTATCTAGTGAGGTTTTCAGATAACCAACCTCTAGTTATTTGGGGGGGATTTGAGTGGGGTGGCGTACCGTACCGTACGGGAATATTTTAAACTGGGTTTGGGTTAGTGATATCTTGGCATCTTAGGGGTGGCAGTACAGTACAGTACAGTAACAGTACAGTAGTAGTTAGTTCGTATGCCTCTGGAGCAGTTTATTCAATGCACCCAGTGATATATATGTATTCTACATCTATTGCTCCTGCTGATTAATTCATATATCAACATTATGAAACGTGAACTGTTCGCTGAACTTCCTGAGGAGATGTTCAGTTTCAGCCTTTTGGGTTCCGCCCCAACTCTCCTTGCCCCGCGGCTGGGCAGACTTGCGCTGGCCGGGAGGAAACCAACACAGACACCGAATCATGTTCCTATATCGTCTCGGGGCGCATTGCCCCATATGTCTCACGATATGATGAACGAGCGGATGTCAATTGGGAGTTTATATGCTGCATTTGAGGATTGTGAGTTGGGTCCACGCTATTATAATTCGACAATTGGCCCATATCTCTCGAGAAGCTAACGATGCTGCTCGTTGGAGCAGTTTAGTTGCGGAGAAAGGACATAAATCCATTCCACCGGTGTATCAAGTTCCTACACAACCGTTTGAATCGGCCCTGCGGAAATTTATATGTCAGCGCGACGATCTATTGTTGATATTAGGTCCCCGACGAGTCCCACCCGTCCCATGTCCAACTCCAAATGCCTCGACTTCGGTTACGATATTAACTTCAGTTGGGTACCGTCAGTTGGAAACCGAGAAATACCTAGAGGCTATCCAAAAATTACAACCAGATATCGCTGTTGGACTTTCGGATTTGCCAAGCAAGCTGCCCGGCGTAAAGCGACGAGAGCGAATGGTGGACAGGACCCATGCATGGACGAGGGACGCAGTCGACAGACTGTATGATCCCCAGGGTGAGAAACAAACTAGGTCGTTGTTTCTTGCTCCTTTACTGCCGCTAGATAAGGAACAGCAGATGCTATATATTGAGGATCTGGAGGACGAGATGAAACAATATGTGGCCGGGTTCGCACTGTACGATTCCAACAGTAGCTCCGTAATACCGGAATCAATGTCCGCGCTCGTTCGTTTGTCTTTGGGCGAAACCAAAACCCCACGGGAAATCCTGAAGGAAATATCGTTGGGTATAGATCTCTCAACAGTAACATTTGTCGGAGACGCATCAGACGCGGGTATCGCGCTACACTTCGTCCTTCCGAGTTCAGCGAGCGATGTTGGAGCTGATCTGAGGCCATTGGGGACTGATATGTGGCCGGCTACGCATGCGGCAGACATGTCACCCCTCCAGCAAGGTTGCAAATGCTACACGTGCCAAAGGTTCACGCGCGCCTATATTCGACATCTGCTTCATGCAAAGGAGATGCTTGCATGGACGCTTTTGCAAATACACAATTATCAAGTCCTCGATAATTTTTACGCGGCAATCCGGGACAGTATCGCCAGGGGGACTTTTGATGAAGACGCGGCGAGGTTTGAGCGAGCTTATGAACCAGAATTACCACAGCAATCTGGCCAGGGACCTAGGTATGTAAACCATAGGATGTCGCAACTACCAGCCGCGGCTCACTCTCCCTTCTCTTCCCTTCCTCTTTCTTTTCTTTTACTCTCCTTTCCCTTTTTATTTATTATCAGAAAGGAATTTTGGCTCCAGCTAACCACCCTACCACTACAACTGCTTAGATTACGGGGATATCAATTCAAAGGCGAAGCAGGCGCCAAACCGAAAAATCCGAAGGTGTATGGGCGTTTGGACCATATCACAGACACCCTCACGCAATCGGAGTCGTCGATTGCCACTCCAGACGTCGATGTTGATGAACTGCAAGACCAAGGTTTTGCTGCAAAGACGGGGTGACCAGATCCGTTTCTGAGCATCACTCATACCTAGATATGCACGATATTTTTGTCATGGTATCGGCTTCAATGAAACCTTATTTACATCTCTTACCTTGTTAGGTCGATGCTTCGGTAGATCGATGGCTGAGTGGGTAGAGAGAGAATGAATCCGTCTACCTGCAGCCACTAGCCAGCCCAATTTACACGCATCCATGTTTTGTTCTACGATAAACATGGCGCGGGTAGACATATCCTAAAATAACCTCGATTTTGGAGTAAATACTTACAGAAGTGTACGATTACATACCATATGTCATAGGTGTCAATTGCTACATTGTTTCTTCAAGTGCCTTTGCTCCCAATTTATATCATTCGACATACTCATTTGAATCACTCAATCAAGGGGTCGTTCCGGAAATATTCAGCCCCGTTCGGCTGGCTATATCGGGATATATCAAACACACGAAACAAGTTACTGAATCCAAATATAACCTTAGCCTGGAGGCGGGGGTGCCCATTTTATGCAAATTCATGAATACTCAACTAATATATCCAAGCTGGCCGGACGTCAGCACCTATGATTCTCATATTGGGTGGAGGAAGCTGTGTGTCACCCCTCTCCTTTTCGTGCAGAAAGGAAAAACACTTGGTTACACAATATATAGACTTGACCACTCCGTATTCTTTTGATTCGCATACTTAAACCTTGCCTATATTCTTTATCTTTATGGAATACTAAATGAGAACCAGGCAGAGAAAAAAAAATGCTCGGGGGATACAAGACCTTGTATTTTCCAAGATATGTACTCCTCGTAGAGAACAGCCAAAAAAGGAGCGCTGATCCCATTATAAAATGGTATAAGAAATGCTCAATGCTTGTTGGTTGAATCCGCCTCAGTAGCCTGTCCCGCCAGTAATTTCCATAATAGCTTCCCTTCCGTTTCTGCAGCCTCTCTACTTTGACAACCTGCACCGTATTTCTGGCCCACTACACAAACCAGCCATACATCGTTCTTTAGTTGATCTAGTAGCTTCTCGGTGGGGCTTCCACGCGGGAAAACGCGTCTCCACTCGTCCCAGATACGGAACGCCTCATCGCCCCATGCACGGAAACTGACTTCTTCAATGATAGTTGGAGTCACGATCTCCTTACCTCTGAATACGCCCCACGTAACAGCATTAACTCCAGTACCACCCGCCGTAGCGTTGGAATCCAGATAGACATCAACAGGACCGGAGTAGTCGTTTGCGCTGTCGTCGGTGGGCGGAGAAGAGGACTCGAAATCACCAGCAGCATTCGTTGCGAACCACGCAAGTTCATCGTGGCCATGGTTCTCAAAAATCGGTTTTAGAATGGTTTTCAAGTCATGGGCTGTGCAGAAGAACTCGACAAATGCCTTCTGGAAAACGAAGCCCTCGCCGCGAGGACCCCAGCCGAAAATCGGATGGTCGTTGCGCACCCCATTCACTGCTGGCTGGGACGCGAGCGTCCACCACCCACGTCCATTTATGAGCTGGAGCAGCTCGTCGCGAATAGTAGCAGTTTCTGCATTCAGGCCGCCCGTATCTTGCGTTCCACCTTCTGACCAGGGCACAATGTGAAGATCGCCAGACACATGGCGTTGGAAGATGGTGTTAATGTCCTCTTTCGTTGTTGGATATCCCCAGAGTCGACGTGCTACGGCGGGAGTGACGTGTAGTGACGGGCCATATCCATCGATTTCTCCGAATGCAGGGGATCTCGCATCACCCCACCGACCATTGGGGAAGTCATCCCAGGTCGCCTCGCGCCCAAGTGCACCCACTCCCTCTGAGATTTGTAGTGTTGTCGCTCGGTGAGGGGGATTAAGAGCTGGCATGCCAGCACCAAGAGTCTGAGTTTCGTGGGTAGTGGATGCTTGAGAGGAACCCCTCCCGTCCGAGGGCCGATCAACAATTAATCTGTTATGGGGTTGGGAATTTATGGAGGAAGCACGTCTTTTGGACATTCGGACAATGTTGTTTAGTTGACCGTGTACCATGGAAACTGCAGTATCCAGATCTGCTTCTGAATCGCTCGAGGGTTCGGATGATGGTGGTATTAAGCTGCACCTCTCAACTGTAAAGGCAACTGCCTTTTCTAAATTCAGGGTGTAGAAATGAAGCCCGCGTGGACCTGGGCAAGGAATCTCTTTTAATCCATTTACAATCTCACACAAGATATCCACGCCGATTCGTTTCACTGATTCATCGTCTGATTTCACTTCTTCCACTCGTGCCATAATGTTAGGAGGTACCCTCGCATGGCTTAGTTTCGTCGTCCTAGTTAAAATATGATAGCTCTGAATGGGCATCAAACCGGTAATGATAGGAATATCTTTGAAAACGCCCGATTCATGCGTGCGAAGCATATTCTCAAACCGTTTATATGCTTCCAAATCGTAAGTCAATTGAGTCATTATAAAGTCCGCTCCAGCCCTTGTTTTCTCGACGAGATATGGGACGTCTCTAGCAGGATCCTGCACTTCGGGATGTGACTCGTCTGAATGTCCTTCTGGATATGCTGCCACTCCTATGCAGAAGTGATCACCGTGTGTGCGGCGTATGTATTTCACCAAATCGACTGCATACGTAAAGTCCTTATTGCTATCATCTTCGCCATCAATATTGTACTCTTCGCTTCGCGGAGGGTCACCGCGCAATGCTAGGATATTTCTGATGCCCAACGCTTTGGCTTCTGAGAGCGCATGGTCCACCAGTGAGCGGTTCATATTCGTACATGTCAAATGCAAGCAGGTGGTAAGTCCTAATTGACGCTGACATATCTCAGCGAGCTCGAGCGATTTGGCCGCAGTGCTTCCACCAGCACCCCAAGTAACGGTCACGAATAGCGGTCGTAGAGCTTGTGACATGCGTTCCAGACGGGCTTGGAGATTTGAGGAGCCCTATAGACGAATTGATTAGTCTCGTGAAAACAACGTGGGGGGTAAGGAGGAGTGGCGGGGTAATTGATGGAATTCACCAAACTCGACGGGAACGTACCATCTGGGTCTTTGGAGGGAAAAACTCCAGCGAGAAGTAGTTCGCATTTCGGGGAAGAGCGGCTATTTTATCTGATATTTTCTCCATGGTTGTGGTTGTAGTTGTGGTGTGTTCTGCAATGTGACATTCTTCAGGTGATGAAGGGTCAGCAGTCAGTGTCTCGTTGATATTGAAATGGCTCCCTCTTGGTTCCGCGTTAGCGGCAGATCAAGTAGTTAGTTATTTAGCAAAAGCTAACCAGTCGCATTTACGGCATCATGATGAAGAGTAAACAGGAGAAAACATGAGAAACAAGGAGATAGATATGTCCTTCTTAAAACCAAATAATATGATAATTACTCTACAATTCTCTAGATTCTCCTTTTGAGCCCATGCGGAAGAAAGAAGCTACCTTACGCCAACGCGAACCTCACTCCCCGGTCCCTTGGTAGCGCATGCAAACAAGCTTCGCGATGCTGCATTTAATTTATCAAACAGTACTTCTAGGTTCTTATTTGCAATGCCTATTTTCCCTGGTCATGAGTACCATCTCTGGAGCTCGGAGTGATGTCAGCCTGGCTGAGGGTCAAACTGGGTGTAAAAGCTAACAGTTCAATTCCTTAACTATTCCTTTGCCCACCAGATATAAAGTATCAGAAGAAAATCCTACCCACGGATTGAGAGGGGAAAACTACTTACTGTTCTTGCCAAGGCAGTGTTTTTCAATCTACAATTTCCCATCAAAGGGATTGCGGGATTGCCACTGTGATGTAGCAGCCTTCACCGTGTACGACGAGTCAATAAAGTTAGCACATTTCCATAGAGTTTGATTAAATTATCGCCAATCGAAATGAATGATAACAGCGGGTCAAGCTGGTACGAATCAACATCGCTCACGCCACAGTAAGTGACATCCGCACGGGCCATTATCGATTTTGCTTTCCGTTTCTTTGTTCAAATTTGCACCTCTTGAACCTGTCCGGATAAGTCGTACCTTAGGCGGGAAAACGTGGCGTCTCCGTGCGGCGGGTGATGGAGGCCCTTGCGGGGTGGCTCAAGTTGGTAGACCTATCCATAGATAAAATTAAAAATGGTTGGAGGGGTATTCATCCCGGTCGAAATAATTTCAAAGAGAACAATACAGGAATATGTTCAATCAGTTGTCTGTATTGTTCACCCCAACGTATGGTGTTGTTGAGGACTTCCTGCTGGAACCTGCGGATCTGCATGTAGGTCCATGGACCATCAACGCTCACCCATTGAGAGCGACAATATTCCCGTCTTGATTGACGCTGACCGTCACTGATTTTTGGCCTAGCTTGATATATGAAGTGAGGGGGTATTATCATCTTCCGTCGTTCTAATTCCATCTTCCTAGCCCGATGAATTGCCTGCCGTCAGTAAAAACCTGTCTTCTTGGGAATAACCGATAACGCTCGATAAACCAAGCTGCAACACCGCCAACCTGCAAAATCACAATGGCGGCCGACTCAAATACCAGGTCCAAGTACGCACACCTCGCCGCACCTCACCCGGTCTTTGAAACCTTAAAGGATGAGGCTACTAAACTCGTTGAGAGTTTATATGCCATCAAGGACATGGAGCAATTCAAAACTGCATGGAATGCCTTCCCGCCTGCGATTTTCGACGACGGTCCCGTTGTTGGCAAGGATATCACGATCGAACATATTAATATCGTAGTCAGAGATGGCGCGGATGTGGAACTCAGAATCTATAAGCCGATAAATCCAGCTTCAGACGCATCCTTATTCTTTGTCTCACACGGGGGAGGTGAGTGATATAGGGTTGTCCTATTTGCTTGTATTCATAGGAGTGAAAGACCATTGGCTGATAGTAAATGATAGGGTGGACAATATTTACCCATGATGTCGAAGAGGCACAGAATAGACAGGTGGCCAAGGATAACGGATGTGTGGTCGTGAGCGTGGAGTACCGAAAATGTCCGGAATTCCCATTTCCCTATCCCTTGAACGACTGCTTTGACGCATTGATTTGGGTATGAAAATGCTCTTGAGTTGCTTACCCTCGAGGAAGACGCCCGCTCACAATCGTTCGACAGTGCAAATCGAATGCCTCCACCCTTGGGATCAACCCCAAAAGCATTTTCCTCGCAGGCTCCACCAGCGGTGCCAATCTTGTAAGATTCTCTCGCCTCACTTGCTGTTGATAAAAAAAAAAACCTAGTAACAACTTGAAAGGCAGCAGCCCTCGCATTGAAAGCTCGAGATGAATCTATCACTGGGATAGTTGGCCAGATCCTCAACATGCCAATGATTTGTCACCCAGACTTCTTCCCTCGGGACAAATATGAATACAAGAGCTGGGACGAGAATAAGGAAGAAGCCGTTGCGTCGTCCATGAGAGCTTTATTCCACTGGAATTTATATCTCCCGGAAGGGAAACCGGAGGTCTATGCCAATCCCATACTGGCTGAAAGCCACGCAAACCTCCCCCCAGCTCGTAAGTGAAAGGAAAAGAAGAATGAAACATGATATTCGCCCAAAACAAAATGGGCAGCACACCTAGCTAACAGAAAGCCTGATAGTCATCCAGATCGCCGGGTATGACCCACTGTGCGACGAGGGTTTTGCATACAGCGAAGCCCTCAGGGCGGCGGGAGTCGAGGTAACGGAAAAGGCGTTTGCTGGCCTTCCGCACGCATTTTACTTCTTCCTCAAGGCACTCGACAAGGAATCCAGAGATTTTTTCCAGAACATTGTTGATTTCGTACAGGATATCGAAAAGAAAACGATCCCATTGTAATCTGATGGATGAAAGGGCTGGTTCTTGAAACTGAGGTAGATAGCCACGCTCTGCTCGGTGTTTAATTTAAATACTTCTGTCGAGTTATATTTAGGGGCGTTCAATTGCAAGCTATTGTGGCGGACATAAATATATAAATTTGTTAGGATGCAATTGATTGGCTTTTGAACCAGTGCTCCAGCCTACATAGTAAATATAAAGGTCGCGAATCGTTGAATGAAAAGAAAACGTCCACCAAGGCTGTCGGCCAAGTCACATGATTCGAAAGCACGATGTTTTCAAATTCGTTTTTATATCTCTCGCAAATTAGATATCCCAAGCTCCATAATCGTCATAACTCCACAGCCACTCATTTTCAATTGAGTTTATACTTCTTGATATACGAACCACCCCGTGTTCACCTAGACACCTCCCGGTCTCCCGGATAAACGTAAACACCCCCAAGCATGTAGGAACAAAGAGTGTCTTAAAATAAAGGAATTAAAAGACCAAGGAAATGAATCTCCACCGCTCTCCGCTACCAATTAATCCCCTCCACTCCCTTCGCAGACTCACGTCTCACAGACCCTTTTCAACCCCCCCAGCAGCTCCTCCTCCCCCAAAAGCCACTCCTTCCCGCCTTCGCACCCGTCTCCAAACATTCAACAACCGTCTGCCCCGCTTCCTCAGGTCATATACAACCCCACTCTTCAATGCGCCCGTAACACACATAACTTCATTTCTAATCCTACACGAGATCACTGCCATAGTCCCACTTCTGGGACTAACAGGCGCATTCCATTACTGGGGGTGGATTCCGGTATTGGGGGATGGAACGGTCGATGAGGGTGTGAAGAAGTTTGGGAGGTGGTTGAAGAAGAAGGGGTGGGTTGGAGGGGAGGCGGAAGTGCAGGCAGGAGCAGTGGCGGAGGCGGAGATGGGTATGCGGACAGCAAAAAGTACTTCGGGTGGAAATACAGATACGGATAAAGGGGTGCGGTTGATACTGGAGTTCGCGACTGCGTATGCTATTACAAAGGCGATGTTGCCTGTCAGGATTGTGCTTAGTGTTTGGGCTACACCATGGTTTGCGCGGGGTGTGCTTGGGCCTGTGGGGAGGGCGGTTGGGAAGGTGTTTGGCAGGAAGGCTTAGATCTGTATAGTATCTTCTATTTTTTGGACTTGATTTTGGCTGTGGCACGACATATACAAAATGCGAAAGGCACGTTGTGAAATATCAACAAATAGTAAGATTGATCCCCGGCAGATCTTGAAATTCGTCTAAACTATTATTTACTTTCTCGTTGTGTCATTAACTTATCATAATAGGGAGGGTTGTGCGACATGATGGATCTACTCGTAGATCCAGTTGGCCTGGCTTTGCTGGTACTGGACGAGCTCCTCAGGCTTGAACCAGAGGGCAATTTCCTTCTTGGCGTTCTCGACGCTGTCGGATCCGTGGCAGACGTTGCGGCCGACATCCTATGGAATTTGGTCAGTGCTGCAATTGAGGCATAGGGATCTTAGAGGCTCCTAGTAACTTACAATAGCGAAGTCACCGCGGATAGTGCCAGGGGCGGAAGCAAGGGGGTTGGTGGCACCGAGGATGGCTGTTGTTGGACAAGATTAGATCAGAGATGGTGAGATGACAGGTTGAGTCTATACATACCACGGCCAGTCTTGACGGCATCACGGCCCTCCCAAACCATGGCGCAGATAGGGCCACTCAACATATCTAAGATTGTGTCAGCCCCCAGTATTGGGGAAAAGTATTGAGTCTTCAGGCGAAGAAATAGAGGGGTATACGAACAGGTAACGAGGCCTTTGAAGAAAGGCTTGCTGGAGAGATCCTCATAATGCTTCTCGAGATGCTCCTTGGAAGGGGTGACGAGCTTGATGGCAGCAAGTTTGTACCTATGTCCGTTAGAACCGTTGCGGTTCATCAGTTCCGCCACAGAAACAACATCCCACCCACCCACACTTACCCGCGGTTCTCGAAGCGGCTGATGATGGGACCGACGAGTCCACGCTAGATAGGGAATGTTAGCTCCCAAGTGACAGAACCAATCCTCGTGACACACAAAAGTATAAGTAAAATGCTGCCTTCGTCTTTGGCTGTTCATACCTGGACACCATCAGGCTTGATAGCGATGAAACTGGAGGGGTAAAACAGGTTGATTAGTCGGTGCGCGAAGGGAGAGAACAGGCCAGAGAAGAAGGATCAACATACGTTTGTTCGGAGGCAGACATGTTGACAGAGTAAAAATATCAAAGAACTAGACTTCGAGTGTGTTCTGGTTGTTCAATGGCTGAAATGGCTGGGTGAGGGGAGGGAAAATAGAAGATGTTGTGTTGGCGGGGAATGATTACTAGGGCATGGTGGGGGATCACACCAGCCACAGCAGGTTTAGCCGGGCCATGCCAAGCCAGCAGCTTGAGGCGAGTTGGCGACTTACGCAGCTACATACAGATTACATACACCAGCTCTCGACAAGTATCTAACCACCAGTTATCAACCATCCAACCTCATAACAATAGCATCTGCAGCTTGCAATTGGGATCATAGAGCTCTTCGAAGGTTCACAATCTGAGACCCAATTCACGGTGGAGTCTTGTGCCGTGGAGAAGGAACAAATTCTCCATGAACTGCTCCCAATTCTTCCTGTTTTAAGCCTCTTGGAGTGTCCAGGTTCAACCTATTTAGAGCTTACTTGGGGACCCTGCACCCAGTTCACCCGTCCCCATGGCGGCGTTCAGGCCTTCGTCCACTGGTTGGACCCTGTGCCTGGCCATTTTGGCCATCCTCTCGTGTCTAGTTGTCCCCGGAGGTACGTGAAGATACTGAAACGAGATAAATCAGGCTTGATATCTAACTCATATTCGTTGAATCCAGAGATGGTCAAGCACGAGAACTTTAAGACGTGTTCGCAATCTGGCTTCTGCTCGCGGAATAGAGCTTATGCAGATACAGTTTCCAGCCAAGGCTCGTCATGGTCCGCTCCCTATCACCTTGAATCGAACTCTATTCAATTTGCCAATGGCCAACTGTTGGGAATAATCGTTAAGACTATCGAAAATAACGAGAAGGTTAACTTGCCTCTCACTGTATCGTTCCTTCAGTCAGGCGTTGCTCGTGTCACAGTAGACGAAGAGAAGCGGATACAGGGAGATATACAATTACGACATGATCGGAAAATAAGGAAAGAACGTTATAATGAGGCTGAGAAGTGGGTAATTGTGGGGGGTTTGGAGCTGAGCTCCTCCGCTGAAATTGCTAAGGGAACGGAAGCCGGAATTACAAAGGTCCATTATGGGCCCGACAACAAGTTCCAGGCTGTCATCAGGCACTCCCCATTCGAAGTACACTTCCAAAGGGATGGCGAAACACACATTCAACTCAATGACAAGGGGCTTCTGAATGTGGAGCATTGGAGGCCAAAGGTTGAGAAGCCGACTGGGGACGATAGCGAATCAGAGCCACAGGATGCTGTGGATGACAGCACTTGGTGGGAGGAATCATTTGGTGGAAACACCGATACGAAACCAAGAGGCCCAGAAAGTGTTGGCCTGGATATTACTTTCCCTGGATACAACCATGTGTTTGGTATCCCTGAACATGCCGACTCACTCTCCCTGAAGGAAACAAGGTAAATATTCCTTTAATCAATCGAGTTTAATTTCCTGCTAATTCTGGAATCAAGGGGAGGTGACGGGCATCACACTGAACCTTACCGTTTGTACAACAGCGATGTGTTCGAATATGAGTTGAATAGCCCAATGACACTTTACGGATCCATCCCATTTATGCAGGCACACCGTAAAGGTTCCACGGTGGGTGTACTGTGGCTGAATGCCGCGGAGACATGGGTCGACATTGTCAAGACGAAGGCTTCAACCAACCCTCTCGCTCTCGGTGTCGTTGGCAAAACTAGCACGCAAACGCATTGGTTCTCGGAAGCCGGACAACTCGATGTTTTCGTGTTCTTAGGACCAACACCCCAAGCCCTCAGCAAGTCGTATGGCGAACTCACCGGTTTCACCCAACTGCCCCAGCATTTCGCAATTGGCTACCATCAGTGTCGCTGGAACTACGTGACCGATGAGGATGTCAGAGACGTTGACAGAAAATTCGACCTTTATCAAATTCCTTACGACGTCATTTGGCTCGACATCGAGTACACTGACCACAAGAAATACTTTACTTGGGATCCTCTGACATTCCCGGACCCGGACGGAATGCAGAAACAGCTTGACGATTCGGGACGTAAACTCGTTATCATCGTCGACCCTCATATTAAAAACGAAGCAAACTACCCTGTTGTAGACGAGCTGAAATCGAAAGGGCTAGGTGTGAAGAACAAGGATGGCGACATCTATGACGGCTGGTGCTGGCCTGGATCGTCCCATTGGATCGATTGTTTCAATCCAGCTGCGGTATCGTGGTGGAGTACTCTCTTTAAATATGACAAATTCAAGGGAACCCACTCTAACATGTTCATTTGGAACGATATGAACGAGCCGTCCGTTTTTAACGGCCCGGAGACAACCATGCCTAAAGATAATATTCACCATGGCGGCTGGGAGCATCGTGATTTGCACAACCTCAATGGCATGACATTCATCAACGCTACTTATCATGCCATGTTAGAACGCAAAAAGGGCGAGGTGCGCAGACCATTTGTCCTGACTCGGTCGTTTTATGCAGGGACACAGCGGGTGGGAGCCATGTGGACTGGTGATAATCAGGCCAACTGGGAACACCTTGCGGCATCTCTCCCCATGGTGCTCAACAACGGCATTGCCGGATTCCCCTTCGCAGGAGCTGACGTTGGAGGTTTCTTTGGAAACCCAAGCAAGGAGCTACTAACAAGATGGTACCAAACCGGTATCTTCTATCCGTTCTTCCGTGCCCATGCGCACATCGACACCCGCAGGCGTGAGCCTTATTTGGCTGGAGAGCCGTACATGAGCATCATCACCCAAGCCTTGCAGCTGAGATATCAGCTCCTTCCTGCATGGTACACTTCTTTCCAACAGGCTTCCATTGACGGCAGCCCAATTGTCCAGCCCCAATATTATGTCCACCCGGAAGATGAGGCTGGTTTTGCAATCGATGACCAATTGTATCTGGGATCCACTGGCTTACTTGCTAAACCAATCGTGGCGGAGGGTGCCACTAGCACTGATATCTACCTTGCCGATGACGAAAAATACTACGATTATTTCGATTATACTGTCTATCAGGGTGCTGGGAAGAGACACACTGTTCAAGCCCCGTTGGAAAAGATTCCTCTCTTGATGCAGGGTGGCCACATCATCCCACGCAAAGATCGACCCCGTAGAAGCAGTGAACTCATGAAGTGGGATCCATACACGCTCGTGGTTACCTTGGACAAGAACGGCCAAGCCGAGGGAACTCTTTATGTTGATGACGGCGAGACGTTCGACTACCAGAACGGCGCCTACATCCACCGCCGCTTCACCTTCTCCGAGTCATCGTTGTCATCCACAGACATCGGAGCCAAAGGCACCAAGACTGCGCAGTATCTGAAGACGATGGCCGGTGTGCGTGTGGAGAAAATCATAATTGTCGATGCCCCAGATGCCTGGGAGAGCCAATCGACTGTTCTTGTTCTTGAAGAAGGGTCGCAGACTGGATCCCAGGCAAGCTTGCAGTGGCATGCTAAGCAGGGGGGGAAGGCTGCCTATGCTGTGGTCAAGGACCCAGGCGTATCTATTGGAGGCTTGTGGAAGATTGATTTCTCTTAGACTGCACGTTCCCCCTGGTTATTCATGTACTGAGGATATATCTATATGCTACAGTCTGACCGTCCGTCTATTTTTTCATGGTATATTTTTGTATAGATCCTTTCCTTCTTTGCTTAAGTCAATTTTCCCTTCTCAGCGTTCACACCGGTGAAACCGAACAAATCAAAACACTAGATTATCTATTCTATTATTATGGATACCAGCTACATCACATATTTTTCTTCCCATCGATGAGACTGGAGAAGTCACAACAATTGGCCAATGATCCACCACGAAGCTACAGTACATGAAGCTCCCATAAGCCATTTTGCATGTCATGAGGTCGGATTTTCACATGGCAACAAAAGCTCGCCATCTATTGCTTCGTGTCCCCCTAGATAACTACACCGTATGTATCTCGGGCCAATCGTGACTTCCTCCAGCGCAATGGCGGAATATATTATGATTCATTCGTAGGACGTACGTAGTTATAGGCAGCATTAATATGTACAGTACACGGAAAGGAAATATGGATGAATTTTATTTATTTTTTTATTCCAGAAATTTTCATTGCTCGTCAAACCTCTTCGTCCAACCAGGGTTGAAACTTGAAGGATCCCCAGAAGCCCGATTTCTCTGCAGCCGGCAAGGCAGCCAGCCATATTTCCTGGGACTGGGATGTGACAGACATGAGATTCGCGATGGTAAAGTCAAAAATTATGTCCCCACCACAGAAACCTAGTTGTTTGGAGCAGGTTCAGTGTTCAGTGCATAAACGGAGCACATGCTATAAATACTTGCAGAAGCTGTAACAACTAATTTATGGTCTAGGAGGTGAAATTTGGAACGGACAGCCCTACTATGCTATGTACACAGTACACAGTAGAACCCACTACTAACCGTGCCATGCTTACTCACTCTCTGTAGTGAGTGCGCCACAGCGTACGGAAAACCACACCGTAAAGAAAATATTTTCAATATCTTCATTCTTCATCTTCAAATAATCATCATTAATTATAACCATGCCTAAATCTTCTAATTACACTGAGGAGCAGTTGCAAAGAGCTGTTGACGCGTACAAAAGCAATTCAAAATTAAAAATCACGTCTCTGTCGCGAGAATTCAAAGTCCCATATGCCACCTTGTATGGGAGGATCAACGGGAAGAAATCAAGGACTATGAGGGTTCCACTGAATCGAGCATTGAATGACAGCCAGGAAGAGGCAATTAAGATATGAATTCATCAGTTGGATATTATTAATGAGGCCGCCTGCTACAGATATGAGCAGTATAATGACAGACAATTCCTTGCTAATCTGAAGAGTGTCTGACTGTAAGCATTCAAACCTGACACTGTGAGAGCTGGCTTTGCTGACTGTGGAATGTATCCAGTTAATCGCGATATAATTCTCAATTGATTGAGACCTCTTACCATTGATGATGCCCCGGATCTCAACATATATGATGGTGATGATGATGTATGCAATCACTTTACCCCGCCACTGCCTCCTTGCAATTAACCTCCTCAGAGATGGTTGCAAAACTATGTCATCAAATCAATGCAGCAGCCAAGACCTTAGAAGATGTGAAGAATACTCTTACACCTGGTTTGACAAGGTGGTTGAACAAGATCTTCAAGGGTAGCATGATTCAGGCGGAATTGAATGCACACCGTGAGGATGAACTTGCAGGTCATTATCAAGCAAATAGATGTTGGATTGTCAAATCCTCCCGCAGGCAGGTGCAAGTAGGTGGAGTCCTCACTATTAAGGATGTCAATTGCAAGATCGCGACCTGTAGAGCAGATGAGATGAAAAAGATGTTCAATAAGACTCTTCAATTGATTGGAATCAAACCTACAAAATCTACAGCCACTCAACCACAACAAGATAATTCTATAGAATCTCAACCTACAGTGGATTCTACACCTTCTAATGAGTATATAGATAATCTTTATGTTATAGATAGATGTGGTGGTGATTATTAATTAATTTTTGAAGATCACTATATTCAAAATATTTTCTTTACGGTGTGGTTTTCCGTACGCTGTGGCGCACTCACTACAGAGAGTTAGTAAGCATGGCACGGTTACTGGCGTTTCCAGCAGAAAGCTACAATAGTTAAGTTAGTTACGCAGTAAATAAGTTAAGCCTACCAAGTGGAGCGAGTAGTTAGTTATTGGGGTCAGCCTCGGTTGGTCAACTTCTCACATGAGATATTCTTCTGCCCAGACTTGCCCCGATCGTCACTAAAACTCGGCAGCCCCGTATCCAGCACATTCCTGATGCTGGGGTATATATATATATATATATATAAATGTGTGTGTGTCTGTCGACCACCAACCATCCCATGAATCTTTGCTATCCTAAGCTAGCCGTTGGGAGATGAATCGAACAAAGCAGCCACCATGATCAGGGACATCAACTTCGGCTATGCAGCCCTGCTGCTGATACCGGGCCTTCTGCTCACCTTCTCCTTGTCAAGAATCGTCAGGCAATTCTTCTATAATCGAAATGTTAAGGCTGCCGGCGGGGTCCATGCTCCATCCTCTTCCAATAACTCTATTACCCGTGAGTGGACATATTTCCTAATTATCTCTCTCTCTCTCTCTCTCTCTCTCCCTCCCTCCCCTTTTCAATTGAACATAGATAGAACCAAGAAAAAGCCCTAGCTGACAATACTGAAGTTTTGAAATTCATTCTGGAGACCGCGGACGCACTGAAGAAGAATAAATTGCTTGAAAACTTTAATACAAGTATCGATAAATACGGAACCGTCTCATGCCCAAACTGCATAGAGATGAATCTCACGGGGGACCAACGTAACATATTGACTCGCGAGCCAGAGCATGTCAAAGCCGTCCTGACTGGGAAATTTGCCGACTATGGTAAAGGCGCAGAGTTTCATGACCTCTGGTCTCCGTTTCTAGGCGATAGTATTTTCACCACCGACGGCAAGCAATGGTCGAACAGCAGGAATCTGATTCGACCCATGTTTGCGAAGAACCGCGTTAGTGATTTGGACATATTCGAACGGCGCACAAAGATCATGCTGGGCCTGTTCCCTCCTGCCGGAGAAACCTTTGACTTGATGAATCTATTCTATAGGTTGACGATCGATATAACAACGGAATTTTTGCTTGGCCAGAGCATTAACAGTTTGGAGTATCCAAAGGGTGACTTCGTCGACGCCTTTGAAGAAGTGCAAAGAATTCAGATGCTTCTCACTACAATCGGGTAATTAATCCCTTTTGGCTAGCCATATAAACAAGGAGTGAATGCACACAATGCTAAGCTTCTCACTACGTCGATAGTCCATTCCATCACTTCTATCCCAGACGCGCCTATAAACGCGGGATCAAAGTAATCGACAATTTCGTCCTCCCCTTCGTCCGCAAAGCTCTCGAACTTCCCGAAGAGGAGCTGCAGAAGCTGAGCCGCTCCGAGCGCTCCTTCACTTTCTTACACTCCCTTGCCCTCTTCACCCGCGATCCAAAAGTGATCCGTGACCAGATTGTCTCCGTGCTCCTCGCTGGCCGCGACACAACGGCCTCCACCCTCTCCTGGACCTTCTACGAGCTAGCCAACTATCCAAAAGTATACGCTAAACTCCGCGCCGAAGTCCTCGCCACTCTGGGTGAAGACGGCAGGCCCACCTATGACGATTTGAAAAGAATGAAGTACCTCCGGAATACCATAAACGAGACTCTGCGCTTGTACCCAGCGGTGCCGTTCAACGTGCGCTCAGCACTTGCAGACACTACCCTGCCAACTGGCGGAGGTCCGCATGGGGATCTCCCCATAACCGTCCTGAAAAATGATGTCGTGATCTATTCAACACTAGCCATGCAGCGCCGGAGGGACCTCTATCCGCCGGTTTCAGATACGTTCGCGGACCCGGCCATCTTCTCACCTGAGCGCTGGGAGTCGTGGCAACCCAAACCTTGGACGTATGTGCCATTCAATGGTGGGCCACGTATCTGCATTGGGCAAAATTTTGCCCTGGCGGAGATTGCTTATGTGGTGGCGAGAATGGCGCAGAAGTATGAGCGGATGGAGTATGCAGGAAATTGGGCGGGACAGGAGTATCGGACGGAGATTGTTGGGTGTCCGGATCAGGGGGTTCCGGTAAGGTTCTTTGAGGCGGGGAGCAAGGCGCAGTAGATGCCGAGAGTTGAGTACGTGTTTTGTTTCGCGGGAAAAAAATGCCAGGGTTGGTTGATGGGTGTATTCCGGACATATGCATGGATTCACGCAAGGATGTGTATAATGTTACGTATGATGAATTGAACAAGAATGATGCCACGGTTGCCGCTTAGTTGAATTATGACAGATGTTAGGATGCAATATCGCAGTGGCGGTTTTGGAACCCGTAGTTTTAGCTTGCTGAGGTTCGTTCTGGCTTCATACTAGGCCAACAGTGCCCTTTCGGTCCAAAATTTACTCTCCCCTCAAACCATCTTGTGTCAAGAAATCTCCTTGTTCTTGCTCCCTACATAGTCGTGCACCCAGTCACCCATTGATCCATCAATATGGACAGCTGGATGGTATCGAAGCTTGATCACCGCTACCAAAGCATTTCATTGATTTCCATGAGCCCCAATTCTCTGACATCAACATGACGCAAGGAATGAATAAGAAGCAATGGCTAATGCCCTCTACACAAGAAGCTGTTGGTTTGGTGTCATTTACTGATTCATTTGACATTCACGATCGAATAATGAGTAGGTCTTTGTTGCCAGGGATGGCATTTGAGGTTGCACCGACAAAAGGCGTCTTTATCTCTGGAAAAGGGCCTTCCAGTTTGGAGGGCGATTTGCTTTCATGTGGTATCTAGATACATGAGTACTTTTCACAATTGTTAGCAACTTGAGCTTTTGGTTCACGTCGATTCGGCTCCGGCACCAGGGCTAAAGTCGGGGGGAGTTGAGGGGTAGTGTAAATATCTGACACTGGTGGGTATATAAATAAAGAGCTACCCTATATTCTGATGTATCTTGAACCTGACTTACTAAATAGCTAAAAAAAAGTGAGGTTAAGGTATACTACAAATTCAGGGACGAGGATAAAAAGCCGATATCGAGAGAAATGGTTCGTTATCTCAAAACCGATGCTGGGCTCGGGGTGGGCAGCAATGGCCCGGCAATTGATGTACCGTCGATTGTTAGGAACGTGATTGAAGACATTCCATTCGGTTGAACGGTGACAGGGCTGTCCACCAGAATTCCACAAAATTTGACAGTTGGGAGCCAATGTCTTTCAAGCTTTCAGAGGGCGACATTGAAGCGGCCGTCGTAAAAGTCTCAGAGCAAACGATTAAGGATATCAAGGAGGCTCAAGCCAACGTGCGTGCTTCTGCTGTGGCCTAACGAAATTCGATTTCCGATTTAGAGGTTGAACTTTAGCTAGGGGTACATCTGGGTTAGAAGAATATTCCTATTAGTTCAGTTGGGGCGTAGGTTTTTGCCCTCATCATTTCATACTCAAGAAGTCCAATTTTGCAACTGTACGCAATGTTAATATGTATCTCCACCGGTAGAATCCCGGAGGGCGTTATCCCCTTCATGCATTAGCTCACATGACAATCCTGATAGCAAAGGTTGCCGGAGTTAATCATGTAACTATGTGTACACCTCCTATAAATGGGAAGATCCCTAATGCCACCACGGCTACAACGCATCTAGTGGGTGCTAATGAGATATTTATTCTAGGGGGCGCTCAAGCAATCGCTGGGATGGCAGTGGGCACTGAGTCGATTCGCAAAGTAGACTCTATTGCCGGTCCAGGAAATGCTTGTCACGGAAGCTAAAAGACAACTCTTGAAGAAATTGGCGTTGATCTCTTTGCGGGCCCTACAGAAGTCCCTGCTACCCACCTCCTTTCACAAGCTGAACATGGTCCCGATTCTCCCGCAGTGCTCATCACGACGTCTGAAGATTCTGCAAAGCAGGTGATGACATTAATTGATAGATTTCTAGAGACGCTTTCTACTGCTGCAATAGCAAGCACAGCATGGCGGTCGTTTAGAGAAGTCGTGATTGTGGATAGTATCGATGAGGCATATGCCCTTGGTGACGAATATGCTTTCGACCATGTCCAGATCCTCACTTAACAACCACGAGAAGCACTTGAGAAAATGAGATAGTACGCCGCCATTTTCCTGGGAGAAAAGACCTGCGTTTCATATGGAGACAAGGTAATTTTCTCGCGCGTTGCGAAGCTCATTGATATCACATATCGGACAAGTGCATTCAACATACATACGTAACTGACAGATCTGTACACCTAGGTGATTGGAACAAGCCAATGTTCTCCCGACTCGAAAGGCAGCGCGATATACCGCAGGTCTTTGAGTCTGCAAATTTCTTTGGACGGTCACATATCAAGAAGTTAAATCTGAGACAGCCAGCGGAGAGCTTGGTCGACTATGCAGTATGGCTGCTAGAGCGGAGAATTTCGAAGCACATGCTCGCTCGGGAGATCTTCGAGCAAGTCAGTATCTGAAAAATCCGCATGCCTGGATAGATAGGCCAGGCCGAACAGGAGGGTTAGACTGATAAACACTAGGGAAGGCCTTGTTGCTTTGAATCGATAACTATTGACAACTCTAGATATAACTGTGCAATATCTTTTCGCTAAACTCAGTCTCATTCAACTCAGTAAACCAGTAGTTGTCGTGGTTCCATCTAGACGGGATGATGTCGAGATAGACTCCTTGTTTGCGGCTCCATGGATTCCAAGTCTGTGGAGCTGGCTTGGCAGAACGTGTAGTTATTAGCTAATGATTATGTAATGCTGCATGATCGGCGGCAAGGTTTCCACATTGAGCGACGTTGGAAGAATAAGGACATCGCACTCATTCATCGCCATTTAATAATAATTAGGAAACAAGTAGATTGCTTCAATGCCTTCCCCTGTACATGTCAATTAGCATCAGCCACAGTCAACGCGGTGTGCGGTACCATCTGCGTGAATTCGAGCTCGCCGAGACCAAGCGCACTCACTCGGGCCAAGCGGATCTCCATCGACGTTCGTCGCCTAAAGAGCGCTCCCGCAGGCCCGGCGATTTTTCCGGCATCCCAGAAAAGAAGCCGTCTTACAAACAAAATCTGCAGTTTCAGAGGCTATTCCATTCGTTCCACGGCAATCTCGTGGGCTTGGATGTCCGGTTCTATTCATTTGAGAACCACTCACAAATTTTGGGATAGCGCTCCAATCCCTCGACCTCTTTATATCCCCACCGAAATGAGAGATTTTGCATAACACAGACACCCTTTGAGTCGCATTGCACCCCCGACGGCGACGGTGTTTTAAAAAAAGTACTATTTCTTAAAGAGAAGCACGAAAAAATTCAGTGACGATAGTGGATAAAACAGCGGAAGTGAAAATGTGGCTCATGTCGTTCATTCTCGACTATGCGGCGCCAGTTTTGTACGCACGCTACTAAAGCCCTCCAATTTGCAGATGGATGCAGACTCTGACAAAAAATGTTTCGGCAGCCTCGTCCTCTCGCCCCTAACGTCATATTCGGATCAAATATATAGCATACATAGGACGAAAAGTTCTGCTGGATTTTCGTTGGATATCCCTTTGATAATGCTCGTTGCCTCGATCTTAAAGTGGGTTGGCCTTCCTTATATTGCGCTCCCTTTTTCTCCCACATGGATTGTACAAAAAAGCCCTGCTATTTCCGAATCTACGTATTTTTATTTTTCCTGTCTAACGTATTTGCCATTATTTCAGGGTGTTCTACTGGTTCGGCGCCTATTACTCGAATGCGTTGCTCTTCCAAGCAATCCTCATGATTTGCGTACAGTTGGTTTTGTTAAAGGTTGCCTTAGATAATCGAGCACCAACTGGAATAAGAGATGGAATTGAACATGCGCCATTCAGCGGCCAAAAAGCGGGAATACTAGGGACGAGCTTTTCGAGGCCGTATAACTTTTGGCAATGGAGAGCTAACCGACCGTACGTGTCCCCCTTCTCCTGGTTTATTTTAAGTTTTAAACATGGATGATCATCCCCTTGGCTGTAGCGTATTGCTAACATATGCTCACCACGGTAATTTACAGATACTGGAGCTTTCTTTCTTACTTCGTCGCGTCCCTATTCGTCATCCACGTCATATTCCGGCCCATCTCGCGCTCGGAGCGCTATATTGCCCTTCTGGGCTTTGCCGGCCTTGGCGTTGAAGCCTTCCTCCCTGTGCCACAGATAATATCCAACCAGCGCGCACAATCTTGTAAGGGTTTCCGGGTCTCGGTGCTCGGCTCATGGATTCTCGGAGACGCCATGAAGATGGGCTATTTCTTTTTCGGTGGTGACTCTATTCCATGGGCTTTCAAGCTTTGTGGGATTTTACAATGCCTCTGCGACTGTTATCTTGGAGTACAATATTGGATGTTCGGGGATGGGATTCCGGTGAAACATAATGTGGAGAGGGTGGCAGCAGCTAATGGGTTCGATCGTGGTGATGATAGATGGGGTATGAAAGCAGCGGATGTACGATTGTCGTAAAAGGACAAGTTACAACTGGCTAGCGTGTGGAAACATATCTGTTTCATGGCTGATATGTTGGCATGACTGATACGTTCTGATAGACCTGGCGTTCTTTTTTCAGATATATGTCCTCTTCTCCTTGTCCCTTTCTACCTATAATGTGGATAAATCTTTAGACCGATATCGAATTTAATTAATATTTTCTTGATTAGATGATCCTAAAACCAAGTTACTAGGCTTCAAAAAATAGCTCTTAAAACCGTTCAGGCATCAAAGCTATACTACGCCATCGCCGTCGTAGTTAAGGTACAGTGCCTCGCCATAGGTTTGAAATTGTTTCGCAACTCAGTTTGGCGGTAAACCAGGCCGATATGTTTTTCCAGAAAGTTTGAAGGCTTTTTGGCCTTTATGTAGGAGCCCGCTTAACGTAAAAGGACGTCATGAAACGCTCTTCGTAATCTTGAAATTCAACTTCATCGTAATGCTCGCCAATCAACTTTCTGATGCGGGGAGAATCGGGGTCCGTCCTTGAAAATTGTTAGCATGTTCTGAGAACCGGTAACCCAGTGGTTCGGGGGTCCAGGAGTCCTTTACCATGGTTTGAGGACATCTTCATCTTTAACTTTGTCCCACATCATCATGGGAGGGAGAGAAATGTCTAGCACAACTTGTTTGATAGGAACATTCGGTGCGAAAGAAAGCACAGCCGTCGAGTCGTCCGTCAATAAAAACCCTTCCGCGTCATCAACAACTGTCACGGCGAACTTTGCTAACATATCCTTTTCAGCATCCGTATAGATTGGATCCTGCAAGTAACATCGTATCTGCTCGGCATCCCTATCCGTTCGTTCGTTCTGCAGGACGTCGAGTACGGTCATGACAAGTGCATGCTGGTAAAAAGGACGGGGTGCCAAAGATGGGTAGGCGCCGGACTCCTCTGTTTCAAACTCAATGAGACTGCCACAGGCATAAGCAACAATTTTATCGATTTTGCGTATGTTAGAATTTCTTTGCAGTAATGCCTTAAGACTCCCTCTTAGATGCTGGCATGCTGGTGTCGCCTCCCATTTCGTTAAAGTCCGTCTAAAATACGGTTCAACATCCTCGATAGGCTGAATATCGCTGGGTATCACTTCCCCGGTGATTCTATCTCGCATCAAGCCAATGTACTCAACGATTAGATGGGTGGTAAAGATAGGACAAAATTTATCATTGTAGGGACCCAGGCGCGCCAGCTTCTGGAGAGCGACGAATCCGATTGTCGGCTTTCTAGTTCAGCACGGTCATCCCCAATAGTGAGTCAACTATCCAACATTGAAACAAGGGAAACAATAGGAGAGGAGAGCATACGAATCAGGGTGGAAGCCAGGATGGTCAGGCGGCACTCTGAAATCCGCCCTCTCGCCATCCAGTCTGCGTACTGAGACTACGCTGACCTGTCCAGCAACTGCCATTTTGAACTGCTTGCCAAATTCACTAATGGCATCCTTGGTGAAGAGCGGGATGCAATTGTTATGCCGAAAGAGGGCTTCTGATCTCAGTTTGTCAAAGGCTTCGTCGGTTATTGTATCCCCATCCCAGACAAGATAGCCATCGGGCAGGTGGATGGCATCGCTTGCGTCTGTCATAGTGGAAGATAATCAGAGTGGTTACTAGCAACTAAACGCAAATTTTAAACCCGTAATAAAATAAGTCAAGCTAGAATATTCGAAGATGCATGGGGGTGTTTAATGATTTATAAGTATTCACACACGAGGGAAGTATGAGGAAGTGAATTCATCCTAGCGGAGGTCAATGGAGTTCACCTCCCAACGCCCTGCCCCCGCCTTTGTTCCATACGAAATCAAAGGCTGATCATGTATCAATGTGTTGAGTTATAAGTCTGTATTGTAAGAGATTACAGCATTATAATGAATTCTACTCGATAGTTTTAAGTGAAAATTACATCTATAACTTACTTTACAAACCAATAAAATTGTATAGCTATAGTTAGTCTATATGTTAATACCTGAATGCGCTTCATGTAAATTTATACAAGAAAGTATTAGTTAATCCTTTTCTTAATTATAAGCATGTAAGCTTAATTAGAGTTAAGGCTAGTGCCGGAAGTCGCCCACGATTCAGACCCACCCATGTGCCTTAGCTTCAAATCAGCTCGGCTTTGACAACATAACATGGCTCCTGTTTGACGCTGTGGGCTATCAAACTCTTCTATGCAGATGGAATTATTCGCTACCCTTAATCCTCGTTTCACTATCAAAAAGCAGTCCAACTTGAAATGATGGCTTCATCTGAGGGCACTATAAGGATTGGCTACGTGCCAGGTAGGCTCACTTTGCCCACAGTTTATCGGAAATTATAATCCAGCCCCTCACCGGTCAACAGCCAACATGCAATCTCTGTAACGTTGTACTAACATTAAACCAATGTGATGCGCAGAGCACTATCTAACTCCTCTTCACCTTGCCCTCAAGTCGACTATTTCCTCTCTCCCATTCAAAGTGACCATCAAGGCATTTCCCTCCGGAACTGGGCACATGATTACATCCCTTCGCGCAAATGAAATCGATATCGCCATCGGGCTAACTGAGGGCTGGGTCGCCGGATTAGTAGGCAAGACGCAGCTGGAAAAGGGCGACGTTGATGGAGGATATAAAATGGTAGGAGAATGGGTGGAAACACCTTTGAGATGGGCTATCGTGACAGGCCGTAATCGAAATGAGATTAACGGCGTGAGCGACTTGAAAGGGGGACGAGTCGGGGTGAGCCGATTAGGGAGGTTGGTATCAACCCATAGATTCACCATCCAGTCAGCGGCAGTGGCATGGAATGCTAACAAAAATGCTGTTACCCAGTGGCTCTCACATCATGTCATTTGTTCTAGCACAACAACAGAACTGGTCGTCGACTGTTTCTCCACTTAGATCCGTTATACTAGGACCTTTCCCATCACTTCGGGATGGAGTTATCGGCGGCGACCCTGCGGCCCCAGATGCGCCTCTAGCACCGTCTGCCGATTTCTTCATGTGGGAAGAATTCACTACAAAGCCATCCTTCCACCCATCGGAATCAACCCCGAACCCGCCACTGAAAAAGATTGGGGAGATCTTTACTCCTTGGCCTTCATGGCACATTGTTGCTTCAACCTCCACGTTTCCTTCTCCAGCAAATGATGCGAGACTCTCCCAACTTTTCGAGGCATTGGATAGTGGTATTGCTGCCTTTGAGGCCGACAGGGAACACGTGGTCAAATTGTTGGGCACGGGAGAATTAGGTTGTACATACAATGAAACTGATGTTAGGGAATGGCTTAAGGATGTACGGTTTGTAAAGCGCGGGACAAGGGGCGTTGATAATTCGGTTGTTAGTGGGGTTATCGACATCCTCAAAGTCGCAGATGTTATCCCAAAGGATATTGGAAATAATGATGCGATTGAGAAGGTCGTGGGGATTTCCAAATAGGTACGCAAGGTTTTTCCCCCCTTTTCCTTTGGTTTTGTATTAATAACAAGGCCTGCCGTGCATATGTTATTTGCTTGATCCGGAGCTGTTTCTATTTGCATGTATGCACTTACGTTGCTCGCATAAGACTCCCCAAATGACACTAAGATAGCAAGAAAAATATGAAGACCATAAAAAGAAATTTTTGACTGAAAAGCTCAATCATCTTTTCCTTTACCCACAGAAGATGACTATGAACATTCGAAACATTTAGCAATCAATACTCATTGGCCACCTTACAATGATCGCAGTCGCCAAATTCTTTCAGCGCCGCAGTTCATGGTGGCCCTTGTTGCACTTCAGGCCTGGTCCAATTTATGACGCATGGAATCGTCCTCGATATTTGCCTCATTAAGTGCGAGCTGGTGCATCGACTAATTTAACAATGCTGGATAGCCCTTTAAAACATACCAATGAGATAGCAACTCCACCAGGGTTTTTATTTGGTTATCCAGCCTCGTGATGGAAATAGCTCTATGCATCTAAGAAAATTGGCCGTTTGCCAAAGTATCCAAACCCAAATCGGCTCCTACCCCCCGATTCATTTACTCTTTTACAGAAAACTCCAATGACTACAATTGACCTTCAAATGAGAACCTCCGATCTGGGAACGCTACAAAATAGCCTCCTCCCCGCCATCATTTTCATTTTCATTTCCTTTTCCTTGGGATTGCCGTGAGGCATGGCTATGAAAAATGTATGCATTGCATCTACCGCGCAGCCCAGACCGAATACCATCTACGCCACCACATATGTGTATATAGAGGCGTGATGTTTCCGCACTATATATATCTAATTTGTAGCGTCCAGAGAGAAAGTCTACCAGACCCTTTGGCGCTGCTATTCCGTTGCACTTCTTCTCCAATGAATCCCCTTAGTGCCATTCTCCTTTTCCTACTCGCCCGTCAGGTTATAGGGGCATATAACCTCGTTGATCACTACCACCCAAACAATTTCTTTGCAAAATTTGACTTCTGGACGGCACCAGATCCCACCAATGGCCACGTCAAATACCTATCAGAACGCCAGGCACGCGCCGCCGGCCTAGTCAAAGAGACGACCATGAACGGCTATCCCATCGTCCGCTTGGGCGTTGACCATACCAATATCACCCCGACGGGCCGACCCAGCGTCCGCATCGCCAGCAAAAAGTCTTACAACCAAGGCCTGGTGATTGCCGATTTCCTCCATGTCCCCAACTCGACCTGCGGCATCTGGCCTGCCTTCTGGATGGTGGGACCTTCATGGCCCACGACGGGAGAAATCGACATATACGAAGGCATCCACTTAAACTCGCACAACGGTATGGTATTACACACGGGCCCCGGTTGCACCATATCCAAACGAAGCAACTTTGCGGGGGAAATCCAAACGTCTAATTGCGACGTCAATGCTCCAGGCCAATATATCAACCAGGGCTGTCGGATTGTGTCTGATAGCCCACACTCGTATGGACACGGGCTGAATAGTATAGGCGGTGGTGTATACGCAACGCTGTGGACGGCACACTCGATCAAAATATGGTTCTTCCCCCGCGGCGAGATTCCATGGGACATTGAGAATGGTTGCCCAAATCCCGATTCCTGGAATACAGCGCCCGCTGCGGTGTTTGAAGGGGCCTGTAGATTTGATGTGAGCTTGGTGAACTTGAAAATTGTGATCAACACCACCTTTTGTGGGGATTGGGCGGGAGGTGTATGGGCGTTTACCGATGGGTGTGCATCGCGCGGGAGGGATTGTGCCGATTATGTCACCAATAACCCTGCGGTGTTCAAGGATACTTTTTGGGCAATTAGATATATCAAAACTTTCGATAGGGGGTCCTAAAGGGGATATAACATTTCTGCTGAGATCAAGGTAGAGAGAGATAAACTTTACGTAATGGAATTTTCTTCTCACATTTAGTTATTTAATCATGCGATTAGCGTTTCGCCATCGGCGCTTTCCAATCGGTGTAGTTCAGGGCATAAACACAAGGGGAGACACAGAGGTAAATGTGGAAAAGACTGTATGTACCCTCAATCCCATTTAATCAAATCACAAAACCCGTTGATAAATTTCACATTAGGTTCATCCTGCCATTGCTTGGTAGACAGAAGTAGATGAGATGAAACATCAAAGCTTGAAGCTGCACTTACACCTCAATCCCAGATGGATTTGTGAAAACAAACGGCAAGAGGGGACAGGAAGTGAGAATGAAAAATGCGGGAATAGTAAATGAAAATTTGGGGAGAGAGAGTCTAAAACATGACAACTGGAAGGCTAAAGATAAGACCACATGGAAACGACAGGGAAAAGGAACCTACATTGCAGAAATAAAAGAAAAGAAGAACAATTTTTTCAATGTAAAACAAAACTCAGTTCTTCTCATAGCCTCAAGTTCGAAATGTGCAATGCACCAGAAGATCCAGTGTTGTAATTGTCGCCTATGTTGTTGCGGGCGTCCCCCTGGCCATTTGCAATGCCAAAAGCATTTACATTTGGTGACTGGGGCGCGGTTGGTGAATCCACCCTATGGCGTTCCTCTTCATCTGGTTCGTCATGGTAGCGGGCGTCCGTGATGAGCCTACGCGGGGTGCTATTTGCATGTGTCCCGTTCCCGTTTTCGGTACCTTCATTTGTCTCATGATAAGGTAGTCGAGTGTGGCGGGTAGATAGACCGTATTGACGGGAAGACAGGATGAACTATTCAACAATTAGTCTTTGATAAGTTTGTCTCATCGATATATGAACGCGGTAGAATCCTAGTTGATAATTTTGTGCTACTATCCCATCCCCACATATGATGGCTGCAAACACTCACTTTCATGGCCAGGCTCAAAACTGCTGCCGTAAAAATCATAGTAGCAGCTTCTCGTTGTGTGCTGCGCCATTCAGCAAAACAACTCCGGGTATATCCAAATGTACTAGTACAATCGCGTTGATCAGAACCACCTGGAAACGGCCATCCTCGATCGCGTGTACTTCTAAAACCGCAGCACTGGAGCCGATCCTGGATGGAGCGGATAGCGTTGGCATTCTTACGGGAGTAGTATGACTGCCATTGGTTTTCAAGACGGCATCCAACGATATCTTCAGACACAAAATAAGATATTGTAAAAGTAGCCAGGGCTGTTGGGATTATTGTAAGCAGTTGCTCCACAATGACCATGAATCTGCCAATGTCAATGTGACCCAGTAATGCTGTGCCTGATCGCTGGTTCCGACTGCGAGTGGCAAGATTGGTAAACAGCGGGATGAGAATGGCCGTGGCAATTGGGAGGAATGTTGTTATTCCTGAGAGTGGAATAGGTAGCCGGAAGGTAGTACTTCGAGGTACGGAACCATGCGTATCTGTTAAATGAATTGTTAGGCAGCTTGCGGGAAACGTATTAAGGTAGCTGGAGACTATTCATACGCGCTGAGAATTGTTGCTACAAGGCCGGTCTGGGGAGCAAACAGTTAGTATTCATCCCACTTTGAATGATAGATGTATATCGAGTGTATACCAAACAGCCTGAAACCACGAGTATAGCGGTTGATGACAACGTCATTTTCTCGTCTTAGGCCAACAGGACTTGGCATATGCCCGAATAAAGGTGGTTAATATGTTATGTATCAAGGATACGATCCTCCGATGTTAGTCTATATAAATGCGTGTGTGAGAAGAGTTTAACATAGCAAACCATATATCTAACCGCGCGCTAGATGGTTTGTAAGCTACCGCTCACCTACAACCTCTGGTCGGACACTCGCATATTATATATGTTCGACCTTGGTGCGGGGCTTATCCATGGATAACACTCAAAAATAAATGAGGCCTGCAGCCAAGCAGAACTGCAGATCACAGAAAGATTGCAGCCAATACATATCTTCGCACGCCCACCACTTCTCCTGTCAGCATTGGACCTCGTTAGATGTTGCTCGGTTAATCTCCGCCCTATGCTACGCTTTCCATATTATATGTGCTGGTTGCTTGCCGAGGGTGTGAGATAATCGTCTTATTTAGCAACGCAAATTCGTCTCCCTTTCTCTACAGAGGTCTGATGAGCCAAATTTTAATGGCAATAGCATTTTAGCAGAGACGAACTCGCTCCATCTACTTCACTGACATCTCTTCTGGGGAGAAAGGGAGCAGTTGAACCCGTCGTGGTTGGTTACTAGCGCTGCGAAACGATAAACGTGAGGGAAAAAGATATCGAGCAGCCGCAATTGTTGCTTCCAGACATCGAAACTGCAATATCAGTTGAGGACTTGAGTGAGAAGTTATTAGTATCTATCGACCTTGAGCTCGCAGCATCAGCAGCAGCTCCAAGGAGTAAACGCATAACAGCTGGCGGGTAGCTAAAGAGACATCCTTCTAATGTGCAAATGGTTTCATATAAAAGACTGATTCAAACATGGCTAGTACATATCTCCCGTCTTCCACCGACTAAGATTGTACCCATTTCATGCTGTGATCAGGATGTTGCTGGTGGTTGTTCTCGTCCTGTCCTGTCTTGGGGTGATGTTAAAAAAAAGCAAGAAAGTTCGCTAACGGTTGTAAATAATCTCGACCCCGGAATAACATTTTCCCGGCCAAAACTCCGTTTTCGACTTCCGCTTCAACCTCCGCAACAAGACCAAGATAAATCAAAAGAAAACCCCCGTCGAGAAAAGCTATCCTCTCTACGCCGGGCACAATGGCGACTCCCAGCAGATACATGTCATCTCTGACGAGAGGCATCGTATCTGCATTCCGACCTTCCATACGACCCAGCTCTGCGGCCGTCCTCCCCTTCCTATGTCCTATACAGCAGCAGGCAAGAAATGCCCAAGTTAGAGCTAAGTCGAAAAAGAGCACTAAGGCCAAGAAGAAGTACAAGACCTATATTCAACATAATATGAAAGAGGCGATCCAATTCACACTTTGCGATGCGATGAGGTATGTCTTCTCCAGCCCAATTGATTTCCTTTGTCAAGGAAAAGTAGTCTTTGAATGAACGAGCAGACACGCTAAGTAAAATCTGCAATTGCTTTTTACATTTCTAGATGGATCCGCGCATTCGAAGTAGGAAGACCACTTTCATCTGTCAAATACGAAGTTCACGTCCGACTACGCTCGACCCGAGGTGGTGCCGTCGTCCGCAACCAGGTCCGCCTTCCACACTCCGTCCAGCCACTCGCTCGCGTATGCGTGATCTGTCCTCCAGACTCGAAGGCCGCAAAGGAAGCTGCCTCAGTGGGCGCTGATGTAATCGGCCAAGAAGAAGTTTTCGAACAAATTAAAAAGGAAAATATTAATTTCGATCTGTGTATCTGCCACACTTCGAGTCTGGCTGCCATGAACAAGGCCGGGCTGGGCCGAATTCTCGGTCCCAAGGGCCTGATGCCCAGCGCCAAGCTGGGCACCGTGGTAGATAACATTGCGAAGACAGTGCGGAACATGCGTGGAGGAACGTCCTACCGGGAAAGAATGGGTGTTGTCAGAGTGGCAATTGGACAGTTGGGCTTCTCGCCTGACCAGCTGAAGCAGAATATTGTCACTCTTATCTCGCAATTGAAGAAGGATGCTTCTATGCTAGATGAGGCGTCCAAGGACGTGTTGGAAGTGGTAGGTATATCCAAGTTCCAGCCAGATTGTGCAGAATGCTGATATTGTATAAAATAGGTTTTGAGCTCAACCAACTCGCCCGGCTTCAGTTTGAATGGGGACTTCAGAAGTCCAGATTCTCCTCCCGTCCATGCCTTAACGGGACTTTGAATCACATTACATTGTATAAATAGTTGTCTTCATTTCCAGTGTTTAAATACATGGCGTTCTATGGTCTCCTTTGATAAAGAGAAATAAATAAATCCGCACATAACTCCCAAAACTCCGTGATATTGCCCAACCCTCGTTTGTCCAATCTACCAGCAAGAAATCAGGAAATCACGTATTAAATTTCCAGCTTCTTCACGGCTGTTTCTGCGTCAGTAAAGTCATCCGTTTTCTCTCCGATAAGCTGATACAGGCTCATGACAGACTGTAATTTTTGCTCCCGGTTCTTCCCATATTGTTTCGTCTGCTGTAATACAGTTTTCAAATCCAGCATCAGTGCCGCTTTTATTCGCTCCATTCTATCCTCTTGCTGGACGATAAACGGATGCTTCTCGCCCACCCTCCCACAAATCGTCCTGATATATAAATACTTGCGTATGTGTCGGTCGAGTCTAGATAGAGATACCATCGGGGCGCGACCGCTGTCACCTCCACTTACACCCATATCACCGTCATCGTCGGGCCCATCACTGTCCTCTGTTTCACTTTCGATAATCCCATCCGAGTCGTCATCGTCGCCATCGCCACCAACCCCGCCAGTAGTTTCCACCTGCCATTTCTGCTTCGCCCTCTCATCGGCGAGCATAAGCCTCTCTTCCAACTCCCCAAGACTCTCTTCAACGTCCAGCAGGTCATACCCAAGCATGACCTCTTTCCTCAACCCCTTCTTCTCTGCTAGGAGAGCAGAAATATCATCAATCCTCCTCTCATACCCATCCCGTATTCCCTTCACATCCCTCTGGAACGCTAGCAGTCCAACTCGAACTTGCTCAACCTTCTCTTCGCCGCCCTTTAGCGCGCTGCCTAGTGATAAGAAATCCTGATAGTTCTCATTGACGAGGTCGAGTAGTTCGTTGTTGAGGGATTGGCTGAGCTCGCGTAATTCAGCTTGTAGGTCGGAGAGGGTTTGGTGGCGATTGGTTAGAGAGGAGAGAAAGGTGGCTGGGTCGAAGGTTGGGGAGAGAAAAGAGGAGCGCGAGAGAGGTTTAGGGAAGGGGAGATTGGAATCTATGTGGTTGTCGTCGTCTATATCAGGGTCGGAGTCGTTTGAGTCGCCGAACTATATAGAAGTTAGTTGTGGGGCTGCGGACAGCTTGAGGGAGGAGGAGGGGACGAACGTAAAATCGCGAGGTCATTTTTTATGACCTTCTTAACTTCTCGGCTTAAATCTGCTAGAGTTGTGTTACAGCAATTGCTTCATGATTAGGGGTTGATATGCGAATGATGAATGATTATCCCGAGCATTGTATGAAGATAATCCGGAATTTGAATATCTGTGTCTTAGTCAGCATCATCTCCCCCCGCTTTTCCTGTTTTGTCCTCCCCAAACGTCCAACCGCTAAGAATCGCGATGACAACTCATCTTCTGCATCTCGCCAGCTTCGTGGATGTGGACAGGCGCTGGGCTGTCTGAAGCAATGCAGCTTGAATGGATCCCGGTTCATTCTCTTCTGCCAGACCAATGTAGGTCTTATCGAGCGCTTGAATCCTCGTAACCTTGGGCCCCTCTTCCCCCCCCGGCCCAAAACTTAGCCAGCTGTTCGCCAGTTCTAACCCCCCCGCAGGAACATACCTGCATGCTTTTGACGAAAATACCGCTGTACAAGTGGAGTGCTGTGGCAATATTACGGGGCCGGCCCCTATCCTCCTGTCTACTATAATAGAACTGTCCCTCCCATAAAATAGTCGCCGATATGGAGGCCAGGTCAGACAACAGCAACAAGAACAACAACTCCCAGAGACTTTGCTCGTCCCTCCCCCCGAACCCGTGGCTCAATCACCCACCCGCCAATTCTCGTGGGCGGACCCGTCTGTTCGACCCTCCCCTAACTACGACATCTCCTCTTGATGAGTCTACCCTTGCACGTCGCACTGCAGCTCTGCGCCAACTGAATGGTCTCCCGCGCGCGTTTCAGCGGAACCATAGACATACCACTTCCATCAGTAGCAGAGCATCTTTGCCTTCCCAGCCTGTGGTAGTTAGGACGTACTCTGCCGAAACTGATGCTCAGACACGGCCATCTGCTATGTCACGAGGCACAGGTATACTAGCAAACGGATCTGCTTCAGATAGGCCACCTGCCCAGCTACCATCCGTTCAGGACTTCGGCATTGACGGTATTCTAAGGGCAATTGAACCTGATATTCAAAGCACTTTGGATGCAATCGCTGAAATATGCGGAAGAAGCAAACTAAGTCTTGCAAACGAGTATGGAAGCCACCGGCCTCCCCTTGGGGAAATTCGTGCCTCGAGCAGATCAATAGATCCTGGCCTACTCCCTGTCGAGGAGGCCAGTTCGAGTAACGAAAGATTAGTTGATCAAAATGTCGTCATTCTCGGTGAGGATACGAGTACCGTCGACGGGCACAGTCGCTTCGCTTTAACATACCGCTCGTTCGTCAATCCACCCGAAGATGTTGGTCTAGCACCATATGGACCAGCTATGCCTCCTACCTGGGGTCAGGAGACATTCTCTCGACAAAATGCTATGTCAACAAGTCATCTATCATCTACTGGAGCACGGGCCCCACCTTCATCCCAGACAAAGGAAGCAAAACCTTCAAGACACAGTTTTGACTGGGCTTTGCTTGGCCGAGAGACGGAGCAGAGGCAGCAGCATCGACACAGCATGTCGACTCAGCCTGTTGTTTCTGAGGTCCACCTAGATGCCCAGGCAGATGGAACATACTTCATGGATACATCATGGGAGTCCTACCATCGGGAGACTTCTGGGCCTACTGAAGACTATTCAGTGGAATCTCCCGTGAACGAATCCCTTCTTCGAATCCGAGCTGAAAGATTATCCTTCCTGGCTGATTTGCAAGGGTGGCTGGCCTGGTTCAGAAATATAGGCCACCGTCTAGATCAAGATGGTGACTCTTCTGCTTGTCAGACTGCTGAAACGCGGCTTCGCGAGGTTCTACAGCGGCAGGGCAATTGCGTTTCCTCAGGCATTATGTCTGCTAACGTTTCTTAGAAATAAATTCCAGCCTCTTATGTTTTCCTCAGGTGCTTAAACTTCCTTTTTATAATCCAGACGTTTCCCTGCTGTATTTCTGGCCTGGCGCACTGAAGTTATTCTGTCTCATTATATACTCTCCACTGAGCCTTTATCCGCTATTCACATTTTACGTTTTGAAGGGCAACTCAATGATATCTAACGATTTACGTATACGACTTATCTGGGAGGTTCTCTTGCAAGAAGTTTATTTGAGCATTGCTATTTTTCTCATTATTTAGTGCCACTCTCCAAAATTGATAGTTAGCAGGCACATACAATACATTGAGCGCAAGCTATCCACATTACAATACACATAACAACTTGGGAGTCAACCGTTTGTACAATACAAATGGATTTCATTCCCATGAAACCTATTTTTCGCCCTTTCTATCTAGCCTGTCCAAGATCTGAAAATGCATGTGGTATAGAAAATAATCATGTATACTCGCTAGAAAATGTACACCAAATATGACCAAAAAAATAAATAAAGAATCATCCAATAAATCACCACAAATCACCCCCGCCCCTCCGCCTCTTCAATAACAGTCCTCGCAAAGCCCTCAAACAGCGGCCTAGACCAACACTTGTGGTACCTTTCCACCAACAAATCCTGAGCCTCCCCTTCCCCTTCCCCCGCCCTCACCCCCTCCACCATCTCTCCAAAACCCACATCAATCGGCACAGCCCCCAAAAACCGCACCCCCATCTCCTCCGCCATAACCTTCCCACCACCGCTAGAAAACACATTACTCACCTCCCCGCAGCACGGACACGAGTATCCGGACATATTCTCCACAACGCCAATGACCGGAATGCAGGTCTTGGCGCAGAAATTGAGCTCCTTGCGCACGTCTGCGGTCGAGATGGCTTGCGGGGTTGTGACGAGGACGGCGCCGGCGAGGAAGGGTTTCTTGTTTTGCTGCTGGTGTGTAGACGTCGTGGCGTTGCGGTTCGTGGTTGTGGGTGCGGGTGTGGTGGAAGCAAGCGTGAGCAATTGCTCTGCGAGAGCGATGTGCTCGTCGCTGGTTCCTGGTGGGGTGTCGATGAGTAGGTAGTCTATTTCCCCCCACAGCACGTCCGTGAGGAATTGGCGGATCATGGCGGTCTTTTTGGGGCCGCGCCAGATTACGGCGTCGCCGCGGTCTCGCAGGAGGAAGCCGAGGGACATGCAGTGGAGGGAGGCGCGGGGTGTGCTTTGGGGTGTGTTTGCATCTTGGTGGGATTGGGGTTGGGTATCTGTATTTGTATTGGTATTATTGGTATTGGTATCTGGTGGTGTTGTAGAATGTTGCGGCGAGGCAATAGTAGTAGTAGTAGCTGTTGTATTTGTATTTGTATCTGTACCGGTAGGTTCGCCGCTGCCCGCGGTGGAGGAGGTGGACGAGTGAGGGGGCGGAGATTTCGCAGAGACATTGGGCGAGGACGGAGCTGCGGAAGCAGGGTGTACTAAAACGGGCATCCAGCCGCCAGGCGCCTGGGTAATTTTCGCATCCTCCTTGCCGACCAGACGTGGTATGGAAGGCCCTGTCAAGTCGACGTCAAGAATGCCTACCGACCGGCCCTGGAGGGTTAGGGCTAAAGCGAGTTGGAGGGTTACGGATGATTTGCCGACGCCGCCTTTGCCGGATAAGACCTATGATTTGTAGTATGAGAAATATGTTAGTTACGGTTCTTGAAATTTGATTCAGGAGGTATGGTGCTGGAGATTTTTGTTTTGCTGTGGTTGTTTTTTGGTTTATCGATAAAGTGACAATTGAGGGGTGCGGAGCAGCGCGAGGAGGGGAAGGGAGGGAAGGGGAAGGATCTTTACCAGCACGATGTTTTTGACGCCGACCAAGGCCATTATTTGTTAGCTGTGGTTCTTTAGAGAATCCACAGTCATCGAAGAGTGCTTAGGACTGATTCCCGATTGTTGTTGGTGGTGGTGTTGTCCTGGTTGTCGTCTTTATTTTTATGTATTTTACTTTATTTTTTTGGATTATCAAGCATCAGAGTGGCGTCATTTGGCAGCACATTCCCCCGGCGTCCGCTCCGTGAACAGCGACTGTACTCCGTACACCAATATTACTCGCATGAAGCATGATAACTTACATCGAATGCCCCCCTATCACAAATCACAGGTATGACAAATTATTTGGTTAAGGGAAGTCATTGATTTTTCGTACTACGACCCGCAAGTCGTTTTTACTCTTTATTGATCTATCTATAATCGTTTACCCTTGCTGCCCTATTCCCGTCTCCCTGCTTCAGCAGCGGCAAACAATAAAAGAGGCGTAGAAGTCAAAAAGCGAGACATAGTTCAGCATTCCATCACATAGAAACTGTTAAATGTTCACGTCCATTTCTGTACCACAACACCTCCACGCTTGTACTCTTTGAGATCTCCTATGACCGCTTCTTTATCAGTCAACTCCGTACTGGGGAACGTCGTCATCAACACCCACGACCGTTGCTGGCTCGCAGGGTTCGCAGCGGCCACGAACGAATATATATCGCCAATCGTATTTGTGGTGTTAAATCGAGTAGTTAAACGCGTTCCATCTCCTAATCGTATTTGGAATGTAACCGTAGGCTGCGACTCATCTATTTTTGGGCCTTCCGGTCTAGTGGCCTCCTCTGCTGCTACTGTTGCTGCTGCTGCTACCATGGGCACGGGGATGGGCGAATTGGTCCCCGAACCCGGCGTTGGGCTACCAAGTCGCTGTCCGCTCCCAGAGAACGGTTTGTACTTGGGTTTTGGCTTCACGTACTTCTCACCATGTTGCTTTATTTCCACGTCAACTTCTTGGCCGGCCTGCACGTTCATTATCGACAGTGGTGCTCGCCCTTGTCGGATGCCATTCAATATCTCTGCGTTTCTAGGGTCGTCGGATCTGTAGAGCTCGCCGTCATCTACAGAGAACCCGTCTTCCCAGAAGTGAAGCGTTCGACTAACTCGGGGGGCTCGTTGAGGGCGGTTGGCACTTGGGTCTGGGATGAACTGGCTTGGTGTATCGTCGCCTCCAAGAGTACGAGCGGCGCCAGTGAAATGGGAACTTCTAGGTTTGTATTCGTCGGCCGGTCTTGGTGCCGTCCTAATAGTAAAGACATGTTAGCCACGCGACAACTGTGGGTAATTGGGTTGTGAATAGCGAGCTTCTCACCTTTTTGCCTTCTCGATAATTTTCTGCTTGAGATCATCAGGGTTCTGGACAGCCAGTCCTGATTTCTCACCTCCAGCAAACATATCTTGCCCTTCATCGGCATCATCATCACTGTGATCATGAGCTCCAGCATCGCCTGAGCCGAGATCACCAAGCGTTGCAAACTTCTTCCTCGGAGCGCTCCGCATACTGGGTTCGGAGGTGAGGGGAGGCGCCGTGCCACCAAGAGATCGACCGCCTGGAGGTTGTACTGATTCATCATAAGACTCAGGGTTATTTCGTGTGGTATCGTCCTGCTCGGGATAGTAATCCGCCATTGCCTCCTCGATGTCCCAATTATTTGTCGCTAAGTACTCTCTGGCCTGCTCGAAATATGCGAAATGAATAAGTGGAACGTGGCAGATGAAAATTACAGGCGATTCATAGAAAGGAACTTACCTCCGCAGGAGATATTCCCGTAATACCACAGAGCTGGGAGATCAAATCATCCTGTTCCGCCTGAGGAGGGGCCATGGCGCTGGAGGTTCGTAGGTGCTGCGGTTGAAAAGATCCGGCAACGGCTTCACCGCTGGCCTAGGGTATTGAAATACAACTAAGCAAAGAATGCTCTCGAAGGCGAATAGTATCTAGATACAGGACACAGAAATTGAGGAGATGAAGTCGTAGGAAGATGAAGCGAAGACAAAGCTTGCGTCAACCCGTCAAGCTCCAAAGGGAACAACAAGCAAGTGAAGGGAAGCAGCTGCTGACCTAAGCAAGACGTCACGGCTGCCTGGCCTGGTTAATTTGATATAGTAACGGCTGTAAATTCCTCAGGCTCGCGGTGGTTTTTGCTGTGCTGGAAAATATGTAGAAAATACGATTTGATATAAAATTGTAATCTGAGCTTAAATAAAGTAACATATAAAATTTGACCATCTTGGTAATTATTTGGAATTGGGATTCTACATGTTATAGATATTGGATATTTAGGTGACTTGACTTCTGTCCAGGTCAGGTGACTCCTGGCTGGTTCCGCTTTCGCTTCGATCATCGGCGGAGAAATCAAAGTCAACGAGATACACTGGATACCATTTACCAAATTACCATATACCATTTATGATATAGTATACACGGCACCTCTCACATTTCCAACCCAATTGCCATTGGTAGCTCTGGTTTATACGGCGCCTCTCCTACAGTTACCCAACTGTGCTCGATCGAAACCGGCTATTCCTCCCCCCTCTCTACATCCATACTCTACACAGCTCCAACAATGGCGTCTGGAGACGATTCGCACTCGCGGATAGAGCTATACGATTCCGCCTTGACCCTACCCTCCGACTCAGAAAATTATTCAGCAAACAACGAGCTATCCTCATCACCTCTGTCCTCCTCGAGTTCTCCTATAATCCTCTACAAACCGCCAACCTTCTGGGGTTTACTACGGGGCGCGGCTATCAATCTACTCCTTCCATTTGTCAATGGTCTGATGTTGGGCTTTGGTGAACTGCTGGCTCATGAGGCTGCGTTCAGGTTAGGATGGTCCGGCACCAAGGTAAGACATTTCGTGTTGATTTATTTGTATTCTTTCCCCAAATGAGCATAGGCGTGGTGAAAATGCGAATGAATGGCGACATGATATTCCGTTCGGGGTATCTACCTACATACATCAGAGTGCACACTAAGAAATCCCGATTAGATATTTCCCACGTATCGGCGATCATATCCTCTTGGGCCTGGCATTGAAGTCCGTGAGGCCCCGCGTGAAAGACGGTCATGGAATAGTTTTTGATCTGGATTCGATGACTTCGATGGAGTAATAAAGGGCCACGATACATTCCATTTGACTATAGAATGGTAGTGCATTTGTACCATCCAGAGATATTGGGATATCGTCTTCACACTTTCTCCCTCTGTTAATGGCATTTCTATTAATTGTATAGTCTCCCCCCCTGCTATATATCGGGGTTAAAAATCTGGGATTGGCGAATGGCGTCTAACGAACTTCCTAGCTGCTGCTTATTTTCAAGAACTACTACCAAAGTACTCTGTACTGTGAGCATGTACTGTGCGATTTATATCACCATTTCAACCTTGGGCGGCAGAACGAGCATGATAGAAATAATAAACCAGTGACTACTGTAGCCAAGCTCTTTTTTGCTGCTTGTAATATCCGCCCTTGGGCTCTTGTGTAAAAGCGTTGGTGTGTGTTCTGTTCATGCTCCGAAATATGGATGGTTTGCGGAGTCGGCAAACTTTCCCCGGAACGTTCGAAAAGAGACTTTCCGGAGCCTCATCAAATTTTTTGGCAGAAGCTCGACCTCACACCTCCAATACACACTCCACGGCCCAACAGCACGCCCACCACGCCCCGTTCGCATTACACGGCTCCCATATCCTTTTTATACTATGTTGGTCAAGGCAGCTGTCAGGCCGTGGGCCGCGGTACCTGGTGGGACAAGGCGAACACTGGTCTTTTCACCGCACTCCTCCCGATCAGTCAGTCTCCCTACCTCCATATATCTACTGCACATGCGTCGCAATTGCGGCAGATAAATTTTTACTAACTACCTTATTCCTTCTAGCTCTCTACAATTACAGCAAAGAAGTCGTTTCAATTACGATCGCGGACGTCAACACAAAATGCTTCCGGACTGATAAGCACATCATGGAGCCCGGGTCTTCTCCCAGCCGCTGGCGCATCGTCCTCTCGCTTCAATTCCACCGCGGCGTCACCTAGCCCAGCCGCCGAGCCCGCCGCATCTGTGGCTATCGACTCTACCGTGAATGCGCCGGTATCTAGCGGCGCTCAGGCAATTGATTCGCTTTCTGCTGCGGACCTCGTGAGCGTGGACATTTCCCAGATTCCCGAAAAGCTAGGCTACTTAAAAGCAATCGGTTTAGATTATGGCTGGGGTCCTTCGCGAGTAATAGAAACCGTCCTTGAATCGCTTCATATTTACGGCGGGCTTCCATGGTGGGGTGCTGCGATAGGGACTTCGGTGCTGCTCCGTTTGTTCGTGTTGAAATTTGCCATGGGGGCGTCCGATACCTCCGCCAAGGTAGCCAGTATCAAACACATCACTCAGCCATTCCAGGTGGAGATACAACGGTGTTACAGAGAAAACGACACTGTTGGCTTGCAACGTGTGCTACAGCAGCGGAAAATCATCAATGAATCACACGATATAAAGCTCAGGAGACTGGCTTATCCATTGGTGCAACTTCCACTCAGTTTCGGCGCCTTCCGAGTCTTGCGAGGCATGTCTGCATTGCCAGTACCGGGATTAGATTCTGAGTCCTTCCTTTGGCTCTCTAATGTCACAGTGCACGATCCATACTTTATCCTCCCCATCACAACCGGACTTATAATGCACTATACATTCAAGGTTCGTTCATGCGGCTAATTCAAACCCTTTCGTATCCTACCTCGTTGTTTTCTCTCTCTCTATATATATTCAACTATTCTAATAATCTTGAATCAGCTTGGTGGTGAAAACGCTGGCGCAAACGACCCCACCGCGATGATGGCCAAACCCATCTTGCTCTACGGCCTCCCAATTCTATCGACCGTTTGCACATCCTTCCTACCAGGAATCCTCCAGATTTTCTTCGCCACAACCTCAGTGTTAGCAATCGGCCAATCCTACGCCTTCCGCCACCCTTCCATCCGCGCCATGACCGGAATGGCGCCCTTCCCCAGCCCCGCCGTCATTGATACCACAGCCTCCGAACCCAAAGCGCGTATCCTCGAAGTCCAAACAAATAACCCCGAGCAAGCCCCGGACCAAGTCGAGACGGTGCCTAAAGTCAGCTTCATAGACCGATTCATCACCAGCTTCCAAAGGTCCGTTAGCTCCACTCGTAAGAAGATGGAAAGTTACACCGGCCAGAACGAAAAGGTCGAGACGTTTGCCGATGGGACCCCCAAGTCCCGCTTGACGAAGAAGCAGCTTGAGGACGCTATTGCTTATGAAAATAGACGGAGGGAAGAACTCTCTATTGAGCGGGAGACGCGGAATAAAGAGCGACAGATGGAGTATAGACGGAAGCTTGCAGAGAAGAAGAGGAAACAAAGAGAATTATGAGTTTGAGGAACGAGCTTATTTAGTTCTGGGCTTCTTAAAATCTCTTTTGTGCTCTTTTACAATAAGCTTCCCTTCTCCCTTTGTTATTAGAGATATCTTTTGTATTTCTTCAAAACTGTACATGTATACTTTACCTCTTGAAATGGCGTGGGAGTCTTCATCTTATTTTATTTTATTTTATTTCCCTTCTCTCTTCCCCTATCATCTGCTCAGCTTTGGTTTTTCCCCTTCCTTTCATATCTTCCTCCTCATTGTATTCTCCTCATTGTATCTCTGCTATTTTTCACCCCTTCAAATTCCCCTCACGTTTATCGTCCCCTCTCATGCCTCCATCTGTCCCTTTAGCTAGCATATAGACTTGTTTACTATATTCCTATACTTGTCAACGCGGGTAAATGTTACCCTGTTTCTTCGACTACCCCTACACATGTATGTATGTATCAATTCAGCGGGATTGCATTGAGGAAAAAGAAAAAGAAAAAAGAAAAGCCAAGAAAATAGAAAATAAAGATAAATAAATAAAGTGTAACGAGGAAATGGGAATACTCTTTCCGGCTGTCTCGTCCTGTCTCGTACCTACTCAGCAAGCATGGTCAAGAAAAGGAGAACTAACCAAGGATGAAAACTCCCCTAGAAGAATTTGCTTTCCCGGCCGACTCTGCTTCTAGGAATAAAGGATATGCGATTAACCCCTTTATCCCTTTAGACACTACTCCTCAGGATGGAATGGAACAGCTCCAGATATTAAAACAAATATATCCCCTGTTACTACTATAATCAATCACCCAAGCAGCACGATGTAATAGTTCAGAGTATCCTCAAAAAAAAAAAAAAAAAAAGGAATCTTTCGACCTATCATGTCATCCCTAAAATATGATGCCATTGGCAAAAATTAGTTTAAAATAAAGCAGTCCGGTTTGTTCCATCTAATATACTCCGATATTGCTATGCCATTTTACGTTCAAAACCAATAGATACGACCAGACCTGACCAGACCAAACCAAAACCCAAAAACCGCAAAAAGCCCGCAGTTAAGCTCCTCCCCAGATAAAAAAAGGCATCCAGCGGTTCAGTTTAATACACGACCAGCATTGAAAATATAAAAAAAGTAGGGATCCATCGATACGAATCCATCACGAAGAAGGGGCGGAAGTGTTAAAAAAGATACCCCCCCTTCCCAACTCATCGAAACAATCTCCTCCCCCCCACCCCTCGAACACCGCAAGTAAACGAACCCTTAATCCCCGTACTACCCATACTCAACGCGCCAAACCCAACACCACCCCCTTCGGCATCCAGCTTATACCGTCTAAGAGCCTCGCGCAGGTGTGCGGGGAGGAGTTGGCCGCGGTGCGGATTTGGGGGCGGTTCGAAGGGGGGTCTTTGCTTTTTCGGCTTGGGGGGTGGTGGTCGTGATTCGGGCGATGTGGAGGAAGAGTTGGGGATTGTGGACGTGAAGGATTGCGAGCCTGGTGGGGTGTGGAGGGAGGTTGGATCTGTGCGTGGTTGAGTGTGCGGTTGTGGCTGTATTGAAGGAGGGGGGACAACGGCGGTGGTGGGTTGAGGAACAGTGGGGTCAGTCGTCTTGACGCCGTTGGCGGAAGATGGTTCTGCTTTCACGGCAGCCATTCCATTCTCTTTCGGTTCCGGTTCCGTTTTAACCATAGAAGGTGCGCCTGATTCAGTCATACTGCTGCTCGATTCGAAAGTCTGCGGCGGTGCCTGGGTATCTGAGACCGGGTTCGTCGGAGCTGTGGGATTATTCGGCTGCGTAGGCTGTATAGACTCCGTAGATTCAGCAGCAGCAGCTTCCTCCTCCGCCTCTTCCTTGGCCAACGCAGCTTGATATTCCGCATACGCAGCTCTATCCGCCGCGTCCGCCCACTCTTCCTGCACCGTCCGCGCCTTCTCCACCAACTCTCCAACAAACACTTTCGTGTAGCCGCTAATAGTCGTAATGACATTCGGGGGTACGGACTGCGACAGCGTCTGATTCACAATCTTGCGTACCATGGGTTTATTCAGCTTCGCGCGCTTGAAGAAGTCGTACCGCGACGACTGAGCGGGCGTAAATGCGTCGATAAGAATCCTGTTACGGTATTGTTTTCACCAAGTTAGCTTCTGTACGAAAATATCGGACGTATCAAGGACACATCCCATAAATCAAGGCATTAAAAAAAAAAAAAAAAAAAAAAACGGGACAAAGTAAAGAAAAACCAAAAACTCACGCAAGATTCTTCCTCTCAGCCTCCGCCTCCCTCGCCGCCCCATCCCCATCTCCATCCGCATCCCCCCCTCCATCCTCCCCCTCCTCCAAATCCCCCTCATCCCCCTCATCCCCCTCCTCTCCCTCCTCCTCCCCCTCCCCTAACTCCCCAAGCCCACCCCCATCAACAACCGTCCCCCTCAAACTCCCCGACCCCTCCCCCTCCCCCTCCCTCTCCCTCTCCCTCTCCCCCTCCCCCCCTTTCCTCCCACCAACCCCACTCCCCTTCCTCCTCTTCCGCCCCTGCCCCTGCCCCTGCCCCAGCCCCTGGCCCCTCCCATCCACACTCCCGCCCCCAAACGACCCCGTAAAGCTCCCCGTCGCGCTCGCGCCATCCGCCTCAGATTTCGCGCTCGTGGCGCTGGCGCTGTAGACGCGCGGGTCCGTGTCCTGCGAGGCGGGGAAGGAGGTTTGGCTGAGCGGGTGCACGCGTTGGCGTTTGTGGGAGAGGGCGCTGGCGCTGGCGCTGGTGCTGATGCTGGGCCGCTTTTTGGGCGGTTGGTTGGGGAGGGAGAGGGGCGCGGGTGCCGGCGCGGGCGCGGGCGCGGGCGGTGGGGAGGTTGACATTTCTTTTTTCTTTGGCGGGTTTGGGGGTGTCTCTCTCCCTCTCTCTCTCTGTGTGTGTGTATGTGTGTGTGTGTGTGTGTGTGTGTGTGTGTGTGTGTATGGATGTGTGTATGTGAGAGAGAAGTTGTAGCGTAATGAACCGCGGCTCTCTCTGACCTCTGACCGGGTGAGGTCAAAGGTGAAATGACGCGCTTGCTCGGTTGGGTAAAGCTACGGGTTGAAAGGAGGGCCCGGTTGCAGCGATAGTTATGTGATGGTTCTGCGTAGTTTCATTAGATGGAAAGGTGAGCGAGGCCGTATTAGGTGATGTCCGCCGTTAGTTTTATGTGTCTCTGCTTCAATGAATGTGCTCCTGAGAAAGCCGGCGTCGGAATAATCATGTGACCTGGATTCTCCGCCGCCGTCGAATCCATAGATATTAGAATACTTCGCTATATATATATAAAAGAGAATTTCATTTCTGAAATCTATTTGTATTTGTTCAATCTGATGTTTAGATCATAAATTTTATTTCAATAAAGATTTCATGTAGAAACAGTAAACAATCAAAGTTGAAGAGACAGAATATATCATTTACTACTTCAATTTTGAATTTTAGAAAGAGTAAAGAATAGAATTTAAAGTGAAAAGAAAGAAGAAAGAGGTAACTTAATCAACCTTCTTTTTTTTTTTTTTTTTTTTTTTTTTTTTTTTGGAGCAAGCAGAAAACTATTAAATAAATAAAATAACATAGGTCATAATTAAGAGGAGAATCATTAGAATGAACAAGCAAGTAGATAAGATAGCGCAAAAGCCGAAAAGAAAAAATAAAGTAAAATAAACGAGCAAAAACCGAAAAGAGAAGAAAAAATCTCGTTCCACTTCACAGCCACGAACTGAGAACTCTCAACTGCAAAACACCCCATCCACGCCTCCCCTCCCCTCCCTTAAAACACATGCTCCCCAATCCGCGGCGCCCCGCCCCTCCAGTCATTCCGCTCATAGTAGCGGAAGACAAGATCGTACCCATCCAAGTCATGCACGATGCGATCAACACGGCGATACCCCGGGATCCGCTCCATCTTCTCATTACGCACGGCCGCATTGGTATCGCGTTTCACCTGGCGCTGGTGGTCTTGCTGGTCCTTCTGGTGATGTTCTCCATTCACGGTCCCGTTACTGGTGATGCCGGTGGTGGCATCTGGTTTCTTCTTAGCTTCAAATAGCGTCACGCTAAAACGGCCCGGTTTGAAAATATCCACGACATGCTCGACGATTTCGGACGTCTCGCGGCCGCTTTGGAGTTGCGGGACGTTGGTTTCGAAGGAGGCGTAGGAGCAGTGGGGTTCGGGTGTAACATGGACGGTGAAGTAATGTGAGCCGGTGCTGGGCTTGGATGTAGCTTCGTTTGCATCTGTAGTAGGGGCAGGGGCCGGGACGACGCCATTGGCGGAGAATCCGCATGGGGTGAAGAGGTATGCGTCGACGCGGGCGCCGGGATACTTGCTTGTCGGGTAGATGTCAGTGAGACCGCATGATTCTGCCACGACGGTGCCGAGGCCGTGGCCTTCCGTGGTGAGTTCGGGGGGCAGCGACTGTTGATCCATCTCTGAGCCCAGGTCGTCGCTTGAGTCTGAGGTGTTGCTGAAGACGTCTAGGTGTTCGTCGTTGTTATTGTTGTCCTTTGCTTGTTGGAGATGCTTGTTCCGATGATGGCTTCGGTTGGAGCGACCGCACTCGCATGGTCGAGGTAGAATTGTTTTGCATTCTCCTCGTCCAGGTCAGTCATCAGTATCTCGAGAGTCTCGTCCTCCTCGTCCTCTTCCTCCTTAGCCGAGTTGGCAGTAGTAGTAGTAGTGTCTGCTGTCTTGGGATCCCCAGGGAAATCGAGGACCTTCACCGGCGGATCATTGCTTGGTGTGGACGGTGGGGTCAACACAGTATACGGCTCGGTCAGGTAGAGATACCAATGCTCTCCATTCATTTTGCCAATCATGTATGCGCTACCTCCAAGGAATAGCTGGTCCATCGCCTTGACCTCATCACGCCAGCTACGATGGGGACCGCGCTGGCGATCAGGGAACAAGAAGTTTTTTCTGCTATAGAAGACGCGGTACGGAGCAGCCGCAGTTTTGATCCCACGACCAGCTGGGGCGGTATTCTTGGGGAAACCGGCGTATACGGCAGCAATCTCGAGGATGCGAGGCAATCCAGAGAGCAGGGTAGTGGTCCCACAGGTCTTGAGAATGAGCTTATGGGGGAACACAAACATGCTGGATTCCGAGAGAAGGTAAGCGTCGACATTGTCGGATTCGATGATTGACAAGACTTTGCAGCTGACAAGGTCAAGCATGTCCTTCCATACCTCCACCGGAACAACTTTGAGGCCTGTAGGCTCTGTCGATCCGAGGAGGTCCTGGGGAGACGGACCAAACCATACCTCTAAAAGCTTTTCGGGCCCTGCGATGATTATGAAAGTCAGCATATCAAGGTAACAAAACAATTTAGGCGCAACGAACCTTCAAAGGCAGTGCTCGAATCAAGATCCAAGGTAGCCTCATGATTAATTGTCAAGGACGACGTCCCCATGAATGAGGATGGTGATGCCGTGTAATTCTTCAGGATCTCGATGTTCACCATATCCCAAGCCGCGAAACGGAATCCAGGTATAAATTTGAACAGGGAGAAAGAAAGCGAGCAAAAAAAAAAAAAAAAAAAAAAAAAAAATAGTTGGAGGAAGGTTACTCCCTTTCCGCTTCGTGCAAAAGACCCTTGGACGCGAGCGAAAGACCTCTTTTGGTTATTGAAGCACAATCTTCCACCCAGACGAACAATGCGGTGTCCGCCTGAGATAGAGGAAGGCCCGAATTTGGTGTGGAGGCCTACGACAGCTGGCAACCTATGCCAGCAAGATGTAAAAACCGATGTGTAGCGGTACCTGCCCCGAGAGAGGCGTTATGGGGGTCTGGCGGAGAGGGGGATGAAGAAAGCTCTGGGATGGGGAATTGTGGCTAGTCCGATGCGTGAACCCCCGCACTGGCAAGATACCGATACCTGTAAAAGTATCGGGTCCAGCAGACGAGGAGATCTGCCTTTATATAAACAGACAAAATGGAAGTGTTATGTTGGGATTTGGTATTCCCGTGCGGGTTTGCGAAAGGCTCGTTATCGTGGTCTAGTTTTTTTTACAAAAAAAAATAAAAAATAAAATATCGAGATGTCAGTTGAGTTTGGGCGGAAGCGGGAGCAATGAATTGGGGCAGTTGATTATGTATTTCTAATTTCGAGAGACAAATGACCGGGAGGTGGTGTAACATGGCCGAGGTGGCGACTCTTTCTGATAGGTATAGGGAATAATAGACAGGAGGAGGGGGGGAATATACAACCTACTTTGCGGGCTTGGAGAGAAATCGCAGGAGATCCTTACGGCTCATGGAGCGAATGTGGTGTTTCTCTTCAGCGAGTCAAAATGAGGCAGCTCATCTGCACACCTTAAATCATCGACAACTGCTTTTAAAACAGCTCTATTCCTCGCGGGATAGAATGTGAATGGCGTCCTATCTCAAGCAGAGGAGAACGGGGAGGCGAATAAACCAAGTCGCCAGTCGACCAGTCGATCAAGCGCTGCTGCACTTGCACTTGTAGTTCAACAGGGAGGTTTCAAATAAAAGCACACAGGATTGTGTAGAGAAAAAGAATAGCAGAAGCTGGACGAAGTGACTGGGGGGGGGGAATTGGGGTGAAGGGTTGGTGTAAGAAGAAGAAGAAGAAATGTTGTTGTGTGTTTGTATGACAGACAGACAGACAGCAGGTGGTGGGGGGGAGTTTTTTTTATGAGTGAAGATGATGAGGAGGAAACAACAACAGAGTTTGTGTTAATTAATTATTAGTTAGTGGGAAGTTACTTACTTTTTAATAAGCCACACACACAACACACAATTCAACAGCAGCCAGTTCAGCAAGAACAATTATTAATACATACAAGAGGGAGTTGATGAAAGGGAAGAAGAAGGGAAAAAAAGATGCAACAGTCACAGGTTGTGGCCGAAGTCTTCTTCTTCTTCTTCTTCTTCTTCTTCTTCTTCTTCCTTTACTCTCCTTATTTTTCAGTCGCTGCACGCCACCAAGTAAGTTAACTAGTTAACTAACTACTCCGTACACATAGTTACAAAACACTTTTTTTTTTTTTCTGAGCTTTGGGCGGGTCCAGCTCACACAAACCCAGATCCAAGAACTCTGCGGGCCTTTTGACTAGATAATGATGATAGTAAATAGTTAGTGAATTTCTACTTGTTCCTATCTTCATTTGTGTGTGTTATTTCCCATGTATAGCATCCAAGAGGACCAAGAAGTGTGTATATCCCGGATCATTGTTGTTCCGGCATCCCCCGTCCCATCCCCCAAAGAGCAGGTGACATTCCAACCAACCAACCCAGCATCGTCGCTTGACTCCGTACGGAGTATACTCTATCTCTATACTTGAATAAACTCTCTGGTGGGGAGGGAAATACCAGGATAAAGGAGAGAAAAGGGGGAAAAGGGGAAAAGGGGAAAAGGGGAAAAGGGGAAAAGGGGAAAAGGGGAAAAGGGGAAAAGGGGAAAAGGGGAAAATATGATATCTTAAGAATGCATGTTGAAAACACATCCAACGTTGCTTGGCTAGCTAGAAAGAAAGGATCTCGCTATTTCTACTATGAGACTTGACTTGCATCTTTGTATCCGCTCGTCCTAAACAAGCAGAAAATGGGAAAATGGATGGGGCAAAAATTACACAAAAAAGTACATCTCTATTTATTTATTTATTTATCTATTTATCTATTTATCTATTTAACTATTTATATAGTTACGGAGCAGGCTCTAAATTTGAACTCTCCCGTAACCCTCTTTTCAAATAACTAGTCAACAAACCCCGCCCCCACTCACTCTCTGCTCTCAAAATTTAGTATTTTTTTGCCCAAATATCAAGTCTTTCAAGGGTTGTTGAATAATACATAATGATAACTAAATAATTATGATGATGATGATTTGTGTGTTGCGTCCAGGCCTTGCTCATCATCACAGCCAGCCAGCCAGCCAGCCAGACAGACGCCAGCCCCCTGCAGGATTAAATCTTGCAGTACATTATATGTATGTATGGATATACCTAACACCTACCTACAGGGGGGTTACGCTGCGTAGGTTAGGTGTAACGGAGATGTCCTCTCGTACGAATGTGGTCTCGTCTGGGGTGGTGTTGATTTCCTCATATTGAGATTGGTTTCTTTCTTGCTGCAAAGCTGCAGGGGATTAATGAATGTGTAGCTGCATCGTATGTATACATATTGATCCATTTATTTTGATCGAAAAGTTTTAAAATAAATGTGTAGTATCCGGAGCAGGTAAAGTTATTTATTTAGTAGACACAGAAAAAAATGCACACTGCCTGGGTAGGTAGCAAGCAAGTGCCTTTTCAAACCCCGTCCCCCCCCCCCCCCGGTTCAACGAAACGCCGTTTCATCCAAAACGAAAAGGAAAAAGAAAATAAAACTCCGTCAAAACTCCAGTCCCCAAATAAATGCGGTTCCTTTTTCCGCCATGGGGAAAACCCCTAGCCAGCCAGCCAGTCTCGCGCGCAGGCCGAATAGCTTCCGTCCCAGGAGAGGAGACCCTCCCTCCAGGAACACAAAAAATCAGCAAGGGCAAGGGGAGGAAAAAAAAAAAAAAAAAAAAAAAAAAAAAAAAAAAAAAAGAGTAAAAACACAAATCGCATCATCATCAAATATCATCTCCCCACAATCGCATTCGCCAATCCCACCTGCCCACCGTCCAGTATCCTCCCCGCGATAATCTCCCCAACCTTTTCAGCAAGCCTCCCGCGCACTTCCTCCCCCTTCCCCTCGCGCACCTCCTCCAAAACCCCATTCGTCAGCATCGCCGCCATCCCCCGCGGCTTCTCGTCGTCCGCCAACGTCCCCAACACCGCCAATATAACACCAATAACCTTCTCAGCCTCCAACTTCCGCACCCCTTCTTCTAATCCCCCCGGCCCCGCTCCCGCTCCCGCTCCCGTCCCTGTCGTCGTTGCCGTCGTTGCCGTCGTCGCCATCGTGGAAGAAATCGCATCCTTCAGCACAACCTCATACGTCCTCAAATTCGGCACGATGAGTTCGCGCACCACGTCCACCCCGCCGATGGACTGCAGGCCGATGATGGCGCCGTAATGCGTGCCCAGCGGCTTGCCGGGATCCAGGAAGTTTTTCAAAAAGGTGCGCGCCAGCCGCGGGCGCAGCGTGTGTGAGGAGTGCGAGTATTTGCGCGCTATCATGCTTATGAGCGAGGCGGCGAGGTCGCGGAGGACGAAGTGTTCGAGGGGGTCGGTGGGGGTGGGGGTGGGGGTGGGTCCGGCGCCGGTGGAGAGAGTTGTGGAGCCTAGTTGGCGGCCGATGAGGCAGGTTAGGACTGGGGGGATGAGGGAGGGGACCTAGATATACACATGGACATATGGCTTGTTAGATTTTTGTGTTCTTTGGGCAGAAAATATAGGGAGGGATTGGTTGGGTTTGTTTGTTGTAGACCTGGTAAACTTACGTATGGATCTACGTAGAGCGTTGTATTCTGAATCAGCGCCTCGGTCATATGCATAACTTGGGTCAGGACGAATAGATCCTTAAGGCTATGCGTGACTTTCTCGGAGATGAACTGGACGAAATACGGCACGAGCTGATGCAGGCCCGGATCCTCTTTCAGACTCGAAAACGCAGAGAGGCGGTACTCCTCGTTCAACTCGTCTAGAAATGCAGTGCACACTTTCTCGAAGTAGAGTTGTAGTTCTTTGGAGAGGATGTGCTTGACTAGCGGCTTGACGGAGACGTTGTCGTTTCCGCTCATCGCAGCCAAATTGGCATTCGCATTGGGACCCTTGGAAACTAACTCGATATTCCGCGAGTCGGCCCCTGTGGGGTTCTGTGGTATTGTAGGTTGCACGCCCTCGACGGCCAACCAATGCGCTTTAATCAAGCGACAAAATATGAAATCAGCTACCCAAACGGTCGACAAAAAAGGACACGACAAACACTTCTCAACCAAAGGAGAGAGAGAGAGAGGAAAAAAAAAAAAAAAAAAAAAGAAAACAAATACACACCCGTAAACGTAATCTCCCTCGGCACCCTGGGCAAGGGCGCATTAATCAACTTCTCAAAATCCACCTCGTCATCCTCCACGTAAAAAAGCGGCTGCCCGGGGCCCAGCGTCGCCTCGCCAAACCGCAACGGCCTCGTCGACTCATATCCATACAGCGGCTCCACATCCAGCACGCGCAGGGCATGCGAGACATCCTGCGTCGTCAGCAGCGTGCGTTTCGCATGCCGCATGAACTTCAGCGCCTCCTCGAGCACCTGCGAGATGCGGTATTCGACATCGCGCGCGAGGTTCTCGACAACTTCGTCGTTGAGCGCGCCGATGCCGACGGATTCCGCGACGTCGCGGATGTTTTCTGGGTTCCACACGGACATCATATATAGATATATTCGTTTTCCTTTTCTTTTTTTTCCCCCTCTGTTCGTTTGGGAGGTTATTCTGCTACGCGTGTGTCGGAATATAAAATTGGGAGCGAGAAGGGTGCGGTGGTTTGCCCGGGGGGGGGGGCGGGGGGGGGCGAGGAGCGGGGTTCGATTTGACAGCAGGAATATGAAGATCGTCGTATTCCAGCCAGCCAGAACAGTTTACCCCCCTTCTTGAATCAACGCTCGAATCTAGAATGCGACGGAGGTCGTGGGCGGTATGGGTGTATACGGCGGTAGGTGAGTAAGGCGTACCTCTTAGCGGACGCGCATCCTGAGACTGGCCACTCTCCGCAGTGAGTGAGTGAGTGAGTGGTTCCGTCGGGTGAAACAAGGTTGATCGGCTATTGAACAGTCCAATACCAGCCCGCAGTACGAAAGCTAGCTGTATGGAGGGACTTTGACACGCCTGGTTAGCGAAGTAAAAGGTATTGTCCAGCGCTGAACTGCGGAAGTCTGACTGCACCTGTGGTCAGAATAGCCCGCCGGACCAGCATTGTAACTGTACCAAGCTCCTAGCGCCGCTTTACGCAGTACATCTTTACTCTCTTTTACAAAGCTTTCACCAACAGCAAATATAAACTAAGAAATAAATACTATCACAAAGAAGTATAGACACTGGGATTTGTTTTTGAGTTAAAATGAAAATCTGATAAATAAGAGTTCCGCCGGCTACAAAGGGAAAACAACAACTGTTTGAATGGTATCATGGATGGTAGGGAAAAAAAAGCGGTAAGTAAGGAGACACAGCACGCGGAGATCTCTTGTCCTCCTCCGGCCTAATCATAGAGTGGAGAATAGCAAGCACCTCGGTGTATCAAGAAAAAGACCCAACACTATCGAACTACTTGAAAAACGATCCACACCAACTTTTTGCTTTGGAAAAAGACACAAGTATCTCCGGCAAATCCTTCCACGCAGGGCACAGGCAAACAGTATTCTGCAGCGGTTTGCAAAACAACTTGTCAAACACAGCATAAACCCAGAGGTAATGTATTATTATTTGCCTGTGCATAACCTTGCGCGGTGTAGGTTAGCACAAACCGGAGGCCAGATCGAACGGGGAGTTGGGAAGTATTAGAAGTGCTCTCACACACATGTTGTGACCAAGTAACAAAATAAAATAAATTACAAAACAAAGTTTAACAGAGCAAGCGGGTAAAACGGTTTGAGGGATCGCCAGGATCACTTGGCCGCTGCAGTAGGAGCTTCGTCCGTTGACGGAGCCGCAGCTTTCTCAGGCTCAGATGCGGAAACTGGGGCAGCAGCTTCAGCTGGAGCTTCGGCGGGCTTGGCATCATTCGAAGGGGTCTCAGCTGCCTCTTTAGCAGAACCGTTGGTTTCGGTAAGAGTGGCTTTCCCTTGGGCAGCAGGTGCGGATTCTGGGGCAGGAGAAGGTTCAGGGGTGTCCTCCTTCAGGGTGACAGTTTGAGCGCTCTCTTGCAGCTCACCACCCTTGCCGCCGTACGACTTGGGAAGCTCGTCAGCAAATGCGAACTCGCGAGCAAGATTCGCACCATTAGTGATTGGGTGGAACTTCCGGATGGTGTTCTTGCTCAGGAACACCTTCAACGCAGTGAACACCCAACCCATGAGAGTGGGCACATTGACGAAAAACTTTTCTTTCAGAAGCTCCGGGTACGCTGTGCTGAACACGTCGATAGTATGTTTGGTAGCACTTTTAATCGAAGGGTTCAATCGGAGGAAGCTGACGTTCTGATAATCATGCACCTGGATCATCTGGTAGGGGTCCTCGCCAGAGTAATCGATCACGGATTTGGCCTCGCTGAGCTTCAAATCTTTAACAGCCATTTCCATCAATGCAACTCTCCACTTGATGAATCTAAAAGTCGGCGACAGTTAGCAATTGGAGCCAAAGTGGGGACGGAGCTGATAAAACCCACTCGTCAATATCGCCAAAAGTGCGGTTAACATCTTTGACGGATCCGTAAATGTTCCAGGTGAAAACGATATTTCCTTGATTTTGGTCCTTGTAATTCGCAACATAGCCAAGCCCCTGAAACTTGGCTGAGCTATAGGAGGTGTTTTCAACCAGCGCCAAGGGGTTCATTTTCTTGCGCCATTCCAGAGCTTTAGTGAGCTGCTCCTCGGCCAGTTTGACGTTACCCTCATTTGCACGGAGGAACTTGATCAAAACATTGACGGTTGGTATGTCATCGGAATCCTTGAGGGTGACGCCCCACATCTCGTTGTAGGCAGCCTTTTTGAGAATGGATGCGAGCTTTTCGAAAAGCTCGCTGAGGGCCGGGTTCTTGGACAAGTACTCAGGCCGCGTGTCAACAGGGGCTTCGGGAGGCTTGTCTTCGGAGACGGGCTGGCTCTTCTTTTGGTCGCTTTGCTGTACTTCAATGGCATCCACATCGGGCTGCTGGGCGGGGGAGGCAATTGGGTCCTTAGTTGGAGCGGCTACTGGAGCATCAGTCGTAGCAGCAGCGGAGGGCGCATCGGTAGTGGGATTTTCTGTTTGTTTATCCTTTTCATCCTGAGAAGCCTTGTTGCTGTTGTCAGTCGCAGATTGTTGTTGGTCCTGTGTATTCTCGGGGGGCTTCTGAGCGACGGGGGTATCCGCAGCATCCGCAGCAGCTGCAACGGGCTGGGCTGCTTTCTCAGTTTCCGACATTATTGCCAGAGGAAATGCGATTAAGCTATATATATGTGTGTGAGAGAGTGTACGAGGTCCCTGGTGAGGAGAGGTCAGTCCACGCGTTACGAGACGTTGAACGTAGCATTGGCTGGAACAACCAAACGTGAGACAGGGCGGAATAGCTGGGACCGTACCGTACCAGAAGCAATGCTCTTTGTGAAAGAGAGATTCGCTCGCAGTTTGCGATAGCAGATAGAGATTGTTGAGAGGAATGAGAAGCAGTTGAGCAGTTGAGCAGTGGAGGAGGTTGAAGGTGAAGGTGAAGGTGAAACGGCGGGAGATAAATTCAGGAGCAGCTGCGGCTTCTGTTTTGGGCTGTTTGGCAGTGTTTGGCTGCTTCCACCCGGCGCCTGCCTCGTTCGGGTTGCGCGACAGGGGGTAGGGTAGGGTAGCTTCCCGATAGGGACATCAGTCCCAAAGTGGGCTAGCGTCAATTGCCTGCCGAACTGGGAAGTCTCGACTGTGGAAACTACCCGCGCGCTTACAACGGCTGCGATTAGCTCGCCAGGAACAAGGAACAGCCGCAGGGGAATTCCAAAGATGTATCAACGGAGGAATATTTCAATCTCTTGAATAAAACGTATAACTTGCTCTACCTACCTGAAACAAAATGTTTTGAGTGGCTGGCTGCTAGATGTCATATATAGCAGAGAGAGAGGAACAATCAACTCCCCTAGTTCTCTCCCCTTGAGCCCATCCAACCTCTTCCATGGGTGAGTGCACTATCCACTAACACTGCTCTAATCTTGGGGAGATGATAGGTCCATGGAACTACTTCCTCCCAGATGCGAGGTCTCATCAAAGCTCCTCAAATAGCGTAGAAAAGCCCGTTCTTTTTGGTATATTTGCTTGGATAGTATGTCCAAGTGCTTCTATTTCATGAGGCCATTGGCCCCTCCTTTTCCGATCAAGCTTCATCTGGCTGGCGAACAGGTGAATGGATCTTGTTTTGATATTTGATGGCTATGGCAATTCATAGTCAGTTCCACGCTGTTTGTGAAGCAAATAGTTGCCTGTCTTCCTGTCTTCTCTCTCCTTCTTTCCCTATATATTTGCGATGTGGTACTTGCTCCATTGTAATGTACCGTGCGGCTCTTTCGTCCCGTCGCCGCCTTCTCAATATCTGCCAAACGCCCCTTTGCATCATCATCGTCATCGTCATCATCAGCATCAGCACCAGCACCAGCATCATCGTCATCATCATATCAATACTCATCAGTCTTTCGTTTGAAGCAAAAAGAAAATCTTCATCTCTGGCTACTGCCGAACGGAGTGCATCTCCATTGTAATGCTCTCAACATCGCTCCCCCCTTGTCTTTTTCCGGTTATCGAACACCACGTACCGCCCAAAATTGGACATGGTTTCTTCAAAGCAGGGGCCGATGTACGAAATATCGAGTACTCGAGAACTGTCGCATTTTGCACTGAGAACTCAATATCACTGCTTACATTCTACAAGGCAGTATGGGCCTTGATACTAAAACATTTTGCCAATACTGACCATGTCTTCTTCGGAGTGACAGAGGCCAGCCGTAGCAGGTGTAGGATACCGCCTGCTTCTCTAGGCACGGTTCAAGCATACGCACAAACCCAGTCATGGTGTCATGTCCATCTTTCTGAGACGAACACTATCCTTGAAATCCTCCAACGGATAGAATCAGACACGCGGCGCGGATGCCCTAGTGAAGGGTTGAAGCTAACATCTGCGAGTTTCAACACTGAGATACATTTGCTACAAGGAGATATCTCTGAGTATATGAACAAAGACGATCGATATCTGGTATGAAGGGTTGATATAATTATGGCTTTGGTTCTTGCTGACCGGTTAAATGACGTATAGTGTCCTCATATGATTGATATCCAACTATGTATCTCGCCAGATCGATTCGTTTGCCGGTGTCGGGCTTCGTCGATGACGGGAACAGCTGCTCAAAGCTTATGCGAAACATTCAAGAAAACCGCTGCAAATGTATTGGCCAACCCACGACAAACCGTTCCAAGTTTGGATATGCTTTGTAATTATGACAGATCCCGAATCGAACGCTGGAACAGAATAGATCCGTGGAATCACACCATAAAAGCATGCATTCACGACCTGATACATATCCAGGTATCCTCTCAGCCCGAGAGCCTTGCTGCTGATGGCTGGGATGGGTCCATGACCTTCCGCGAACTATGGGATCAATCCTCACGATTATCCTATTACCTTCACGATCTTGGAGTCAAACAAGGGATAATGGTGCTTTTCAGCATGGCGCTATCCAAATGGACCATTATTGCTATGCTGGCTATTCTTCGCACTGGTGCTACTTGCGTACCAATCGATCTTCTGGACCCATCACATTATATTCAGTCTATAGAAGCAAAACTCGTCTTTGCTGACCCGTCCCAGCTGGAGCAGCTTTATGGCGAAGTCAAGTATATAATCACCGAGTTACCGAATTTCATTAACCTACTCGGACCAGCGCCTGATATTTACGAACCACAAGTCTCCCCTCAAGACCCGGCCTTTATCACGTTCACATCTGGCATCACATCCGCACCAAAACCAGTAATCCTATGCCATGAAGCCATATGTACCAACATTCTCCACCTTGCAGAAACCTTGGAAATTAATGACAAATCGCGGGTTTTTCATTGTTCATCGCTTACCTCCAATATGAGCATTTTTGACATTTTCGGCACCATCGCCAAAGGTGGATGCGTATGCTATGCCACAGAATATGGCAGGGCCAAAAATCTATCACGCGCTATTTGTACTTCCCAGGCCACTCACGCCTTCCTTACCCCTACCCTCTTACGCGAACTTACTCCAGATAGCGTACGCAACCTGCAAGCCATATCGGTCATCAGCGACGGCCTCACGATAAACGACGTACTGAAGTGGAAGGACCACGTCAGTTTATTCCATCTCTACGGCAATACAGAATGCACAATCTGCTGCACCGCCACGGACGCACGCCACCAGGAACGATTAAGATACCACGGCCGGCTCAACATCGGCCGCGCGATCGGTTGCAGGACATGGATTGCACAGCCAGGCAATGCTCATCGCAGACTTGTCCCTATTGGGGGAGTTGGTGAGCTGTTGATCGAAGGGTCGACCTTAGCTCGTGGTTACTATGTATTAGAAACGGGAGAGGAGGGGGACGGTGGGGAGATGGTGATGCGTGCAGAACCCTTTATCTTTGACCCTGAATGGCTTGCGAAGTTTCCAAGTATACGCGCGTCGGGGAGGAGAGTTCGGATGTATAGGACGGGAGATCTGGTGAGGTATGAGTGCGATGGGTCCATCAAGTTCGTGGGACGGATGGGAGATGTAAAGTAACCTTACTGTTCATCGTCTGGGGCAAGGCCCTTGGGGAGTGGCCAAGGGAGGTATGGATCTTTTAGACGGATAGGATTAGACGTCTTTATTCAATATGAGAAAGGTCGATTGTTTCATATATGAGGACTATAGCGCTTTGAAGGGTAGAAGCAGTAGAAGAAGGAGAGAAGATGAGTAGCTTGATAGAGAGGTGAGTGATGTGCAGCTTTGTTTTGAGTAAGTGAAAATTACCCATACGGCATTGATTGAATATGTTATAGTAGGCTATATCTCGCCATTCTAATGACATGATTTAATTTTTGTTAAGGAGCATATATATATATATATATATATATATACAGACACTTATACACACATAGATAGATAGATAGATATGCACAGTGCAAAAGTTGAGAGGGATTAAGTCAGGGGGTATTGTAGGTAGATGAAAAGCAGGAGAGACACGACAGAAAGAAAGCTGCCAATTCCCTACTTTGCAAGCTATATATATATATAATATGAAATCGAACAAACAACAAGAGTTAAGTAATGGGCCTATATGCACATCTGACATACGTGAGTACAAGTACCGCACATAGACCCGGAGCATACAGGAGTCTCAATGAAACGATAACGCGGGAGTTCCTAGGTTGGAGATATAAAATAGTTAAATGGCTAAATAAATTAAAACTATAGAAGAAAGAGGACAACAAAGTGAGAAAGCACCAGCCCTTCACCTCACCCAGCTTGCTTTGGACATGGTTTATTTTTTTCAATATACATACATGTACAGTACATACACGAGTCGTCAGCCGTCTTCATCATCACTACACTTTATCAAAGTTGGACAATGGGAATCGGAGGACGGAAGCGGGAAAGAAGCATGAAAATCATTCAGGGGTAGTGGTGGTAGGTAAGACATGAAATGTGGACTCTAACCGGGCAGAGCAGACTGCAGATGGAGATGGGAAAAATTGGGCAGAGACAGACAAGAGCCAGAGCCAGGCATGTATGTATGTAGGCAGAGGTGTATATTAGAGCTCCAGTCTATCGTAACAATTTTCGCATTGAGGAAGAAGGGGAGTACAGTAAGTACCCCATGCGGAAGAAGAAAGAAAAGGGGGGAGGAAATATATATATGAATCGGCAGGTTTGAGACGTTATAAGTGACATTATTATTCGATGGGTGGTTATAGGTGGTTATTGGCAACGTCAAATCACATCACATCAAATCAGATCAATTGTTTAGAACAGTGAAATCAAGTTCGATGCAAAGCTTATCGCACGCAGAATATACGGTTCGGTTGGTGTACGGAGATTTCGTTTACGGGGAGGTTTTTGGGAATCAGAAAGGAAGAACGAGGTACAGCAGAGAGATATTTCAGGGAGAAAAAAAAAAGTAAATCAAATAAAATAATCATCGTTGGGGCTGGGTATTTGTGAAATCATCTGGAATATTTGGCATGGCCGGGGGTTGTTGCTGTTGCTGTTGCTGCTGTTGCTGTGCGCCATTGCTTTGCCCCCTTCCGCCATTGGATTGCCCCTCCTCATCATCATCCTCGTCTCCTGCAAGGGCATCGATGTCCTCGGGATGCCTAGAGGGGGAAAATGATATAGTCAGTAAACAAAATACACCAAATATGATCCACCTTAAACCCAGCAAAAGTCGGGGGACACGAGGAGAGGAACTGAACGAATCGAAAAAGAAAAAATTCAAAACGTACCCAAGCAACTCCTTCACCATGCTCATCTCATAGTGCTTCTTCCGCTTCTCCTCAAACTCATGATGTTTCCTGCTGGCTTCCGGGCTATGATCATCTGCAGCACGGTCATCCGCACTCCCATCCTCCCCGACAACAACATGCTTCCCCGACCGTCCTGGACTGCCATCGCTCATGCGACGACTACTGCCGTGCGTAATTCTCCCCGACCCGCCGGGCACGCCTTCCCCCCACCCAGCCCCCTCCGGTTCCCCAAGCTCTAGACCGGGAATGTCATCATCGCGAACACCACCATGCTTGCGGGCCCCATACATATCCAGCTCATCAACAGCGAGGTCGCCGGCATCGATGCCCATCTCCACGTCGGAGTCATCCTCATCTTCGTCCGGGATATAGCGGGGGGCGTAAGGGGTTTTCGGCTCGTCGATCTTCATGGTTGACGTTCGCTCTTGTTCGGTGAGATAAAGGTTTACTTCATCCCATTTCAGGCGGGGGGAGTTATCGCCATCGCCGCCAGCATGGTGGATGCGGCCGTTCGGGCCTGAGGCGGATGATTGGCGGCGGGATATTGAAGATCGGGTGCTGGTGGGGGTGCGGCCAGCGTTTTGTAACGTGTTTTGAAGGGTGAGCTCTTTGGTGTCGACGGGAGGTTGGTGGCTTATGGTACCGCCTGAGAAGATTGGCGATGTTTGAGGAGGGGTGGATTGTGAAGATGACCTGTTCTTGAGGATGCCTTGAATTTATGGGAAGTCAATAATATCTCTCGATCTTCAATCCCGCAAAAAGGTATTTGGATTGGGGACAAGGTGCGCCTAATCTGTAAAGGGCTTTCCTTACCTTTTGGTCGCTTTTGCGTACTATCGCCGCTTGGCTGTCTGGCATGGGGTTGGTCTCGCATAATTGCTTTTACCTATGGTAGGAGGATTAGCAGCGCCTCTAGCGAGAGAATCCCCCCCTAGTAACTTTTGCTGCAGCTACTGTCAGGGACGAAAATTGGAAAATGCTCTTTGTTCCTTATCCAATCCAAGCGGAAACCGAATGAATGCCCTGCTCTGCTGTTGAACTAAAGGAGGAAAGGACGGTATCCAGAGACCCACCGGTTCAGTTCTTATTCTAGCTGGGGGATGAGATGTTAACTAATTCCAGCCCCACTCCGATCACACGCGACTCAGGGGAAGGCCCAAAGGTTTGACGGATGGTTCACCAAGCCGCAGTCGTCGTCGTTCACAGCTATGAGAGAGGATGTAGGAATCAGCGAAATGTCAACCACGTTGAAAGGCTGTCCTTGGGTGAGTGTTGTCGTTGCCCAAGAGGCCGCTTTGCAATGGGGGTAAAAAGAGCGGTAGGGTAGGGTAGGTGTGAGCGTGGGGTAAATACAAATTACGATAAATAAGCTTCCCCGGGCGGGAGGGAGGATTATCCGTTAAAAGGACAGAAGGCGATTGGGCAGGTATTTTGGGCTTGCCGTGTACCAGATATACGCAAGTAACAAGCAGTAGTTGGGAATAATAATGAGGATGAAAGAAAGAGATAGAAGAAGAAGAAAAGGGAGCGATCATCTCAGTTGCATGCGGCTCGGCTCGCGCATGTTGGGTAGCCAATGACGTAACCGCACATGACAGCTCAGAGTCATGTGACTGTTTTGCTTTACGTAACCTTGGAGCTAAAGCGGCAAATAACAGAGTTGGATTGTTGGAAGCCAACATAAAAGTTCATGCAACTAGACATATTCAGCAGATCATCTGCAACATCTCTTCTCAACACTCCAGCTTCTTTTAGTGTTGAGATGTAGATTAGGGAGTTAAAAACTGAAATTAGTATTAGAATAAATAAGAAAGAGTTAAAAGCCTTTGAAAAATATGAAAAATCAATATTATAAGAGAATAGAGGCAGTCATGATCAGTTTTGTTGACATCACATTCAACTGTACCCCCCTTAAGCTAAAGCTAAACTGTACTGTAATAAGAGATGAAATACGAAAGAGCAGTGAAAGATCAATATTCATGATAATCATTGATATATAATATCAAAGCTTTGTCAATGAAGAACTACACACATTTAACTAACTACTCAGGATGAAACCATTCAAAAAAAAAAAAAAAAAAAAGATATATCATGCACACAATAATATATGAGGTGTAACTAGCAACAGAGTACACACAACACAAGCAAGCTATGTGTAACTACTTGACAAAATGAAAGGGAAAAAAAAAGCCAAAAAGAGAAAAAAGCACAGAAGAGTGTTCAATGTACTCTGTAAATGACAGCAGATAGCCTCCCACTAGATATAATTGTATGTACTTTAAGCCTTCAACATGCCAGAAAAGTGAATGTTCTTTCTGCTAAAACAAAATAAAAATTGAAAGAAAAGAAAAATAGAAACAGATGGCTAAGAGGCAAAAAAGAGAGCAAGAAAGGGAAAATAAACAAAGCACAAATGATGGTGGGGATATGTACGCAGCGTAAATAGTAAAAGATGAAGAAGAAAATGCACTGCAGAGTTGTATGAAGTTGTTTTAATAAACAGATAGTAAAGCAAAAGCAAATATCCACCCATGTAGTAAAAACAAACAAAGAATGAAGGGGAATGAACAGAATGGTGGTATGGTTTTGAAATGAGCAGGATGAAAAAAATATAAAATAAAATAAAACAAACAAAAAAGACATGATACCGTCATCTCCATCCCAAACAGGGTTAAACAAAGATACATGCAAGAATATAAAATGAATGAAGGAGATGTTGTGTTGGGGAATAAACGTTGAATGCAAGAAAAAAATGAGCAAAATCAAGAAATTGGAAAACTGGTATAGAACAAGATAAAAAAAGTCCCAAACTTCCCAACGCAAAAACACATCACACAAATACGGAAACCATGAAAAACATAACCCGACAACCAGACCCCCCTTCAAAACCCTCACGCAATCAAATCGAACTCCTCCCTCTCCTTCAACCGGTTCTTCGCCAACTCATCCCCGCCAACCGCCGACAACTGCATCCAATGCAGCGCCAAACACATACTCTGCGGATCCGACTTCGAATCCCCGTCTCGCCGATACATCATCTCTGCCTTGAAGGTGTCGCGCGGCATAGTCAGCGGCAGCGTCACCCGCGGCAGAATCTCTGGGTGGGTCAGGTATAGGATAGCAAGTTCGCGCTGGGCGACGGGGTTTCCTTCCCGCGCCGTGTGGATCCACATCCATTTGGCGTCTTCGAGGCCGTGGGACTGGTTAAAGGCCGCGGCCGCGTGCTGATTGCTGTGGTTGTTGAATTGGGGATCGTTGTGGTGGTGGTGGTGGTGGCGCTGTTGCCGCTTGCTGAGTTCGTGCGAGACGATGGTATCTGCGATCTCGACCATGCTGGTGCATACGTCGTCTTTCAAGGCGAATGCGGCAAGGCCAAATTGGAGGAATGCAGTTCCGCTATGGGTTTTGTTTAGGATTTCGGAGGGGACAAAAGCGGAGATGAATTGGAGGTCGCGGAATAGGGTTTTTGGTTGGATGGTTTGGATGAGGTCGCGCATTGAGAGGATTATCTCTGCCTCGGAGGGTGGGTATGTTGGGAAAGTGGATGATGAGGCTACTGACCCCCACATGGGTGAGTATGGGGTGCGGTTTTGGTTGGGATTCTGGGAGTGTACTGATTGTGGTAGTTTCGATCCTTCAGACAAACTATTGCGATGGAGTCGTCCGTTTTCCGCTCCAGCAAATGATGGTTCAGCAAACGTATCAACTCCCTCATTTGCCCGACAATCATTCCCAGTGCTCAGTGATGAGATCACCAGTGACCTCAGGTCCTGCAGTGCTTTAAGCTTGGTATAGGGGTTGGATTGCCGAGAAAACCTCTCCATTAACTGACGAAACGCAGTATCATATGCGAAATCGAACGAATCGGGTGTGTCCTGAAGAGGGGACGATTGAGTCGGGGTGGGTGTACGTAAATCCTGTTCTGTTGGCTTGTGAACGCTAAGCAAAATAGCGTCCGCAGACCTACTTCTCCTAAGTTTTTGAGACATGGGAATCCCATTCTCATCATCAGTAGAAGCACATTCCGCTAAGAATCTCTCCAGCCTTGCACGTCTCTCCATCTGCCTTTGGATTCGTGGCTGGTTCAGATACATCGAAAACCAAGCATCAGTTTCGCTGCCACAGCTCCAAACAGGAGAGCCAAGATCGCTCAACAACAGACTCGTTAGGGTCTGCCTGAGTTCGTCTAAAAACACAACTTTGCCATGAGAATTCTGCTCAGGCCTCCTCGAGGTCAAGACGTCGCTAAACATCGAGGGCGGCCGAGAGTGGAGGCTCGAAGCGCTCGTTGTGGACTGCGCTTGTGTGTGCATTGGAGACCAGAACGTGGAGTCACTTGCGGATGTAGATATAGCTCTACCAGGTGAGTCACCGATAGAGGACGTATCGCCACAAGTGGCATCCCTGCCTGATCTCCATTTCTCTGATGCAAGGCTTTGGAAAGATGATTTGCGCACTATTGATGGCGCTTCGTTTAAAGAGCGGAAATGATGGTCAAACGTGCGGGGTCTCAGACCCAGACTCGATGGCGCCTGGTAGAGCGACTCCTCACTTGCAATGCTTGACGGTCGAAGACTCGATGATGCACCAAGCCCAGTAACAGTTCGCCCGCCAGAGGCATCGTAAATGGAGCGCTCCTTTTGATAGAGTTCACTAGACCACAGAACCGGAGTTTCGTACATTGTCTCCCCAACCAGCTTCCCAACCGTCGTCTTTATTTCCAAGCAAAACCGATGAATTCGCTCCTCCCCTTTGCAGAAGTTATCAATGCCAGAGCGTTGCAGCCACTTCCTAGTCATGTCCACCTGTTCATCGGATAATTTAGATCGACCACCTTGGCTTACAGGTGCTTTCATCGCATTCATGGTTTGGATCTCCGGCTTTTGAAGGAATGACGCACCAAGCGTTCGTGAGCCGTAGCGCGGTTTGGATTCAGAAATCGGCGATATCGATGCGGGACCAGCCATAGTTTGCAATGCGAGAGCGACACTTCTCGCTTCCTCATATTTCAGCGAGTTCTTGACATCCGTCATATACCACATCTTATTCCTCAGCTTCGCTAAACTCCTCATCATTTCTTTCGTCAAAGATCGAAGTCGTGCCATTGCCCGCTTAAGATCCACTATCCTGCTCTCACACTGCTCAATGATGGAAGTAGATGTCTCGATTGATTTCCTGGACGATGAAAACATAGGGGTCAATAGGTCTGAGTGATCGCCAGTAACCCAAAAGTTTGGATACGCCCTTTGGAGGAGTCGCGATGCATTCCACCAATAGTGGGCACCAACGAAGTCAGCATGGGATTGACAATAGTTCATGGCATGAGCAAATTTCTGCTTTAGGGAGGGTTCACTTGTTCGGCCAGCAGGAGCAGACATGAGATCATGTGGAGAAAAGTCGTGTAAATGATCGAATTCGTCGATCAGCTTGACAATGGCATGTTGTAACATCTCCTGATCGTCGTCCGCCGGGGATGATCTGGGACGACTATCTGTGTCATCACTAGAGAATGACTCTCCGGATTCCAGCTCCTGATCTAAAAATGGCATCAATGTAACGGTCCTGCCGTCGTTGGAGACCGAGATCAAAGCCCAATCCTCACTCGATGGGTGTCCCATTGTAGGCCGATCCTCCGACTCATTGATCTCAGATAGCTCATATCGAATGCGATCTGCATTTCGGGCGAGGGAATTCTGTGGAGATACTGGGCTGATTGGCTTACTTCCAGGTACAGCATAGGACCTGGTTGCATCTTGGAAACTCATCTCAGTGGTGAACACGGTTTTTGCGGTAGATGAACGAGAAGAAAAGGTATCAATTCTGCCTTGGAAGAGATTTGGCTCAAACCCTTGGGTAGGCGGGTCATTTCGAGGAAAGAAAGAATTATTAGGAGAAGTCAAAACTGAGTGATTGTGGTCATTGAATGGGTCTGAAGAGTTGAAGAAGGGAGGTGGGCCCCTGGGGAAAAGAACATCCAAGATGGTCATAATATCCGTTGGGGACAATAGAAGGAACTGTTCACGCAAGTCTTGTTCCGCCGCTGGGGCCGTAGCAGGGGATTGGGGGGTAGCCTGGGGGGTTGAAATCGGATTACAAAGGTGGGACAGCATATTGTCAATATGGATTCTGATTGCTGTATCAGAATATGAAAATTGTGGCCTATAATAAGTTAATATGTGATGATCTAACGCATCGACCGTGTTGAAGACACAGGCGGGAACTTACAGGTGGTGTAACCCCCTAGATACTTGAGACTGCGCTCGGAGTGAAATTTGACCAAGCAGCCTCTCTCGTGCGTCCTTAGAAATATGGAAATCGAGTAACAAACCAATAGACTAAATGGGAAAAACGTGAGCTGGCATTAAACACCTTAAAAATAAAAAAAAAGCAAAATATCGAACATGAAAACTATGGACAGCAGAGATGGGACGGTGAGGGATATACACACATACCTCCGGGAATAAAAGCACGTTATGCATAAATTTACAGAAGAACCACTGGAAAAATATATACTCCAAGGCTCGTTTGCGGCTTTCAGTCATTCCAAGCTTGGTTAGGACAGCATTCCCAAACTCCAAAGCGCCAAGTGGAAAGCCTCCGTTGGAGTCATCTAGGACTTGGAATAGGTCCCGAACAGCAGATTGGAAAAACTCCTCGGCAACACCAGTTCGCAGTGGGTCAGGGAGTTCGCCATCGTGGCCAAGTCGACGGGGAGTTTCTGGATGTTGCAGGAGGAAAGCACCTTTCTGGAGAACATCCATCAAGTAAATCTCAAATTTGGGTTTAGCCTTCCATTCTGTGGAAGTGGACCAGGCGGACAGGAGATGGCCAACAAAGGAATAATGGCTGCTTCCGCCATAGGATATCAATTTTGCACAGGTGGAAGACCACACATCCAAACGTAACCGGGCCTCGCGGGAGTCGGTGCTCCCAGAAGAAGCAAAAACATTAAAAATCAAAGAAGAGAGAGGATCGGTCCTCTCGAAACCCAAAACATGCTCTTTGAACGCAGTGGAATGTGCTGCAGTGCGCTTGGAGAACAGCGGCTGTGTTGTTCTTCCGCGAGATGCAAGTGGAAAGATGGAATCACTGACATCAAGAGTGTGGACAGAGGAGACGAGGGCAGATAGCTGAGATGGAAGCAGGCTACCAATACGCTCAAAGAGGAATTGAGGATCCGTGCGGACCAGACTCAAAATTTCCAGAAGACTCTCTTTGGAGGTTGGTGTCAATTGGTGAACAAAACTATAAGGGCGGCGGATTTCCGAATCAGAAGTGGAAGTGCCACAGAATCCAAGAAGGGAATCGTGTCCCAGGACTGAGGACGAATTGCTGTTATTGATGCCACGGGTAGAGGAGGAGGGCTCACACGCCTCACGGATATCATGAATGGTATTATAAATCGAAATAAAACTAGCCTTGTCACCCAGCCTGAAACTTTCAACCAAACCTTTTTGAGAGATTGCTCCAAGCCTGAGCAACCGAGAAGAAAGACTAATGGAGATGCGAAAGCTACGTAGCCGTTGCAAGAGGCTGCGCTTCTGGGCTTCCTGATGCTGTTTTAGATGGAACTGGGCAGCAAATTGGGAAAAAGATACTCCAACTGGTTCAGGCGTCACTGGTTTCTTTGCAGCGGGCGGATTTTCCGGAGCGTTTGCGTTTGGGGTGATATCCGCTTGAACCTTCTTATCCTGAAGAGCTGGCGAGGGATAAGCTTTGGGACTTGGCGGTTGGGCATCAAGCTTAGGCGGGGACCCAAGGTTCTTGGACGGCAGGGGAACCGTGGAATTAGATCTTATAGACACTACTGGAGATATGGCAGGGGATTTAGGCTGATCGGGCTCCGCTTTGTGTATAGGCGGAGAGTTGCATCTTGACGAAGACTCGACCGGGGAAGGGGGTAAAGCTGGAAAAAACCCGCCAGGTCAGTCTCTCAAAAACTATAAAACTTATCGTTTCAATCCAATCCCCCCCACCCAAAAAAAAAAAAAAAATTAAAAAAAAAAAGAAAGAAAGAAAGAAAGAAAGAAAGAAGAGTAAAGAGAACCATACTTGTGGCTGCCGCGTAGGCCAGAACCGATGGAAGACAGGCATGTTGGATAATGATCATCTTTCCATGGGCAATCTGGTGGCATCGATCTCGAGACGGGGACGACCTCGAGAATCTAAAATGCCAGTTAAAACGGACGTGTGACGTGTAAAGGAGGGATGTAGATCTATCGCATGGTTCTTCTTCTGTGGGTCATGGGAAATATAACAATAATAAATAATCGCGACGGTGTGTTCTTTCCTTTCTAAGCGATGAAAGGGGCGTAGCTGATATATATATATATATATATATATTGGTGAGGCCGGAGTAGATCAGAGAGAGAGATCTGGAGGGGGATGGATAGGATATACTTTGGGGGAATAGGGCGACAGAATTGAACCTTAGGTTATTATCAACAATAGTAGTAAGTAGTGTAAGTGGTATATGTGGATGGGATGAGTATGAGGCGGGAGACGGATGAGAAGAAGACGGGGAGAATGGTTATTATGCTGGGTGGTGGATTATATGAGCCCAAAACGTGGGGTAAGGTGCTGCTGGGTGAGTGAGGGTGAGGCGATAACTAGAGCAGCAGCAGCAGCAGCAGCAGCAGCAAGCAGCAGTGGTGCAACAACAACAACAGCATCAACAACACACGGGTAGGCAAAGCGGCGCACAAGGCGCCCAAGGGAATGAGAATCAAACTCGGCTGCGCAGAGGACGAGGAAGAGAGACGGATATAAACCAGGAAGGGAGGGGAGGGGAGAGGAGAGGAGAGGAGAGGAGAGGAGAGAAGGAAGACGTGGAGGAGAGATCGAGTGGTTGATGGGATGGGATGGGATGCGGTGGAGAGAGAGAGAGAGAGAGAGAGAGAGAGAGAGAGAGTGATGAGTTGTTCGAGAGGAATGACTTGGCGCTGGGTTGCATTGCGATAGTTACGTGTAGAAAGAAATACAGACAGCAATACTCGATGCATCCAGATAAATAATAGTTACATAATGTTCCTTTAACTAGTTATTCCCCCACCACCTTGTTTATTTCATTTAGTCAATTATTTTAACAGCTCATAATTCCTTATCCTATTGCCTTAGAAGAAAATCAGAAAGACAGATCTCTCACCCTTAAACCTGGCAATTACACACGCTGGAGAATTTGTAACTAGAGCATGTACGGAGTACTCCGTATGTAAGTAACTATGGATGATGTGTGTATGTGTATGTATGGCAGCTTAACGCTCTTAGTCGGGTTGATGCGCTGTCCGTCCAGGAAACCAATATTAACTATTAATAATTATTCAATCTGCCAGCACATCCACAACAGCCAACCAAGTGAAGTGGCCAAATCCAACAGCAGCCAGCATTCTCGCCGAAACACAACAAGTACTATACATGGAGGCATGGGAAGGGAAAAAAAAAAGAAAGCCATCGCCAGTATTTTTGGTTAAATGCTAACTTCTCCCGCCCCCCCCGTTGTTCCCCCTAGCACCCCGGGCTCTCTCGCCTTCCGATATATCGATAGAGGTGCAAACAACAGGGTTGGTTATTTATTAGCTAGCTAGGTAGCTACTGGATGAAGCAGAATATCCTCCAGGGAAACGAAACCATGTATCTCGTTGTTCCTATCTCTTGTTCTGTACCCATTGCCATACATATTTACTTTCTGGCATATCTACTCCGTAGTTAACTACTCCGTACGTTTATCGCAATTCGCCAAATTGACATCCCTGTATCCCATCTTACGTATTGTACTCTGTACGTAATAACGTACAGTACATACATACAACACTTTCAAGACGCTTTCAAAGAAGGCATACTCCGTAGAAGAAAATATTTTAATATTTTTATTAACCTAATTAACTTCCCCGAAGCCCCGAAGCCCATACATACCTGGATAATTGGATGGACAACAAATCAGCAACTCGAAACAAACCACGGCAGCGCTAGGAGAGTTTAGATTTAACGGGTCTTGTACAACGATGATGAGGGTGTTTGGACGCTTGTTTCAAACATATCATATCATATGCTGCTTTTACCCTAACCATCATTCTCCAATTCCATTATTATTCTCTGACCTTTCGCACAGGACAGGCAACACATATCTCTCCGACCAATGAACGTCATGATGTCCTACAAATTAGTTACTTATGCTTAACTTCATTGGTTGGTAGTTCTCCGCTCTTAAAAAATGCATACATTCGGACATCTCCCGCTCCTTTTGAGCGTTTCTCTTCTCCAAGGCTTCCTCTGCGACAACTGTCTCTACTGCACGTTTTCAATCTCTCCGTACTTACTACTAGTCACTACATCTTTTTTCTGGTCCCCGCTTCCTCCTGCTATGCGGATAACATGGTTTCCCGACCGACTTGCTTTTGGAAGTCCTCCGGATGCATTAAGGAGAGTCGACGGCGACACAGAAGAAGATTAGGCGAGGCACTCACCCCAGAGAAGTACCGCGCGAGAGATAGTGTCAGATTGGCTTGATTCCAGGCCACAGGGAAGAAATATGCTGATGCCACAACTATTGCCATCAATTGTGTTCAGTGCTTCTGGGATTGGTGAGTCTCATGCATATCAAATCCATCTCTTGTGAAGACACTGTACATGTACATTTATGGGTGTTGACGCCCACTCTCACCTTTCCAAATGTGTGGACGAGAACTTCCGAGTCTATGCTGATTGGAGATTTGAATAATTTCAACATCACCAAACAGAGTACGATTTGGATTGAATGGAAATTCCTTCGGCTTTTCTTTCAGAGGGAGAAGGTTCTGAAATTGTGGAGCATAGCCTAGTAGTGAGAATATATTCCTCCTTCTAATTTATTAGGCACAAGGTGCAGGGCCTGAAGCATCATTTCATCCTCTCTTCTTGACGAAACAGTATAAATTGCCACCTGAGCTGGCAGATCCCAAAGGCACTTAATAGTTCTAATTGTGGGCTTCTGTTCTTATGATAACTCGAGTGGTGCACTGTGTGTGTATATTACCTTTCCAGATTCACAACTTTCTATCAAAGTCTCAATCCAAAAGCTTCGGCCATTTTCTCCATAAATCTCTTCCCTTTAGAACTCGAGATAATTTCAGCTCTCACCCTAACCTGCTTTTGACATGCCAGTGAGTTATGTAAAAGCACTTTGAGATTCTGTAGGAAGGAATTGAGTGGGCGGTCTTATATAGCTGGAACAACCATCCAATTTCCATTAAACTTCCCTTTATCCAAGACGTCCTTGCTAAACAAGAAATGGATGCCAGCCAGATAGCTGAGTTTGAGCAGGCATTAAACAGGCTGAGGCCTACCATCTCCAGAGGCGATTGGCTTATTCTCAACTGGTGGAGGAGTATCACCATCTTCAAGCAAATCTTGCTGAGGCGACAGTGACCAAGGAAACATTATTGGTAAACCAAGCTTCTTGAAGCTGCAAAACCAACAACGCGTTCGATCTGAAACAACCATTACCCCGTTCTGTTGAGAAGTGAAATCAAGGCGAACTGCTCAACCATCAACAACAACCTTGAGAGAGCGATTATACCAGCTCTAAAGGATGATATCCAAGCCATAGATAAGGAGGGATAAGGCTCCCGTGTGTTTTCCGCGGTATCATATCCTTTCCATTTGACAAGATAGTGTTGCTTGTTGCTGATTACCTGTGTTGACCAGTATTTGTTCGACCTCGAAATTCCTGGCCGTCTTCGTTATCGATTTCCCGCTTTGTGTTGTCTGGTGTTTTGTGGTGCTTATTCCTGGAGTTTGTAAAATGTACCTGTCTTCTCCAAAATTTCTCTGCGGTTCTCTTCATTTTCTCGACGTTCTCCAGAGCCCTGAAGTGGGAGATTTGCTACCCAGCGTGGCTCAAACCCTGTTTATTTGTTTATCCTCAACCGATCATCCTTTAACTATAATGTACATGTACTTAGTTAGGTTAAATAGGGGGGATTCAATGTTTGTGTATTATATTTAAGTTAATCTAGCTAGCGGCAACTGGCATTTTCCTCATGAGGCTACAGCAGGGAATCTCTCACAGAGTCTTTGGCCTCAACCTCGATGCGCACGTTGGCGTCATTGTGGATTGTTAATCAAAAATACTAGTTACTCAGTAAGTTAGTTACAGATAACTGCTTGTTTCGCTTGAAATGAAAAAAAATAAATAAATAAAATAAAATAAAATAAAGGCCCTGAAGACATTTAGTTAGCCCGACCCCATATCTAGTCATATCATTATGGTATCTACGACAGCGAACAACAGTCCTGCAACAAGTGTAGGCGAGAAATTCAGAGATGCACAATGGAGATCTGCTTAAAGGCTACAGTCATTTTAAATCAGTCACTTGTTGCTGAATTGCAAAGCAAGTTGGGGAACGTCGGTAGTTATCCATCTCAGAGGCGGCAGCAACTGGAGAACTTCTAGAAGTAGCAAGAAAGGTAATCACCACTTTCGCCCTAAAATCATACAGACGGAAACACCGACGATTCTTAAGTTCAAGGAAGTAACACAGCAACGCGGTGACAGCGGCGATTTCTAGACGACCAGCGGAAATATTCTCTCTGTTCCGCCCGCCAGATGAACCTATAATTCACCGGCTCTCGCATCTGAGCTTCAGCTACTCCTTGGCGGTGGCCAGAAGAGCCTTTTTGATCTCCTCTGGTCTTTCACAAGCGCTACTGAAGGGGAAAGTTCTTTGGGAGCGCTTTCTGTTGGCTGTTATCCAATCGAGTCGTTGTCAATACCAGCATCGATCGCCTCTATCGGATTTTTGATGTTATTGGTTATTGACCACATATGGAAAGTGTCCCATGATATTCCCGCTCCTCGGCCTCTTGGGGGACGATGTCCATCGGAAAATGGACATATATATTTATGAGTTTTGTTGAAGGTGCAACTCTGGATACGCAAATGGGCAAGCTTGTCACCGGGAAGTTTGCAGTCTATGTTAAATTCGTTCGGCTATTTAAATAGTCAGCCCAACCTTGGAAGAAATAAACATCCCAACCGTGTAACTTCACTTGGATACATCATTTCAGGCGCGCCGAGTTGCATGCTCAAAGCCCTACTACTAAAAGAAGAAAAAAGAGAGAAGAAAGAAGAGGGGGAGGAAGGGAGGAATTAACTAGGAGCAAATGATACCAATAGACGTCATCGAGTCACCCATGTAGTTACTGTTCTGTTCTTTCTGCTCTGCAGCTGTCCGGCGAAAGATGTTGATTGGTATCAACATCTTGCACTCTGTATGGATGGGTGCGATCTGCAGGGAGAGAATGAAATGATAATAAATCGGAAGAGATAAGAACGACATGGGTTTACCAGGCCTTCTTCACGAACCGCATTCCCCCCCCCCCCCGTCCTATCGCCCTGCAAGAGGGGGCTTTCGAGGGAGGGGAGGGGGGGTAGGGAATGAAACGTTCTCTTATTTAGCTTCCCCCTTCTCTCGAGAAAAAAGGTAGAAAACGGGCTTGGAACGGCCACCCACCCATCAACTAGTTAAATACCTGGTAACGTTAATCCGTATCTAGTTGAACGAATTAATTCCCCTTTGTGTCGCCCTGTAGCCGAGAGGAGGGATGGATTTCTGTCCGGGTTGGGCTAACTAACGGCCATTCCCCCTGTAAGTTGTTGTAGAGTCTGGATTGGAAGCAAGCGGTAGCCAGCGGCCGCAGATCAAACTCTGGCACATCGTTGGTCCAATGCAACCAAGGTCTAAGGGCAGCATCCATCAGCGGGGTGGGTGAGGATGTGTATGCTGTATGTCGGGAGGAGAGAGGAAAGGAACCGACCAACTGAATTAGATGAATTAGATTATTTAGTTGAGGTTATTCAAATAGAAACGACGAAAAAAATCCTCTTTCTCTCCCCCCAGCGCGCGCACTAGGTTTTGTTTTCGTTGTTTCGGTGCTGGTGCTGGTGCTGGTGCTGGTGTGGTGTCATCGGCGCTGATGAGCTGGCACTGCATGCATTTTCGCATTAATTGGTTTGCTGGCCGCTGGTTGGCTCGCCGGACAGGCACCATTTGTTATTTTATTATTTTATTTTACTATTCTTCTAAAACAAACAAACCCGTCCAGCTGTAGTTATTATTATACCATACCCTCAAGCCAAGCCAGAGAGAGACGGGGGGAATGGCTGGAAGATGACAACACAAGTGGTTGGTTTGTTCTGTTTGTTTCTGTTTTGGTTTTGTTAACTAGTTTATATTTGATATGTTTTTTATATGAAAGTCACCCCGTCAGCAAGTGGAAATCTGTTAAAAGGAGACTAATTAACGAGAGAAGACGAGGAATATTATCATCATGGCCGCTGCTGCAACAATTTATATCCAGCTTGGTTGGATACAGACAGTGGATCAACAACAATCAACAACAATTTGATAGTTTCTCCTTCAACCTCAACTCACCACTGGAAGGATAGATTCCACCAAACACCCAACTGGCTCAAAAAAGCATATCTAAACAAGCAAACATCTCATCATGTAAAATAAGTTACTCTGTATTAACTTCTTCAACAGTGCGACAAGGCAGACGACAACGCCCAGAGCACACAGCAGAAGCAAGCAACATTAGCAGCAGCAGCAGCAGCAGCAGCACGACATGGTCTCAGTCTCCCTTCTCCCTTCTCTCCGTACTTACTGTCTGTCTCTCCTCTGTATCCCGCTCCAGTCCGGATCTTCCTTTTTTCCTTTTTTCGCCCCATTCCCACGTGTCATCCCCATCAGTGGAATATCGGGTATATCGCTGGTGGTGGCTGGGGGGAGCATGAGTGGTCGACGAGAATTTTACACCACACCTGCGCCTGTTGATGCTGTCCCCATCGGAGCTGAACTCACATCATGGGGACGGACGGGAGAGTAGTTAGTTACTTGGGTTACTTGGGCTGTGTTCAATTATTTTGTCCTTCCATTACTGGCTTCTTTCTGCTGGTCCCCCTGCCCCTTACTGCGCTGATCAATCAATCTCATTCCGCGCGCCGGGTTGCGTTTCCCAACAACTGGTCAGGCGGAAATAGGATATGGGAAATCTGCCAGTTATGTTGTTGTTGATTCCTGCATCGTTTGCTTTTCCTTTGCCTTTTTTTTTTTTTTTTTTTTTTTTTTTTTTTTTTTTTTTTTTTTTTTTTCCTGTGGTTCGTTGGAATTAAACTGAAGGCAGCTGGATACCTTAGGGAGGTACACACAGCTGTATTTTTGCTGGTGTCTTCTATTGGTGATGGAAATGGAAAAAAGATATATGCTCCACTCATTTCTCGAAGAAGAAGAAGAAGATACTTTGTCTTCTCTTACATGTATCCACCCCAGCTACACCTAGGTAGTTAGCCGGATACCAGAAGTGCAAAAGTAAACAAATGGAACACATTACCTGGTTCTACCCAGGTAGCCTCTGCCTTTTGAATATGGTACCTTTCTCTTTCTTTTTTGGCCAGGCTCCGATTATGTTGGGTCTGTTCAAGATGCAAGTGGCTGTATTTCTCGTTTCTCCAACCAAGAGGAAGAAGTCCTTCACCCGTCCTTGTCATATTGCAGACCTATGTAGCTATTCAAGCGGGTCCTTCGAGGATTTTTACTCGTTATTCGTCGTCCCCTGTTAGCTGACTTGACACAATGAACAAGATAGAGATCTCAAGAAAGGACCATTTCCATTCAAGATGTGCAGAACCAACCCGATATACAGATTTAAGCTAATCATGCCAGCAGCTCTCCCACTTCCCTACTGGCAATCTGAGTTGCGCTGTCTGCTCTCATGCATAACCTGCCTCGCATGTTTCTTTTCCGCGCTGATTGAACGCTCTGTTTATTTACTCCTGCTGCCAGCTGGAAGTTTGTTTCATCAAGCGGGAAAGAAACCACGCCGTCTGCTTTTTCCACTGCTCTTTCCAATGGCCAGTTATTAAACTCTACTTAGCGGTTTTATCTTGGTTGTTTACATGCAACAAAGAATACATCTAAGGTGCAATAGATATATCGTGTTAAAGAGGAGAGCTGTTTAGTCGTCAAATATGTACCAGTCTCTGGTAGTAGGAGATGCTGTGATTTGGCGCCTCATATCCATGCACTGTTGATAACCAAATGCATAGTGCATACAAGTTCTCTTTTGGCTTGTGTTTTGCCTTTGCTTTCCCGCCTTTCGTTCGACTTTATCTGCCAATAAAAAGAAAGCAGAAATGACGTCGGGTTCCTCCGCAGTTGCATACCACACCCTCTCCCCCAGTCATCAAGTGCTTTTGGAAGACGATGCGACCCTCAAAAGGATACTATTACGTCTCCGGGAGAACACATCAATCAACATCTTCCTCCCATGCCTGCTTGTGTGCAAGAAATGGTATTCATTGGCAATACCCGTGTTGCAAGCTGCTGTGGTTCTACGGAATCATAACCTTTGCCGGTTCGTGAAAAGCGCAAGACTACCACTCAGCTCGAAGGCTTTCACTATCCAGTCACTGAGCTTGCTGTTGGATGTCGCCGCAGTAGACCCTAGCTCTACTGCAGCTAGGGCCTGGCCCCTGGGTCATTTACTGAGAGATCTAGCTACAATCATGGCCGGGGTTATGCGAGCCCTTCGAATATTCTCCCTACGGATCGACCATCAGCCAGCCTGTGCTGTAGATTCTGGATTAGGTGATGATATTGATAGGATCACGGCTGAACCGAGCTTTCCCGCTTCTGCTGTGATAGCTCTCCTGGAATCCCTCCCGGACACATGCAGTGATGTTGAAATTGACACTTCGGGCTGCGAAGTTTACACCGACGGCGAACATCTATGCCCACATATAGCAAAGCTGCTCCCAAACCTCACCCACCTCCGCCTGAGGATTAGGCAACTATGCCCGAGCCTCATAAGCATACCTGCCCAAAGTTCCTGTTCCAGATGTCGAGGGGAACTGCAGGCTCCCCTGTGTCCAAAGCTCCGCTCATTGGTTATCAACACGGAACTTTCCAGTGCAATCCTCGGATGGGTAACACGTTGCTCACCATCATCTGAAACACTCCCAGCTGAAGAAAAAGGTAACCACGCCGAAGAAGACCTTCAGACAGAGCTTTCTCACCATCTACTTCTTGGCCTCACGAGCAAAAACTGCTTCCCAGCCGCTAAACGAATAGAAATCCATGGACCAATGGAACTGGATATCATCCCATGGCACCACATTCGTCAGACAGATATTAAGGACCGTAAGACGTATATATCCTCATTCGTCACTCTCCCCAGTTATTCACGAGGAGCATGGAAACGCGGAACCCATCGCTGTATTCGCCCCATGTCGACCGGGGACGGAACTGATGCTGTGATTATCTCCTCGTGGCAACCCCACCCGCGTGAACTCACGGGACAAAATGCTTGGATATCTAATTCTGAAGGGGTAAGCCTCCCCAAGGCTAGATATCCACATGTCCTCAACGTCTTTGGCACGGATGATTATCACTTATTTCCCAACAAGGATGAGGTGGGGGGTGTGGAGGAGGAGGGTCAAGTGTCTAAAAGTCATCATTACCACAACTCCCTTTCGGGGTATGTCAAGGAAATGAGAAAGCGCTGGAAAGAAAATTGGGCGGGAAGCGCGGCCCAGGCACGGATACAGACACAGACGCAGATACAAACGCAGTCGCACCCTATTTACGAGGAGCTTTGCAGAGTGACAGATGCGAGTTATGAGTCGAGTCTACAGACGCAGACATATCATACTTTACGCCCGATTCCTCATGAGCTATTCCCGTTTCCGGAGCCGGTGCCGATGGAATGGTATAGGAAGCAAACGCCTTTGGGACATGCAGATTTTCGGAGGGTGGGGGATGGATCTTGTTGTTATTAGGGAGGGGGGAAGGGGGGGGTTGGGTTGTGGGTTTTTGTGGGCTTTTGTGGGTTATGGCGGTGGTGGTGGTGTTTTGGTGGACTAGGTAGATAGGTAATGCGGCTATTAAAGGGTAGGAAATTAAGGACTATAGATGTATATATGCTATTCTTTTTTGTTGGATATGGACGGATGGATGGGCAGGTTTGCAATAATGAAGGGAGAGGAGTCTATTCTCAGGTCTTCTTCTGAGGCTCTGTGTTATATTTTGGATGGTTATCTTGACTATAATATAAAGGAGAGACCAAATAAAAAAAAAAAACGGAAGATTTGGTTTTACTTGTCAGTGTCATCGGTAAGTAATCACTGTTACTTTCTACTTAAACGCGCTCATCACTGGCAGAGGAAGTGGTATGAGATGGTGAGGCGGTCTATATACAGACATATGCATGTATGTATCAGATGTACATACGTAGGCAGGTAGCATCATACATAGCTGCAGAATGCTATCATGGTCAATCAGGACAAGAGTACAAGAATGAATAGGCTATATACTTCCTTATGTAGTGTTGATAGATAAAAAAATTAAAAAAAAAAAAAAATTAAAAAAGAATCATACATCTATCATCTACATGTAGAATTTTCATCTATAATGATCGGAGCGCGCCAGATGAAATAGAGGCAAAAAGGGGCATATGGTGACATGGGTATTAAAAATGGAAACAAAAAAGGAGCATTGCGCTGTGGTTTCATATGTCATCTTAAAGAGATGTACTCCGTATGTTAGTTATGTTATGTAAAATTGGGTGATAGTTAGTTTGTCATATTAAAACCCATTTCTTATCTGCTTCTTTCTGGCCGAGTCTTTGTGCGGTGGAGGTGAGCGTGTCTTTGATGATGTCCTTGGATACTTTTGGGAATCTGTATGGTTTTTCTCGTTAGTGGATTTTTTTTTTTTATTTTTAAATTGTCAATTTGCTTTTCTGATGGACGAACATCTCAGGCTCCTCCTTTCCCCACCACTAGGCGTGAAGGCAAATAACGAGGCAAAGAAAATGGCGGAAAGATAAGAACACACATACCGCTTCTTTAACACCTCAATCAACCCCGCCTTCGTTAAATTACTTCCGTCAATGACCTCTTTAAACTCCGCTACCTGATCCGGCGGGAATGAGCGTCGTGGCTTCTGATTCGATACTGCAACGGGAAGAAGAGTGGATTGTCCCGACGGTAGTGTTGTAGTTAGGGTTGAAGGAAGGGTGGTGGAAGGAGGTTGGAGTAATCCAGAGGATTGTGAATATTGCTTCTGAGAAAGGTCACTGGACATGGCGCCAGCCCGGTCTAAAGGCTGATTGGAACGATGCGTAAGGTGTTTCAAGGGCGAGCGGGATGCCGGTGTAGGTTTACTCCAGTATACTGAAGAGAAGGGGTCGATGGGGAAGTTTAAAGTTTCTGGTGGTTTTAGTTAGCATAATTTGTTCAGTTCAGAGTCCGAAAGAGGCGTTTTCTTCCATAAAATGTTGGCCCCTTACCTGATATAACCTCCATCCGACATGAACTCATCATCGGATCGATATCGCCTTCATCTTCCCAATGTATCCCACTGCACACTGGCTCCAGGTCACCGACAATTACCCTTCGTCTCCCACCCACAGCATCATCATCACCATCGTCCAAAAAGTCTTCCATGTCTCCATCCCCATCTTCACTCATCTCCTCTTCCCCTTCTGAGTCAAGGTCCTCGCCTTCCTCCGGCTCTTCCCACTCAGCCTCTGAATCATAATCATAATTAAAATCCGGGACTATCCGCCCAAAGGGATTTCGACATAGTCTCCTGGCCTCTTGCTCGGGTAGTCGTTTCGTAAAGGTACCCTGATAAGGTGGCCTCACATCTTCGCTAAACTTCAAAACTTTCATTGGAATCTTCTTCAGCAGGTCGCCAGGGTTTTGAGTTTTCTTATCTCCCGTCAAATCAATAGTGTTCGAAGCTGCATCTTGCATCATATGTAAAATCTCTCTCACTGTGGGGCCATTTGGTTTGCCCTGCCGGCGTTTATAAGGTAGCATATTGAATAGTTCTGAAGGACGAAATGTCATAGCTGGTGCCTCCTCTTCGGACGATGTAACTCTTTTAAATAACGAATCAAGCTTCTCGCAAGCGAACTTGAGAGAATCCGTGTCCCGTTCAAAACGATGTGGTGGTGCCAGTTTCACATGCGACTGCAAGAAAAAAGGAGGAAATTCTTGCTCGTAGTCAGAAAGAAGATTCTGTTCAGATTTCGTGGCCGCAGAAGCACCGCTCGAATCATTGACCGGAATAGAATTTCTCCCGTCTATTGCATTCGCAGTTGATGCCGAATTGGGTGTCGTTGGTTTTGCAAAAAAAGCATTCAAACGCATTTGAGACTGAAACAAACAGAGTCAGCGAGGAAGCCCAGAAACCACATAAATTCCTCAACAGATTTACAGGAAGGAAAAGGGTTTAAAAAAAAAGGAATACAATGACCTCACCTTCTCCTTCCTCATCCTCTCCTCATCCCTCTTCTTCTTTTCCTCCTCCCTCGCCAACCGCTCTTCATCCTTTGCTTTCTTCTTCTCCTCCCGCTTCCTCCTCTCTTCCTCTCTCTCCTCATCCCTCTTCTTCTTCTCCTCTTCCTTTTTCTTCCGTTCCTCCTCTTTCCTCCTCCTCTCCTCCTCCTTCTTGGCCTTTTCCTCCGCTCTCTGCTTCTCCTTCATTTCCTTCTCCAATGCCCTCGCCTGATTGCTAGCGGGAGATAACTTCCGTTTCTTATTGTTATTTGGTAAGACGAACCCCGACGCAGCTGGGGGGGTGGCAGGTAGGGGTGGAGGGGTTTGGCTCTGGGTCTGGATATTGTCAATGCAATTAGGTAAGGGGATAGGCGATAAAATGGATGGGTCAGGGGAACCAATTCTATCGGCATGTGGAAGAGAATCGACAGACAAAGAGGCGGTCGATGTTGATGTGGAAGAAGATTTGATCGTGGTAGTGGATTGGGGAATTCCGGCAGTTTCGATCGAGGGGTGTATTTCAGATTTCATCCCAGCGGTATGCGTAGTACTGGACTCTTGAAGTCCATCATTCGGGACAACGACCTCTGGTAAACCAGTTCCACCATTATTATCCTGTGGATTGGTTTTCAGTGCGCAACCATCTACTTCACTAAACGACCGCTTCCGTGACAATGTCGAGGGACTCGTGGAGCCCGGTAGTGGTTCCCCGCCCATGATGGCAGTCAATGGCTAAATGGTCCTTTTCACGTTCTCCAAATCTGTAATCAAACTGTATACCAATATGATGTATAATGTATCGTGATTTATTTGCAGAATGAATGTCAGTCAAGCGAATGAGGAGGGTGGACGTCCTACTGTTTCGATTTGAGGCAAGACTTAAAGTGGAATAATAACACAAAAGAAAATAGAATAAGCAAGCTCCACCAGGCAATGCAACTCCTTTCTCTCTATCTTGCTCTTAGTATAACCTCGATTGATCGCGCAGCTGTGGGAGTTGCGGTGCAGCGGTGTAGGGCGTTGAAGTTGAGATGCAAAAAGTCCAGACGCGTCAGTTGAATCCAGGCATTGGTTTCGCGTCAAATTGGTGACAGTCACGTGATATCAATTTCGCCCAGAAAAGGGTTGAGAGGTTAAATAAAACCAGAAAGATGGAAAAGATGCTACTTCCAACGTTTAGTTGATTATGTCTAATATTACAGGGGAGATTGCTTCATCCATGACTACCATGATATAGTGAAATAAAAAAGACCTAGAAGGAGAAAGCAGCCAGCAGATCTACATCAGAACGGGTAAACCCTTTTAACACTACTAACTACACGCACACACTGATAAAATTTGTAGCATTAGCATTCAAAACTAATTCCAAGCTAGGTGTTTATTTCCCCCTCTGCCTCCGGAAAGGTGAAAAAAAAGACGAATCCGACGATGGCAGCATTATGAAAGAGAGCCGGGGAAAAACGAGGGGGGAGTGATGTGAATAGAGTATAGAGAGGAAAACAAAAGGTAAAGGTGGAAGAGGGAAATTCTGTGAGATCGAGAAAGTGAACGAGAATGAAATGCAGGAAGAAAATATAATAATAATACCAACTGTAAGAAAAGTTTTGAAACGAAAAAAAAAAAGGAAATAGAAAATATAGTAAAGTATTAAAATATACCTAAGGGCGTGCGTATGGGGAGTAACAACACCACAGGAGATGTCCTGACGTGACATAAATGAATTAAAAAGTGAAAGAAGAAATGGAAATCACAGTGTGCCAGCCATGCTCTCCCCAAAAGAACGAACTAATAATATATAATATAAAAGCTCCTACCCCGGCTCCCCGCGCCATCACTATTAGAATATATAAAGAAAGGCAGGAAATAGAGAAGGAAAAAAAACCATCGCTGTCCTCTTGCCTTTACCCGCTCAATCGCTCAAGTCCGGATTCGCAACAAAAAGCCTCACATTACTCATCCTGGTAGATCGATCATCCACGCTACCCCTCCGTTTAAGATCATCCACCTTTTTGACTCTATTCGCTGCGGCAACGGCTCCACTTGGCGCTGCCATCTCCGTAACCGTGCCAAAGTCTTCCTCCAGCTCACTGGCCTGGCTATGCGTGCTACCAGGGCGGTCGGGTTTGGACTTGTCTGTTTCTAGGTTCGATGACGCTATCGCTGCTGCGGAGCTGCCATTCGCGCCAGAATCTACGTTGCTGCTAGCGAAGTATTCTTTCTCCTCGTCAGGTTTCAGAGGAGCGGGAGTCTCCACGATTTCAGGGATGTCGGTCTGTATCCGGTCCGCTGGATCCGTATTTGGCGGCGTGTTGCTGTTGCTACTACTGCTAAAGCGGCCCTGCTGTGGTCTCTGGTACCCGCTGGGAAACCGACTGCTGCCCGTGGAACTCCGCCCACTGCCCGTTCGGCGATGGAAGGGGGATCCGTCGTTATCCTTGTCATCTTCACCGTCGCCAACTTCGTTAGCGCTCAATCGAAGAGGTACACCGGCACCAACCATGGTGCCTGTGTTATAGCTCATGGAGCGCGAGGAGGTATTATGCCGTATTTTGCCTGTGCTGGTCAGCGGGGCACTCCAACCACCTCCCCCATGCACTTCTATGGCTGCCCGTTGCTTTGCTGCCCGTCTCTGGGCGACTACGCGCGGGTCTTCCTGTTGCGCCCGGTCACACCATACGGTGGCCTTTTGTTTTCGCATCAGCGCGACGTAACCAATCGGAGCCGGAGCATGACCAGAGCGTGACGAGGAGCTTCGTCGGATATCAGCGTGGGAATTAGGAAGGCCAGAAGGTAGAGGGCTATTTCCTCCAGTAGATGTGGTCGATATCGTCCCATTTGACGCCCGTCGCCCTGGGTAATTAGGGTTCATGTGCTGCTGCTGTGGGTGGTGTGGGTGGTGTACGCCAGGAGGCATTTGTTGGTGAGGGTGCATTTGGTGTGGGTAGTATGAGGAAGAAGAGGCCTGGGGCCGACTTTGATGTGGTTGTGGTCTCATTTCCTGCTGTTGACGCTGTTGCGGACTAGGAGAGTCAGAGGAATGGAATTGTAGGCCGGCATTGCCGGAACCCAGGGGTTTACGGGGAGGGATTTGCAGCATCGGCGAGCGATAATCAGCCATTTTGTTTTCCTTGCTTTCGCTTTACTTCAACTATTGTCCTATTCAAGCAATCCCCTATAATCCCCAATGGGTAGAGTTTTGCAAAGAATCAAAGAATGGTAGCCACTGGAGACGAGATTATTGGGGACAGGGCGCCTACTGCGGGGGATGCGTGGTTTGTCGTTCGACGAAGTGAGGGGTGTGAATTGATTGCTACCAGTTTTCGCGATTGAATGTCTCTGTGGTCTGGAAGGGTCAAGTTCTGTCAAGTTCTCATGTCAGCGCCAATGGGCTTTTGTGGTGTTGCTGGCAGTCCAGGAAAAAGGAAAGTGTAAAGAATCCGGAACACTGCGCGCCACGGGTGGAGCCAAACCGCACGAAAGCGCGCCCACAGAGCCCGGAGTCCCAACGACGAACGACCTGGGACAAGGATAAAATAATATATATATACTCCGTATACGCACCAGTTCAGTTGGTTCCTCAGCCCACCGATCGGCGAAACAGTCAGCGAATGTTCCTGAAAAGTAGCACTATCACTGCATCCCGGAACAAAGGGTTTGGTTTCGAGTGGGTGTTGATGGTTGTGTACAATAGAGGAGAGCGGGCAGCGGAATAGGAACTGGGGTAGCCCTGGAAGGAGTAAAAATGGTTAGTTAGCTGCAGGAGACTCAGCCAGCCCGAGCAGCGAAGGGGAAAAGGGGAACAAAGCGAGCCGAATCAGTCGAATCAAATGCTGGAGATCGTGGAAAATCTGTTGGCTGGTGATGGGGAGCGAGACGAGAACACCGCTGCGCCACAGTGGGATCCTCAGGCGCCAGGTACGGACTAACTGGAGGATTTGATGCGGTCTTGAGTAAATTTTATGTGGCCGTCGTCGGTTCCTGAGAGCACGCCGCTTTAACATAACAAATATTGCTGCTTTTTGCTATCGCTTCACCCTTTTTTTTTTTTTTTTTTTCGACCTTGCCAAAACACAGCAACTATTCCTTCCTGGTTGCTTTGTGCCTACTTAGTACTTACTAATAAGTTAGTTACCTTGAGAGCATGGCTAGAACCAGACGATTGAAGTGGGGTGAGGTGATTTACTCCACAGCAAGGGAAGGGAGGAAGAGACCAATATTCTTATTGGTCTTGAAGACTTATGAACAAACGGTTAAATATTTCTCTCATTTCCTCAAGCATTCAAACTTGGTCCAGAAAGCTGCTGCGTACCACCTCAGCATATCTCTGAAGGAATGTGAGCCTGATGGTTTCAATAACTGGCTGTTTGGAAGCTTCAATGTCTGTATTCCCATCATTGTTCGCAGTCGCAAAGAGGTGTTGATGTGGTTCCCAATATTGCACCCGGGTTGGTGAATCCTTTCGACCGGGGAATGCAGATGAGAAGATACGGTGTGAAGTAGGCACTTATGCATGGTTGGAAGCGAATTGCGCTTCGGTACCAGTACCCAATTTCGACGGGCCAAAGTGTAAGACTCGAATCAAGACCTATCTATACGTCTGGTGGGGAGTATTTGGCTAACAAGACCATAGTTCACAGCTGCTGAGAATCTACCACTACTTCCACGATTCTTACATTATCTTCGTTGCTACATACTTAAGCTCTTTGGATATGAACCTCCGTTCTGGATGTGTTCGCCGTAAGGGACTGATGTTGGATGGTCTTAGAGCTGGCTATCTTTTGATCCAGTACATAGACAAGTCCGAGGGTACAATGCTCTCATGTTCTTGGAATGACAAGCGACATGATAAAGACCTACACGCCAACCTGTTCAAAGGTTTAACATAGATAATATTAAAGCTTGCCAAAGTTCCCGTGCCACGAATTGGCTCATTCATTATCAACGACAATGGATTCTTGGTGTTGAGTAACAGGCCACTTTCACTAAAAATCCATCAATTGGAGAGCGAGGAGATCCCAGTGGATATACCTAGAGACATGACATATACATCAGTCGATTCGTACGTGGCTGATACACTGGCTTTTCACGACAGCTGTCTACACAATCGACCGAATGCAATAAAGGACAGATTTGATGGCATCTGGCAGTTATCAGCCCTTAGCGCTATGAGGGCTGTGGCTTCACGCTTTTTTGAACGTGACTTGCGTTTTGGCCCTTTTGTCTATATGTTCAACGATCTCCACCAATCTAATATCCTTGTCGATGGTGTAGGTCTGTCTTCCTTTGCCTTTCCCTCATTAAGTCCGATGATGATGGTGCCAATTTCAGGGTCGTTGGCCCAATCTGGAACATTCCCGGAATCGCGATTGTGGCGATAGTAACTGAGGAAGGTCGCGAAGCTCTCGCGAGCTCTCTGATCGTCCGTCTTCGCGCTCATAGTAAAAAAGCCACTTTATCTGCTTTGAAGGCCAGCTTCGTAAGAGATCGCCATTTAGTACAACTGAATAAGCGGACCATACCTAACTGCAAAAGTTTGAATTAAAAAAAACGGCTATATAGCGGACTGGGAACAAGACGGCATGGATCGAGGCGGGGTAAGTAGAAGATCGTGGGCATCAGGCTAAAGTGCTACGCCATGCGATGATTTACCAATAGAGGTACGTATACGTCCTGTGATAAATCCCCTGACGGTGCTATTATGCAGTTAAGGATTTTTATTCACTAACATGCATTGTTTGATAAAAGGAATATACTCGAGTCAATCTCTCCATCACAAGAGCAAGGGCTTCTGAATCCGAAGAAAACCAAAGTAGCACAAATATAAAGAAAGAAACAACTCAGCGTCCACTTCACTCTGTCTCTCCGAAACCATAGTATAATATCCAATACACTTGGCTAACTGAGTTATTCATGAGCTGCCCCATCCACAGTGCCTTCAAAATCTCCCTAACAAAGATCCCCAAACATCCTACCGGCAGGCTTTTCTAACCCAAGACAGCTTTCTCTTGCTTCCACACGATGTCGTTGAATTTGAAACTGAGAGCCTAGACATGGGCTCATGTAAAGCGGCTGTTGATGGGGAGCTGCTGGACCTGGATCGACGGCGTCTATCTCGCTCTTTTGCCTCTTCCTGAGATGATGGTTAGCGACCTCTTTGTCTTCGAACGCCGTCAGATATTCAAATACACACTGTATTCTGTATGACGTTGCCTTGGACTTGTTCTTCATATCATTGCTGGAGGACCAAGTGAATTTTATGTACCAGAGTAGAGAAATAGGCATGGGACCTAAACATCAAAATTGACAACAAGATGGCTGTGTTGGACGTCTGAGTTGCTATCTACGGAGTAATTGATTTACAAAGGTGAAGCGTTGGTGATTTACCATTCTGCCACGCTCTCTGCCTCCTTTCACCACGCACCCACAACGCCAGTTCGGCTTCCCTCCTATCCCCACAAGAAACTACGCGGTTGCATCCTCACTCATCATCAATCACCCAGCTCACCCATCGCCGCTCCGACGTTTCATGAGGGCGCCGAAAATGGCTACATGGACGCCTACTGGCTCACACCGGGCATGGGCCTCGTTCCTGGCCATGGCTCCCTCAACATATTCACATTCGATCTCAACCACCTCCGAAGAGCGACGAAACAGGAAACAGACACTTCTCCCTTTGCTGCTTACCTCCGTCACCTCTTGTCCAACATTCACCTGCAGCTTTCCCTTTTCTGGGACATACTGGCCTCCTCTGTTGTCTCTACTACCAATCTAACTCGCTAGCGGAATCCTAACTGACTATGAAGCGCTCTATTGACCGACGAGATCATGATCACCGCAGAGCACAGGACCAAAAGTCTGATAGCGAGTCAAGCTACTCTGACTTGCATGGTAGGTCAGAAGCCCCCCTCGAGACCGACCTTACTGAGCCCGATGTTCCTGAACGTCCGGCAAAGCGTCCGAATAGTGATGAAGGAGATTTTAGCAATGATCCTCTTGATGACACCGGGGTCGACCTGTCGGCCATCCCGGAGGATTATGGCAAATCAGCCGGAACACTTCTCCGGCGAGGATGCATTGAAAAACGCTGGCTACAGTTGGTCACTTTTCCTTTTCCCTGGTTTGATGATACACCAGCGATTTCCTTCCCTTCCCTAATAGTCAGTAGGTACTGTAAAGTCAAAGCACGACAGCTGCCAGATGAACGCAAGTGGCATAACCCCAAGCGTGCACTCTGCGAAGCGTCGGACAATGACATCCACCGGTTTCTGGGCTGGTGCCTCAAGCTCAAGCGAGGGAAGGACGGTCGACACCTAAAGGGTATTCACAAGGCCAGCTCATTCAAGGGTGACTGGCGGAGCTTCCGCCTTTACTATGAGAGAGTCACCAAAAACAAAATTCGTGATGAAGACGGCAGTAATGTGCGGCGGGTAGATTAATATCTTGAATTCTGGAAGATGAACGCGGCACTGACCTGACTACATAGCGTATCAAATACCTGATTGACACGAATGGCCTGGATACGTAGGGGGGCAAGAAGATCCCTGTATACATTGAGGACATGGTTCCATTCAATGAAACTATCCTGTCAACTCAGGAGAAAAGATTCTGGCTTGGATTTGAGCGGATCCAAGTGTGCCTATACAATACTCTAGGCTTATTTACTCTACATCGAAAGAATGCAGTATAAGGACCTACAGTTTTCGCTCCAGAAGGATCCCCATGGAGGACCTCCAATTCCGCTAGTGGAGTTGACAGCTCAGGGTGTTAAAAAGTTTATGGGGGAAATAAAATTGTATATCTGCCTTTGAGCTTGGTTTTAACTGACACTTTACCTCCCTCAACCTCTAGCCTGTCACAAACCCTGATTGACAGCATAGCTAACTGCAATCAGGATCACATTTCCCCTTCCTGAAGTAATTTATGGGCCGTTCTTGATATTCTGCCTGCATACCTACCTCTTTGGGATGTTGTTCCATGCTAAGGCATTCCAAGCTCCTGGACTAACATCCATGGCCGAACTGCGAAAGCTATTTGTGAAACGGGGCTGCCAGCAAATGCCTTTGTATTTGAAGCGTGAGACGGCCGATTGGTATGTATTCTGTAAGACTGAGGTGGTTAAGGGGACTCCGGTTATCCGGCGAAGACAGCCATTGTTTAAACACATGATGGGTCGCCTTTTGTCAATTTTCGGAGAGATCCATGGTTGGCTCCATTCCATGTTCTCACACCGGTTCCGTTACGGGAGTGGAAAGATCCTCAATGAGAGTGGTATGTAATCCTGCTCGGTCATCCATGATATCTGACGCGCTTTAATGAAGGCCTGATTGACTTACCTTCTTCGCAGGATGGGTTAGCGAGGAACAACGGATGCTAATCATGAAACATGCGGACCGTCGCACGTTCATCGACCACTATCATCCCCGGACGGTCGGGACTGAGATGATCCGGACCATCTGCGGCCTTGATCCGGACAAGGAAATGATGCGGTCCGTCGCGCGGCTGGACCGATGGAGGGACCAACGGCGTTCGCGGCATCTAACCACAGAAGACAAAAAACGCATGAAAGATCACCCAGAGCTCGTGACCGCCCGCCAAAAATTGGAGACCATTACTGCCGAATATCACCAGACAAGGAATCCTGATTTTCCCGCTCGTATCCGGCGACAAGAGCGTGAGGTCAGGAATACGCAAAGGCGACTTCTCAGGGCAGGGCTCTGCGGAAACAGGTGTGACAAGAGTTTGATGAAAAGCAGTCTCTCCTCGACATCGAGGCACAGCTTTTGGGGACCATGGCGGATGAAAGTGAGGAGTCATTATCATCAGAGGACAACATGCATCTCACTCTGCTTGGGCTCCTACAGAAGCTTCTCTCATATCCCATATCTGATTCTCTGGAAGCAGAGTGGCAATGCCACAATGAAGCTGTTGATTATGTGGTCCTCTATTGTGACACATCGGAAGAGGGCCCTCTCCGCGGACGCCTGAAGAAAAACCTGAAGAAAACACAACCACCTGCGGGAAACAGTGGGCCTTATGATGACCCTCACTCAAAGGATGACAGTGAGAAAAAAGAAGCATCTCTTGTCACATGATGAGCTCTTGCGTCTTACTACAGAACACATTGAAAAAGCTCCAAAGCCACGTGCATGCTTTCAGTGCTTCTCTGACAGAAAGTTGCCAGATGAAGTTCGCTGCCGAATGTTTTATGACCCAGGGTGTCTTACCAAACACTATGATAGTCATCATCTGCAGGATGAGCAGTGTAACTGGTGTGAACTTTCTGTACTACAAATACAATGCATCCGCAGCATCATGCCAAGGATGTTCATCATACGCATTCCCATTTTCATCCACCATTGTGATTTCCATTCTTGGCAATGGCTAATATCTTATTGAGAGTATCAGCTTAAGGCTGCTCGAGATGGTTGCTGTATATTTAATAGAGTCTCATGTGTACATTAATTAGACTGGAAATTGGCTGTAATCAGAGAACATAACCAAGAGATGGTGATTGTGATAGAACTCAAGATGCTCCAAGATAATTAGTACCTTTTTAACATCAGAAGCCAAGTGCATCTCATATGGAGAATGCAAGTCAGTTAAAACTGCCCCAAGACAACCGCAGTAAGTAACATACGCCTACGCCACAAATATCATCAAGCTATCAGGTTCCGAATTCCCAAACATACAGCTCGTCTAAGTTTCTTTTGGCCAAGAGGATGCTTCAATAGGAGGACCCGCAGGAAGTTCTTCAGCAGCTTGATTTTGTTGACAGGATTTCTTCTTCGGTTTCTTCTTCGATTTCTTCTACGTCCCCCCCCCCCAACGACTCCAGGTATCTTGAGGTGGAAGAGGAGATTCCTCTGGTTCGGGTAGAACAGGCTCTTCAGCAACATCCGCAGGAGGCTCCTCCAAAGGCTCATTGACATCCTCTAGGGGCTCAGCAACAGCATTTTCAGGAGAATTAGCTGGAGCAAGTTGTGCCTCTTGACAATATTCATTCTTTCCTCTGGCCCAAGTCTCCCACATATTTTGAGGTGGAAGAGACTTTTGTGGCTCCTCTGGAACGAGATCTTCGCCATTTTTAACATCCTTTAGCCGCTCAGCAATGGCTTCTTCAGGAGAATCGCCTGGAGCAAGCTGCGCTTCTTGACATGGTTCCTTCTTTTTGCTCCCCCCAACCCACCAAGCAAGGTCCTCCGATGCAGGCAACTCTCCATTGACAGATGTCTCAGGGAAACTGGCAGGTTCCTCACCACAGTCTGCCGGTCCCTTGCCACTGTGCTGCTTGGCTGGTTCGTCCGTCCGCTGTAAAATTGAACACCTGGTGCTGAGTATTCCTACTGCCACCCTGAATAACATCCTGCCGAAAGAGCTCTTCACATACTTCAGAATATCTTGATGAATAAACACATTCCCATCATCATCATCATCAAACTCACTCTGAAGCATTGCCCTGGTGTGACCATCAAGCCATAACTTATCCTTGGGCAATAGTCCCTTATATTCCTTACTTCCAACGTTCAGGACTACCAGCAACGACACTGACTTGCAATTCTTCTCCATAGCATAGCTTCCATTGCAAGTGCCACCAGAGGAGGTAATTCATATTTGCTTGTGAAACTAAACACCGCAACGCTCCTTTCTATACTCATTTTCCATTTCCACCTTCTTGGACTCTACTCTGGCATGGATAGTCGCAGTGTCTCATACTCGCCGGTGTAAAGAAAATGTACCACTGTGTGTGCAATGTCCTCATCTAGGTGATGGATGCATCGAAAATTTGCATTTGACATTGGAAGGAACGGCGGTGGTCCACGTTCGAAGAAATGCTTCTTGGCGTATTTAACTATCGACCACTGATCTGAGCAATTTAGTTAAGTTATTTATTAGTTATTAGTTATTATTTAGTTATTAACTAACTAGTTACTCTGTAGTTACTCTTCTTCTGTCATCATGATTGCTCCCTCATCACATTCGATTCGTTTCCAGCTCGTTCACACACAGCAGCTGTTGAACGCCTCGCCCCGAATATTCCCTAAATTATTCCAGATCTTCATCACCCGCAACATGAGTACTGCTCAATTGGCGTATCAACCCCCCTCCATCAATAATATTGAGGATGTTGAGAACTATCGAAAGGGTGGATTTCACCCTGTCCAACTTGGTGATGCTTTTTCTCACGGAAGATACCGCGTGCTGCACAAATTAGGCTTCGGGGGAAGCTCAACTGTATGGTTGGCCCGGGATGAACTATCACAACGGCTTGTATCCCTGAAAATTCTTACAGCGGAGAGATCAAATGCCTGCCCTGAACCTGAAATTCTTCGCTATCTTCAAAACAATCCATCCCACACATTAGGCCGTGAATACATCTTGCCACTGCATGACTGCTTTCACACAGAGGGGCCTAATGGCCGTCATACCTGCCTTGTATCACTGTTTGCTGGCCCCAGTTTAAGCCAACTATCAGAATCACCCGGCCAGCCTGGAGGATGTCGCCGCCTGCGAGGCCATGCCTCACGCCAAATTGCAAAGCAGGTAGGGCTAGCTATAGAATTTTTACACTCTCAGGGTGTTGTTCATGGAGGTATCTACTACTACTAGTCCACCATTATCCTACAAGTGCATGAACTAACCCCCATATGCTACAGACCTCACTGCATCAAACATTCTTTTCCAGCTGGCCGATATCAAATGGTCAGATCAAGATATAACAAAGCAATTCGGGCCTCCAGTCACAGAGAGTCTACGCCCCCTTTCTGCAGAACAGAGTGTTTGCGCGCCGGAATTTTTGGTCGCGCCCCTTCAGATCTCAGACCTTGACACCCGCCATTTCACCGGGAACATTCAACTGATTGATTTTGGGGAATCTTTTCTATCAAACTCCCCCCCTGCCACGGGAGTCAGGACTCCATTCTCATATCTTGCGCCCGAGGGGATATTTGATGCCAAGGCCAGTGTATGGGCCGATCTCTGGGCGCTGGGATGCATCATCTATGAAATCCGCGCCGGGACACAGCTATTTGCTTCCTTTTTTGGTGGACCAGACGAGGTACTTCGGCAAATCGTCCAGACATTTGGAAAATTACCAGAGCCCTGGTGGAGTGCCTGGACAGCGCGCCAGACTTATTTCAACAACAATGATGGAAAGCCGAGGGATTCATGGCTGAATGGAATACCACTGGCAGTGGAGTATCCACTGGGCCAGCAGGTTAGGGATATTGGGGCGGAAGACGGACAGGTTGATCTGGACTCCTATTCAACACATAGCTGGCTTGAACCGCTGGGGACGCGCTTGACAGAAGCTGAGGCCAGCGAGCTTGAGGATTTACTGTTTAAACTTCTTCAGTTTTCACCAGAGAAACGTCTTTCTGCTGGCCAGGTTGTCAAACACCCTTGGCTTCAAGGTGTTGAATAATAAATTCTTCCCCCTGCAGTAGAAAGTGTTAGCCCTCTCATGTGCCCATGTTGACCAGTCGATCACCAAAGAATCAGTAGTGGAGCCTGGCTACACTGTTATAGATCTTACAATACTATAAAGATGTTGTGTACAAGTAAATAATCGGAATACTCTATTTGGGGGCATTCAAGATCTAGCATGTCAATCACTTTTCTTGAGACAATTGCTCTAAACATTCCCTTCTTTTCCTGCCTTCATATGAACAGATACCGCACTGTCTGATCACAGCAAAACATCTTTCTCTGTCTTTCAACCACCAGGCCACTTGAACATGTCCAGAGGTCTAAACTGATTGTAATGCATCTTGTTCTTGATGAGGCTGAGGACTCGGGGTGAGTAAATAAACAAAGTGTGGCGAGCTCTGAAAGTAGGTGCCACGCCCTTCGCAAGGGGTGATAGGAGACTATACTGAATGTGCTAGCGGTATGACACTTGGGTTGCTCGAATGATCCAGTTTCTTGGCCCATATGAACATTTACCAGGCGCTTAAGGCTGCTCAGCTGGTTAGCTACTCCAGGAGTGCTTAGGGGATTGCTCCTCTACACCTTGAGATCGAGTAACTGGGAAGGCCTACAGCTCTTTTCCTTCTACTTACCCTTGCGACTTTCAGGCTTTAATGCCAGGAGGTTCGCAGCGGTCGTCGTGCTCAGAGCGGAAGAGCAACCTCTTCATCTGTCGTCCAGTTTGCCCTTTTTATTTCAAGCCAAATGGAGCCAGGCTATCATTCATGTCTTTCTTATTTAGCAATGGAACAGGGCAAGAGAAAAGCGCCAAGTTGTGCTGAGGCTTCAAGATGGTACAGTATACATTGAGCTTGTGATAAGAAGTGTAAGAAAGCTCAGTGTTTCTTAGCACAATGAGACCAAACCCCATTAACTGATGAGAATGACCTTTCATAGTCTGTGTAGTCATAGTGGTTTGGCTTCAAAGACTTTCTCCTTTCCAAGCTCAGAATCACTTCCTCTAGATGCCTAACTGTGGCTTCAGATTTTTCTATAGATGCTTTCATCCTGTCACCACTGCTGTATCATTGTGCTAAATATTGAAATTCAAAGTCCTTCCTTTAGTGTTTTGTCAGGAAAAAGAGGTTATACACTACTGAACGCCACCAACATCGTATTACTGAACGCCACCAACATCGTATTACTACAATATTTCTCATCATCATCAGCTTACTACAACGCTCGTCTAATACTCGCTTATGCTAGCTCTCTTGGCTCGCACATATATTTTACTATAAATAGCTCCATCTTTTGTATGAAATAGATATATTAGATAGTGCACGGATAATATAACAAGCAGATCTTGATACAGATAAGATTCATATGTCTTCAACATATTCATCCGTGACACCCAATCCGACAGTTATGAGCCCGGTAAGCAGCATCTGAAGAGAAGTGCGATACACCACCGATCCCAATCCTCATTCGAATTTGACAACAATCATTTGAACTGAGACGATTGATCCTCATTCGTATACGGTCCGATCTACTCGACTGTTATACCATACCTGATTCCCGGTAAGCAGCATCTGAAGAGAAGCGCGATACACCACCGATCCCAATCCTCATTCGAATTTGACAACAATCATTTGAACTGAGATGATTGATCCTCATTTGTATACGGTCCGATCTACTCGACTGTTATACCATACCTGATTCCCGGTAAGCAGCATCTGAAGAGAAGCGCGATACACCGATCCCAATCCTCATTCAAATTTGACAACAATCATTCGAACTGAGATGATTGATTCTCATTTGTATACGGTCCGATCAACTCGACCGTTATATCATATCAGATTCCTGTCCTCATTTGAACTGATAACTATCATTTGAACTGAGACGATAGATCCTCACTCGTATATGTTCCGAAATACTCGACCGATATACACCCTGAATTCTGATCATATTCACAAATACTTGAACCGATTCCTCAATCCATTCAATATAACTGATATGACAGACAAGACAATGTCTAGTGCGACAGTTCACCTTAGTGTTCCTGGAGATTGGAAACTTTGGTACAAGCATATGCTAGGATATGCAAAGGACAAGAAGGTATCAGACTTCATCAATCTTGATAAACCCGATATCTTCTCTGAACTAGAAGAACCTCTGGAACCCGAGAGTCCAGAAGAAGCCACCGCGGAGGCCAAGATAGCATATGACATCAAGGTCACTGCGTGGAAAATCAAATATATGAAATATGAAAAAATGAATGAAGGTATGACAAAGATACGAGATGTCATATGGAGAACAGTGGATGCCACAGAGCTACGACATGTATGCAGTGAGGATGATGATGTGAAGGAGATTATCTGTTCATTAAGAGATCGTCTCTCACCCACGACCGCGGACTATCAAGATGATGTGAGAACCCGATACCATGATCTCTGCAAAGCACCGAAAAACAGAGGTATAGAGAAGTGGTTAAATGACTGGTCACTCATCAAAGATGATATCAAAGAGGCGGATATAGCTGGACAGTTCAACTTGAAGAAAGACTTCTTAAATGTGAACCTAGCTATTGATGCAGGATATGCACAAGCATGGACAAAGGATGTCCGACGTGATAAAGATGTCATATCTTTGATAGAGTTAGTTAAGGACTTCAAGGAATGGTATAGAGAAATGGGTATTCTCAAAGGAGATAAACCTATGAACTTCGCTACCCTTAATGGAAGACCTCAGCAATCATCACCAGTGACATTTGGAAACTGCATCTGCGGAGCCCGTCACCGATACACCCAGTGCTACTATCTCAATCCATCAAGGAAGCCACCTGGATGGAAGGAAAACGGGGAGAAGAGAACTCAAATTGATCAAGCTCTTAAAAATCAAGGATTGAAGAGACGCGTTGATTGTGCGATATCTAGAGATTCATCCACGAATACGGATATGGTAGATGCCAATGAAGCAGTCATAGGAGGAATGGTTCTGAAGAAATCAGTTCCTCAATCTATCAAACATCAATCTATCGATCATCAATCTATCGATCATCAATCTATTGATCAACAGATCCGAAAAATATCAATGAACTCTTCAAATTCTCGCTCCTACCTCCAAAACTCCTGGATCTTTGATACTGGCGCGGAACAGCATATATGCAATAATCGAACACATTTCCTATCCTTTACACCTGCGAACAAGAATGCGGAAGTCTATACAGGCGATTCCAGCACTAAAGTTGAAGGTTATGGAACTGTTAGAACTATCATGATAAATGAAGCAGGAAAGCAGTTCAATGTCAATCTCACCAACGCGGCTTACATACCGAATTTCCATACAAATATCATCGCATGGAAACCGTGTTTCCATATAGAAGGCATCTATTATGATGGAAAAGACTTCAGATTGCGAAAACGCGCAGATAATACAATCTTTGCACGCGTTGAAGTATTTGGGGGGTTGCTAGTTACAGAATATAATAGTGAAACAGCTGTTTTCTCAACTATCTCAGAAAAATCCACTACCGAAGCCGATGCAGCTACCACACCACACACATCTAACATCACTATATCTGAAAAAATGATATCTTCAAATTCTTCAACTTCTACAAATCCTTCTTCCAACCTGCCGATACACACAAAACCTTCTCAAAAACCTAAGATCTCTATAGCTACTCAGTCAACATGGCATAAGAGATTAGGACATCCATCGAAAATCGCCATTCAAAAGCTTGCAAATGTTGCAACTGGCATTCAAATCACCAATCTAGAAGATGCTGCGGATGAGCTTACCACTGAGCTTTGCGAACCCTGCCATCTATCTAATGCGGAAAATCAAATATCTAGACGTCCCCACATTAGATCTCATACACCGAATCCAACACCTGAACCTACGCCAGGGCCAGCGGGCCCTAATGTTGATACAGGTCCTAATGTTGATACAGGTCCCAATATTGATATTAATACTCAACCAGCTGCAATAGATGATCGTACACGGAACATTGCACATAGAGCTCACAATATCAGTGCTAACTTTGATGAAGATAATATCATTGAAGACCGCAGAACCCGAAATCACAGAGCTGCCCACCTTATGGCAGTTGCAAATGCCAAAGTCAATCCTTTTCAAATGATCAATGAAGCATTCTCTCATTCTCAATCACACCCAGACTTCTACAAGTCTCAAAATTTATTTCCTAATACTGTTTTGACTGTTCTCAACAATACAGCTACATCAACAGCATCCATACCGACTTCAGGGATCCATAGATCTCAACTGCCAGATCCACCGAACCACTGGACAGATGTTGAAAAACACCCACATCGCGAAGAATCCGAGAACGCTAGGCTTCACCTCTATGCCAGAGGATTGCTGCCTCTTCTCAAATGATCGATTAATTGTCTTCTTCTATGTGGATGATATCGTCATCCTATCCCGATGGGAGGATTCAGATGAAAGATATCAATCCGAGAACATGTTCAATCCGGCGATATTACAGTTGATTGGGTGCCTACGGCCCAGATGCCAGCGGATGGCCTCACTAAGACTCTGCCACACCAGAAACATACAGAATTCGTCAAGATGCTAGGCCTAGTTGATATATCAGATATCATCAAGGCGTAAGCAGAATAAATGATCTATCTTGATGTAATCTCTACAGATTCATCTACACTCTTTTTGTTGCAGCTTCATTTACACTTTCTTTTACATGTTACATTCGCTGAAGGGGGTGTGTCAGGAAAAAGAGGTTATACACTACTGAACACCACCAACATCGTATTACTGAACGCCACCAACATCGTATTACTACAATATTTCTCATCATCATCAGCTTACTACAACGCTCGTCTAATACTCGCTTATGCTAGCTCTCTTGGCTCGCACATATATTTTACTATAAATAGCTCCATCTTTTGTATGAAATAGATATATTAGATAGTGCACGGATAATATAACAAGCAGATCTTGATACAGATAAGATTCATATGTCTTCAACATATTCATCCGTGACACCCAATCCGACATGTTTTTAGTTGCAATTGTGATGCAGAGTGCACACAGCTCTTGAATGAACTCAGTGTGGCTAACGAGTTTCAGCCCACAGGTCTCACCCACCTGATATTGATACTTACACTGGGCAGAGAACTTCCCCCATGTCCAGTCACTGTATTGGAATAGTTTTTGACCATAGAAGCACATAGCCACCGAAACTAAATGTTTGGATGTCAAGACCCTACTCACTTAATGTTAACATCTTCACACTGTGCCAGTGAAGCAAGATACATACAACAATATTGAGTTCACAGGGTGAGTTGAACCCACTTCATGCGGTTCTATAGATGGTATTCAAGCGTAGTTATATTTTTCTGACCCGCCGTCGTACCTGCGTTGATGGCTTACCAAGAATAGCAAAACTGAACAACAGAAAAATACTCTTTCTATATAAGAAGGCTGAGAGATGGATAATGTTGCTTAGAGGTTGCATATTTCAGAATGACGTAGTTTCTAACCTCCCACAGGCATACGGCACAGTTAGCATGCAGTGGAACGGAGTCCTGCGGCGTAGCAGCATCAAACACTCGGAGTGACCAAACATTGCCGTGATGCTGACCCCAGCCAGTCACTTACTCATGAGTTTCGTGCCTATGGACCCGTTGGGTTGTGGTGGAAGTTACTGAGACAAGAGTGATGAACGCGAGTCAAACCAAGGCGGCCATTGGCTCAAAGAGAGGGGAGAGAGTCAGGAAACCACACGATCACGAACAAATCTCCGCCTACCCCAGAATTCCAACATTCTTGTAGTAATGTGCTTCAGATTACGGGAACATCAGAACAGAGCACCATCACAAGGTATTCTAGGTCTGGCCGCCCAGTAGTCTTCCTCTCCTTGAAGCTGAGTTAAAGTTACTATATCAATCTTCTGAATGTTCTCCATATCTGAATTCCCATCCACGTCAAACACCTTATACTTGTCAGATTTAATATTCCAGTTGAACCATGCACCATGGAGGAGCTGCAGTTTCATGAAGAATATAATGAGGCAGATTCTTCCACGGTCAAAATCGGATTGGTCAGTTGAGATGGTCTGTAATCCTGGTTTGTATCTGAAGTCGCAGTTCGTAGAGCGGCAAAGCACGCATGGAGGGTTGTCATGATTGCCAGAGTATAGAACCGTCCACAGACACTCGGCGCAGAACACATGCCCGCAAGGTCCAAACTGCAAGTGGAGCGACCAGGCACAATGACAGATAATGTAGATGCCTTCCGCTGGATCAGTTGTTGTCAACTCTGGTATCACCAGCTCACGGTAGTCCGGATCCTCAGCATGCGTTTTCTCAAGGGTGGCAACAAGCTGAGGGTCGACATTACTGAGATCCCCATACATCTCAACTAGTTGGGTCCGATGGGCCATCTTTTTACTTTTGTAGCAGAACTGGCTTGGAATCGAGAGTAAGAGGATTCAACAGATGGTACAAGAGAGGTATCAGGAGGCCACAGCTAAGCTAGCTCAGAAGAAGAGAGTTGAAAAGGGAAAAAGCCAGGGAGAAAAGAAAGAAATGTTGGTACTTGTGTTATTCCTACAAGGAATCAAGCCCTAACCCCGTGCCCTGACTTGGGAGGGTCACTAGGGTAAATACACAATGTCTTGACGCGATGCATGGACTTTGCAACTCTCCACTCAGTGACCCAGCAAATAAATGATGAACACTCCATGAGAGCCCTAAAGAAAATATTCCCAAATCTCCTACAAGCCTTTCAAAAGCCCTGCACCGTCAACAAGTCCGCAAGAGTATGATTTCATTAAGCCAATTGTATCAACTTTAGCATCCCTCCAGTTCATCCCAGGTGATGGGTCTCCTGTCTGTGAGTGTTCTTGGGAAGAACAGCAAAATGAACATGAGCAAGACTTGAAGTCAGCACTGCTTGGAGTGTCTACCTGTCGCGGACTTCCGTTTGATAAGGTGTGAGGTTTCAAGGGTGTAGGATGCACGATGCAATCACGATGGTTCCTTCGATGGTGCGAGTGCTGCGTTCTTGGGTAAGTTAACTATTTAACTAAGGATAGTTCACCAATGTCCCGTGTGAGGGGTTACCGTCATCGTAAAGTAGAAAGGAGTTCTGTTCCAAACGCAGAATAAAATCCTTCGTCTGCTTCTTTTAGATGGAAAACAGAAGCTTGTTGAGACGAGTACGAGTTAACTCGCTATATAGACAGCCAATGCTTGCGGGGTTATCGTTTTACGAGACTATTTAATTCAACAAAGAATAGGGATAGGAAAGTTAGAAAATGCGTCGGTTAGTTTCAACTAATACACAGCTAACTACTGTCAAAGTTTGCCTTTTTCCCCCCATGTTTTTGACTTATGTTTCCGTCCCAATGACGTCTCGTTTCTCTCTGCCGGATCAACTTCACATAAAACAAGAGCAATGACACCCCCATACAAATCGAGGATTTGGCACGTACCCTGTCATGATCCCTGCAGTCTTCACTTGGATGCCGGCACTCTTTCGCCGTTCGGGATAAGGCATACTGTGTACTGCATCTCAGACAAAAAAAAAATTCAGGAGAAGCATAATAAAGCTACAGTTCGTGGGCCGAAAATGACGACATGGTGGATCGGGGGAGGGTTCATTTCGGTCCCCACTGAAATAAATACTGATTATCGTGGCAAGGAATGATTTAGCGCTCGGTACGAAGCATTGATATTGATTGTTCATGAATGATGGATTTCCTATCTGAGTTTCCTTGGATGATTCAATTTCTCCTGCTCTACTCCTCTCTTTCTGTTGGTACATGTATTTCTTCGACAGTCCTGGCCCTCATCCAGCTATCTCTTCGCCGGGAAACTCATATACGGTTGTGTTTCTTCCAATAGTTGCATATTAATCCCTGCTACATAGCTAATTGTATGTGTGTGGTGTGAGGAGACCTCAGGTACCGTTTTTAACAAGCATGGGAAAATTCATTAAAATGCGGTATATAGCCCTAAAATGTCGAAATACGGTCTACAATATGATTGCATTTATCCACCGTCATGATAGGATTCCCGCCGCTCAGCTGCAAACGCCCTCTCCCCATAACAACATAAAGCCTCGTGGGTCTGGAACTTTGGAAGCCTAGGCCCACCACCCAAAGCGGGGCATTTCTTGTGCAACGAAGAATGAATAGTTCTTTTCGGATTAGATATGAATTGAATATCATATTGAACTAGTGGTTAGCATGGTCGTTCAATTTCGATTCTACTCCCATTCAACCACGTGTGGCACAGCGGTACTACCGGTTGTACTCGGGCCGGGACTCGGTGAAGTGAGGCTGATAGAGCCTTCCGGTGGTGGGAAAGGGCCCCTTGAGCTAATTTGCATTGTATTCATTCTGGCATCGAACATGAGGCGGGGTGGTTGCTCTGGCGCAATATTCCGTGACCTCAGGAATGCTTCGCGCGCAGCGTACTTCCCCGGCCTGAAGGGTGAATTCGGGGGGGAATTTGAGTACAAACATTAGTCTGATGCAGTGGTGTTTGGGACTATTGGCAATCGCCTCATGACTATCACAGATTGCAGCCCGTGCCTTGTCTACGTGTTCTTCATCGGGTCGCTTTGCTAACCCGCTGAGGACGTGGAGGTAGGGGACGGCTGGGGAGGACATGGATTCGATGAGGCAGAGGAATCCTTTGGTGAGGTGAGCTGTGAGGTTCTGAGCTTGGTATCACATTCCAGCATGCGTTCTGCGTAGCCATAAGCTCTGCTTCGCTTTGCACCTGTCAGATAATACTCCATCAAATGACTTTCTGGCAAAGAAACCATGCGTGGTCCGGATGGTCATGTAGCGGAATGGGACTTTTGGGTTAATGTGTGAGGTGTTTGCTGCTTATCATTGCTTCCAACACCTAATGATAATAAACGAACACTTCAGACCACAGCAAAAGGAGCGAGCTCTGCTTGTAGCCATGTCATGGTTCATCGGCTCCTTGGTCCTATCAATCCATATTTGAAAGTCATTTACAGACAAAGGAGTGAACAGCAAATTGAGGCATCCCTTACTTCGGAGTCCGACTGAAAAGTAACCCGAACACATCGAGGGCTGTTCGAGAAAATCCAAGTAGTCTTACCTGATTCAGCAGGTTCGCAATCCATTTGGGCGAGTGGACATATCCTACTTATATTGTATTTGAACGTGAGAAGCGGGTTGGCTAAGGATAGAAGGGCGTGTAGCGGATGGTATCCTGCATTAGCATTATGGAGACAACCGTCTACTTGTGGAGGGTTGCTTTTGCTAGTTTTTTTCATTGGATTTTATTCTATCTATTCAATGTTGAGCAAGTCAGTTAATGCAGACTTCAGTAGGGTTTACGTGGTGATGTCGAGGTGTAACGGTCATCCAAGGAGGAATAGTGTATGGACAACAGAGTGCTACAACAACGCAAATCCACACCTCTACATATTATACAGCTAATATTCTCGCCGCAAATGCAGTTAGTGGGCTCCCGTTCTCTGTGGCAAAAATAATATCCTCACAGAGAAACACACAAACTAAGTAGGCTAATACCAAGTTTCCTTGTCTCCCTCAAGTAGTAACGTTGGAGGCCCATAGAATCCAATCACAACTTCGACCCCCCAACCTTTACCAACGCCCCATCTTTAACCTCATACTCCCTACCCCTAGCCCACCCACACCAATCCGCCAATGTCTCCTCTCCACCCATACTCGGGCTCAACCCATCACTCGACCAACCACCCTCCTCACTTCCAAACGTTAGACCCGGCGTCTCTGACAACCCCACCGCCAAACGCTGTTCATATCCACCTTCTTCCATCTCCTCATGCTCGAGCACGGGCGTAGCACACGCATCTGTTCCATCAAAGATATCCTCCCACTCCTTTCGCGTCTTCTCCTTGAATCTGCGCGTAAACACTTCGCGCATATACGCCCACGTGCTCGGATCCTCGCGCATTCCACTCGAGTCCGGCGGCATAATATCCGCCATCTTCAACCCCAACCCTTTCAACAGCGCCGCAAAAAACTGCGGCTCCAGCGCGCCGACGGCAAAGTACTTGCCTGCATCCTTCGTCTCGTAGGTGTCATAGTAAGGGCATCCGCCATCAAGTACATTGTGGCCGCGCGGGGCACCCCACACAAGCCTCTTCTGCAATAGCCTTGGGAATGTAGCTAGATAGGCTGAGCCATCTACCATATTGGCCTCGACCACTTGGCCCTTCCCCGTGCGTTCGCGCGCGAGCAGCGCAAGCAAAATGCCAAGAAAACACATGGCGCCGCCGCCGGCAAAGTCACCGACAATATTACCTGGTGCGTAGGGCCGTTCACCGGCACGTCCCAGTAGGCCGAGCACGCCGGAGACGGCGATGTAGTTGATATCATGGCCGGCCATGTCCTTGTACTTGCCATCGCGGCGGAAACCGGTCATGCGGGCGACGATGAGGCGTGGGTTCTTTTTGAGGAGGACATTTGTGGGCGATAGGCCGAGTCTCTCGAGGACGCCGGGTCGGAACGGGTCGATTAGGATGTCGGCGTTGGAGATCAGAGAGAGAAGAACGGCGAGCGACGCGGGGGATTTGAGATCGAGGCTTATCGAGGTTTTGTGTCGGGTTAGAGAGTCGGAAGTCTCGGGGGGAAAGACATCTGGAGAGCTGGAGTGTGCTTGTGGATGTGGGCGGTCGACGCGTAGGACGGAGGCGCCGTAGTCAGCTAGCAGGAGGCCGGCAAAAGGAGCTGGTCGGATGTTAGAGTTGACATTTTCAAGGGTCTCGACAGGGACACGGGTCAATTGCCCAAATTTGGGCTCTGCTGAATTTGAGTCGCAAGTGTGGCTTGCTTACCTGGAGCTAGGCCGGCCAACTCAAGGACTCGGATGCCCTTGAGCGGGGGGGATGCTTTGGATGACATTTTGTTCGGCTTGAGCTATATCAAACACGGCAATCTTCGAGGAGGGATTAACAAAAGGATGGGAGCAGTAGATATTCAGTCATCCCGAGAGGCAATTGGTGGAGGGATAAGAATTGCAATTGTTCAGGTTAAATATACATCAACATCCTTGGTCTTTCGTGGTCCGATCGAGGAAGAGCTTTATCCCAAGGCTCCATGAAAGTAACCGAGGTGAGCCCGGCCAAGACGAGGTGAGGAGAGGGATATCACATGACCCCGTAATCCAGCCGTGCATATTTTGGATGGGGAAGTAAGGAAAAGGAAGATGGTCAAAATAAGCAGATATCCATATTCCCCCTAAGTATCCGACACAACCAGCTATCCATTGAATTGATCGGGATAGAAAATGCTGTGTTCGAGTTTCCGAGAATAAGATTCAAGTTTCCGGCAAGTTAGAAGCTGTTCGGCTCACCGATGCTTACTAACAGCAAATAGCCGACGACGGCAGCAACTACTCTTGTCAACGTCTTTTTAGAGTATGTCGATCGAGTCTTGGCACCATCTATAAATAAAAGCTCTAGGCCAAACACGGTTACCCTTGGAATCAGCCGCATCAACGTCAATCTAACATGAACGAGCACAGAAATCATCCAGTTTTGATACGAGGCCTTCTGGCTGGGAATGACTCCCAGATGTATATTGACATTCAAAGGAGCGGGGCTAGTCTATGGCACACGTTCAGCCATAACGACTCCAACGCTCATACACTATGGATGTACGATGATGCCATTTATCAACCAACTCAGCAGTGTCCAGTAGCTGCTGTGCACTGATTTTCCTGTTTTCCTGTTTTAGTGACCTTTGCTATGGCTCCACTTATTGCTCCTTGCCGTGTCGTGGAGCGACCACTGGAGTCACCTCGTCCAAGGATTTGAAAGTCCAGCAAAAACAAGCAACTCAACACAGCCCTCTAAGTGTCGATCGTGATGTCGATCCATCCAGCTAAGCTGGCTTGTGTGGGTGTTTCTAATATTTCCATGCCCGTGTACATGTAAAAAAAAACCCTGTTCTAGGGGGCAAGAATATCAGCTCTTCATCGTCATAAGAAACTTAGAAGAGTAAATCAAATTCCCAGCGCGCCCCGGAAACATATCATGACTTCATTTACTTCCGCGTATTGTGTAAATTGAACAGTAGCTTGCCGTTCATTTTTCACTTTCTTTCCCTTTTCAATTTCCTACAGGCCAGTGGGCACAAATGGTTCTGCTTCTCCATTTTCTCGTGGCAGGCGTCTCGCTATGCGCAGGGCTTGCAGGGGCCGCTGCTCCCCCCGAGATGAACAAGTACCCTCGATCCAATAATGCCAATATTTACGCTCACGATCCAAATATTATCAAAGACGGTGAATATTACCATCTCTTCAAGGGCGGCGTACATATCTCATAGTAGCGCGCGAAGAGCCTGAACGGCAAATGGGAAGACATGGGCCATCTGCTGGAAGGCGACAGCATCATCCCCAACAAGAAAAATGCAACCAGGCCATGGGCCCCTAGCGTGATTAAAAGGGGCGACACACTTTACTGCTACTACACACTCAGCGGCAGAGGGAAACGGGACAGCGCTATTGGTGTTGCAACCACCAAGAAGTTGGCAAGGGGCGCTTACTGGAAAGACCATGGCGCTCTTATCCAGACGGAAACAGGAGAAGGGTTCGACGTGTTTCCATTCACTACCTCCAACGCCATTGATGCGAGCGTGTCCATTGACGGCGGCAAAGCCTATTTGAACTATGGCAGTTTCTTCTCGGGTATCTGGCAGGTTCCGCTGGGTAAGGACCTTAAGTGTTTACCGAATTCTAGGAAACTAAATGCCGTGCAGCTTGCGCGTAAACGCCAGAAGCGCAATGATATTGAAGGCTCCTTCATGAGTTTCCATGGTGGTTGGTATTATCTCTGGTTCAGCCGTGGGATGTGCGGTCGATTTAAAGACGATTTCACTCTGTAAAGGGTAAAGAGGTGTATGAAGAATCCGTCTCTCGGCACTACTCACTTTTAGAGAGGCAAAAACAGTCCCAGCTGAAAATAAACTGAAAGCTAGATATTCCATCCGTGTCGCGCGATCCCAAAAGCGCCCGTGGGCGTTCATTGATAGAACTGGCAAAAAACGACCCAGGGAGGCGGCCACAAGGTTTATGCCTCCAATTATGACAACACCGTCTTTGCACCAGGTGGTCTAGGCGTACTGACGGGAATGAATGGAACTCCTGATATCTTGTACTATCACTACTGTGAGTTTAGTTCCCATGACTGGAATGAAAAAAGAAAGAACAGAAACTCGACGTCGCTAACCATATTTATCTCCCATCCTTCATAGTCAACGCGAAGGTCAGCTTGAAGCATGAGAAGGCCCGAGTGGGTTACAACACGCTCAAATACGTCAATGGATGGCCTGTGGTTCAAGCGCCGAAGAAATAGGTTAGTTGGGGTTTATCTTCATTCTATCGAACTGCGAATTACAGTATCTAACAGAGTTTGTTCTCTGCTCTGGATGATCCTCTTGCTCTTCTTGTGGACTTTGTGAGGTGATGGAATGGATAATACCTCCGATGATAGCAAGGATGGGGATAACTTGGTTGGAACAGGCATTTATTTTCTTTTGAGTACCATGGGCTTGGTTTTCATGTACGTATTCTCATGGGCTTCCATGTAACTGTAAAGCACTGAGATTATATATTTGTCTCGAGTCGATATCTTTTTATTGTGACTGCAGATTCCGGTTTGATTCGCGTTTCAGGCACCTAGGTACTCTATCCCATGCATGGGATATACCCGGGCCCGCATCATATCCAATCTCTGATATACAACCCTAAAACAAGAAGAAAGAGAACGGGTTCATGCTGGTATTCCGCTCGAACTATCTACCTATCCTGTCTAGATCACCACAAACACCTGAACAATGCTATAAATATAAGGCAGTCAAACTTAGCAAAATCTACCCGGAAACAAAGCTGAAAACACCGTGCCGTCCATCGTCAAAAACGAGTAATCCCATACACACCCCCGATGCAAAATATATAGAATAGAATACGGCTACTAAAGGGCCGCAAGAGGAGAGACAATCAATCACATGACTCAAAATGAACAAATACCCTCCCGGGTCACTAAGTCGACAATCCAACATCTTAAACATCCCGACCTTTTCCGCCCCTCCTCTCCACGTATTTATACTTATAGCCCTGGGGTGGTTTATTCTCTTTCCCGTGCCCGCTCAACATACCATCACCAGCATCTGCCCGTCCCCCGACCTCCTCTTTCCCCCACGTCCACATCAAAATCTTCCCCATCCGTTCCCGGTCTTTCAACAACCCCTCCACACGCCCCTCCCACACCTCCTCCCTCTTCTTCAATACGCCCGCAAATTTCTTATCAATAGCTTTCGCAGCCGATTCCTTCGCCTCAATAATCGATTCCAACCGTTCCCGCTCCGCGTGTAGTCCTGCAACACGCTGTTCAAGTGAAACAAGGGATGTGCGCAGAGCGCTGAGATCCGAGTTGAGCTTCGTTTCACGCGACTGAGAGGCGGAGATGACGTTCTGGAGGGTGCGGATTGTTTCTGTATGTGAGTCGCGGAGAGTGGAGAGAGCGGTGGCGTGGGCGGAGTGAACGCTGTTCAACTCCGCTTCGTGGGATCTTAAGAGGGCATCGTGGTCGACTGGGCACTTTGATGTGCCAAGGCCGGATGGTTGAAGAGCGGGGGATACTGGGGGACTAAGCTGTTGTGACTGGGTCATGGCCTGCTGGTTGCGAAGGTTTTCAATGGTATAGAGTGCCTTATCGCGTTCCTGTGTGGTTTTGTAGAGGGTATCTTGCAATTTGGTCTGTTCGGATATGATAGATTCGATCTTGGAAGAGAGGCGCGATATCTCGCCTTGTAGAACTGTAGTGAGTGCTCTTGATTCGGAGAGTTCCTGGCGTGTGCCTTCGAGTTGAAGTGTTTGCATGCGGTCTGAAGGTAAAGAATTCCGCAGCTGTAATCGAACTTCGCTGAGCTCTCTTTCCAAGGCTCGAATCCGCTCAGAGCTTTTTGTCGCCTCGCTCATAGACGACGCTCTCCTTGCATGGTACGCCCCCTTAATCGCATCCAAAATTTGATTGAAAGTCATATTTACCGTGATATCAATAGACACCTCGCTTGCGAAGGATTTCACTGCATTATATTGTGCATCGATTGCCGAATTTGCATTGTCCAATTCGATCTGGAGAGTATTGTTTCGTAACTCAGACTGTTGGAGGGCGTTAAAAAGGCCCTCATTCTTTTCTTCAAGGACTTCATATTCCCGATTTGCGGTATCAAGCTCAGAGTCCAGCTTGTCGATTTCGAGGTAATGGGCGTCCTGAGCAGCTTTCAACTGGTCGATCTCCGCGGCATGTTGTTTCAGCTGAGTGTCCTTGCTTGAAATATCCTCACTTGATTTTGTAGAGGCTGGCTTGTTCTCTGACAAAGGAGGGTCATCCCCATTTTTATCAACTGCAGTGTTTTTCTGAGAACCCTTACGTTGAAGTTGCTCCAACTCTTGACGGAGAGATCTTATTGTGGAAGGATCGGCTTCATGCTGCTCAAGTTGTTCATCTTTTTGCTGTAGCTGAATGCGCAGATTTTCTATTTCTTCGTCCTGCCCAGCTAGAATAGACAATTGCGCATCCTTCTCCTTCAGCGCGGCGTTCTTCTTTTGAAGTTCAGACTGTAGATGTTTTATCTGCTGAGAGGCAGACGCCGATTCCAAGACCATCTTTCTATTTGCCTCGATTCTTTCGTCCTTCTCGTGTAATTCTTCTTGGAGCCGCTTCATTTCTTCACGCAATTCACGCTCCACAGGGGCCTCCGCAAGATCCGGATTTGGCGGGGGCCATTTGCTCGGTGGTGATTGTATTGGAGAGGGTTCATCAATTTTGTCCAATGGCGCGTTACTTCTTGTAATTATATTTCGTCGCGGACGAACGTGTGCAGGGGTTGACATATCGAGTGGCGTATCCATCTCACTGTAGTCGTTTATCGTATGATCCGCAACGACTGTATTCTGACGCATTTCCTCCTGCGTTTGAGCTGGTTCTGACTTTGACGCGTTATCCTCATCGCTGTTTGTAAGGGCGCCTGTCCCTCTTACGAGTTCCACCATATTCAACGTAAAATCACGCGGACCTCCAAAGTCTGAAAATGAAACGTGTTTCTCCTTTGGCGAGTTCCCTTCGTGCGCTTCGTCGCGTTCACCTTCGTCATGATCAGAATGATGATCTGATAGCCTGCTCATATCAAATGTGTAGTCTGCAAGATTTGCTTCTGAATCGCTTCCATCACTGGGTTCAGGCGAACTGGCTGTCGTCTTCAGAGACCGCATCCTTCTTCGACGGGCAGTATTTGCGGCCAAGGAGTGAGTCGAACTGGGCTTCTTAGAATGTAAAATTGACTCCTGAAATGAGTTCATCAATCTAGGAGGCGATGAGGGTATAAAACTGGGTGTATTGAGGGAAGAACCCCCCAGGGTGTCGTGAGACGTGGGGAAGGGCGAGGTGAAGCCGTTACCAGCCATTTTGTCGCAAATGCTTCAGTTTCGGGATGTCTAGTCGCAGGTATTGGGAGGCAAATGGCAATGGTGTCCTATATCATAGTTAATCCCCCAAATCTCAGCATTAAACTGAAATGCAGACAAACGGAATGTTGCTATCAAGATCATGAAAGATGAACGGCGTTCGCATTGTTTACTTGTTCTGCTTCCGGCTTAGCTTGAATCGGAGCATCTCGACGGACATCGGTCCGATGATAGTCCGAAGGAGCACTCTGTGACGTCATTAATCGTCGCCGCCCTTTAGTCTGGAAGATTGGCGGCTGAGCGATGTTTGCGTGGACAATAGATTTTGCCCTCAAAAGAATCAGCGAACCTGGGGTTATGACATCGCGAACCGGCTGGAGATGAACTGCGGGGAAACGTCAGCTCTATTCGAGCCCATATCTAGGTTCTCCCTAATGTTGACGTTGGGGAAAACTTGGCTTTAAAGTCACTGAGGCATACCAATTATGAGCGAATAAACGGATAGGAATGGACTCTCTAGGGATTTCAAATTGATGATATGTTCTAGGTACCTCCGTGTAGCTTGCGCCGATATAATTATTAGCGTACACCAAAGGTTGAGATCGCCTGTGATGCCAACTGACCCATTGTCACGGATACTTGGTTTCTAGTCTCACGTATGTCATAGGTCATCTGAATAGGATAGCAGAGCCAGAGTAGAATCTTATATATTTACTACCGTCCGACCTGTTGGGTTCCGGCTGCCAGCAGAAAAATTTCAATATATGCATTTTATCGCATAGGTCACTCATTGACTAACCGACACAATGTCCACTATCCACAACTCGTACAGAAACGACTCCCATAACCACCATAACCACCATCACCACCAAAAGGTGTATCCGAACTTTAGCTTAAAGAATAAAGTATACGTCGTCACAGGTGGTGGTCGAGGGCTAGGGCTATGCATGGCAGAAGCAATGACAGAGGCTGGTGCCGAAGGTTTGTCCACCACAACAAGAACTCCAAAAACGCAATCCTGGTTGATAATATGCTAACTTGTTTCATACCTCCAGTGCACTGCCTTGATATACTTGAGGAACCTGCGCATGAATTTATCGAAACTCAAGAGCTAGCCGCCAGATCCCATGTTGGCTCGTTGCATTACCATCATCTTGATGTACGTGACACGATACTCCTCAATGACAAGATCGTAGATATCGCAGGAAGACATGACGGAATCGACGGTCTAGTGGCTGCCGCAGGCGTCCAGCAGATCATGCCTGCCATCGATTGTACCGCAGAGGATATCACACGGATAATGGATGTAAACTATACCGGGGCTTTCATGACCGCCCAAGCCGTGGCCAGACAAATGATCACATATAAAAACCACGGCTCCATCGTCCTAATTGCAAGCATGAGCGGCCTCATCGCAAACAGAGGTTTGATTTCGCCCGCATACAATGCCTCGAAAGCCGCATTGATTCAGCTGGCAAGAAGCCTTGCAATGGAGTGGGGTCATGAGGGAATTCGTGTCAATTCGCTCTCTCCGGGCCACATTGTCACACCAATGGTGGAGAAGAATTTTGAGGAAGTGCCTGGCCTCCAGGAGATCTGGGAGCGGGAGAATATGCTGGGCCGTCTGGCACGGCCGGAGGAGTTCACGGGCGCAGCTATTTTCATGTTGAGCGAAGCCAGCTCCTTCATGACTGGGAGTAATATAATCATCGACGGAGGCCACACTGCTTGGTAAAGGGAAGCTTGGGTTCGGGTTTTTGTGGCGGAATAATGTAATGTAGTGTAACGACTTTTCATGTACAAGCTAAATACTTCTTGCATGAGCGTATGAATTAATCGATATCAAGAGTATCTCCATGTGGTTCTTTCCCCCAGTTTTTATTTTTATTATTTTTATTTTTATTTTTATTTTTATTTTTATTTTTATTTTTCTCGCGTGGGTTTGTTCGTAGCCCTCCCGCCAACCGCTTCCGCCCCCGTCACCCAGCTGATGTGGTTGTTCCTTGTCCGGCATAACGTTATTTATTGTGGCGGACATATTACTTGCGAAAACAGAATTTTCCCAGCCCCCTCTGAAAATTAGTAGCAAAACACCACCAAAAAATCAAAATATCTGCATTTCTCTAGAATCATTCAATATCATCCAATACATGTCTTTTTCAATCAAATATCATTCAAATACACGTCTTTCTTACCTTTATCATCAATATGTCACCTCAACTCTGTGATTTCACTATCAACAAGATTGTACATCTTCTTAAGAATGATTATATGCCTGCTGAGATCGCGCGAAGCATTGAGTATCATCTGTGTATATTGAATTCAATGAAATCTTCACTGTTTTGAAACTGCTAGAGAACTCTGTTCAATATATGATATAAAGTCAAAGATCATATCAGATATCTCTTCAATTCTGAAGAGATTTGATGGAGATTTTGAAGCTTTTTTGTATCATGCAGTTGAGAACTTCATAAGAGAAAAAGATATAAAAGAATATTTCAGATCTACTTATATAGAATAGTATTATAATAATTAGAAAGATTCAGATTACAATTCATTATAATATAAATTTAGAAGTGAAAGCAGTATGAGATCTGTTCTTATCACTATAAATAGTGAATAAAGATGATTTGAATTTCTGCAATTTTGTCTGTTATAATGAACTTTTTAACCCATCTCTTATAATTTGAAATATACTCTTGTCAATATTCATATGAAGCAACTGTTCCCTTGTCAATCAATTGAAGTATTCATCAAATTAAGGTATTGGACTGCTTTGAATTGGAGATGGAACAGTGGATTCAATGGAAGATTCAACGGCGGATTCGATGGAAGATTTCAATGGCGGATTCGATGGAAGATTCAACGGCGGATTCGATGGAAGATTTCAACGGCGGATTCGATGGAAGATTTCAACAGTGTATTCGATGGAAGATTCAATGGCGGATTCGATGGAAGATTCAACGGCGGATTTGATGGAAGATTTCAACAGTGTATTCGATGGAAGATTCAATGGCGGATTCGATGGAAGATTCAATGGCGGATTCGATGGAAGATTTCAACAGTGTATTCGATGGAAGATTCAACGGCGGATTCGATGGAAGATTTCAACAGTGTATTCGATGGAAGATTCAACAGTGGATTCGATGGAAGATTCAACAGTGTATTCGATGGATATTCGATGGAAGATTCAACGGCGGATTTGATGGAAGATTCAACGGCGGATTCGATGGAAGATTTCAACAGTGTATTCGATGGAAGATTCAACGGTGGATTCGATGGAAGATTTCAACGGTGGATTCGATGGAAGATTCAACGGCGGATTTGATGGAAGATTTCAACAGTGTATTCGATGGAAGATTCAATGGCGGATTCGATGGAAGATTCAACGGCGGATTTGATGGAAGATTTCAACAGTGTATTCGATGGAAGATTCAATGGCGGATTCGATGGAAGATTCAACGGCGGATTCGATGGAAGATTTCAACAGTGTATTCAATGGAAGATTCAACGGCGGATTCGATGGAAGATTTCAACAGTGTATTCGATGGAAGATTCAACGGTGGATTCGATGGAAGATTCAACAGTGTATTCGATGGATATTCGATGGAAGATTCAACGGCGGATTTGATGGAAGATTCAATGGCGGATTCGATGGAAGATTTCAACAGTGTATTCGATGGAAGATTCAACAGTGGATTCGATGGAAGATTTCAACAGTGGATTCGATGGAAGATTCAATGGTGGATTCGATGGAAGATTTCAACAGTGTATTTGATGGAAGATTCAACGGTGGATTCGATGGAAGATTCAACAGTGTATTTGATGGATATTCGATGGAAGATTCAACGGTGGATTTGATGGAAGATTCAACAGCAGATCTGAATGTGAATGATAATGAGATTGTGAATTCAGTTCTTCTATTCCTTTCATCATATATTTCATCATCATCACATTGATTATCTCACTTGAGAATGTCATATTGAATGAAGTTGAAGCTGTCAGAGCTGAAGGAGAGAATATAATCACTGACATTTGAGAGATCTGTATAGAAGAATTGATTGTAGAAATTATAGATTCATTCTTCTAATTCTTCTTCTTCTTTCTACTTATTAATCATTTTGTCATCTCTCTTGTTCTTTATCTCATTGATAATCACTCATTCATACAATCTATATGAGATGTCAGGCTCAGGTGTAGGAATTCACAGATATCAAGGATCCTCAGACTGAGTCTCTATATCCTTCTCATTCATCTGCTCCTCCATCTCATCATTGACCAGATCCTCTCCATTATCCAGAACTTCTGGAACAGGTAGTTTGGGGAGACTGAGGCGCAGGGTAGGAGTCTCTGTACAGGCTTGCGAAGCAGCAGAACAGCGGGCGTTGCAAGGCATATTGAAAAAAGGGTTGATTGATATATGTGGATTTGATGATAAAGGTAAGAAAGACGCGTATTTGGATGATATTTGATTGAAAAAGACGCGTATTGGATGATATTGAATGATTCTAGAGAAATGCAGATTTTTTGATTTTTTGGTGGTGTTTTGCTACTAATTTTCAGAGGGGGCTGGGAAAATTCTGTTTTCGCAAGTAATATGTCCGCCACAATACTAAATATCTACCCCTTGTTCCCGGTCACATTTCTGTCAACAAACACAAATCCTCAACATTCAAACCACGGACATACCTCCAAATAACCAAACATCTCTCTTCCATCTTTGATAAACAAAATAGAGAATACACCCCCCATCATGTTCTCATTTCTTCCCACAGTCAACCTCCCGACGCTCGTCCTCCTCCATGCCCTGGGTCTCACCGCGCTCGGCACATACCTCACCTTTACTCGGATTCCTACGACACTTGGGATAGCAAGCACGGGCCTAGGTCTGTCTTACCTCTTCACATCCTACGTGCCCATCGAAGAAAATCAATTCCTCCACGCCAGCGTACCAGTGCGCATGATTCTGGCAGCTTTGGCAGCTGCGCGGCTTCCGACTGCGCCCAAATCGGAGCGCAAGAGTCTAATGATTCTCATTTTGTATGATTTTTTGGGCGGGTTGATGGTGGGATATATTCTTGGCCAGTGGAATGGGAAACTCCCGGGGTATTGATAGAACAGATTGTATTCTGCGACGAGGATTGGATTTGACTGGTTCAAAGAAGGCGGGGATTCGTATATATATCGTGGGATTGGGGCTAGGGCTCTCGGATAGATAAACACACCCCTGGATGGATTATGGCATTGTCGCGCTCTCCGCAAATAATGCGGCATTGATCGATTCAAAGTTCTGTGAAATGGAGATTGTTCAATTATTTTGACACATGTGGAACTTCCAAGGTTCTAAATATAGAAAACCCACGTGATATAGACCATCTCCAACCTTGGGTTGCAGACCCAGAATGCCCCGCGCTTCTTTGTGCGGACCGGAAGAAGATTTACATATATGCTGCTGAAATCAGATGTTCTCGCTGGTGATAGGTATATAATAAGAACGTCTGTTACCATCGTTTCAAACCCCTGTGTCTTCGAAGTCGAGGGAGTTTGCCTTCACACAAGATACCGCGCAGCCGATGTAAGGGGGCACATTATCAGAGCAACTCCGCATACCTGTTGGATTGCTAATACTATCAAAAGGATTTTTTCTTTTTCGAGGTTCAGCAACTTTTAAGAAATTCCCATCATTCTCGTCGTGGAGCTGACCAATGCCTCCTATCCCTGGAAATGGGGCATTCAATCAGCCGCGCATTGTCTGCTACTACCAGACCTATTACCCAAACACCAGCACCACATACATCTCAATGCTACCTCTGATGCTTAATAACTCGGGTATAACACATGCCATTCTTGCTGCCATCCACATTAATGGGGAGCCAAATAATATAACCCTGAATGATCACTGCCCGGAGGATCCCCGGTACCTGCCCCTATGGGCAGAAGCACGCGTTATGCAAACCCAGGGGATCAAAGTCATGGGCATGCTGGGCGGAGCTGCGCGGGGGACCTTCGAACGGCTGGATCAAGATGCTTCTACCTTTGAGCGGTATTATGTTCCTCTTCGAGACATGATCCAGAACCACGCTCTCGATGGCTTAGACCTTGACGTGGAGGAGGACATGTCACTTGAAGGTATTATCCGATTAATCGATCGTCTCAAGGCGGATTTTGGGGAACATTTCATCATCACTTTGGCACCTGTTGCCACCGCCCTGATCGAGGGACTGCCGCACTTGTCTGGCTTCGATTATAAGGCACTCGAAGCTGCTAGGGGCTCGAAGATTGCATGGTATAATACCCAATTTTATAATGGCTGGGGCGGCATCGACACTACCGGAGTGTATGACAGGATAATTGCAGAAGGATGGGCGCCAGAGAAAGTTGTGGCAGGAACCTTAACCAATCCTGGAAATGGATCCCAGGGTTATGTGCCAATGGACAAGTTAAGCGCGGTTCTGGGAACGTTAATGCTAAGATATCCAACTTTTGGAGGAGTTATGGGGTGGGAATATTTCAATGCGTTTCCTGATGTCCATAGGCCATGGCAGTGGGCTGCTTGTATGTCTCTGGTGATGGGGATGAAAAGTGTATACTCGGCGGTAGCTGCATGGAATATTCAACAGACACGATCAAATTAGCTCAATATTGTATTTTATTTATGGTCTATTATTGTCCTCCTTTGGTTGTTTGCGGGGACCGCAAAGACATTTCGAGATATAGGTTATTTATTTACCCTTTCGCTATTGCTTTTGTCTGGTTTTTGCTCGGAGTTTTTTTCATTGGGAACGTTGCTGCCTATGGCGTCATAAATTTACTTAAATAAATACCAAGTCCACAACACGAGGCGCAACTTCACCATCCCCCGTTCAACAAGCCACGTATTAATAAATAACAGAAAACTCAGCGTCCATCCGGTGCAGGAGAGGGTGGAATTGCGATCGCTTTGATAGGATTGCTCCCCATGCGAATTCCTGTAACGTTATGCCTTCCTTCCAGGTATATGTAGCTGCAACAAGCTCTGCTCTGATTCGGTTTTTGGGCTATCTATTCCTGCGATGGGTACGGTTGCAGTGTCTTTTCCTATAGTATTGGATCCCATTTCTCTGTCATGGGTATTCTACTAACTATGTAAAAAAAAAAAGGTTCCAGCACACCATGCCCCGCCGCTAATTCTCACCTTGTTGTTGGTGAACCTGACCGCAGTTTTCGTGATTGTCACAGGTGAAGCGACAAAAAGCTCGAGAAGAGGTGGCACGACCGGAAACGCGCAAAAGGATGCCATAGCGACAAAACGAAGCTTGAGTTCGGGAAGTGGTGGCAAAGGCAAATATGAGAGGGCAGCATCTTCGTTGTTCGTCCTTGCAACTGGTATTCCGTCCACACGCGCGAGGTACACCAATCTAGCTACAGTCGGGGTCAACATTTTACTGGGCCTTGCCACACTTGATGTCCTTCTTCGGGGCCATTACATGTATCCCACGACCGATTTGGCCTTTTCACGAGTTGGATACGTGTCGCCAACGACTGCAAAAATCCTCATTCGCGAGCCCGACGCCGCACAACTTCCCATCCGTACATCCTACCGCGTAATGGAAAATGGTCGAGAGGGGGAGTTGATTGACGCGGGAACAATAGCTGTTCTCAACAATGACACCGATTACACTTACGCTGTTACGTTGACTGGACTTCAGCCCTCAATGGACTATCGATACTCGTTCTCAAATAACCTGTCCGGCCACTTCACCACCGCGGCAGCTCCAGGCTCCGCCGCGGCAAACAGACTCAGTTTCCTGAGCTCGAGTTGCATGAAGCCGAATTTCCCATATAATCCTCTAAACCACCCATTGCGTATCTACGGCCTCGAGGTTATTTCCAAGATCATGTCGAAACTCCCATCCCTCTCACGACCCTCGTTTATGCTTTTCCTCGGAGATTTTATCTACATTGACGTACCCTTCCGCTGGGGATCTTCCACCTCCGACTACCGCAGCGAATACCGTAAAGTCTATGCATCCCCATCATGGCACAGCGGCCCAGAACCCGCAATCAACATCCCCTGGCTCCATACTCTGGACGACCACGAGATCGCCAACGACTGGCATTTAGGAAACATAACCGACCCTTATCCAGCAGCATTCGACCCATACCGCCATTATCACATGAGCGTGAACCCTCCCATTGACAAATCTCCATTCTCCATCCCTATCAACACCACCTACTTCTCCTTCACAAATGGCCCTGCTTCCTTCTTCATGCTAGATACGCGCACGTATCGCTCAGAACCGTCACAGGAAAATTCTACAATGCTCGGCTCCGCGCAGCTAAATTCCCTTCTTGCATTTATTTCTCGCCAGGAGCCCGCTGGTGTGGAATGGAAAATAATCACTAGCAGCGTGCCGTTCACAAAAAACTGGCGCGTTGGCACGGAGGATACATGGGGTGGGTTCCTAGGTGAACGACGCCGGATTTTCGACGCTATCTGGCGCGCGGAACGGGAGTTGGGAATCCGTGTCGTGCTCTTGAGTGGCGATAGACACGAATTTGGCGCGACGAGATTTCCTGATCCGTCCCTGTCGGCTACAACAGCGTCAAAAGCAGAGAAGGGCGGTAGCATTAGCATTGAGGATGGAACAGGCATTCATGAATTCTGCACTGGCCCGCTGAATATGTTTTACATTCCCGCGGACTCCTACGTACAGACAGATGATGAGGATGTCTTAATCAAGTACCTGCCCGCTGGTAATAACAAGGTGGCCCTAATCAACATCGACGTTGAGGACGGTAGGAATTCGGTGTTAAGGTATTCCCTGTATATCGATGAATATCTGGTGTGGGAATACAAGCTAGCTAGGCCCTTAGTGTGGGAGGAAGGGCAGAGTCGGAGATTGCCGCCTGGAGAAGTGGCGTTTGACAAATTTGGAGACGGGACCTTCGTGGATAAAGTGCGGAGCGTTTTGGGTGAGGTTGAGGTATTAGTGAAGCCTCTGATCAAATCGGCTGTGCGTGCGGTTAAGTGGTTAATGCTGCGGGTGCTGCAGAGGGAGGTTGGGTCAGAGGTGTAGAAGGGAGGGAGACACTAAACCCCACCCCTCCCCAGCTTTCCCCTGTTGGATGTGCTGTACATATTATATACGGAGCGTATTTTAACACTTCTTTATTTATTATATAGAATTATCAGTGCAATTATAGGTTGTCTCTTCAGCCACTATTACTTTGGAAGGTCGTACTGGTGTTGGTACATGTACGTGCATGGCCCCTGGCCGCGGGCCGCTGGAAAAGATAGCTTTTGTACTGCACATGAAATTACATAGCTGCTTTCCAGCGTGCCAATTTGAGTATGTATTATATATACAACAAATCAAAGTTGTAAGCAATGGGTAGGTAGATGTGCGAGTCAGAGTAATGAACATTAAAACATCATAAAGTACTCCGCAATCACAAGAAGAGAAACACATTAAACCCGAAATCAAGCGAAAGAAACAACGGGGAAAATCTTGAAAGAAAAGAACTCGAAGCTCGCTCCGTTAACGCCTTTGTATATCATATGTGTCATACAATATTAGAAGAAAAAATACACCCCATCGAAAATAAAATGGGGACAAATGAACGCAGATAATTAAATAATGAATGAGGGTGGGTTAAGACGAGTTTATCTTCCCCTCCCTCGTCCACTCCCAGCTCCACCGCCCCCTCCCATCAACCCGCTCATCTGGCTCATCATGCTCTGCAAATCCATTCCTCCTAATCCAGGCATCCCACCCGCGCCACCCGCGCCACCAGCGCCCCCACCACCGCCAAACATTTGCATCATCTTCGCCATATCACCCATCCCCGGCATCCCGCCTGCACCGCCCATAGCGGCCATGCGCTTCTGCATAGCAGCCATCTGCTGCTCTTTATTACCGCCCTTAAGCATATTCTGCGCGCGCTGCATGTGCTTCTTCTGCCCACCAACTCTCTTCGCCATTCCAGCCATCATCTTGTGTTGGGAGAGCAGGTCCTCGACTTCGCGAACGGTGGTGCCGCTTCCGCATGCAACGCGCACGATGCGGGAAGGCTGGTCGATGAATACTTTGCCGTCGCCGTCGAGTTCTGCGGCGGTCATGCTGTCGAAGATGTAGATCATCCGGCGGAGTTTGAGGGAGCCGTCTTCGTCGTCGAGGCCTGAGGTGATGTTTGATAAGCCTGGAATCATGCTTGAGATCTTGGAGAGGGGTCCCATTTTCATGATGGATGTGATATTTTCGCGGAAATCGCGTAGCGTGAAAATTCCGGCCGAGATGTGTTTGTAGGTTTCTTTGGCGGTTGCGGAGTCCTTCGTTACGGCTTGCACGTGTTCGACTAAACTGGCCATGTCGCCCATGCCTAGAAGTTTTTGGATGAATGGCTTTGGAGCAAATCGTTCGAGGTCTAGCATATGTTCTCCCGTTCCTAGGAAAATGATGGGTGTGTGGGTTGCGGCGACGGCGGAGATGGCACCTCCACCAGCAGCACTACCGTCTGTTTTAGTGATTATTATAGCACCGAAATCTGCTGTAGCTTTGAATGCAGCGGACTGGGATTCCGCGGCTTGTCCGATAGTACCGTCCAGTACCAAGATGGTTTGATCTGGTTTTATGGCCGTTTGAATCTGTGTCATTTCCGTAAATAGATCTTCCTCCTGCTTATGTCTACCACTTGTATCGACAATGATGATATCAAAACGCTCCTTCTTGAACTTTGCCACACCCTCTGCAGCCACCACGGCGGGATCTGTCTGTGTCAAGCTGCCGAAGTACGGGATCTTTGCTTTTGTCGCATTCTGCTTGAGCTGATCGAAAGCACCTGCACGGAAAGTATCCGCGCAAACAAGGGCTGCTCGGAAACCACGAGTCTGATAATGCCGAGCCAGTTTCGTACATGTCGTCGTTTTACCCGCACCCTGTAGACCAACAAACATGATAACATTGGACCTCCCCTTCTTCGGCTTGAAGGGTTCAGCATGAGGGTCTACCAGAGCCACCAGCTGATCAAATACGGTTTTTTGTATTAGGCGCTTCTTATTTACAGCGGGCGGCAGGGAGGAGAATGGCACGGCGGCTTTTATGGATTTGCGAAGGGACTGGACGAGGCGGACGTTGACGTCGGCTGATAGAAGGGCGGCGCATATCTCTTTGATCATAGCATCGAACGCCTGCGTTGTAGAGTTAGAAAATGAGTTCATTTCACGACGCATATATTTATTACGCAAAATAAAAGTATATATATACCTGTTCATCGAGGTTATTTGATCTTGTTAAGTCGTTGACGGCGGCGTTGATGCGCCGCCCCAGGTCTTGAAGGACCATCGCGGGGAAGCTGTGGGGAGAAGACGAAGGGACAAGGACTGGCTAGTTCAGCGGGAGGTAAGGAATATAGCTGAAATATCGACTATAGGGACTTTAGCAATGAAATCAAAACCCGGAGATTCTTCTGGTGAATCTGGGGTATTAAGTTTCTCCGGGGTATATTGAAGCTGTGAAGTGGGTGTAGATGGTTAACTTGCGGCGGAAATTCGATCGTTGAAGGTGTGCTGAAGTCATGTGACCGAGCTCTGGGTGGAATTTTTAGTTTTTTCAATATAAATACTTCTTGTTATTCCACCTCCACCATTTTGTAGAGGTATATAAACTAAATTACATATATCTCTCCCAATGGCGCCTCCGTCATTCAAGAAGCGCAAGGTCGAGGATGGCATGAACGGCAGAACCTCGAGGCCGAAAAAGAAGTTCAAGAAGCAGCGGGTATACCACAGCAGCTCAGAGGATGAAAACGACTCAGACCACAACGATGAAGTGTTCACCGCAGTCAATCTGCAAGACTCCGACAGCGAGAAAGAGGAGCAATTAAGTAAAGAGGTCCAAAAACAAAAACTGCCGGCAGACTCGGATGACGAAGAGGAAATTACTGCAGTCACTGCTACGAAATCTCGCCTAGCAGCAGCCGACGAGGATGAAGCCTCAGACTCAGGCTCAGACTCAGGCTCAGACTCAGACTCCCACGGTGCATCTTATGCGGCTTCGGCCTCCGGTTCCGACCTAGACTCAGACGATTCCATGTCCGGCCCAGACGCCTCAACTAACACCCGCCGCAAGAAGCTTTCCAAACGCAACGACCCCACCGCCTTCTCGACCTCCATCTCCAAAATCCTCTCAACAAAACTACCCACCGCAGCCCGCGCAGACCCTTTACTCTCACGAAGCAGATCTACGGCGGAAACTACGTCCGAGCTCGCCAATGAGAAGCTCGAGAGCCGCGCGCGTGCGAAGCTACGGGCTGAGAAACGCGAGGAGCTGGAGCGTGGGCGGATACGAGACGTCCTTGGTGTGGATAGGGGAGAGGCCGGCGACACTGCAGAGCAGGAGAAGCGGTTGCGGAAGATTGCGCAGCGGGGTGTGGTTAAGCTGTTCAATGCCGTGAGAGCGGCACAGGTGCGCGGAGAGGAGCTGGCGAGGGAGGAGAGGAGGAAGAGGGGTATTGTTGGGATGGCGGAGCGAGAGAAGGCGGTCAATGAGGTTAGCAAGCAGGGGTTTTTGGATTTGATTAATGGGAAGGGCGGGAAGAGCTTGAATATTGAAGAGGCATGAGATATGAGATATGGTTGTCTTTTTTTTTCTTTTTTGTTCCGCTGTTGTTTCCCGGCTACGCTTATGTATGCATTTTTCTATTTTGACTGTGCGGATATTAAAATGGGCGTTCTTTGGAATATATTTTTGTAGATTTTAATGCATTCACTCTGGAGAAATGTTTTGTTGTGTGCTTGTCTATTGGGGGAATATATAATACAAATGTCGCAAATGCGACTATACACACCGGGCGAAGATCGATCAATATACAAAAAGCAAAGTAAAGAAATTCCACCATGACCTACTTGGGTCCTGCTCAGCGGAGATGGTTTGCCACGGGCGCCATAATAGCACTATTTAATCAACAATTGGAAAAGTGAACGTCCCCCCAAGGATTCAGTAGAAATACATACATATATATGTATGTATGAACGCTGTTCCCAGGCGAAATTCGCATAAACCCCTCAAATACTATTTCTGCTCAAAATCGCTTGCCTGCAAATTCCGTGTCATGCTTGGTAGTCGTACAACGAGGCCATCCAGCTCCTTGCTCATTTTCACCTGGCACCCCAGCCGCGAGGTCTCGGTCAAGCCAAAGGCAAGGTCGAGCATGTCATTCTCGTCGTCGTCAGGCTCCTCCATCTTATCGTACATGTCGGGATCTTCCACGATGACATGGCAGGTTGAGCATGCGCATGATCCACCGCAGGCACCTAAGGTTGGGGCGGGGGCCGAGTTTGTATTAGCCCGGCATATACATAGAAATTATCTTGAAAACTGCCACCATTTCAATAGCACCTGTATATTGCGGTAGGAGAAAGAATTGGTTTTTTCTACCTTCCATCTCTAAATCATTTGCTTGGGCAATATCCAGCAAGTTGTCGCCCTTGGCCACCTGGAAATGGTACTTCTCGCCGTCCTTGTCTATGAACGTCACATTGAGCCTGGCAGGGGCGGAGTTATTAGTTCCTGTTGAAATCCTACGTAAGGGCGTAATGCGCTGGACTCAAAATATTCTCATCACTCACTCTTCCCCTGGTTTGGGAGGTTCAATATGCCCATGCGATGCAAGCGCGGTAGCCGAAAATCTCCGTCTTGCCCGGATAGCATTTTCCGAACATTGTGCATTTAATCCGGCGCTTCGTAGATTCGGCGACCTGAGGTATACTGAGTGTCCATGGTCTTTGCTACTGAAAGGCCTTGAAGCTGAGATCTTAGAGGCACTCCAGCATGTTGATGACTGCCGAACGAGGGGTCTGCCGTCCTTGAGGAAATGTGATGCGGAGATTCGCAACTGGCGGGTTATGCTGTTGCATATCGACATGGCTGCGGAGAGGAGGTGTGTGCAGAACCGAGATATCCGGCCTTTGTAGATAAATACCAATGCAGCAGTGTTGGAATGCAGTAAATGGGAGCTGGGGTATCTTTCTTAAATATTTATTGCGGGGAGAAATATCGTTGCGTGGAATTGTTGTTCGGGTTTAACGAAGTATTCGAGCAAATATTGCGACGTTGAGAGAAAAAGAGAGCGGCGACTGGCTTGGACGACCGCGAACTCGGCCCAAAAACAGAAGAAAAAAAAAAAAAAAAGAGAGAAAAGGGAGCAACAATTTCATCATCGGCCACAACATCCACCAACAGACATCCCACAATGCTCCCCCACAAACAACAACAGCCATAGATACCTTCCATAAATACCCCATAAATAGATAGCAGGCCAATTTCTCGCTAATCTAGCTGGGGAAAACAAATCAACACGCCCTCCGCCGCTCATCATGGGCTCGTCCTCTGAAGGACCAAACCCGCTCCGCCCATACTACGTCCCTCCATCCATCGGCCTACCCAAGTCTCCGCCAAATGCTGTCTCTGGGACGCTCGTGAACAAGGCGACTATCAGAAACTCGACGCGGGAGATCTTCTCGGACTTTGACTACTCCGAGTACCTGGGGGAGTCATCCCCGACGATTTCAGACTCCCTCAAGGAGCTGGCGGAAAAAGCGCTATGGAAGTACACCAGCGTGTTGACAGCCCAACCATTCGAGGTTGCAAAGACCATTCTCCAGGTATATGTTGCGCAGGATGCGCAGGCGGCTTTAGCGGGTAGAGATGAGAGGCAGCGACGGGATCATGGGTATCGGGACAATTACTACGACGAGGTATGTATTGTTTGATGGAACTCAGAGTTCCTTAACATACAGACATTTAGATTTATGAATATACAAGTAGATAACTTCTACTAACGCGAGGTGTGATGTAGGATTCTGCGCCCTCGTCCGATGATGAAAGCAGTTATTTCACATCAGATGCTGCTCTAACTCCTGCTCCATCCTCCCGAAACCGCCGTTCCCGGCCTCGCATCACGGATAGGCGTGGCTATATACCGCCTGGCACTGCTCCAGCTAATAAAAACATGCTCAAAATCAAGGATCCCTCCGCTCTATTTGACGTATTGTCTCAGCTCTGGGGCACGAGTGGTGTGACTTCACTATGGAAGGCGTCAAATTCATCATTCGTGTACTCACTACTCCTCCCAACCCTCAATACTTTTATCCGGAGCCTCCTATCAGCTATCCTAGCCTTTCCGGAGGAAGGCCTCTCGTCTCTCGCCGAGCCTGATATCCTCACATCATCATCCCCCGGTTCCTCTTTACTACTAACGTGCATTTCTTCTGCTCTTTCCGCCATTCTCCTCTCCCCCATCGATACGACCCGCACATATCTCATTCTCACCCCACTAAACCAGGGGCCACGATCACTCCTCCGTGCCATCCGCCTCCTTCCCACTCCCAGCTACCTAATCCCACCACATCTCCTTCCAATTACAATTCTAAATGCGACTCTTCCCAATCTCCTAACAGGCGCCACGCCGCTCTTCCTCAAATCGTACCTGTCCCTCGACCCTGTCCTCAACCCCTCATCATGGAGCGTATTCACCTTCTTCGCATCATGCCTGGACCTAGCAGTCCGCTTTCCCCTCGAAACCGTCCTCCGCCGCGCGCAAATAGCCACATTCACCTCCCCAGCGTTACGCCAGCAGGGCAGCCTCCTCCCTAGCCCTAGCCCTAGCCCAACCTCTACAACAGCCCCGCCACCGCTCCCCCGGAACACAAGGAAATCATCCGCAGCACCTGCTGTGGTTGAAACCATCGTCCCCACGCCACAATCCTACCGCGGCATAATCGGGACAATGTGGACTATAGTCTATGAAGAAGGCACAAACCCACACGCCCTCGAGCTCGAGGAGGTATATGCGCGGCACGGCGCGCAGTCCTCACAGTCGCCCCGGCCGTCCTCAGCGCAGGGGACGGCGACAAGCCGACGGGCACAGAAGCAGCGGCAGGGGCAGGGCGTGCAGGGTCTGTATCGCGGCTGGCGTCTGGGGATGTGGGCTCTCGTTGGCGTGTGGGGCTCGGGCATTTTGGGCTCGGCATTGGGTACTGGCGATGATGAGATGGTTGCTGGTCCTGGAGGTGCTAGGTTGGCGTTGGAGTCTGCGGGTGGCAGGGCGGGGAGTGCGTCTACCAAGGGTGCATTTTGAATGCCAAATTTGAAGGACCATACACTTCATTTGCTGATACGCAAGTGTGTGCAGGTGGTATGTGTGTGGTATCTGTCCTGCGGCGCCTTTCGAGCTATTGTCATCTTATAATATATCTGTTACGACCTTTCTGGATATCTTTGATCCTATCAACCTCATACACTACGTCCGCTTTCCCCTACCTCACCCCTGTAGCAGGAAAACGAAAATTCGGTGTATATAAATAATGAGCCGGGGAAAATACGTTGGCGTGGGTAAACCGAACCCTGCTTTTCCTAGCCCCCTTACTCTCATCTCCTTTGGAATGAATCTTTTCTCTTTCCCTGGCGTAGTTGTCAAGTCTAGGAAACACAAAACTTCTCCCCCCTGCCCCCCCATTTTATTGTACCTACGTACGTGTGGACCTATGTGCATGTACTATTATATTCTATTCCTATTCTTATCATCTCCTTTTCCAAAATCTTTTTCTTTTTTTCGAACAGAAATCTAACGCACGCAAAGGAGTATTTCCTAAGGGGAAAGAAAAAATTAAAAAAAGGAAAAAAAAACCTAATGTATCCAAATAAAATTTAATCCTTCTTCCTTCTCATCCCCTTTCTCCTGACTCTTTTCCTCTCCCAGCGGCCCAGTGCGATTTGTTTCTACCCGTCCGCGAGGTTTTCCCCATACCGATCGATATATTTGTGGCAATGGGCATGTTTTGTACTTGTCGTACACTGGAAACGCTGATGATATATATTTTCAATTATTTTTGGTCAATTGCCAATTGCTACTCCTCCCAAGGCGAACTTTGTGCTACACATACGTGAAGAGACACTAACAGGCGAACAGAAGGGAGAGGGTTTTTTTCCTTTTAAATGCATAATCTCAACATTATCAACACAACCAAAGGAAAGGAAAGGAGAAGAAAACAATGGATAAGTTGGAGTGGGGTAAATGTGGAATATTGGGGGAGGGTTGGAAAGTGAAAGTAAGGCTTTTTTCCTCTTTTTTTTCCCTCTTTTTTTTCCCTCTTTTTTTTCCACCTTGAAAGTGAAAACAGCATCGCATCAGAAAAGAGAAAGGAAGAGAAAGGGCCGGAAAAAGAAGAAAGGAAATGAAAACTAGAACCTCACTTGCCTCCCCTCCCGTCTCTTTGACTTTTAATATTTTTTTCCTTCTTTTTTTTCTTTTCTCTTTTCCTTTCTTTTTTCGTCTATTTTCCCCCTCTTTATTTAAACAGGAAAATTGCTGCTTTATAATACAATATCTGCCTGAATGCAGGCTGGAGTGGTGTTGAGGAGGACAGGACAACCTAATCAAATAGGTAGTATGAAGCTGAAAGGCAACAATGACGCGTTACCTCCAGGATACAATATGATCAACGTTCATTAGAACCTCTCTTTAGAATCAGATAAAATATCGTAACACAATCCAAAGGACAAAGAAACTAAAAGGCAAAAAGCGGTTTGACAGAGCGCTTGCTCGCAAGCTGCCTGTTATTTTGTTTTCAAAGCTACTAGTCAGCAAACCGTCTATCGAAATACTTCAACACGCCCATAACGCTCGCCGCCTCGACCTCCATCGCCGGCCGACCGCCATAATTCGACTGCGGGAGGTCACGGGGATTAGGCAGGGTGTGCAGGCGCGGTAGCCAGGTGTTCAAGTCGTCCGCGGCGCGGGAGAATTTGGGATGACGCGACAGTGCCGTGTAGGTATCTGCGCAGGAGAGGGTGATGGGTTGATGGTGTTGAGCTGACGATGTTGATGATGAGAGTTGGGATGAGGTGGGTCTTTGCAGTTGGGACTGGGATTGGCAGCATCCGCCGCCTGGTCCGCCACCTCCACAACATCCTGAGCCTCCGGGGGCAGCGGCGTTGCTGGCGAGAGAGGCGGCGAGGCTCTTGCAGAAGAGCGTACTTTTGGGGTCGGCTTGGCATTGTGCGCAGGTTCCGGGTCCGTTGATGCATGGATTAGATTTGTTTGGGTTTGCTGAGTAAACGGGCTCGGATAAGACGTCGCCATCCGAAGGAGGAGGGGTAAATTGGGATAGGTTTCTGATTGTTAATCTATTGCCTTTTTCGGGTGATTTGGCGGGGCCCGAATTCATTTCTTCCTCCTCGGCGGCCATTTCCGCACACATGCACGGCGTGCCATCTTGACAAAAGCCGCAATGGTCTATGATTCTAGAGGGAGACACCGACGGTTCTGTGGCTCGAATAGTACGGTCGCGGTTGCCAGAGAACAGGGCGGTGAAATCGGTTTCCAACTCCTCCGGTTCTGTTTTGATATTAGTATCTAGTCTGTGGCGTTTTGATGAATTTGTCTGGTGCGGAGAGTGTGCTCTTTTTGGGGTGCTCTCGTCTTGCTGGTCAGGAGCAGCGTTGGAAAGCCCGAAAGCATCCTCGATGCATTGGCATCGTGTTGAGGAGCAGTTCTCACAGGTAGCGGCCATCCCTCCCACTTCGGATACTTGTTCTGCAAGCTGAACCCTTTGCATCAACTCTTCCTTGGCCTTTTTCTCCGCTGCAAGGTTGGTCTCTAGAGTCTGGCATTGTTTCTTCCACCATGATATTTCAATTTTGCATTGTTCCAGCTGGCCGGAAATATGGTCTATACGCTCCTTCCATGCGGCTGTCTGTCTCCCATTCTCTTCTTCAATTTGCCTGATTTGCTCTTCTAGTTCGCCAACCCTTGCTGCCCTTCTCTCGCGAAACGCTCTCTGAGCAGCGCGATTTTGAGCCTTCCGTTTTGTTGGTGGGGTGTCTGTAGCTGGCTTGCGTCCAGGTTTAGGTCGAGGGGGAATAACCCATTCTTTTGACGTGATAGTTGTGGGCTTGAGGGGTACCGGCGTAGGCGTACCAGCAGCAGCCAGCGGCTTCACGGAAAGCGACGGTTGGCGGGACGGCACGGCTGGTGCGAGAGGAGCAGGGGAGTTCGTCGAACTTGACGAAGGAGTCGAAGCAGCGGACATAGCCGACATGATAGTCTCTTGGTATGTCCTACTTGTATGGTGGGATAGTAGTCGCGGAATTTGGTCTTGCTGCGTGTCTACTAGATATATCCCCTCTTAACCGATTTGCAGTGCCGAAGTCATCGACCAAGACGCACCAGGTCATCGCAAGGGAACAAGATTCAATTAAGTTTGAACTATGCGTTGAACAATAAGCTGTTGTTATTCAAACAGTGACTCGGCGATGAATGGCTGTGAGGAAGTTTTCGTCCTGGCCAACCATGAGGGCAGAATTGAAGCAGGAAGAATAAGCCGCGGGGGATTCGGAAGATCAGATTAGATTATCGTGCGACATGTTGCTCACGTGGTTTCTTGCCGACGTCCGATGTCTTGGCATTGTTTCCGTTATCTGATCGCCAAGCTCGGGTTATCTGATGGAAAAGGTCGGCCGTCTTTCCGTTTTCGGCCTAACCCACCACGTTCTACAACGAAACATATAAATTTGTTCGTCGTGCTAATATTGGCTGCAAATAACTGAACAACCTCGGAGGAGATCTTATTCTGTTGCCTAAGACCCCATTTTTTACGACAAGGGCGGACTTCGTCGCAAATTCTTGGGGCTCACGGAGAGGAGAGCATATACCGACTAGGGAGTAGCTAGCTCACGCCTTACATAAACCGGCTTCTGCGTCTCTACCGCTATTTGGAAGCACTAAAGGTTCCCACTCTTCTGCAGCGCAAGTGTAAATAATACGACCTGCACCATGAGTCAGGGCTTGAGAAGGATCTTATATAAGATGAAGACCCTTCCCATGCCTCCTCAAGCAACGCATTCGTACCTCTAACTCACCCCCAGAACCCCCGACTCCAAAGTCGAATCGAAGTAGCCAACCATGCCACCAAGCCCTGTTGTTGCCAGCCAGAAGGTTCTTGACCTTCTTCAAAAGCTCCATGCAGCCTCTCTCGCCCAAGAGCATGCCCTATCCACCGTCTTCTGGTTTATGACTAGAAAATTGCGTGCCTTGTTCACTAAACAAAGTTGGTCGTCGCTTGATGATACTTTCGTCAAGGATAAATTCATCGCCCTTGAGGCCGACAAAAGCGAATTTCTCTATCTCCTAGCACGGGCTTCCGGTGCCACTACGATAGTCGAGGCAGGTACAAGTTTTGGTGTCTCCACGATCTACTTGGCTCTGGCTGCTGGGCAAAATGCCGCTGCCCTCTCCCCATCTCCTCCAACACCTGGGCAGGGAGCTAAGGTGATTGCCACGGAGAAAGAACCGGAGAAAGCCCAAAGGGCTCGGGATCACTGGAAGGAAGCGGGCCCTGAAGTTGAGCCATGGATAACTCTGTTGGAAGGAGACCTGAACGATACTCTCCCGGCGGAGTTGAAAAATGTCGAAAAGGTTGACCTTCTCCTTCTTGATAGTATGTCGCTCCCTTCTGTCTTTGACTACCCTACGGTTAAGATCTCATCACTCACCAATCATATAGTCTGGACACCGTTGGCACTCCCAGCCTTGAAAATTGTCCAGCCGAAACTTCGACATGGTGCACTCATTATTGCAGATAATACGGCCAGTTTCCGCTCTGCCTATGAGGACTTTTTTGCTTACGTACATGATCCGAAGAATGGATTCAGAACGATGACGACCCCATTCAAAGGAGGACTCGAAGTGATTGTATACCTTCCAACTTCGTGAATACGCAGTCTCTGAATTTTTCTCTCCTATTTTGTTGTTTTGTCATTATATCCATCCTCCTGGCCTATTCAACATCTCCCAGCCAAGCCATTTGTCAAGAACAGTTAATACGAATTTTTATATTATCAACAGCAATAATAATGTAACATGCACATATTTTACATATGGCTTGGAATGCTAAGCTCAACCTACCCCCTTCTTCCAAACGTATGTCTTATATTGTGACATCCCTCTCATCCATTTACTCGTATTCAGCCAACGCTGGTGAACCCGGGAATTGCTCGTTTGAAAACTTCGTCTGCACGAACACTTTTTGAATCCCTCTTTTCCTCTCGTCATACATACGATAGACGAGATCTAGATCTTCCAGCTTGACACGAGTCGAAATCATTCGCAACGGATCAAGGGTTCCACTTTCAATGAGAGAGAGAATGTGCTCCCAGTATTTCTGTACCGGCGCTTGGCCGTTACCGATCAATCGGACACCGCGCTGCATAAGGGATCCGATGTTGAAATGGTTGGTCTATCACAGTCAGCAGTTAGTATTCGAGCATTCCTATTCAACGCTTGTTCCATCCCGTACATCCATAAGCTAGAGCCCAGGAACAATCGACTTACGTAGCCCACATAAACACCCGTAATCCCACACCTCCCGAAATTCCTCACAGACGTAACCATCTCATTCAAAATCTCCGACGTATCCGTCTCCGCCCCCAGCATAATCTCAATATAATGCGCCCAGCCCTTCGCATACTCCCCAGCCGCACACTCCAACGCCGCGTCGGGGCCTTGCCCATCCCCCACCATCTGTTTCAACACAGAGGTCACCGACTCCCCACTCTGTAAAGTAGAATAATCCACCGTCTCAACCCGGGGCAGCTTTTCCTTGACAAAGTCTAAACGCCAAGCACCCGCTCCGCCATCAATAAGAATCACTCTGGATGCGCCGTGCATGAAGCTGAACTCAGCGCACATCTGTCCGATGGGGCCGGCGCCCCATATCGCCACGACGTCTTCCTCCCGCACGCCCGTGTCGACCACACAGTGCCAAGCTGTACTAAGCACGTCCGAGAGATAGAGACCCTTCTCATCAGGAACGTTGGCAGGGAGCGGGAGGAGGTTGGTTTCCGCGTAGGGTACACGGACGTATTCAGCTTGACCACCGGAAAAGCCGCCGGTGAGGTGGGAATATCCGAATATTCCTATTACTTGACTATTAGCGATTGACATTTACTACCACCCCCCCCCCACACCCCACACCGGCCCGGGCTGGCAGGCTGAATGCAGCACCAGTAGTACTGACCGGCCGTGCGCGATCCATAAAGCGAATTTTCCAACTGGCTAGCGTTCGTGCGCTCGCATTGCGAGGAGAGTTTCCGTTTGCAGTATCTACAGTCACCACAGGCGATTTGGAAGGATGCGACGACCCGATCTCCCGTTTTCAATTTCTTGACGCTAGCGCCGACGGATTCTATTTCGCCGCAGAATTCATGGCCCAGGATGTCTCCCTTTTGCATTTCAAGGACCGACCCTAGGAGACAGGTATGTTAGCATAAATTGTACCATGTAGGAGACTAGCCCTGGTAGCTACTGCTATGTATGCGTACCATGATAGAGATGCAAATCACTCCCGCAAATCGTTGATCCAGTAACCTTTAAAATGACGTCTGTATCCTCAAGGATTCTGGGCTTAGGCACGTCCGCTATGATTCTCACAAAACCATATCAGTAAACCTGAAATAATTCGTCTCTCCCCTTGAGGAGGCCGGAGGTCTATCCTTTCGCTGCATATTTTGTACACTTTCAACCTACATACCAATCGTCACATCGTTCTTCCCCAGCCATATCAAGGCCTTCATCGTCTCACCACTGGGATCCGCGAACTTCTGCCTATCTCGTGCCGGATTGCTCACATCCTGTGTAATACTGGCTTCTTCTTTCCTGCCCGTTTCCGAAACATTTGCAGCCTGCGAAGTAGCCATCCTAATAAATATCCAAGTTTGAGATGGTAATATTCAAATAATCGCAATAGAAGCAGCTACTGAAGGCGAATTCATGACTAGGAGCAGCAGGGCGCCACGCCCCGGCTATATATAAGAGCAGCCTTTCGCAGTGGCTTCGAAGAGGGGGGTATACATTGGACGGTAAACTCAAGTCCTGTGACATCACAGTGAGGTCGTTCTTTATGGAATTTGACACTGCAAGCTTGTATGTTTTCAGTTGTCTCGAGTAAGCCTACGTTTCTAGAAACGGCAAAAATTCTACCCAGGATGTGTTGCTTGCTCTGCCCGGAGAACTCAACTCACACCGCTGCTGAGGGAGAGATTTTTCCACAAAAACTAATAAAAATATAAAAGTAAACCAAGGTCTATGAATCAGTCACTTTCAGCAATGTACTGTACATGTACCATACACACAAATTTGAGAGACGGCGGCAAAAAGGGAGCAGCATAGAAAATGGTGTCCACATATAACGAGAGAGTATAATACACAATATAAGCATTCCCACAACGTTCACCTATCCTTACGCCCCATAACCTCATACGGACGTTCCTTGCTGCTGCGACCGATTTCTCAAATATTGACGAACAAGACCCTCAACGCTTCCCATATCATGCCTCGGTTTCCTAATTTGAGAGAAAGAAAAAAAAGGTTAGTAAAAACTCCTTAGAAAATGTGACGAAACCAGAGGATAGTCGGACTATAGAAGAAAAGCGAGAGCGTAAAACCGTACCTCATATAAGTCAACCTAGCACGTCTCTTCCTCTTCTCCGTCCGTTGTACAACTTCAACAGCCTGAACGTTCGGGCTAAAAACTTTAACCCACATCTCGCATCCAATCCTCGTCAATTTATTCCGTAGCAGGAAAGACGTGTCTAACCCTCTAGATCGAATGTTCAAGCATACACCCGAGAATGGGTCTCCGGTCTTGAATGTAACTCGCAGGACGTCCCCGACTCTCACGCAATTGGGATTCCGTTTATCGAACATGGCTTTCCGCTCACCGGTCGGGTCGTAGATTGCGAGCTGGTCCTCTGTAAACGCAGCGACGGGATCCTTGGTTGTCCTGCATTTGCTTGGTGGAGGTGGTGGGACCTTTATCTTCCTTCCGACCTCTACAATAGAATAAGAGACATGTTAGCGCTGGCGGTTTTTTCGAAGATGTATTCGCCCAGGCAGACAGCTGCAAAGGCTGCTAAATAGCGCCAGTTAGAACCATGTAGGTAAGAGAATCATACCTCTGTCAGGCCTATGAATTTTTGGTATCTGGCGCATGAATTGCTGTGGCAGGTCCTTAGGGAACGGGAGCTTCTCCTTTGGGGGGGAGTAGATTGTGTGGAGGGACTTTCGCCCAAGTTCGTAACCCTTCAATCCGCGACGGACTGAGTTCCAGCAGCCCAACGACCGCATTGCTGACATGGGAGCGGCCATTGCTGCGATTAAATAGGGTGTGTGGGATATAAGACCGCGAATGGACCTGTGAGTATGCGGTATGTGGTACGGTATGTTGGATGCTGTTGTCTTCCGGTTCAGCGGCGAAGAATACCTGGACATGGTCCGTGCACAGTGCCAAGACTCGGCCACTGGTCTTTTAGCGGCTCTGCGACAATTCACGATATAAATCTCAATTTCATCTCAGGTAGATTCCGCGCCGTCAATCTTCTTTGCTAATTTCTCGTGGCTCACGATTCGACGAGGAGGAATTGGCACTCAATTGCGCCGCGCTGCAATTGTTGCGGATGATCGCGGCCCGCCACTGCGTTTTCTGAACAGCAAGAAAGGGTGCACCAGTTGCCCTTCGCAATCTCCGTGGCCATGTCGCAGAGCATCATGTATAGAGTACTTTATTGCCGGAGCTGCCTCAATCAGGCAGCAAGTCTAGGAAGAGGGCAGACACGATTCTTCACTAGTTCGGGGACATATAAGCGAGGTAGATAGCCCTTCCTCCGCAGGTGCTACACCGAACGCGATCATTCAAATGCTGCCAAAACTACCAGTAAACTAATCCTTTAATTATCACAGCGTGGATCCCAACGTTCAAACCGACCTCCTCCAAAAACCTCGATGAACTCCTCTCCCTATTTCGCGATCGTGTCTTTATCCCCGCTTTCCTCACCCCTGCCCAGCGGAGGCTCATATACAAAGAAGATGCCACTACATCCCTTGAGCAGAACCCTATCACCGTTACCCTTCAAGGGCAGACTGAAGAATCCTACAGACTACGCCCATTAAAATTTAGCGAAACGCCCAGCAATAACGCGGTGCGCGGTATCGTCGAGCTGATGAAAGAGCCAGAGGATTGGTACACTCTCGTCCCGCTGCTGAAGGGCTTGTACAGCTCAAAACGCAAACCTAACTTCCTCCTCTGGGAATTCATCGTGCGCAAGGCGGGCGAAGCGGGCATGAATTCTGTCATCATCGACTGTGCAGAGCAATCTCGCCGCACGGGCTTCTCGCTCGGTGACTACGTGCTGACGGAACTGCTCTTCTCAAACCTCCATCTCAAAGCTGAGTCGGCGGGTTATAAGGGCCCGGAAGTCGAGAAGGCGCTAAAACAGGCGAAGCATGTTGCCATGTTGATGAACGCGGAGGACCATATGCCTGTGGATAAGACGAAGCCGGACCCACGACGACATCCAAATATTATCGCTGTTCTGTTGGAATTAAGTGCTGCTCGTGCTCTTGACGCCTTCGAGGGCAAGGATACCCAAGGCGATGTCCGCTCATACGCTGAAAAATTACTGGGCACGTGGGTGCTGAGAGGAAAGTTCGACACAATCAAATACCCGAAGAAGAATGTCCGGAATGTTACGGATCTTCCGTCTGTACGAAAGGGAATCGAGATGGCCCTACAAGTGGAGGAAATCAAGAATGATGAGAAGCTGAGCCAAGCTCTTAGGGAACGGTTAAACGAACTAGGAACGCCGGCTGATGGCACACGGGCATAGGAGGAGGGGGGAATCGTGGGTCTTGGAAATGCCCACACACCTGTACCATAAAACAATGTACTAGACTTGTTCATTTTCCTCTTGCAATGTCCTATTTTCTTCTTTTTAAATATAGTTTTGTGCGAGGTATAGATAGAGTAGTTAGCCAATCTTATTCGATGACGTAATTTTTTACTCTGACATTGTTTAAGCAAGGTACACAGTTGTCAAAATAAACCAAAACAATCCAGGTTATATACTCCCAAATGATGTGACAAGAAAATAAATTTAAGAATAGCAGCAAGGAAACCGACTCATCGCTATAGTATTAGTTCAAAGTAGTCTTGAGTATATAAACTGCTCTACGAGGCATATTAAGATAGTGAGAGTGTACAATCGTCGTTGAAGTATCCTCGGGCCTCCAACAAACACTGTCCTCCAACGACAGCGGGACCAGCCACAAATATCTAGTTTTGATAGTCAGCAGCGGCATCTCCAGAGAACAATAAAAAACACGAATTTATGACGAAAAAGGAGAGGCCCGTGTGCATACCTTTCCGTCAGCTAGTCTTCCGTCCTTACTGGCATCTTCCTCTTTATCGTGGACCAATTTTATCTCAATGCTATTCAACGGAGCTCCGAAATGGCTACGACCGCGTAGTCTCCTATAATCAAACGCATTCGTCTGGCTAACCGCGCCGACGACGTTCGGAGCAGTCAGTGCATATAATACACGCGCCCCAGTAAACACCCTCAAGTCTGTCAATTGGTCAGAGGTAAGCTGATATTCTGGATTTGCGTCGATGCGATGAGAGATGAAGAGAAGGCGAAGATTTTCGAGAGATAGTTCTGCAGTCGGACCTAAGTTGGCGAGCTTGGTGAGTAAGTTCTGCCCCGGCATTGTACCAGCATCAAGAGATCTCCGCTGCATGAAGCGGCCAAACTTGGCTATCGGCCCTATTTGAGGGGCCATATATTCGGTGTGGTATTTTTGCATTGTTTCGGAGGAAGCAATGATGATGGTGGGAGAGATGCCGGCTGTTGCGAGGGCGAGGTTAACATGTTCGCCGGAGACGGAGTTGAATGCGACGGATGCATTCACGTACAATGCGGCGAGGAGTATGCAAAGAGGGTAAGAGCGGGTAAGGGAGTCGATGGAGAGAACCAGGTCCGAGGATGTTAGTTGTTGGCCCCGAGGAAGGACGGAGCCCACGCCAGCAATACCTGCCACCAACAGCTGTCATGATAATTAGCTAAATACGGAGGGTGACACGGGATAAATGAAAGGTACACCCCTACAGCAGGAGAATACTCGAAGAAGTTTCCAGCGTCGGCTGAGGTGGCCCAGAAAGTGACAATAGAGGGTGGCGGGGTTTCAGAAACAGTAGCTGGCACCTCTGTCCCTACAAGAGCCTTCTTGTCCTTGACCAGCTCGTGCCACACAGCTACCTCGATATCACCTCCAATCCCTTCCGGTACTTGACTCCAATCCATATGTCGGCTGCCATGGTTGGCAACCCAGATGGCACTCCTGAGCGACGGGACTCCCTGCAATAATGCAGACGACTCCAATGTGCCAGCTTCGGCGATGAGGAGGTCGGCACCTGAGATAGCAAGATATGCACCAAGCCTTTCGGAAGGCACAACACGAGGAATCAACACGATTTTGAAGTTGTAAAATGCGCCAGCTAGGGAATTTATTAGCAAACATTACCGCTCCAGTCACGAAGAGAGACCACCTAATAACTAACCAAAAATAGCAGCGAGAGACTCTACAGAGTCTGGGAGGTATACAGCAACTGTTCGCGCCTTTGATTCATATATGTACTGGCCAATAATATTGATTTCCTGAGAGATATCATCCAGCTTATGCTCCACAACGTCCTTCCCTAGCACAGTATAGAATTTCCCTTGTTTCCCTGCTGGTGTTCCGTCGCTGGCTAAGGTTCCTCGGAGAGCCGCTCTCCAGATATCGCGGAGATCGCCATTGCGTCCTGCAGTCCATTTTGGCTTGCCAGGGTCCTTCACGTTCAGTCCGCTCTTGAGTGGGTAGCCGTGGGGAACGTCGTGCGCGCGAAGAACGGCGGACTCTCCTGGCAACCTGATGGGCGCCCTGACGGCTTGCCGGGCAAGAAAGAAGGGATGAGCATCAGGATCCTTGGAAAAGAAAATCTTGTACCCTAGAAAGATAGCAATGAGTGACGCTATCAGTGTTGAATGGGTGCTCCAATCAGCAAAGAGGTCCGCGAACAAAACATCTACTTTGGACAGGGAGGTATTGTCTATTGAAGCCATTGTTAGAAGAGAGGTAATGCTATTTCATTGGGACTTGATAAAATGTCTGGAGTTCTTCCAGGTGGAAAAGACAGGCAATTTCTGTGCGAGAAGCACGATGGTCGGAGGTGGGTTGGTTAGTTGTTGGTAGTCGAGGGAGGTTGTAGCGAAGGCGGATGATCCACGTGTAACTTGCTCCTTATCAAATTATAATACACGAACCTAGAGAGGCCGAATCCAGAGGTGGCAAATATATGAGGAAGTGAGATATCTATTGCGTCGCTGGATTGAAGTATAGCGTCAACACCACGAATTAGCCAGGTGACGTCTTAACTTGGTTGTTGGGCTTGGCGCTTAGTTCGGTAAACGCGTTTGTAGTTGCGGCGGTCGCCTGAGCCGCAAACAAACAAAAATACGTTTCTCGACGCATCTTCCACCAGCGACCAAAGCCACGAATAATGACCAAGTTGACGGGTCTGTGGCCGTGAGTTACAACCAGCAAAATATTCTTTTATGTTCCGCAACTCAATGATTCTACGACAGGTTTTTGTGCGGAATCAATAGGTAAGTGAGGTAGGTTTTTATTCCGAGGTGAGTGCATCTCTCCAACTCCGATTGTCCACGATCCTTTGAGCAATAACATATGGCAGTTGCAAACTTAAGCTAACGGTGTATGATGTTTTAGTATTTGTTTGTATTTTAATTGGCGCTGTATGGCACCTCAACCATTCCCCTCCACCCCGAGGCTACAAGGGAATGAGGCGGTTCCCACACCCTCTCCGGGCACCTGGCGGCACCCGCGGCTCAGGGAGATTGTTCAAAGGCAAAACGCTTCGACATTCGGAGACCGGAATATTAAGAAAATCGTCTTGAATGGCGGTTGTTTAGTAGCTTCCGGATTTTTGGGAACTTCATTCAGACAATGGTATAGGAGATGTGACGTCTTTTAGGGACGCCCCAGCTAATTAGCCAGACGATGCTAATGAGAGAATAGTTCACTATGGCTAGGCTCCATTCTCAATATTCCAACATATCCCGACTTGGTTCTCATCGCTCTTCGTCTTGTCCTTCTTGTGAATATCGCGCTTGCCCTATACCCGCTATATCGCCCAAAAGATAATTTATCCGACATACCTCTAACACCCTCCCAACGGTCACTGCTCGGCCTCGACCCTAGCCACAGCGCGCCTGCTACCCCTGGAACCAACTATATTACTCCTCCGAGATATCGATTATCCTCTGGCTCTCGAACCGCGAGCCCGATCAGCCCAAGTTCCTTACCAATCTCTGGGCTGTCTGGAAGCCAGTCGACCGGCAAATCTCAAGATGGGGCGCCTTATTCGCCCTCACCAAGCCCGTTATTTCACAAAGCAATGGGAAACGGCACGAAAGAAGTGCGACGAAGACAGAGTTTTGGGTCTCCGTCTCCTTTGGGCCGGTCGACTTTTAGGGAAGGGAGGGTATTGCGAGTGCCGTCGACACCTAGTCCGAGCGGAAATGGGAACGGGAATGGAAATGGGAAAAACACCAACGCGGTGCTTACCAACAAATGGTTATATGAAAAGACACGTTCAATGTCTCCCACTAGTAGTGTTTATAGGTCGTAATGGCTTTTCGTGGGACAGAAGTAATTTGCAAAGGCGCAATGGGACTGAATGGGACTGAATTGGGCGGCGTGGATTAGTTGCTCTTCGTTGTGTTTAGAAATTTTTTTAACGTATTTTTACTTTTTCAAAGAATGGGACAGGATATTGTAGCTCGCTGTATACCCCATACTACCTTGTATTCTGCTTGGCTAGATGGAACGGTCGCCAAATTTGCGCCCAAGCTAAAATATCGCGGATGTCCCGTCAAACTTTCCCCAAACCCTCGGCCTTGGCAGCTCTCTCATCACGCATCCAGGTCTGGGCGCAGTGAAACCAGTAAATATCAACCTAGCCTGTACGAGCTTTCGCATCTCTAGCTGCTCCAGTGCTTTGCGATAATAGTCACCTAGGAGTTGCTTGCTTCGCCTCATAGTTTCAGAGCTATTACGTTGTGTTTGATTGCATGTGTTTGTAGACCAGACCGGCCCTCACGTTAGCTTTCCCCGCCAGGTCATGGGAGGTTCCGAGTCCAAGCTGGCCTTTAAGCAAGGCATCTTTCGACTATCAGAAGATGCCGGCATTGCCGCCGATGATCCCTATTGGACTGGGGTGAGTAACTTCAATAGTTGCTATTTATGACCGTCAGGATATTGTGTACTTTTACTTTCTTGGAAAGCTGACTTTGCGCCTCCTAGTTCTGGGAACTCCCCGAGTCGCCCGAAGATGTCTTCAGCCTGTTCTCTCCAGCCGACATACGACGAACCCGCGATGCCTCAATAGCAAATCTAGAGACCTTAATATTGGCAATCACTTCCCGTCTTATCATCCTCAAAAACCATCCGTCATTCCCGGACCCCGAACTCGCCCCTGACAGAGACGCACTGAACTGCATCCGTGTTCTCACTCGTATCCTTCCCTTCATTTACGAATCAGAAAGTTTAGAGGCATGGGAGGAGAAATTTTTCTGGGGGAGGAGGAGAAAAAAACATCGGCATGCACAAATTGCGTCCCAGGTTTTGTTCGATGAGGCTAGCTTAGAGGATGAAATGCGTCGGCCAAATCCAGGGGAACATGAGAACGATTACTATGATGCTAAACCATTGGCAGAAGAGCTCATTGACACTTTAATAGATTTGCTATTTTACAGTGGATTTACTATACCGAAAATACCCAATGCGAAGGGGAAAGTATCGTACTCAATATGGCAGAGCGGGGTTGGGTGTACGACGGCAATGGGATCAAATAAAGAATTGGAAAGCAATCGATGCGAGATATTAAGGCTCCTATTAACGCTAACAAGCCAATCTATGTATATGCCTTCGAGTAAGCTCCCCAGCTAAGTTTCATACCATTGGTTGCATCACTATTAACACCTCGATCAGGTTTACTCCCAGTTAAAGGAGTGAAAGCAATTACATACCTTGTAACCTGTCCCGACAAGCAAGTGGTCCTGTCACTACTGTGCTCTTTGTTAAACACGGTAAGCCCTGACATCATCACTACTGTTTGAACTCTCTTTAACTGATCGTGTAGACAATTAAATACAATCCAACTCCGTGGGGGTTACCCTATGACCATGTTGTCTGGAAAGACCCTAAGCAAATCCTTGTCATCTATTGCCTACAGTTTCTTCTGGTGCTTCTTCTCTATCCGATTCCAGAAGATGGGCGTGGGACTCCTCCAAAGAACTACTACCGGCACTTCTATGGCCGCTTACACCGCCCTCAGGACTTCCAGTTTATAGTAGAGGGAATGACAAGAATTCTCAATCAGCCGGTTAGATTTATTTCCAATCTTGCAACTTCACTGTTTAGTGGCTAATTAAAGGGACAGATGCAAGCGACGACGTCATACCTTCCTGGCAGCCAAAAATCAGTGAAATGGGCTCCGGAGATGATCATGTTGTTCTGGGAAGCACTCCAGTGCAACAAGCGCTTCCGATCATATATGATCGACTCAGCTCGGGCGCATGATTTTGTTATTCTTTGTATTTTCTATGCTATCGAGTATAAAACCGATCCATCGAAACTGGGTGTGGTGAAAATGTGTATATTTGTTTTGCAGACGCTCAGTGTTGAGCCGAACTTTGGAAAGAACCTCAATAAGAAGTTTGAATCCCAGGATACGTTGCCGCAAAGCATACGACTGCAAAATTTCCGAGGATCGTATGCTGACTTCTTGATCATGGTGAGTGATCTCATCTGAAACTGACTGCATTTTCATGACTAACATTGCATTGCAGTCCATCCATACTCTTTTGACCACGAGTAAGGGAAAGCTAGATGCAGTGTACCCGGCATTGCTAGCTATTATCAACAATATTGGCGCCTATTGCGAACATCTATCCGCGACAACCTGCTCCAAAATTATTCAACTCTTTGTTTTAATGTCCTCCCCGAGCTTTTTACTAGCGAACGAATCGAATCATATACTGCTCCATTCCCTGCTTGAGTTTGTCAACTCGGTGCTGGAACACCAATATAGCAGTAAGTAATTCCTAATAACAAGGGGATAGTAGGGGCATGAACTGATCGTTACCTAGAAAATCCCCTGCTTGTATACGCTATCATGAAGTCCTCAAGACGTTTTGAGGCCCTCCGTGCTTTCACTCTGGAGAGTGGACAAGAAGAGATAGAAAGGCAAAACCAGCGAATAAAAACCAACTCAACCGGTAGCACTACTGACACCCTTTTGAGCCCAACACTGTCTCATTCCGGAGACGACAATAGTGGCTCCGGAGCTGGACGACGACAGTTAAGTCATGTCCCAGAAGATGACACTTTCGCGATTGGAGAAGATGATTCAGATGAAGAAGGACACGAGCCACAAAATGCCCCTTCGCAATTACCTTCCCGCGAAAACTCCAGAGCTGCTTCAGTCACCTCGGGCGCTGATGAAAGCGTTCCGCTCCAACTTCGCGGAATGTCTGAGAAAGCGCGCGGGAAGATGCCCGCGAGTCAAGTAACCTTTTCGAGGCAGAACAGCACCACAAGTCTAAGTAGTTATACGCCGACTATTCCTGCTAGCTCCGGTGGCTTCGTTCCTACAGCTTCGTGGGTGAGTACTGACGTCTATATATGGAGTTTTGCTTCGAAGAATTGATCTTATATTGACTTTCAAAATTCCAGATCGAGACTTGGGTCCCCGAGCTACCATTACACACCATCATCACTTTAATCTCTGCAATATTCCCGCATATTCCCTCATCCGCACTCCAATCAACCCTAAGTCCAGATGCACGAACATTCATCTCCAACCTCCCCTCTTTCGCCGAGGAGCCGCGAGTCCACGCCCTCCTAGCTGAACCAACGCCCATCCGAGTACACCTGTTCGAATGGTCCCCCTTGTCCCTCGGTTGGTACGAGTCACTTCTGTGGGGATTCATATTTGCCAGCGAGATGTTAGTAGGATCTGCATCGGGATCAACACCAGGAGCTGTCGGGGTGTGGAATGGGACGGCCATCAAATTATTTAAGGTGCAGGAGACGGCTGCCCAAGGCCCGACGCTGCTGGCTCCGAAGGGTGCTGTGGATGCAGTGGGCAGCAACCTTGTACAGCGTATTGGGAACTTCAATATTCGTGGGCGCGGAAGTGGAAGTGGGAGCGGAGGTGGGTCGCAAGAAGGACAGAGTGAAGCCGGGAGCGTCAGAGTGAGGGATGTTTGAGGTAATTGATTATTTCAAACGTTTAGCACTTTACCTACCACAGCAAGCTGGAGGGCTTCTTCGTTCTCTTTTTCTTTTCCCTTATTCTTTCACACTATTTCGCCTTTGTTTTTGTATTGACCTTTTGGGGGTATTGCGTTTAGCTATTGCAATATTTTCTTCTCCTTCACCTTCTATTCTCTTTGCGGGCTGTTTTCTCTTTCTCTTTGGCATAGCGTGTCCTGTTCTACTCCGTTCGTTTGGCTCGGATAACTCCATAACTCCATTGTTAACTTGGCGTGTTCCATCGTTTTAAATGTATGTTGTAGATATGTCTATAGTTAGAAATATTTTATGGTTGGCAATCTCCTCCCACCCACTCCAAGCAGGAGATAAGATTATAAGAAAATGCCGTGAATAATTTCGCCATGGTTTTGCGAATACAAATAGTTTTACTAATAGCTATTGTCAGTTTTAAGTTACGTCCCATGTGGTTCCTATCGGTCCCTTGAACGGCCCGTATACATACATCGCTCGGGACGGCCCACAGTGCTCGGCTCTCCAATCGCAGGGCTGGGAAGAAAGCACGGGGCAGAACTCCCATGACATCCGGATAATAATATATCAAAGTCAGAGTACTTGATAAAAGCGAGTCCAACTCCACGGCAACATTTATTCTTCGGTTTCTTACCTTCGTTACAACCCCTCGTTCCCGTTTAGATAATTAGAGAGTTAGTTACGCAATTACTACGGAGTACTCTAGATGTCCCCGTCATAGCCGTCGAAGCCGCCCCCATTCCCCGCGCTCCCCCCCCCCCCCCCCCAAAAACCCCAACCACACCACCACAGCGATGCAGCTCCCACTAGCATCCTACGCCGCTGCAGCCCTTGCTTTCGCTTTGGGGGCATTCGATCTTATCCGTCTAGTCGATGCTGCTCCTATATCGCCAATACTGCAGAATATCCTCAAAAACACAGATCAGAGTCCCTTGTATGAGTATCCGACTGACCTGACCAGGGGCATCATCCCGGTACGTGTTTTTCCTCTTTTCTTTTTTCTTTATGTCTTCCAATTGCGTCTCAACTAACTTCTAGTCCATTTTCTACCTTATATAGATCCCGGTACATTCGCACAAGTATGCTTTTCTTGCGAGTTTACGCTGTTGTTGATTGCGCCTCGAGTTTACCTGGGGAGCCTTCGCAAATATTTTACTGACGCGACTGTGCCTGCAACAGTGACTACTGGAGAGACCTGCCCTTCTATTCTGGTACGCGGATAGTCAATGATCTTTCGCTATATAAATATAGGAAATGATTATAAGCTGACAATTTCACTAACATTGAAGCTCTTTCCGCCGGCTGTATCTCAATTGAGGCAGATGTCTGGCTAGAGGATGACATGCTGCTCGTTCGTTCACCCATCCCCGCTCCTTGTTTTTGATGTATAACCTACTGACAATCTACCAAACAGGTTGGCCATGACCTATCATCGCTAACTAAGACCCGCACCCTCCAATCGCTTTACATAGGCCCAATAATGGATGTCCTCCGCCGGCAGAACCCGCGCAATCCTTACATAAAAGAAGAAACTAGAAAGTTAGTCCACCCCTAGTTTACCTCCGCCTTACACACAGTACATAGTGATATATCTTCTATTTCAATCCTAATCCTAGCTCTAACATGCAAATCCAGTGGTGTCTACGACACGGATCCCTTCCAAACCCTCTATCTCTTCATCGACGTGAAAACCTCCGGCCCCGAGACCTGGCCACACGTAGTCGCAGCCCTCGAACCCCTCCGCGCCTCAAACTACCTAACCACCCTCCGCAAAAACGATACCCTAACCACAGGACCCGTCACCGTCATCGGCACGGGTAATACACCCCTGAGCCTCGTCGGGCCCGTCCCTGACCGCGATTACTTCTACGACGGCCCCTTAGCTACTCTCGACAAGGAGGGTTCTCCGGAGATAACAAAATATATATCACCCATAGCGTCTACGAACTTTGTGGCTGCCATTGGTGCGGATGGTATTGTTCTGCCTCCCGCGGAAGGCGGGCAAGAGGACGGGGAGAAGGAGTCATCCTGGTTGAATAGCGAGCAATTAGAAACTCTGAGGGAACAGATTGGGGCGGCAAAGAAGAAGGGGATTGGTGCTAGGTATTGGGGCACGCCTAGCTGGCCGGTGCGCGAGCGGAACGAGGTGTGGAGAACGCTGTTGAGGGAGGGGGCTGCGTTGCTGAATGCTGATGATCTGGAGGGGGTTCAGGGGTATTTTTAGAATTTGGTTTGGTTTGGTTTGGGTTTTTTTTTTTTTTTTTTTTTTTTTTTTTTTTTTTTTTTTTTTTTCCTTTCTTTTCCTTTGTTTGTGCTCTTTCTTCGTTTTTGCCCGGTTCGGTAGATATTAATACACCATTATGAGATTGATGTCTTCGTTTAGTTTGTGTTTTGTATCGCTCTCTTCCTTTCTTCACTTTCGTGTTTGGGATCTAGACAGCCCTCTAGGGCTGAGTCCGGGTTCACATTTTTTGACCTTACGTATGGAGACTCAGGTATACAGACTATACATCGCCTTGTACCTTTTACAGGATAGAATCACAGGATCCCCTATGCTCATCTAATTCATTTAAAGCAGCCTTTTTTGTTTCCTGCCATAAACTATTTTACCAGTATTAGAAAAACAAATAACTTCCTTTCCCAGATCATTCACACGTGGGAATTAGTTCCTGGGCACTTGCATCAAGCAGCGGCGGACACAGACATGTCCATAAACAGCCAGCGGACGAGAAAAAAACTCGGCATGTACTATACTTCCTGCATTGGGGGACTATCAGAAGCATGAGATGGGGATATGAGGCCACGTTTTTGGAAATAATGATTCCATAAGAGTTATGGTGGCACAGCAAGATACATGTGGGATGGCTGACGCAGTGTTCTGCACAACCACGGGGGGGTTGTTTGTGATACCCCATGATGTCTCTGTAGGACTCGACGGAAGGCAGGGACAGGCGCATAACCGAGGGGAAAAGAAGAAAGAAAGAAAGAAAATTGGAGGCTTAGATTAAGGAGGAAAAAGGGGAAATAATTGGACATCGTATCATTTCGTGGCTATAGTTCCCTCGTAGTTGGAGAATGAGCCCGTCCTTAACAAATGTCTTCTTACTATTAGCTTCGAGTTGCTCCAATAAGTGCGGGCGTGGGTAGCCGTTAGAAAAAGCTCGGATAGCGGATTATCATAAATCTAAAGGCGACTGGCTGGAGATTAAGCTGTACAAAAGGAGTAATTCATTCCTGAAACTGGGAAGGTATGAGAGAGGATTTAAAATAAAAATTAGAATTTCATGTCAAAGAAGTCTACATTAGGGACCTTCGGTCAGAGGAATTCATCAAGATAAACGAAAACACCAATCAAAAACAACAGTTTCACTCGTATACATCAAGAAGGTGCATTACGGGCAGAAGATCCGTTGGGGGTAGAGGACGACGCGCCAAAAGGCGACGGGATCACCGTGGCCTCGAGAACCTGGTTGCCGATTTTAACTGGTTCGGCAGGCAACATGGCAAAGAGCATACGTGCAGGCTCAGGCGTCAAGTTGGACCAGGCATGTATAGTGCTGCGCTGAACTACGATGTCGTCCTTCTTCAAAGTCGTCTTGATCCCGTTGTCAAGCTCCAGCACGACCTCACCCGCGAGCACGACGCCGAAGTCTATGCTGACAGTTCGGTGCATGAACCCTGGTCCGGGGGGGAAGTCCACAATGCGAATGATAGTGCCGACGGAATCGGCGAGAGGGATTTGGGAACCGTTAAAATCTGTCCACGGGCCATCGACTTTGGCGGGGGAGGACTCGGTGCGCCATATTGTCGTAAAAGCGAGTTTGTCTGCCGTGCCGCGAGAGCAATCTGCAGATAACGGGTCGTATGGTGCTAGTAGGGTGTCTGAGTCGATGATGGCTTTACCAGATGGGCTATGGCCGGTGACGACACGTCGAATCAGCGGATAAAACATAGTGGAAGCTATGGGAATTGGAGATGGGAGAATGACGGCGTTGAGAAAACTGTTTGGCCGCGGATAGGGTGGTCGTTCACTTCGTAATCAGAACAGGGGGGATGGGATGGTCAATTTGATAAAATTCTCCCTGAGGAGAGTCGGGCGGAGAATTTCAGGGAAGATGGGTAATGGGGTTATGTCGTGGTAGAGGAGGGGGCTAAAGAGTAAGGTATATATAAGGATGGTTACTTTTTTGTCCATCCGTTCTTTCGTTTTCCTTGCCCTGGAATATGACATCGAGGATGCGATCCAAGCGATAGGATCGGACACTTCCCGCAAATAAAGTAGCCGATCCAAAGGGCATCAGGCAAAAGAGGCTATCAATGAATTGCGCCTCCTGCAATGACTCTTGTCGACAGTGGGAACTGCCGAACCCGGGTAAACGGAGCTTTGGCATTTCCTGGCCCAGGAACGTATTGATCTGCCGTGTGAACGTCATGCCTGGGTAGATACCCTTCATTGAGTATATCCAGCCGTTTTAGACGGGCGCGAGAATGCCTGGGTAGGATAATAAGCTCCGACCGCTAGGAAGTGTGTTGTGCAGAACAAGAAAGGCATGGCAAGTCCCAGCTGCGAGGACAGTCTTTATCGCAGCCATCAGTAGTACGGAGAGCAACACGGCTGTACAGTACCTTCAACAGGCGCCAGCAAACGAAATCTAGGGCAAAAGAGGATCACTTCCAAAAGGGTGGTGAACCCTGACATGAATACCCTCGATCTCAAAATACACTAGGAGAAATCGGCCAAAATCACGAAACCTTAGGGTTACTTACTTAGGGTTACTTACTTAAATGACAGTCACGCAAGGATGGAAGGCCGGAATAAGTTCCTCTTCGAGCAGGTAGACAAGGCCACACGCGCGGGGCATGAAGCACGAAATAGCCCCGAAAATAAAAAGCAACGGTGAGTGTTTCATCCATGGATGTTATTGACTACCAGAAATAGGCACCGCGCAAACTTTGTTAGCGGGGATTGTAATTCGTGACAATTTTGCTCGATCCGGATTGACAAGAATAGTCAGTCTCCCTTTCTTGCCTTCCACTTTCCACTATAGAAATGCCAGTAGAGTCCATTTGCAGTCTTTTTTCTCTTTCGGGAGTCAGTCCGCATTGTACAGTCCACGCGGCCGCACGGCTCCTGATGCATTCTCCCAAAAGTATGCGGTGCATCAATAACTTGACAATGAGGCAGGCGTGAATAAGATTTCATTGTAGGTCTCCCACTCCACATTTCGCCTTTTCACAGGGTGAAGAGTTTGCAGTCTGTCGTCCAGCTCCGTTTGATGGCGACGGTGAGGTTGTTTTTGATGTCAGAAGAAGTAAATGCTTATAGTCACCAATTGGGTTAAGCGTCCTGTCACCTGACTATCTCGATTGGGATCGTCGGTTAATCGGATAATATAATATCCTAGCACGCATATCACGTGGTAATCCACTAAATTATTTGTAGCGGCGCCCTTTTTGATTATATAATGGAGCTCCCTTCAACATCGCAACTACATCTGTTGTTTCCTGGTCAAAAAGCCAACAATATACAGGCAAATATCTGTCAGAAAAGGGATCTATAGCAACCCGCGTGATGTATATGCCATAGCAAAATTAATTCATCTATTCTACAGGAGCTGCGGCTGCGCAGGGCCCCTTTGAGGTGTCTTGGCGCACCCTTGTTCATGTATCAACTCCATGCTCTCCTCTAGTCTGAGAGCAGCTCTCGCTCAATCAACTCCAAAAGATGTAGAGCTCATTGCCCGCCATCTGGGCACCAGTCCGGCGCCGTGTTCCGCCCTTTTCTCTGCCCCGCCTGGCCAAACTGATGAGCCCACAACTTGTGAAAACCATTTCCTTACAGTCTCGATCCAGCAAGATGTGCCTGAGGATGGCAAGGTGGACAATCGCGGCGAACTGTTTATCTTCGCAATCGAGATATTGGTTTTTACTACTGCGAACCTCACCACCGTGTTTGTTTCCAAGGCCGATTCAACTGGATATCTGTACCGGCTGAAACTTCCACCAACTGCGAAATCGTTGATGCGTAGTATTTCAACTACGTTCCTATCGCATCTTCTTTCAGCGCTTCAGAGACCCGGTATTAGACTTGTTCTCTCTCTTTTTGCTCGCGCACAGAACCAATACCTCTTTCCGGGCAGTGTAGAGAATCCGGGAAAACACATTTTAGATGATCGAGGGTTGGTCAAATGGTGGTGCCGCGTGGTGGACCCCATCCTTAGACGCCACGAACCTGAGGCAAAGGTCGATGTGAATGGTCACATAGCAGAAGAGGAGAAGAACCGGGATACTGAATCGAAGACCACATCAGCAACGGCGTATCTAATTGTACCAGGTTGCGACAAGTTCGAGACCAGGACCTTCTTCCCTCCATCTACAAAATTGGATCTCCAGACCCGACCGCGCTGGCTCAATTCATATCCCCTACATCAAATATGTGGATCGCAAACCGCACCGCCCCGTTGCCAAGTCCCACGTTTTCCAGATGACCCGAAAGCGCGTTTCCTTTTGGACCTCGATGACGAAGTCTCTGATATTACGAATGACACAAGCACCGGACAATGGCGCAGTATCAAGACCATAGATCAATTCTGGGAGATGATGGCCTACAGACAAGAGTGCTCTTCTGGAAGATTGGTTGGGTTCTTATGGGTGGTCATAAATCCTCCTGGACTTTTAAACTCTGTTCCAATGGTGTCCTCAGCATCTGAAAACGATCAAACCACCCCCAACATCAACTCAACGTCTAGTAACAATGCCACTGCCAAAGCGGAAATCGCACCGTCTTTAGTTTTAGATTCAAAGCAGACTGGGCAAGTTAGGAACTCGACTACAGAAGAGTGCCAAACCCATGAGCGGAAAGAAAGTACTGTAAGGTCGCTGCCAAAAAATGATGTCATGGCTAGAGATCCACCAACAAACTCAACCAGCCCCGCTTCTGTCGAAAATTCCACTGATGAAATAAAATTGAACGACAAAGATTACCACGATCTTATGAACCTGCTCGTTGAACTCGACTTTGACAACGAGAAAGCAGCCATCGAAAGCACTAACTCTTGGATTCTTAAGCTCTCCACCATAATTGGTCGAAACGATCATGGAGAAAAGGTGGTTGGGGAATGTGAACCCCAGTCTGTTGAAAAATCCACACCACAACCTGCAGACGCCTCGAACCTGTTAAGTGGAGGATTGATCAGGAAGCGGAAAAAGGATGCTGGAGATACTGGCATTCCAGGCGCGGATGGCTTGGACGCTGACCGTTCTTCCGTCGCGGCTACGTTTGAATGCAATAATGACAGGGAACAGCCATCAACAAGTAGCAGCCTGCCAATGACGACTCCAACGATTAACGTTCTCGATGCAACTATAATTAGGAAAAAGAAGAAACGAGGAGAATTTTAAAGTGATTTATTTTTATGATTCTTATTGCACTATTATTTGTGACATCTTGCAACATATTGTTTCGCTTCCCTTTTATTTTTTAGGGGTGGCCTTTCCGGCTATAGACAAATCAATCTGGGTGGTTGAACAAGAAAGAGAGTGGAATGAGTTCCTCGGGTTGGCAAGTCAACATTGACAAGGATTATTGCCAGTGCCACTCTGTTCACTGGCTAGGGCCCAGGTACTAAATCAAACCCATAAGCGCATATCCGACGCCTACGTCTACCAATTGTCAGCGCATGTACCAAGCTTTGTGGACATTCGGCATGCCAACGGATCACTATGCTATCAACAATGCATTCTTATACATTGTTTCCTGGAAAAAAGTCTATCATAAAAGTGTGCCACCAGAACGTACGCAAGCGCAACAAAACAAAAAGCAAAAGGTATAACCAACGCCATTCGCCCCTTTTCGCATACCTGACACTATGTACGAATTATGACAGATAAACGGACCAAAAAAAATAATCTCATTAAAAATTCCTCGTATTGGCACGATCGCCGGTGCGGAAGCCGCTCGTCGCTGCACCGCCGGAAAAGTCGAAACCATTATGCAACCTTCCATTATCATGATTCCCAGGAGAGGCACGTTGACCGTCGCTGGAACCATCCTCGGAAACAACTGTGAAGTCGATACGTTTCTGGATCTTATTATCATTGCCGTTGTACCGCTGGGTCGAATCCGCATTCCCATTGGTGCTCCTATTTTTATTGTTTTTCATCTCCTGCATGTTGTACTCCTCTATAATCCTCTCCTCGCTCTCGCTGAACGTTGTATTCGGGATAGGGTTTGCAGTAGGAGGGCCGCGGCCCCGTCTATTGCTGCTATTAAAGCCGCTACTACCACCAAAAGTGCGCAGGTCCTTTGGTGTTTCGTTGCCCGTCCTCTTACTCGAGCGCATTGAAGTGATTAGGGAACCAAAGACACTAGATAACCAGCGCTTCATGAGGGGGAAAATCATTGGCAAATTCGTTGTTACTACCGCAACGAAAGTTTCGCGGACGGCCCATGACCCGGCTGACTGTGCGCCATTGACTGGATCCTATTTTCGTATGTCAGAGTACCGGATTTCCGAAATATCTTGTCCGGCGAGAATATCGACTTACTATTACGATCATTACAACTCGCAGGACGGCGCAGGCCATGACGAGCAATCCTCCGCTAAATAGGATTGTCAACCCTACTTTCTTCAGGGGTTTGATACTCGATTGCCAAAGCATGGGAATCGGTATGCTAAGCAGGTACATATCTGTGGTAACGTTGAGCCCGAGGAAGACCCAAATGATCTGGTTCGAAATGGCGGGTTGACAAACGTCTGGCAAGAGTAAATCGATAAGTCAGCCGCTTGGGTGTTTTTCTTGAGTCTGAAGGAACTCCATACTTCCAGGATCTGGATATATCTGCCAGTTTTTGTGGAAAGGGCGGCATGCAAGGAAGAGATTCAGAACCACAGCGACCCAACTGGCGACGATGAAGCCAAAACCAATGTATATTCGGATCCGGTACGAGCGATTTAAGCCAAGCTATTATTTTTCTTCGAGTCAGACGCAAGAACTGGTGAATGTACCTCGGAGGCTCGTACCGTCAATCTCATGTAAAGCACCAGCAGCGACGCTTTGAGCGACCATAGCAATATCCCATAGGACGTCCACCCGCATATCTGGATTTTGGAGCCTATAACTCTGCACAGAATATGAGTCCCGTTTGAGTTGTCTGCTAGTGATTTAGTTAGGTCACTTACCTTAGGCGGTGCTCTGGACTGCCAGGGGACAGAGCCGCCCGCTGTTCGTCCGTCATGCCATTGTTGGCAAGCCCTTTGGCTACATTTCCGACAGAATATGCGAGAGCAGTTTCAATAGTGTAGAATGTCTGTTGTAGACGGACATTAGCTATTGAATACATGGAGAAATAAGCGAATTACGAGCTTTAGAGGCGAGAAAACATACAGCTCCGACCAAAACCAGGTAATCGTCCGGTTGAAGGCCTTTGAACCCGACAGCGGTCACCCGGGCATATGTCCTAATACCAGTCACCAGAATTGCAACCGCGAGGAGGGTCCAGGCTTCAGTGGAAAAGCTATGGAAGGCTGCTTCTGCCGCAGCAGCAGCGGCAGCAGCAGCGGGATCAGATGGAGGAGGTAGCGACATGACGTTTAGAGGTTGCAGAAGGAAGAAATTTCGTTACTTGCATAAATGCATTAGGGCAGAGGGGTGACGAACATACACAGCCAGAGGAAGAGATAATGAGGGAGGCCGCAGTGTTCCTACTTTATTTCCTGCCAAAATTGATATGCACTGCCCTTTGTCACTGTTCTCAATTGATCAATCACTCATCAGAAACATTTCAGGAACTGTGAAATCTCCCTCTGGCAGGATGGAATTTCTTTGCAGTTATGATCGACACAAAAGTCAGCGAGAGCAGTTTTCGGTTCCTCATGGTAGGTCCACGAGGAGTTAATAAAACCAAGTATTTTAGCCCGGCTCACGCCACGCGAACCTAGTTTTTGATGGCCTCTCAAAAACTCAAACTCAATTCTTACACGGGTGGGTGTGGGGGAGGAAAAGGGGGGGGAATGGAATAGGCCTGGGGGCCAGTTGATCTGACGAGTATGTCCGCACGGATTAGAAAAACAAGCAGATAAGTGGCAAAAAAAATAAATAAACAAATACACATATACGGCGTAGCAATTCCCATCTTTGATCGGGTCAGTTGTTTTATTCATGAAAATGCGGCAATAATGGGTGGCATATGCAAAGACGGACCGCACAACTTTCACAATTATTACTCTGTATTCTTGTGAGTGAGTGATAATGATTATCCCTTGTCACAGCACATGGAGTTTTTTGTCCTGGCCCACAGCGGTTTGTCAAATTGGCATCCCTGCACAGAGAACCACCTCACCTTGCGAGACGGCGGAAGGCTGGCCGTTTCCGCTGCATAGTTCTGTATAGCACTAACTGGAAGTGGCTGTTAGCACTGCTGTTTGTTACATCCGTCAGGTAGTTTCTACAAGGATATGCCGCACAAAATTAGCCAGGTGGTGCCACGCTTGTGCTAGGCGCTGTTTGACCCACCGAGCCTACAGGGGTTGAAAATCACGGCAAGACAGAAGGATAAGACAATGTCTTTGGATTTGAGGACTGTGGGCGCTTTTGGTCTGTGGATGCCAGTCGACTGATTATGCTGTTGTATCCGCATGGATTATCGCTGACTTGGTGCATTTCCCGTTCCATCATCCCTGGCCGTTGCAGTGACCGTTGACTGATTCGCGGTTGTCAAGCTTCCAAGGACCACTGGACTAGTCGTGGGTTCAATCCCATTAGCTCTATTAGCTCAGGGACGAAACACTCCCTGCTGGCTAATTGGAAGGAGCCCACCGCTCTGGATACAGTTGGTGAAGACCTGCATACCATACCGACCGGCCAGACCAAGGTCATCTCATGAGACTTTCTCCTTGGCAGTTTTTGGTGTCAGTGTCGTGTTACCAGAGAATACTCTTGCTGCCACGACGTCCCTGATTCTTCAGCTCTTCCAACTTTTCTATACTGACAAGTTCCTTTCAGCTGGCAGACCCTGGGACACAACGCCTTTGTCATTAAAGAGGCTATCTGAACGACCGTGCCGCGGCCAACACTGGCCCAATGATGGAGACGCTTGACTGCGCGGTTGTAGGCGCCGGTAAGCACACTTCTATTTGACCCTAACTAGAAGCGAACTCCCTTGGTTTTGTTTCCGATGGACGTGGTTGAAGACCGCGCTGAACAATTTTTTTTGTCATGCAGGGTGGTATGGCCTGGGTGCCGCAAAGCAGTATCACTGCACAAATCCGGACGATTCTCTAGCTATCTTCGAATCCGAATCCTCACTTGGGGGAACATGGGGCGACAAACGCTTATACCCGCTTCTGAAGAGCAACAATCTCTTCGGGACGTACGAATATCCAGATTTCCCTATGGACACAGAGACATTTGGTGTTAAACCACGCCAACATATCCCTGGAGAAGTCATCAATGCGTATCTCAAGGCATACGCGGCCAAGTTTGGTATTACTGACCTGATCCGTCTCCAGACCAAGGTCATCGTGGCAGAGCACCAGGACACGGGTGCCGGAGGTTGGATATTGACCGTTGTAAATTCGAAGCAGGAAGAGTCGCAGGTTTTTGTGCGCCGGCTCATTCTCGCGACGGGGATGACTTCTGAGGCATTCTTGCCGCATTTTGACGGCCAGGAGACATTCGGCGGGCCAATATTCCATAATAAGCATTTCATGCTGAATAGAGATACTTTGGAAACAGCGAAGTCTGTTACAATTTTGGGTGCTACCAAGTCGGCTTGGGACGCGGCGTATGCTTATGCCACGGCGGGGGTGAAAGTCAATTGGGTAATCCGGGGTATGTGCTATGTACTGCAATAAGATTGACTGATTAATCCGGACGACTAACATGAGAATATTAGCAAGTGGACGTGGGCCATGTTGGATGTCACCCCCGTTTGTGACGCCACTGAAGAAATGGATAGAAAAGCTCGCAAGTACGTGTGGAACCTGCGCGCATCACCTCAAGGCTTTCTACAGTATTGTGCTAATATCTTTACATAGATGTACGCGTCCTGACCTGGTTTAGCCCCTGCATTTTCAGTGAAGCGGGTGGTTACAGTGGCATCCGCAACTTCCTCCACGGCACTGCTATCGGCCGAGCCATCGTCAACGGGTTTTGGAACGTACTTGGCGGAGATGTAATAGCACTCGGGGAATTCGACAAACACCCAGAAACCGCGAAACTAAAGCCATGGACTCACCCCATGTTCACAGGGACCAGCTTCAGCATCTTCAACTATGACACTGACTTTTTCGACATGATCAGGAATGGCGACAAAATCTCGATCCACGTGGGTGAAGTACACCGCCTGAGCCCTGGTAAGGTGCATCTGACCGACGGTACAGAGCTGGAATCAGATGCCTTCCTCGCCGTTACCGGATGGAAACATGTGCCACCCATGAAGTTCCTTCCTGAGGGAATCGATAAGGAGATAGGACTCCCGCACGCCCGTTCCTCGGACGCCCCAGCAGAAGACCTCGCAAACCAACTTGATCTCATCGAACGTGCTGACAAAGAGATTTTCGAGCGCTATCCGCGGCTCAAAGACCAGCCAGTCTGGAACAAGAATTACGTCCCGCTGACATCTCAGGAGGGGATCGACACAAAGGATGAAATAACGCCCTGGACGCCGCTGACGCCCTATATGCTGCATCACTTCATCGTACCGCCGTCGGAGCGTTTCCTGAAGCTCCGCGATGTGGCAGTTGTCGGTATGGTCAGCAACTTCAGCAACATCATCACGGCGCATCTACAGGGTCTGTGGGTCAGCGCCTACTTCTCTGGGCTCCTGGCGAATGATCCCGCGGCGGCGATCGGCGACGAAGAAAAGATGCGCGCACTACGGTATCAGACAGTGCTGCATAACCGATTTGGCAAATGGCGGTATCCCACGGACTGGGGCGATAAAGCTCCCAGCTTTATCTTCGATGCAGTACCGTACCTTGACATGCTGATGCGCGACATGGGGCTCGAACCGCGCCGGAAGAGAGGGCTTATGGCGGAGATGTGGGATCCATATGGTCCTGAGGATTATCGGAATCTCAATGATGAGTGGCAACGAAAGTACGCAAAAGCTAAAAGTGTCATTTAGCGCTGCGTTAGGACATGCAAGGGACCTCGATGCCTCGAGGTGGGTGGACAGATTGGATGGACATTGGACGACGCGCGAGGCTTTCCATTTGCAGCCTAGCGTGACGTTGCGGTTGACTCCGGGCCGAGTTCTGGCTGTGGGGCCGGGCCGTATCAGACCAACCCCCGAGAGTAGCAAATATCAATAGCATGCATCAGCAGCACCCAGCCAACCCGAGCAACGCGCGGAACCTGCGTTGGTATGTCTAGCTTGCGAAAGGCCGCCGTTGCGGCTCCAATGTTGTTTTATTTTCACACTTAACTCCTTTCACACCCTTTCTCGTTTATTTTCTCATCATCTCTAAAAATCCAGTATATACACCATGCTTGATTATCAATAGTGCATTCACATGTTTATTATCACTGTCATGCAGCTCTCAAGCTAACTACTCTCAACCCTTTTTTAAGACTCTCACAGCAAGAAAGAATCTACGCTGCTTATGTGCGAACACGGCGCACGAGCTACGTGGCTGAACCTGAAGCTAGGAGGCGGATTTTGCAAGAATTCTGGCACGAAATCTCCACCCAGTTGAATCCCCTTTCTTGCCTAGTTTGCCAAGTACTTTGTGAGTTTTAATAACCATCAAGCCATAAAAGCACACTGTTAAATTGCCTGGTAGACAGTTATTTTGATGTATTATATATAGTAGTGGGCTGGGTATATGTTAATCTGATGTCGAATCTCAAGATAGGGGGAACGGTGCTATGAAGGTGAAGAGAATGATGCCGTATATGAGGTCAGTAAGCCTACCGTGTATTTAGTCTCATGAAAGCCCTTATGTAGTGAACAAGAATTGGAATGAGCTCATTTCAAAAGTCATGCAATTACAGATGCTACACCAAGGGTGGTGACACTTTTTTTTTTTCTTCTAATATCTGGGAAAATGCTACTGTCGTGGTTACAAGCTGCCGGGTCCGGGCTGTAACCACTAGGCCACAAAGCCAATAAAACGGCTGACTCCTCGCCAGCTGCGCTCAGTACCCATTCTTATACAGCGTAGTGGTGGCTTGCCTACTGCTGGCGCCCGGGAGTGGTCAGATTCTCAATTACTAAAGCGCCATACAGTACTCCGTACGGAGTACGGAGTATATGTCGGAGGTTGTGGTGTGGATTATAATCTGTGAGACACGTGACTGCCGTAAGCAAATCAATCAACCAATCATCCATTATTATCTCAATATTTCACATGATCTAGTATTCGACTCAAGTATTTGAATATTCATTATTCGTATTCCATGCTCACACGGCAGGCTGAAGCCGACCTGGGGGAGGAAACATGCGCAATATTTGGCGGTTAGCGTGGTGAGGCGTCTTTAGGGTTATCTTAGAGCACTGATCTGCCATAGGAGCGCTTACAGCGTATTGCGATTTGCGAAGGTTGAAGCTTGCATGGTTTGATGTGGAGTGAGTTGAAGGCGCCTTTTTTAGTTGAACTGTATCCATCCTGGCGGAGTCCCTTCTGAACCTAACGACGTTTCAACTTGTTTGAGAGCCTTCGGCGGGGCGCGCGACCAGCGAGCTTCCTCTTCACAATCTCATCGTCTGGCCGTGAGGGACAATTAGCGTACGTACCTACTCTTGATGCTAGGATGGTCCTGACTTTTTATTATTGCCTTGATATTGCCCAATCCGCGCCGGAACTTCAGATATGGGTCAAACCAAGGTGGTGAAACGAAGCAAAAATTCTTGGGAAATAGAAGACACCTGGATCCCGAGTCCTTGGGGACCATGACGTATTTTGAAGAGTTGAAGTGGCGCCGGTAGTTGTTAGGTTTAGTATTATTGTCAAGTCTTGAACCCGATTTCTTGACAAAGAGCGCATGTGCAGATCTCCACGAGACGCCGCAAAAAGCTAGCAATTTAATAGGATAAGTGTTCTTCTGGTCTTCATCCCAACCTTCTAATATGATAACTCCAACACCGTTCTCAAGAGGAACAGCAATATCTCAGGGGGGAACTGAAATCAATAGTCGCGTTTAACCAGCTGAGATGGCTACGCATAAACCAAGCATGTAATCGTCAATAACCCCCAAATTCTATAGTTAAATAGATATGTAACTCTTGCCACCTATCTAAATAAATCAGCGTATCAAACTAATTTCGCCGCGTCCACCACCCACCCCTCTTCTGTGCTGCAAACATATCAATCCAAATCTCCCTTACTAGGCAATCTTCGCAAGAAGCCCTTTCGGCCAGCGCCGGACACTGTAATTTCTAGCTTCGTCCAAGAAAAGGAGAGCAAGACCAAAAGCAACCGGGAGGGCAAAGTACTCTGCCGGCACTGTTGTGGTTGCGACGGTGTTTTGGAGGCCCGGGATATAACAGACTGAATTTTGTTGGTGGGCCTACTACTGTAAGCGATCTTTTAGAGTTTTATGGAACCAAAGGCGCAAGGATAACAATATGAGGTTAAGGGAAACGGTCGGGGTTAGGCCAAGGGGGAAGAGGGATTCGAAGCAAAAAAAAAAAAAAGAAAAGAAAAGAAAAGAACGTACATATGAACACTATAGTTACACAAGGCCCATACCATGGCTATAAAGATGGATGGGTTCTTGGACTGCTTTTTGAAAATTGGTGGCTGCTGGAAGATGCTTAGACGCCTGGTGCGGACGGTGAGGAGGTTAAAAAATTGCATCACCACCAAATTGACGAACTAGATCGAGGAGGCCTTATTGGTTATCTCGACAACGTACTTGGGGTCGTATTCGGGAGCTAAATTGCCGTATTTCAGCGCCAGGGCGCTAAAAGGAATACCCCGTCTCTACAGACATGCAAGAAATGGGGAATGGTTTCAGTACGAAATTCATTTTCAGGTTATCAGTTGAATGAGTCGAATAGGTGTTGCGCGACATACCTCCATATACCAAAATGCCATGATAAAAGAAAGGGCGCATTCATAGACGCCGACAAATCCATAGGCATGGAGTATGAGCTTGGTGTTCACCAGGCGATCCTTCCTTGGAACACGGGGTGGTCGAAGGAGCACATCAGCTTCCGGCTTCTCGTATGCCAGGGTGATGGCACCAGCAGCGTCCGTAAAGAGACTGTTTTATATCAATATCCTAGACCAGAGTTTAGATATCACAGGTATACCTGGGCTCACCAGATGATAATCTGATGTTATCATTAATTAGCGAGGGAAAGCTTTTGCGGAATCTCTGAAGCATACCATTAGAAATGAAGACAGAACCTGCGGAACACCAAGAGCGACATTCGCCATAACCGGCCCTAGTATACAACGTCAGTGGAGAATCAAAATATAGCTTTCCGTGGGGAATACTTACAAAACTCGCTAAAGCTGCCAGCCGGAAGAAGGTAGAGAATAGTCTTTTTCAAGTTATCTACACCCATTAGCGGTTTGTCTTCAAAGGAAATAGAACTGCCCGAACTTACCAAAGACCACACGCCCATATTTAACAGCTTCAACAATTGCAGCAAAGGAATCCAGTAGCACCATGTCCTCTGCCTCTATAGCAATATCGGAACCACTACCAAGAGCAACACCCACATGGGCTTCCTTCAAGGCCGGGGCATCATTGACACCATCGCCTGTCATAGCTACGATATTCTCACGTGCCTAGAATTCTTTAACAATTCGAAGCTTCTGTTCTGGTGTGGTACGCGCGAAAACGATTTCCTGGTAGTTGCAGAGTTGTTCCCATTGGTTTTCATTGAGAGTTATCAGCTCAGGACCACTTATAACAATTGACCGAAAGTTTTGCAACTTCTCTGGTGAAAATACGAAATCACGATCGAGCTCTGTGGCTCCGTGAATAAGAGGTCGAGTAGTTTTTATAATTCCACAGTCAATAGCGATTGAGTGCGCAGTAAGTTTGAAGTCTCCTGTCACCTATTATTATGTATGTCAGATATGCCCCGAATATGTCTAACAATAGAGACATGGGAAATACTACCATCATTAAGCGAATGCCAGCAGTACGTAGTGTTTGAATGACACTAGGTATCTCGTCTCTCTGTTTGTTAAAAGAGTGAGAATGTTGCGAATATAGACCATGGATAGAACATCAAGTTCTTACAATTGGATCTATTATTAGACCAAGAAGTCCCACGAAAGTCAAACCCTCCTTAGCTTCTCTCACCACAGCTTTTTCGGTATTTGAGGACGACAGCAGGTGGTCAGCACTTGGCCTAAGTGTTTTTTGCGCAACAAGAATTACGCGTTTGCCCATGAGTGACCATTTGTTCTTGACCGATTCGATGTGTGTTAAATCCACGCTCGAAAGGGGCTTAACGGTGCCATCCTTTTGAACTACACTGCTGCATCTCGGAATCAGGACATCTGGCGCCCCTTTAATATAAAGCCTAAGACAGGTTAGTTGGTGATGTTAAACCATACCAAAGTAGTGTTACGTACATATCTTCAACATCTGCATGCAACGAGTGCATTATACGAATCATGGATTTGTTCCGGCTGTTGAAGGCGAGCTCAAAACCTTTTTCGTATCACTTCGTAGCCTATTGACGGATCCCAATGATTCTGAGAAACGCAGAATAGCTTGATCTGTCGGATCACCATACATTTTCATTTTGTCAGGTGGATAGCTGAGTGTTGACGTATCAAACTCCGCTGCATTGCGCAAACCTCCTACTCTACGTAGCTGATTCATTGAGCTACCAAATGAGACGTCGGTCTCTTCCCTCCCGTGGTTAGCTATACGCGCAGCTTCTTCGGTGTATTCCTCCGCACCAGTGTAACAATCAGTCACAAACATCTCATTCTAGAAGCACAATATATTAGAAGATATCAAAAAACAACTAAAGTTCGAGGATCCGCCTACCTTCGTTAAATTTCCAGTTTTATCTGTGCAGATGACGGAAACAGAGCCAAGAGTTTCGACCGTTGCGAGGGATTTTATTTTTCTTCATAATATTTGCTCCGATGGTGAGGCTCAAGGCGACAGCAACAGGAAGCCCTTCCGGTACGAAGGCAATTCCCACCGAGACGCAGCTGACAATAAGAAGGGGGAGATTGATCCAATCAGTATGATCTCTCCGCAACTAGGCAGCCCTAGATAGCCGTTAGTATAGAAATCGTACGAAGAAGAACTAAGGGAACTTGCCACAAGACTACAACTAGTACAACTACAGTAATAATAATACCAACGATAACCAAGACAAAGCGCAGTATTTTCTTCTGCAATGGGGTGAATTCGTGTCGAGGTTTATTGGCCAGTTGAGCTATTCGTCCAAACACTGTATTGTCTCCTGTAGCGACACAAACACCTGTTGCGCTACCAGAAACACAGTGGGTGCCCTGAAGTCCGATATTACGTGTTTCGAGATAGTTTTTGTCCGTAGAATCAACAGTCCCCTGAGCAGGTTCAGACTCCCCTACAATTTCATTAATTAGAATTACAAATAGGCAATCATGGAATTTTGGGTATGACTTTACCAGTAAGGATTGAACGATCAAACTTGGCATCGGACGACACCTCAATAAAACGCAAGTCTGATGGGAGTTTGTTTCCTTGTTTTATTTTGACGACATCACCAGGAACAAGTTCGGTCGCTGTCGTCCACTCCTGCCCGTTTTCCCGAACGACCATACACTCGTCTGGAAGCATGGTGGTAATCGAAGCCATTACTCTAGAAGAGGACCAATCCTGCCAGGCATTGAACGCCGCTTGGATAACAAAGACAGAGGCGAGGACAATAGCAAGTGCAAGATTCGCGAGGGCAGGAGGATCTCCGAGTGGTTTCCATGCGATGAAGACAAGAATACAACCTATAAACAATAAAAGGCCAAAACCACCAAACACATAGGCCATGAGCTTTCGAAACAGGCCGGACGGCGGTGGGGTGGGCTGGTTTTTCCCATATTCCGATGTGCGTCGAGCGACTTGTTCAGCAGAGAGCCCCTGAGAGGATGAAGTTGAGAATCTTCGGAATAGCTCGTCGGCAGAGAGCAAATGCCAATCTAACTGCTCCAGATCTATTGCTCGTTAAATAGGGCAACAGAGAAAAAATCATAAGTTAAGATGTAAATTAAGACTTACCACGAATATGTTTCGCATCTCTCTTGTTCAGTTCACCTGCCTTTGAGTCTTCGTTGATATTGTACGATCTGAATTGTGCATGCTGTTATGAGATTGATTGAGCTCCGGGCAAGACAGGGATAATAACGAACAGGGACCGGTAAGTAATTGGAAGTACTGTCTCTGGAGCTGCCACTCTACTGTGAGTACTGCGAATTGACATAGAGGAACTTGACACAGCGCGATGGAGAGTACGTCTCGGAGGTTTGGAAAAAGGTTGTGTCTCGTCCGCAATGCGGACGCGAGGGTCTTCGTTCTTGTCACTCATTCTCCGTAGTGTATCAAGTGTTCAAAACAATTTCAAATAGCAAGGATAGGAAGATTGAAAACAATGTTAGGAGCAGGGGCCGATGCATGTCCTTTTATAATAGATGGCATACAGGTTTCGGAAAATATTCGAGCCCTCAAGGGACCCCTTTTCCACCCCATTTGATAATAATGAACCTTGAATCACGGCCGATCCTTCAGGTGTGCAGCTCGGCAATAGGAATGGCCTTTCCCATCCAAAAGATAAGAAATACAAAAGGCAGAAATTGCCCCCAAGGGAAAACAGCATGCAACATCCGGCTACCAAGGGATAGGTTGTAGAGACCCATTGGGGCTGAGCTTCACCTATGCGGGAGAAGAGCAAAAAATAAATGCCTCATAGTCCAAGCGGGAAAACAAACATACGACAAGGACCTGAAGCACTGTGGAAAGCTGATACTATGTGACGAAGGATAGGAACAAAAGCAAAGAATTTCTCGGACGTAATATCCCATCGTAGTGGTTGTTAGATAGAATGCAAGACTTTCCTTGGTTGCGAGAAGCAACTGGACACTGACGAAGTGCTAATAGAGCGTAAAAATCAAAACAAATTTCCGTATTCAGCCTCAATGCCCCCCAGCCCAAAGAAACATAGCACCAAGCACTGAATAAGTCGTCATAGCCAAAAAGAGAGAGTTGATACACGTGCCAGAAGATTAGAACAAAAACAGGGGGCGGATAGCCAGAAGTTGGGTGCAGTAATTTACCCATTAATATCTCAAATAAAATCAACTGTCGTCAAATATCGTGCCGCATAAGCTTCTGCCGGCGATTAAATCATTTGTACCATTGGTTGCGATATTTTGGACCTTCTTTTTCTCCTGCACTTCGCGAGGTATATAGGCATCTTTCACGAAAGTAAGGGTAAAACATAATCGTGAATGAGAGAAATAATAAGGACGGTCACTCCCAGATCCCTTCCTCACTGGACTGCTTGAGCAACGAGTTCGAGAGACATGACATTGCCTGAGCGCAAAAGTAAGATGAGATAAATTGGTCCGGACAACAAGGGCAGCTCCCGGTGAAACCCGCCAATTTGGGATGTTGTCCTGTGAGATTGAGATATTTAAATATGGAATAACGTTTGCCACAAATCAAAATTGCCACAGCTTCTGGATCCTTGCCAGCTCGAGCTTATCCGATTCTCCTTCTAGGATAGCTAGTAACGGAGTTACTTTTCGTAATTCATATATCTTTCCATAATCAAACTTCGATGAACATGCGTACGAGTGCCTAAGGCATGCAATCCAATTTTAACCTTGTTTCTCGCCTTGATGCAATCACCCGGGCTTCTCATTGGCTTGTGAGTGTATCTACCAATGCATTGGGATCAATGTAAACGGCCCTATCTAATATTAGACACCAAGGAAATCAGCACAGTAAAACACGAGTAGAGGTGCTAAGTCGAAGAAGTCCACGCAAAATGGCAGGGAAGAACAGCTGAAAAGGCTTATCTTCCAAAGTTCCTTGGCATCTAATCCCCCCATGAGTAGCCCTACTCACACTATATAGTTGGATGCCAAAAGTTGACATAAATTATTGAGTCTTGTCTAGACCGGGTCAGCGTGTTTTGTCTGCAGGAGATATCCAGCAATCACAATTTAACCTATCATGCCAGAGCCTGCAGAATGTAAGCAACTCTCTGAATATGTGATGAGTATGCCCCACCGCACTGTTCATACTGAGTGGGACGTAAGGTATGGTATTGATGATATAGTTAATGATTTGGCGGAAGAGAGTGAGGGAGGGGTTTGCTAGATGTCTGAAACTAGCTTCGCGCCTCAGCCCCATAGTGCCCCGAGCGTGCGCTTAAGGCTCGAGCTCCACTCTCCCCAGTTTTCCATCTCCATCTTGTTCGGTGCTGAACACACAGCTATGCTAACAAGCTACCTCAGTCCCACCAGAACTGGATCATACACACCGTCATGTATGAGCTAGACTTGTGGTGTGTGTCGCCTCGTGCCGAAATGCATAGCCACCACGAGCGTGCCTGATCGAAACTATATTACTATGAGCGATTTTCCTGCACACCCAAGCATCCGTCATCGATTTGATAGTGAACCTCGAATAATCCTGAGAAGCCCCAGGCCAGCCCGATTGCTTGAACGCAGCAGTCTGAGCTGACGTAGCTTATGATTATTTTGAAAATGTTTGCCGCTCCTTTTTCCTGCTCCTTGTGATAACCCATTTGACGTTTCGCTTTGATACGACGGGGACTTATGCTTTTCGTAACCACTCAGCAATAGACATCAGACTTTGCACATGCTATCGGGACAAGTTGTCTTCCCTCTGTCGATCTTTATATCCGAAAATTAAAGAGGGCTGTGGAATTGGCAACAGGAAAAAGGGACCACTTGGTTCATGGTGATGGGGAATCTCCAAGATAAAGCAAACAACACAGGAAGCACCAAAGTCGAGAGCTTTAAAACACAATGTCTGAAGCGACGTGGAGACGTCAATTCATAGGTACTCCGTACATCCAACCATAATGGTGTTGAGATACCCCACACTGAGACAAATGCAACCAAGGCTACCCGGCCCTTAGTGGCAGTTTCTCACGATGTTTCTTGAGTCATATACTTCTCTCTTTAACACCAGCTCTAGCCTCATGCAAAAGCAAATGTGCTGCTCATACCTGCTGGGAAGGACAGATATTCATTGGCGTCCAAGTTCCTTTGGTAATGCTTAGAACTGCTGGCCTAAGAAAAAAAAAAAAAAAAAAAAAAAAAAAAAAAGGTAGCTCTCCATAGCTCCGTTCAACGCTTAGCCACAGTATTGAGAGCTTGATATCTGTTGCATGACGATCGATTCTTCCAAAAATTTCTTCAAAAATCAGTGCGTCCATCCTTCACCTTGTCCTTATCAACACTGACTTCACTGACAGCCGTGAAGCAGAGGATCAGTCAGCTCCTGATTGAGCTGGGCTGTGCTATGCGGGTCCACTGAAAATTCGTCGACCTCAGTGCTTGTGAAGCCGACCACTTCAAGCTGGACGGTATGGACTTAATCCGCTTGCAATCGATGGTAGGATTCACAGGGAAGCCTATAGGTATCACGACGGGCTCTTTGAAGTTCTAAACAGTTGACCCCGTGCGACATAGGCATAGTGGATCTTAACGATCCTACCTAGACAGCCAGGTTTGGAAACTGGGTGCACAATCTCCCTAGTATACTTTTCGTCAGATCTGTTTCAAGAAAAATCGAAGATACCTAACGATTATCCACGGATTTAAGTCCCAGGGTCCACTTGTATAATTCCCGGATCATCACGCAATCAACCTTATGAACTTAACACTATACAGCTCCCCGGCTCGTCTCGATACAAAATCATTCTAAGGCCAACCCGATCTGGCAATAACATACCCTAAAATTACTCCTCACCGCCATACAATATAAAGATATTCCAGGGCGAGGACTTCTATACCGCAATTCCTCTCGATATTCAGGTGCATCGGCTCGTTATGATATTCAACGTGCGATGGGTGCCCTTACTCCTCTGCACACTCCATGGACTCGGGGCTTCAGTCCAAGACTGAATCAATAACTAGAGGAAATGTTACAGAGGTTTTGGTACTCCATAATTTATGGGTTTTCCATTGCGCCACAACCGCCAAGTCGACAATGTCGTAGGCTGTGATTCGGCCAAACGTGCGAGTGCCCACTTGAAATGATAGTGTATTCATTTTGCCCGCAGTACCCCGGTGTGACACCGCATCGGTCTTTGGGTGCATTGCGCTTCACAATCCCATTGTTAGGCTGTATGGTTTGCGAGCGGTAGCGCAATAACAAGGCCATTGTTGGGATGTTGGGACCTGCATTGAAGGTCAATATTTCAACCTAAACTTGAGAAAGTTGTTTCGCGACTCTGTAGGACATATTTCTTTGTCCTATTTCTTCACAACCCTTGCCGTTGATTCAAGGACTTCATGGGTTCCGAGTGCGTTTTGAGGTCTTGTAACATAACATCTATGTACAACTTTGATAATCTTCATAGGTCAAAGTGAAGTAAGTAAATACACGGACCTGGGAGTGCATACACTGTATTATTTGTTGATGATCAGTTTATTCCCTCGCCTTCACCGCTCCAAACATCACCACCCCTCTCAGGATAGAACGATTTAGCTTGGTCAGGTAGTTTTTCGACAGGCCTAGCACAAATGTAGAAACACACAAAAGTCGTTCTCCACTGGTAGTGGAGTTGTTTGTATTCCGGCACATCCGCAGATCGAGAGAGAGTCATCACAAGGCTCATGGTTGTCGAATAAAAATAAAAAAAAAGAGAATGGAACGCATTAATCAGCATCCGGCCCCAAGTGAGGTGTGTGTTGGTCGGATTAAATATTTAAATATTTAACTCCACGCCCAACCCCCCCCTCCAACACCAGCTCTCTTTTTCCCTCTTTTTTCATTCTTTCTTTTTACTCCCCCTTTGCTGGGGCGCAAATCTGTCCTGCTTTGGCCTTCTCCCTTTCTCGCTCTCTTCTGTTCCCTTCAAGTATGCACCCGTCGTTGCCTGTGTCCTGGCATTCCTCTCCCAGCTGCGCATCCAATACCCCTCCGCCGTCCCCTCCTTAATACAAATACTCTGTTTTGTGTCAAGCGTCCTTGTAGTCAGCAGCCTCATGCAGGCAGATCGAACGGCGGCGGGCTTCTCCAATTCCGATTCTCCTGTTGCTATTGCTATCAGCAATGGATTGCAGCTGCAGCAGGGGCCATCTCAGCCCTGGTTAATTGCGGCCAGTTGGGCGGCTGTCATCTGGTACCTGATTGTGACCTTTGTGATTCTCGTGGGATGGATTCGACTGTGAGCTTAGATTTTTTCGTATACTGTTTTGAATAGAGATTTAAATTTGACTGGCGCTAGATAGCCTTTGAAATGTACGCGCTGACGAGCAGGATTTCCCAACCTGATATCTAGACAAAAGAATTTCTCCTCCCGCCCAAAAAAATCCTTCTCCGCCTCACTTCGCCCTTTTCAAGTCAGTCATGTCACCATCATCCGGCCCGTCAAGGATCTCGAGCCCTGCCTCTACGAGTGTCTGGCTGCTAGTTTCCGTCAGGAGTATCCGAAGGATAAGCTTACGATATACCTCTGCATTGCGACCAAAACTGATCCGGCATATGCTACGTTGAAACAATTATTGGAGGACTTCCCAGACGCAGATGCTCGGATTTTAGTTGAGGAGGAAAGTGATGATGGTGACCGGCTGGGACCCAACCCGAAAATCAGGAATATGAGCCGTGCATATAACGAAGCAAAGGGTGATATTGTGTGGATTGTGGATTGCAATGTTTGGATGGGAAAAGGTGTTTGTGGCAGAATGGTGGATAGCCTGTGCGGAATAGTTGCGGAGGATGGCTCTGTCGGCAAGCAGTACAGATTCGCGCATCAAATGCCCATCGCGGTCGATTTAGGAAATGGAGAACCGTCAATGAGAAGCGCGGATGAGAGCCAGGACTTGTTACATCAGGACTACGACTCTGTCAGCCTCCCGACTGCAGAGATGAAAAGTAAGGGAAAGCCATCTTTCCTAGCCACAGCAGGAGGTCGTCTAGAGGAACTTTTCCTCTCATCCTCCCATTCTAAATTCTACTCCGCAATCAACACTATCGTCATCGCCCCTTGCGCCGTTGGTAAATCAACCATGTTCCGCCGCTCACATCTAGACTACCTCACTTCACCTGCCGTTGCAAAACCCCGCGCGCAACCCCGACGTCCCGGAATTGATTACTTCTCGGACAACATCTGCGAAGACCATCTCATCGGGGACTGTCTCTTCCAAGGGAAACCCCCCACTAGAGAAGGAGAGCGATGGGGTAGACACAAGTTAGTCTATGGTGATGTCGCCATCCAACCAGTAGCCCGCATGAGCGTCAAAGACTACATCCACCGGCGCATCCGCTGGCTCCGTGTGCGCAAGTTCACTGTGCTGCTCGCCACACTCGCCGAGCCAGGGACCGAATCGTTCCTCTGCTCCACTTATCTTGCCTTCGGACTTAGCAACCTCCTCCCTCGTTTCTTCCCGCAATATGCCACTTATCTAGGCACCTGGCGTGCGTTTTTTGCATTCTGGTCTATCAGCATCGCTTTCTGGGTCCTCATTGACTGGTTGCTCTATGTAACACTGCATTCCGCCACTGCCCTGGAAGTCGACGAACATACCCCGTCCTTCGCGCTCCCGCACCCCAGATTCGCTCATGCCAAGACTTGTCGCACTAGACGCCCGTTCCATGAGTGGTTCCTTGCCTGGTTGGGCAGGGAGGCTTTGGCATTGCCGATCTGGCTATGTGCGTTCTATGGCGGTTCAACGGTTGTCTGGAGGGATCACACGTTCCGTGTGGGGATGGATTTGGTTGCGACGAAGATCCCGGGGAAAATATCGCAGAATGACAACGACACCGGGGCGCTTCGGGGGACGAAGGATGGACAGAAGAGTGGCTATGGTGCTTTAAGCGATTCTGGTGGGAGAAGTACGAATGTACGCCAGCGAAGTCCTAAAACGCGCGGTTATGAACATAGGAATTGACTAGGAGAAATGTCTCAACCTCACCCAAGCCCGCTTCCCTCCTGATATTATCCTAGATAGCCTTCTTTGTTTTTGATTTTTTTTTTCTATTTATTTTGATAGACAATACCCAGATACAGCACCGGATACCATCGGTTCCTTGTGTTCGCCTTGCTTCTAAAGGCTGTTTTGTTTGTGGTCATCCTTCCACTGCATATTGGTGTATGTTTATCCATTGATTATCCCCGGGAATGGTTCGGCGAGTTTATTAGAATAATAGCCATATCTAACGAGATTAACGGGGCTAGCTATCTCATTTTGCTTCCAAGTTGATGCGTATACTTCTCCTGTAGGATTGGGTTGTTTCTTCCAGAGTCTTCTTGATCCCTCTATTCAAGGCAGAAATAAGCTTTCACCTCACATAATTTGCCTCATGCACTCAGTCATTAAAAAAACAAAACTCATATCCCCGAACACTCAATTACCACCCTCATCCCCATCCCCACTCCCACTAACACCCGCCCCTCTCTCCAACCCCTCACCCTCCTCACACCCCAACAACCACTCGACAACCTGCATGCCCTTCGAAATCGGCCTCCTAGCCTCGCCCTCTTCCTTATTCTCGGCTTCCCCAACCCCATTCATAGTCACTTCCACCTCTCCTTCTCCCTCCTTTTCATCATCAGCAGGTAACGAAGTCCACTCCGACCTCTCAGCGAGGAAGACGGCATCATGGCCCGCATTGTTTTTTGTAGTGATATCTGCGCCGGCATGGACGAGTGCTTTAACGCATTCCAAGTGCGTGTTTAGCGCCGCCCAGTGTAATGGGGTGTTGCCGGAGTTGTTCCGGTGGTTTATGATGGGGTTCACTGTTGTTGCTGCCCTTGCTGCGGGGTCTTGCGATGTGTGGGTGGATATTGTTGTTTGTGTTAGAGTCTGTGTAGGTGTATCGAGGAGGCTGAGGAGGTAATTGAGTGTTTCTGGTAATTTGGAGATTTTTTGTAAGTGGGTAAATCGCCCTTGGGGAACGCTATAGATAGAATTATATGGGGCGACTACATACCAATATTCCCATTCGCAGCCGGCCAATGCAACAAACACGCCCCCGTTCCCCCCTGGCTCTCGTCTTCCATGTCGATAGCAGACTGTATGATATCTAAGGAGGAACAGCCGTACTTCTGGCTGAGGCTCGTGATATCTGTCCGCAATGCGTCTACATCTCCTAGACGCGCGGAGTAGATGAGGTCGTCGATCTCTTCCAATGTAAGAGGCTTAGGCGTGGTTGCGCCGCCTAGTGTTTGGCCAGCTATAGTTGCCATGGTTTAGATGGTTTCTGATATTCTTTTTCAGTTTCCCTTGTAGGATATCTAGGAAATCCCCTTAAAAAGGAAAAGCAAAAAAAGTAGCGCAAGCCTTTTCGCTCCCTCCTGTATTTAACCTAGGTAATGTTAGACATGTAATATTGTTTGCACCATATCCCGCAGTTGATATCAGAATGGACGCGACGATGAGGGGTATCTTGAAAAATCTTCCAGGTTTGCTGAAAACACTGTGTAAATGACTATAACAACTTGATCCATGTTCAGATCTTGTTCCTGAACCAGGAAGACATTTAAGATATCCACCATATCTTCACATAACGGAGAATCAGGAAAGCAAGCTTCTTAAACGTAAATTTTGCTTGACCACAGCAGCGACCCTGAAGACGCGGACAGTTGAGAGCAAACCGGAAGCGATTCCCAGCACTGCAATTTTGGAACACGTGTAGAAATAATTACTTCATAAACAAAGCTCATGCTAAATCCGAGGTATGAAAAAAGAACATATTGTATGACGATCAAAAAATAAAATAAAAAGGTTGCTTGCTACACGGAGCTCTGCATCGCTAGGGAAATATGTACATATATTATGACTAGTGGACATCTCGCTATAGCGAAAGCGAAAACCACAGTAGCAGAGAAGGGAGACAATTCCAGATCAAAGGGAAAGAAAATTAACTTACTGATGATATACTCCGAACTTGTTCACACAAAAGAGGTCTCCTTTCTAATTTAAGGTGCTATTGTACATGTACAGTTACCCCCAATTTCTGAAAGTTAACAAAATCACAGAGACAAAATTAGCTGGCCAAATCACGTGATGAAAACAAAATGCTACCAGAACTGGACCAACAACAAACTTTAATTCAAAGAATGATAGAGTTGTGCTAAAGGCATATAGAGAATTAAGAGTTTAGTCTAGAGCATGATGGTTTTCGGCATTTAAGATCAGAAAATCAGCCCAGTCCGTCAGGTTATGAAACCACAGAGATTCGGCAATGGTATATAAGAGCTATCGCTACAACATTAGAAACAAATAAGTAATGGAAAAAAAAAAAAGCAAGAAAGTTTGAGGAAAGAAGTGCAATGGAGCCAGAACCGGATACCATAGCATCCGTCTGACATGAACATCATGTATATCCACGAAATATCCAACCCAACCTCTCATAAACGAAGCCAAGGAAAGAAAAAAGCACCACATAACTCCATAGAAGATGCCCAAAAAACCTCCGCTTGCACCGCTTGCACCGTATGTGCAATTGCATCCTGTCTTCCGTTTCCGATAAAAAAGCTAGGTCAATAAGGCGCGAGGATAGAGCTGGCGAGGAACAGAAGTCCAACCTCGCAAACCGAGAAAAGAAGACAAGCAAAAATGCCACAAGGTAAACCAGGAATCAATCCCTTAACCACGCTCTTCGTTTCTCCTCCTTCCTCTCCCTCCTCTTTTCCTTGAAAGCTTTCAGTTCCTTCTTAGTTAGTTTCTTCCCGCTCCGCTCGGCTTTGAGGCTCTTGCCATCATGGCTGTTGGCCGCCGCATCCACATCGAAATATGCATTCAGTTGTCTTTTACTTTTATTCTCGTCGTCGAAATACTCTTTAGCTAGTGCACCCGGCTGCCATTTGCCCGTGAACCGGTTGAACGTGCCTGTTGCTGTGTAGATGTAGTTCGGATCGGAGGAGTAAGCAGCGCCTGCGGCATCTAGCCCTTCTTGTTGTTGTTGTTGGGTCACCTGTGCGTAAGGCGCAGTGGGGTCATAGTCACCGTGGATTGCGGGATCATAACCGCCAGCCACCCGTGGTTTGATGGACTGTTGCTGTTGTGAGGATTGTGATGCGTCTGCTTGTTGTGTTTGTTGGTGTGTGTCAGGTACCCGGGGGTTCTCCCACTGCGACAGACCCGTGAACCGGTTATAAAAGTAATAAGCTTGTGCACTATCATCCCAAACTGGGTCCCACCCATCATCTTCTGTTTGACCAGGAGGCACTTCGTTGGGGAGGGGAGGTGGGAGATCTTCCTGCGGTAAGGGTGGAGCGGAGTTGTGTGGCTCTTCCCCGTCTGCTTCTTTTGCCTCCTCCTCCTGCCCCTCTTCCAGCTCCTCGCCTGGTTCCTTATCGTCCTTGTTATCCTCGTCCCCTAAAACGTCTTTCTGCTCTGCATCCTTCCTCGACCAATCCCTAGGAGACTTTGGAGAGGCTATTTCCGGTTGTGGTACGTCTTCCACGCGAGCAAGTAGCTCTCTGTCACCAACAGCGACGGAAGCGGCGTTTGAAGCCATTGTGTGTTAGCAACGCCCTATCCAAAAATGAACAAAGGAAATGGTTCATCAAGCTCAGGAGGTTGTGTATCACGGCGACATTGCATTAGAGGAATACAATGTCAAGATGTCGGGGGTCTCCGAATATATGCCTTTCAAAGCTCGCATTTTATCGCTGTATTCTGTTCGGCTTGTTTGAAAAAGGAAGCTTGGGGCTATAAATCACGTGATCGAAAAATTTTCCCGTTTTTAGGTTGGGCTCAAATAAAATAAACTTCGATACAACAATAATAACTATGCCATATTTATTTATCTATATATTTATATATCATAGTGCTCTAAATTCCCAATTAATATACTCTTTTCTTCGGTGCTACGCTAGGACACTCGTTCTCATCCAACGTTGCGAAAATAACATCCCGATAGCCCACCTTCACTGGTTCTGTCTCTTCGATCTGCCACGACAGGCTATGTTTCATGAATTGGGCATCATCTCGATCAGAGAAGTCCTCTCGGGCATGGCTACCTCGGCTCTCCTTCCTATCCAAGGCGCTTTTCGCCGTCTGCGCAGCACACGTGAGCAAATTCCTCATTTCCAATGTCTCGATCAAGTCAGAGTTCCAAATCAACGATTTATCTTTAACACAAACATCGTTTTTGAATGACTGTTCAACCTGCTGGACTCTAGAGACGCCGGAGGCGAGGGATTCTGCTGTTCGGAACACAGCGACATCAGATTGCATAGCTCTTTGCATATCCATGCGTAGTTCGGCGGTAAGTTTGCTTCCATCCGAAGTACGGATTCGCTCCATATCCTCGAAAGATGACATGCCGATATCTGCCGGAATTGAACCGTGCGACATTCCTTTCTCGTTATTTCCAGCAATGTGAGAGGCACACGCATGGCCAAATACGGCAATGTCGAGAAGGGAGTTGGCGCCCAGTCTATTCGCGCCGTGAACACTTACGCATGCGGCTTCTCCGGCCGAGTAAAGCCCGGAGACGGGGGTTTCCCTTCCGGTTGCAAGGTCCATATCTATAACTTGGCCCTTGTAGTTGGTAGGAATACCACCCATGCAATAATGGACTGTAGGGAGTACTGGAATAGGTTGTCGAGTTATATCAATACCCGCAAATATCGAGGCCGTCTCTGCAATTCCAGGGAGGCGCTCCAGAATCAGGTCCTTAGGCAGATGTGAGAGCTGCAGGTAAATATGATCCTTATTTGGACCAACACCTCTCCCATCTCTAATCTCTATGTTCATGGATCGTGCCACAACGTCTCTGCTTGCAAGGTCCTTGGCGGTTGGGGCATATCGTTCCATAAATCTCTCGCCTTCGGAGTTGAGTAAATAGCCTCCTTCTCCGCGTGCACCCTCTGTAATCAGGACACCTGCACCATATATTCCGCTTGGATGGAACTGAACAAATTCCATGTCCTGGAGGGGAAGACCTGCTCTGGATGCCATCGCACATCCGTCGCCCGTGCTGGTATGTGCAGAAGTACAGGAGAAATAGGCGCGTCCGTACCCGCCAGTGGCTATCGACTGATTAGCTGATGCATGACAAGAGTGATTAAGTAGTTACGAAACGTACCAAGAATCGTGTTCCTGCTGAATAGACGGTGCAGCGTTCCAGTTTCCATGTCAAGTGCGGTTACACCAACACACCGACCGTCCACCATCATAAGGTCCAAGGCGAAAAACTCGATTAGAAAGTTGCAATTATGCTACCAACCCATTAGCCGCGGATTGTACCACACATATGCATTTGAACCCAATCTAACCTTCAAGGCCTGTCCGTATAAAGTATGGAGCATTGCATGGCCTGTGCGATCCGCTGCGCATGCTGTCCGATAGGCCTGGCCGCCTGTGCCGTAATTCAAGGATTGTCCTCCAATCGGTCGCTGCAAACCCACCCTCTCGTTTAGTTTCGTTGAACCTCATGGACTGAACCTTTCAATTTTTAAAAATAATCCCACCTGATAAATCTTGCCCTCTGCAGTGCGGGAAAATGGCATTCCGTATCCTTCCAATTCAACAATGGTTTTAGGTGCTTCCTTACACATGTAATGCTAACGAGACATGTAAGCAAAATCATAGTACAGTTTTGAGGATATAGCAGACGAACGTACAATTGCGTCCTGGTCCCCTAGCCAATCCGAACCCTTAACTGTGTCATACATATGCCATCTCCAGTCGTCCTCTGTCATATTTCCAAGAGCAGCATTGATACCCCCCTGAGCAGCTACTGTGTGAGACCTTGTTGGAAACTACTTCATTCAAGACCAGCGTACGGACAAATTTTTGTTAGCGTTTTCTCCCATCTCATACCAAACAGACCATACTTCATGTCAAAGCCGGGGGATGGGGGGAATAGAAAGCTTCGACGAGTAGCTAAGGAAGAGTAAAATGACGCACCAATTTCGATATACACGCTGTCTCCAACCCACTTTCCGCAAGGCCAACGGCAGCCATAAGACCTGCTCCCCCTGCGCCAACGACAAGCGCACTAGTAAATGCATTAGCTGATATGATGCCTGGAGCAAGCTTCCAAACTGTCAGCGCATAGAACATACTCATATCTATGATCGATAATCTGCATGTCAGCCAGACAAATAATAGTCTTGGCCCGCGAAACGTTTGCTACAGCTGATAACGCCGGGGTCGAACAGAAAGTCCTCTTCCCTAGCCACTGTCTAGTAGGGCCTGCGATGCACTTTCGTCTATGTACATTTTCTTTGCTAGTATGTCGCGGTATCGATGTAGAGTATAGGCGCGATTGTGTTTGATACGAGTGGAGGAGTGATGGGGATGAGGTGAGTGTTCTCCTCAACAGTATGGGTGGTCGTGAAAGCATCGTCACCGTTCGTCTCATCAAGCGCGTAGGGTTAGATGCAAGTGAAACTAGCCTGTCCTTTTCAACTTCTACAAGTTGCAATTGGATTCCAATGCAACGTTATACTTGCTGTATTTCACGCAGGACAATCGTGCTCTACCAGAAGATTAAAGTCCCGATTCGAGGTAGGATTGGCAGCCGCCTAGCCTCTCAGCCTTTCCGGTAGAGATAGAAAGCACAGGGAACTATGAGGTAACGAAAAGGGTTGCTCCTTTAGCTGGGCTTCGAAATCTGCAGGATTGCCCACCCACCGCATAAAGCTAACTGAAATCTGGTTGGTAAAAGAAATCTAGACAGATTAAAGAAATGCGTGCAGAGCACCAAATTAAATAGCTTATTGCACGCGATAGCTGAAAACCGAGGTGAAATCAATGGTCATCTTTTTTCCCCGCGAGAGGATCGCAGGAAGAGCTCCATCTCGAATTCGGCTCGTTAGTCGCGGGCGCTGGCCGAGCGCAAAGTTCTCCTCACCGATGCTTCCGTGTAGCGCGGTTTCGGCACCCGTACGTTCGATCTCGGTCTCTTGCCCCATCTCGAAACCGGCCCTAGTCAAGGGCAGGATTATTTCTCTGATTTCATATTGGTCCATCGGGCGTTCCATCCTTAGCTTTAGCGTAGAAGCTTTGAGAGGGAGGCATTCGAGCAGGGAGACAACGCGTGTTGATGATGTCCAGAAGTGTGCGATGGTTGCATGGTTGAGGCTTCGCTCGGGCCAAGGCCGCGGCTATTCTGGTAGTTAACTAGTTAACTAGTGAGCTGCCGAGTAATTAATTAACTCGGGTTGGAAAGAATAATAATAATAACAGAACCTCGACGCTTGATGCGCAAGAATAATGCAAGATTCATTGAGGAATCAAGGGGCTGAGGATGATTTTGAAATTAAACGTCCCTTTCCATTTTTTCTTTAATTTTTTTCGGCTTAAGTAATAACTATTATTGCATTCCTGGGTTTACCCCTGCGGCACGCGCCAGGTCGCCTCCGCAAAAACCCACGCCTGAGGAGATAAAAACCTATGGTTCCTAAACCACTAGGGCTTTCCCATCAATTAGATTGGAAATTTTCATTCATCAATGATAGAATGGGAATTCAAAGCACACAATTGCTAGACATGGCGCGAAAATGAAGATTGACGGAGATAATACAATAATAGGAGAAAGAAAGGACGTGCGAAGAGCGAAATGGCTTGCATTTAAGATGTGTCCTTGTTACATCTCTACACCCACTCTGTCTTCTGAACTGACTGCAGATTCCTGAAGACAGCGATGATCATGATGTGAGCTTATTCGTTGCGCGGGCTTGCGTTCAAACGAGGATGCTGGTAACCGGCTCTCCAACATCCGCACATATGCAAACGAAAAGGGGTGGAAGAGCGCGCCGACCAACAGTATCCTTTGTTGCCCCTGTTGGTTGCGGGGATCCCGAAACCCGCAAGCTTGGGCGTTTGGGTGCCAGACACCTCTGGATAACTGCAGACTAACCATGAATCAAGGCCTCTGGCCTGGAAGTTGTAACTACGCATGAACAAGCTAAAACTTTCGATTGTGATTTATCTGCGAGCCACTGAAATTTCAGTGCATTTATTGCAGTCGACCGCAGTGAGACATGCATCATGCATATGCTGCATTGTTATTGCAGTGGCGGACAAAATCGCGAGTCAGTCTTGCTCATTTCTGAGTCCTTGTTCCCATTTCCAATCAACAAAGGTTCTGCCCTGGATCCCCGTGCCAGCCCCGTTGCTGTACCTCTGCGAAATTCCTCTGCAAAATAGGGTAGAGATCAATTGATAATTGCTGATAGTGGGTTTCGAACTAAGCCTCGATCACCTTCCTGACCACAAATATGCCTTATCGAAAACTTGAATGAAAAGACCTTGAGATCGAACCACGCAGCCAAGCCCTGGAATTTCAGTTTATAAGAAGAGTATCACACGTCACAAGAACATCAACAAGAGAGGGATATGTGAGTATCTGCCAAGTTCTGTATGCTGACTGAATCTAGGCACAAGAATAGTATCCCGGGGCTGCTTTGTATGGATGGAGCTTGCGAGAATGAGTGGCCTATTATTGGTGGGCTGAGAACGCTCCGCCCAGGCCCCCAGTGAGAGTTTGACGATTCAGCCCCCGGCAGCATGTTGATCAATAATAGTTAATGAGGTCAGCACCTGGGCTTTTGGGTACTTGAAACGGTTCGGGCCTTTAAACAGCAGGACTGAATCAGAAGGTCTTGCCAAGTCTCACAAAGCAGTCTTCGGAGCAATCCAATCACAAAGATTCACCAAGTGACCATGCAGCTGGACCTGCCAGAGCTGAAAAATAACACTTGCTGAAAAAGAAAAGATGCTTGTATGGCCCGTATGTATTTGGCTTCGTGCCAGCCATGCCGCACCTTGTTTTCCAGCCGCTAGTGCGTTGCAGATCTTATCTGAATTCCAAGGGTACTGTCCGGAGTACTAGTTTTAGTACTTGAGAAAACCCTGGAGGAGATCGACAAAGCGGGCTTTGTGGCGTCGCCAAGGATTCTTCATCCTGAGCTGTCTTTAGCTTGGCTCAAGGAGAAGAAGCTTGGGTGCCAGCAGACTCGAGTTTTTTCTTGGAGAGAAGTGCAAAAGAAACCGCGAAAAGCTTTGGCCAGTCAGGTCATTGATTGTGAAGAGTATTTCGCTTTAGTTTTCCTTGCGATGGCTCTGCACTCTATGCTCCCCACATCGTGTGGATTGACTGATTCTTGGAGCATACATAGCACATGCCATCTAATTAATATGTTGTACGGATTACTCTGTCCACGTAGCAGCAGACGCCTACGGATTGGCAACGAGGAATGGAAGATTGCAGTGAGTGTGAAGTGTCGTACAGATACACTTTCCGGACTTTGCCGCTCGAAACTCTTTCATTCTTCCACATGGAGATAATAGCGCATGAAGCTGTTGTTGGAGTTGGCCCGTTGGGTGGGATTAATTGACATCACTTCCTACGCTCCGTTGATGGAGGTTAATAATATCAGATAACAAAGAATCCTTTTTGACACCAATTTGAATCCCTACAGCTTCCAAATCAGACTCCCAATGAATATATTTTTGGCCTGGGGATTCGTCGATCGTAATAATATTATTATACAAAGATTTTCACAAGCGCGGAGCATTAACAATTCATCATCACCTCCACAGTTTAGGTCCACAGGGCTTGTGATAAAATAATGCAAAGCCTGAGGGCCCTTGTTGTCAGGTTCTAAGATGTACGGAGTGCACACAACAAGGATGTTTCCGTCACGCTTGAGTTCAGTAGTACTAGTAGTTTCTAGTCTGTCGCCCATGAATCCGGAAATAAAAAGGGACGAGCTGGGAATATTAATGAGCTGGGACATGGCCCCACAATGGTTTTGAGGCTCACGAAAGGATCAGGGTTGGTCAAAGCATAGCAAGAGCTATCACATTTTCCATATGGCTTAAGCCGGCCCTGCTGGTTCGTAGCCTTTTTAGAGCCGTCGATCGGCTTACATACAATCTCTAAGAAACCGTGAACTGAACGGCATTTCCAGAAGCGTTACTCCGTATATCAGTAACTAACGGCTTGTAATGTTACAAATGAACTCAAGCAGTAAGCGCCAATTGTATCTAGCAGTTGCACTCACCGTTTTTCGTTCCATCATCCCAGCGTAGTGGCGGTTACTACTTCGTGGAACCACATTTCACCTTGACAGTTAGCAATTGTGGCTCAAAAACTAATGAGCCAAGTGAGTTCAAAAGGAAAGACAAAGTACGGAGTAAACAAAGATGTATTGTCGCAGCAGAACTCGAGAGAACGGGAATGATGCTGACAAGGAATTACTGCGCTAGCCACCTAACGAAAAAAAGAGAAGATTATCAGGGGCACTTCGGTCCGATTGCTGGACACTGGTACCGAAGGCCGCATACAGGGATGATAACTACGGAGTAGAGGTCGCGCCAATAGTAGGCTTTGGCGAAAGGTCAAGGTATTCAACTTCAGTGATGCCCAGCCCTGGTTGATAGGTCGAATATCTCACTCAACACAGCACGCTCCGTGGTTTTCCAGGGCTATCGTTATTTGCACATCTGCGATGTGGACAGCGATATTTGTAATTGTTTTTCTTGTGCGAGCTCGGAACTCAATGATTCAATGAGAATATGCCTCATTGCTAGCTGCATATTGTGGCGTACTTGTGAGGGATGCTGAACCATGGGATCAGACAGCATGTCAAGATATTCTTTGCCCAAAGCAATGTCATTTTCAATAGTTTCTGAAAAGAAACCATGTTGATTTTCCTTCTCTCCCGTATCTCGGATCCGGCGCGTTCCAGGGGAGCCGGTCAGACCTCTGCTAAGTTCCAGCATCAAGTTGTCATCATTGCGAATGGCTGGGTATCAAGAACAAAAGAAAAGAGATTGTACAGCGAATGTACAGATGCGTGACAACTTGTATTATTATTGTCGCCCAAACTTCATGCATTCTTTCGTATGAGATCATCATTGAAAATTTTCGGGCAATTGGGATGTGGCGTATGCAGGCCCGCGACTTCACTTTTTTTTGGGAGATTACCATCTGAGGGCTGGGGTAAACATCGTTTGCTGAGGACCAGGAAAATTACTTGGAAGCCAACTTCGCATCGTACTTCCAATTCAGGCACCCCAGGACCAGGGAAGAGTTGGCAGGGGGTTGTTCAATCCTGTTCATGTCCTCAAAAAAGGGGGGTCATGGAATCTATAAAAGGGCCCTCCTCCGCAGCGTCAGGCTCTTTTTCTTTCTCCCATCATCAGCATCTTCATCGTTTCTTCAAATATTTGCCCAACTACCACACTCATTTAAACCCTTTTATATATAATTCTTAATACCGGTTTTAATACTTCCGACCCTCAAACCGTCAAAATGAAGTTCTCCATGTCTGCTATTGTCCTGGCTCTTGCCACCGTCGCCGTTGCCGCCCCAGGCAGTGGATACCACCCCGAGGGTAGTGAGGTCGAAGTCAACCAGGTCTCCAACCAGTGCGGACAGGCTCAGATCTCTTGCTGCAACAAGCAAGTCACCACTGTCAACGGCGGTGACAAGAACTCTGGTCTCCTGTCCGGTGTTTTGGGCACGGTCCTCGGCAAAGGCAGCGAGATTGGCATCTTCGACCAATGCTCCAAGCTCAGCGCCAGCGGTAAGTTTTTCGAAGTAACACTCGCGAAGAGAATTTGGCTAAATTTTCGATATAGCTCTTATCGGTGTTACCGACATCCTCAGCAGCTCACCCTGCGCCCAGAAGACTGCCTGCTGCCAGGGCAACTCTCAGCACGCCGTAAGTTTAGAAATCTATCATAGATTCACAAAGAGATATCTAACGGAATCGATAGGAGGGTGTCATTGCTTTGAACCTTCCCTGCATTCCTATTGCCGGCCTCTAAGCAGTTTCGCTTCCTCGTTTCCGGTCATTCAACTCAACCCCATCCTGTATTCCGGCCCCTATAGGAGGAATTCCTTGCGAGCACTAGGCAAGTAGAGGATGTTTTGTATGTCGCACGGAAACTGAAATTAGGAGACAACGCCGCGCCATTTTTGAACGAAAATATATATACTTTACATAGCATGTACCATTTTTGTTCGGAAAGCCTTTCTCTTCTTTTGTCTCTGAGCGTCTCTTGTGTATACGAAGTTGGTTTGGAGTATATGGTAATAAGATCTGTATTTTGCTGATGCCAATTATGTTTTTGCTGTGAATGAAGGGATAGATATTTGTCTATCCGTGTATTTAGCAGGTAGACTTGAATTCTTGATAGAAGATTGAAGTTCGCTGATAATCGCGTTTGTTTTCGTTTCCGACAATTGTCTCCTGTAGACTCGCATATTGTGTCTCTTGGAATATCGTACCATTTCCCAATATAAAGAATATTTCTCATTATTAGGGACGCTTTATACCCTGCTTCGAAGACAAACATACCTAGCTTCATTTGAAACATCAAAGCAACTGCGTATACCAGTTTCGCAAGCCTGGACGGCTTCTGCCCCGGCGGAAGCACTCGCATGTACATGTACATGTACATGTACATGTAGTTAACACCAACTGATACGAATTGTACCCAAGCTAGATATCTACCGCGCTAAGTCGTTAGTAATCGTGAATCCCGGTGTTTATAAAGAGGCCTGGTAGGCGAACGTTGGTACGCAAACGTTCGGCAACTCCGTCTACAGTACCCGTGTTACACGGACACTGTATGTAGGAATATGGTACGACCACAGTCATTCGTCTTCCCGCAGTGGCATGTGATGTCGGGATATATTTTTATTCTCGTGGAACTGTGCCCCTAGTTCGTAGTGGGTGGACTCGTCGAAATTCGTTTGCCAGCAGCATATTAACCGGTGCATTCAGCCAGCACAGACACGACATAAAGAGTCAGAGGAGATCGTATTTTCTGACTCACCGGGAGCTGCCTGTAGAAATTTCGTCCAGAGCAGTCGTAAGGTGGCAGCCAACTGGTAGGTATTATTGAAATCGTTTGATATCCCGAGATATATCCGCACCGTTAGGGTAAATAATCTCTACTTGCCTCCAAGCCTGGGTTTGCGAGGCCCGGAAAGAGCTAGGAATGACCCTTTCAATGAGAGCGCTTCTCGCACTGCGCACATCGTGTCAACTCCGGCAGCAGGCAGTTCCCAGGCAAGGAGGGAACAACAGTGCGAGAGAACCGAACCACGTATCTGGTCCCCAAGCCAGGATAGGGCCGAACTGAACTATGGATCGCGTCAATGACGATGAACAACCTGCTAGTATGCTTCTGTTCAAGCCGTCAGTGGGTTATTGCTAATACGTGCCTAGGCATAGTTCATATCGTACGAGGATATAACCCCCTTGGATTTACCCCTTCCTACCCTGCGCAGAAGATTCGTTGACATTTATTCCCCTTTGACATCCCTCTCGTGTTTGAGGTTTGAAAATATTCGACAGGGGCGTGTCTCGGACGCTGTTCTCTGTCGCGGATCAGTCCTCGTGGGTCCGTTGAAGTAAGGGGTGGGTGGCCTACCAGGCGTGACACGATATATGTGCATCGTAGCTGTCTTATATCGATTGCTAGAATTCGAGTACCTAGATAGTATGGTTTAAAAAGCGGTTGGGGGAAAAGGACTTGAAGTGCTTTGGGGAATTGGAAGTGGTTGCCATTGAGGAGGTTCCTCCCGTCCATGTAGTGCCGGATGTAGGTGAACTATGGGATAGTGCAATTCCTAAGTGAATGGCGCAATTACCAAACGCTGTTATCTTTCGTTTATATTCTGATATCTATTTCTAAAACCAAGACGCCATGGCCGTTTGATAGAGTGAACAGACATTGTCTTATTTAGAAAGAAAAAATCGAGCTGGACAACCTTGGAAAGAGAGAAAGAGGGTTGGGTAAGCCAAGGAAATAATATGTGTATATATATATATATCTAAAAGTGGTATACAAAACCGTAATAAGACCCCGATGATAGAGTATTCTATCCGTCGACTCCTAAGTGGCCCCCATCCCCAAAAGTATATATATCAGTAGCGATGTATAAACAAAGTCAACATACCAACCCAGAACATAAAAGGGAACCAAACGAAAAGTTGAAGAAAAGACTAATAACCGTGGAATCACAGTTTCGCCGTTGGCGTGTAGAGCTTGCTTGTTTTCGACATCACCTCAACGGCTTCCCTCTCGATGCGAGTGAGCAACTCTTTGCAGGATGGAATATCGTGGATCAAGCCCATAACCTGACCGGCGGTCCAGACCTATATTAGAAAAAGAAGCACGCGGGTTAGTGTATTTCAATATTAAGCACCAGTGAGAGAAACTGGAGAAATCTCGGGCCCCGCTCCTCCGGAAGGTTGGGTAAACAGCAAAGCATGGGAAAATACATACACCGTAATGAATATCACCGTTGATAAACACTTCTCGCCCACGCTTGCCACTGACGTAGGGGCCGATCTGTGAGAAGTCATCCGACTCAGCCTCCTTTTCAATCTTGTAAGCCTCCATGGCAACATGGTTCTTGAAAAGTCGGGTGGTGTTTCTCCATCTACGCATGACTAGCTGGGTATCTTCCTCGCTGGCGTCTACGATAGCCTGCTTCACTTTCATATGAATTGGAGCTTCGATAGTGGCCATAAACCTTGTGCCCATGTTGATACCCTCAGCACCCAAAGCCAGGGCGGCAGCAAGGCCGTATCCGTCCGCGAATCCACCCGAGGCAATGAAAGGCGTCTTAAGATCCTGGCGTGCTCGGCTGAGGAGGATGAAGTTAGTGATGTCGGTTTCGCCAATGTGGCCAGCACATTCGAAACCGTCGATAGAGAGGAAATCGACACCGAGCTTCACAGCGGATTTGGCGTGCCTGATCGTGGTGCATTTGTGAAGGATGATGATGCCAGCCTTCTTGAGCTGCTTAATGACAGGACCAGGGCTGTTGCCGGCGGTCTCGACGATGCGAATTCCTTCGTCGATGACCACCTGGGCGTAGGCACCATAGTCTGGTGGAGCGAGGGCGGGGAGTAGAGTGATATTTACGCCGAAGGGTTTGTTGGTCATCATGCGGCATCTGCGGATTTCCTTGCGGAGGTCCTCCGGGGTGGGTTGGGTGAGCGCGGTGAGCTGTTGGAGAGAAGCATGTTAGCGGAAGCTGCTTGAGATTGTCTCTAACTCTTGCTTTCTAGGCATAAAATAGGCGGATTGTTTTTTATCTTTGCCACAAGGGGGAATTCACGTACGATTCCGAGACCGCCAGCGTTGCTGACAGCCGCAGCAAGCTCAGCATAACCAACCCATTGCATTCCACCCTGGACGACAGGGACTGGTAGGACATGGTAAGTTTGCGTCCTCTAATAAACCCCGATCGTGGGACGAATGAAGATAAGCTTACCCGTGATACCCAATTTCTGGGTCAGCGCTGTGCTGAATCCCATTTTGCAAAAAGAGTGGAGGGGTCCGGAAGGGTTATTCTATCAGGACTCTATGAACAATGAAGACAAGAAGCATAGGAGAAGGATCTAAGAATCATAACCAGAGTAGGACACGACGAGATTTATAAAGGGATCACTGACATGGCAGCCATAAAAAATGCCCACCTGAACAAACCTTTGCGATAGTGGGCCGAGAGCCGAGGTCCATCGTCCCAGGCTCAGGATAGGTCAGGTGACTCGCCTTTGCTGCCATTTCTTGGAAACTGGGTTGGAAATGCTTCTTTTCGCTAGATGGACGCTACAAAGTTTGGGACAAGAAGACTAACAGTCCAGCAGCCGTGGACTATATTTGGCTGATTACTTATGGTGAGGACAGCGCGGTGGTCTAGATATCGGAGCTGGATTTCTCGTTGGAGCTGCAGGGGCAATAGTTGCGAGTAGGATTAGGTCCATAATTTAAGTGCCATGGGAAGATGTGGCAGATATGTACAGGACATATCTGTCCGTGTTTTCGGAGCGAGTTGTGGGGGGCACGATGATTGTACAGGGCTGGCGGGAGTAGTCGCAATTATTATGATCCGGAGTACAGACTGTACTATCACGGAGGATTGACCTGATTTTAGGCTTTCAGAGCCGATTAGTTAGAATATATACATTTGTGGGGCTTGTTCATAGTTATCCTCATGCTCAAAGTTTTTCTTGATTTTTCACAGGCCCGTTTCTTGGAGTCATCTATCCTCACACTTGTTGAGGATAGCTCTCGACGCTAGATACAAGTCCCTTCCGCTACATGTCCGATATGTCGGGCAGCAGGAGAAAAGTACCTGGGCACGGGGTAGCATCCCATTCCCGTCCCTGTCCAACGCCCAAGGAAATTAACATCCACACCCACGACCCGATTTCAAGGTGGCAATACCAAATCGCACCCCGTTCTTTTCTTCCCATTTATCAAACCCAGAGTCATCTCGTCTCGAAGTTCAGTATGTAACCCTGATATGAAACCCTCTCCTTCCATTGACAGAAAGAAATGGGCGATTAACGACGGGTCGAAGACTTCTTCTGAGGAAGCCCCATTTCTGCATCCAGGAGTTAACGACAGAAAGCCGCAACTATAAGTGGGATGGTTCGCCTTGAAACATCTGTATCATGCCGTTCCACCACCTACACAGAGTGCGGTAATGGCAGGTAAACGATGTAAGCTGAGGGTCCTCGAGTGAGTAAAAAGAGAGTGAGAAGAAGCGAAAAAAGAGTTGAGGTTGGGATTAGTTAACCAGGAGGCTGCGGACAATCATTGTTCCGACTAGTAACTAATTGGCGGCCTGTGATTTGCTGGCGGGTTACATAAGCCGAGGTCTTCCTGGGATCCCGAAATGGAAATGGAATCTCCAAGTGCTTTTGCTAGCTACAACAATTGATATTGGTTGTTGATTGTTGATTGGTATTGACTGCCAGCGGACGCCATTGAGCTATTTAACTGTACTACAATGCTTCCTCAAAGAGTTGCCCAGCAGTCGCTACGACGGCGTAAGTCACCTGTTAACCAACCCTTGCCATCCAAACTGTGTGGGATGAATTGGAAAGTGATGGCGGCAGGAAGCAAAGGGATGATATCAACTAACATCTGCAAATAGTTGCTGCATACAATCCTTCTCAGTTAAGAACTGCAGTTTCTAGAATTGCTGCCCCCGTGGCCATTGCGACTGGCAACCATATCCAGACCAGGTAAGTTGGTCGTGAAGCCTATCGACCAATACAACAACACACACATATAACCACATCGCAAACCCATTCGAACGGAAAAAGGAAACCAAATTTAACAAATTAACACAATTCCGTCCACCATAGATCAACCGCTTCAACCGCCAACCAAGACCCAACCTCAATCCTCCCCCGTCAGCGTCTCAACCGCCCCGTCTCCCCGCATCTCAGCATCTACCAACCTCAGATCACCTGGCTCCTCTCCTCCCTCAATCGTATCACCGGCGTCGCCCTTGCTGGCGGTATGTATATCTTCGCCTCTGCCTACCTCGTCTCCCCTTTGCTGGGGTGGCATCTGGAATCCGCATCGCTGGTAGCGGCATTCGGTGCCCTGCCGCTGGCCGCTAAAGTTGGCCTCAAATTCACCGCTGCGCTACCATTCACGTTCCACTCGTTCAATGGGTGCAGACATCTTATTTGGGATATGGGGAAGCAATTCTCTAATAAGCAGGTCATTGTTACTGGATGGACAGTTGTTGGGCTGACTGTGACCAGCGCACTTGCGCTGGCTTTTATGTAATATGGATGGGGTGATGTAGGCGTGTAGGTTGGCATGATGTATGTATGGTGGTAGCGGCATTCTGTTCTCGTCTTTGTTTTCCTGCCTCCTGCTCTTTCTTCATTTCTCATTTTCGTCTTAGTCTTTTTTGTCTCCCGGTGATGCTGCAGTCTTATTGATGTTTCCCCTTTCAGTGTCCATACTTATTTCCTATGCCATTTCAAAGATATAAAAAAAATAAAAAAATGTATAGTGCTGTGTATCTGCGAGTCAATACCTTGTCAGATATTCGCAGGGGCGCCTAAAATCCATATATGTAGTGGATTTCTTGATCATGCAAAAATATATGACAATCTTGTTGCTAGAAAATTATTGTACCATTACAAGGATCAACCCGCGTGCTGGGTAGGTGCGGAATTGAAGAGAAAATATTAAATTCCTAAAAAAGTTGCACCTAATCCTGACAAAAGAGTTACATGTAGGGAATGAAACAACAGGGGGGTTTACAATTAGGGTAAAACTCGTATTAGTTTTGAGATGAAAAAAAAAATTATGGGGCTTAACAAGCATAACAAGGAAACAACAGAGCCTTTTCCCTCCATAGGATGTCATGACTCGAGTCGACGAATGGAAAATCCTCCAGGGGGTGCTTTGAATTCATATTTTCCACGATCGAGCGTGTTTCCGTTTTACGCGGCGAAAAGTATCATATCACCATAGGAATGTTTCATCGATCTCCGGAGGGATTGCTAGGCCCATGTCAACTGCAAAATCCATTTGAGAAAATCGTTAGTCACTTGACGTTGATTGAGTATGCAGGCGCAAAAATAGCTCCGTTTGATGAGATAATATGGGGAACTTACTTAGCTATACGTAATGAGATTTCAAAACGTTTCAAGCCTTAAACGGGACTTGGGGGAGGGTTTGGAGGATATGGACGGGGCGAAGGAGGGTCCTGAACGGAGTATACGGCGTAGATGGAGCTTTTGGTTAGAGCTGTACTTGCGATGCCCTGTCCAATTGAATATGATGCACTTTGACACTGGGAAGGCGATTGCAGGTGGTGCGCAGTGTGGATGCGCCGAAGCGAGGAGTGGATGGGGCGTCGGGAAGACATTTGGGAAGAGGAAGGATGTTTTATTTTGCGCAATGGAGAAGTAAAGGAGTGAAAATATCAAGTGATGATATTTTTATATCGTAGACTAGGTTTGGCTTTGCTGAAATTGTGTTGATTTCATAGAAGAAAAAAGTGAATTAGGCGAGGAGCGGAAAAAAGAACGAGTGACAGACAATATCTTTGTTGATTGATAACAAAGATGTAATGGCAGAAATCCCCCAGATGGGGATTGCGCCCGGCTTTTATATCAGCTGGGTACATCGTGGGGAATGGACATTGTTAACCTAAATAATCTGGGCACCTGCACTAGGGTCCACCCGACCATGTTATTCAGATGTTGAAATACTATGTATAGAGTGCTTTATGTGAATGAATAATTTTACAACAAAGAATGGTTGAAAAAATATTCCAGGAAATATGCAGGGGTCCGTCCAGGCAGAGGTGGCTGCTCCCGCGTGTTACTGGAGAGACTGCTTCGACTAGCCGCGCGACGCACCATCCGTTGGCGATATGCAGAAATGTCAACGGCCTGAAATTGAAACATGGGGTTTAATATGCCAGGTTTCTGGGACGTATCACTCGCCTATCCTGCAAGGACCGAGAGCAGATATTTCCAGAGGGTGTTGCTCAATTCCAGCAGGATATTGGGGTCATATTTAGCAATAGGGAGGAGCAATAGTATATTACTATCGTCAAAGAAAATATCTGCAAGCAACGAGTTTGTTGGGCCCGTGATCGGCATTATGACAGTTCACTTGTACCTGGCTATCCCGGGTATGACCTTCGAAGAGTGAAGCTATTTGTCTAAGTCGATAGGAACAGGATAGACGACGAAAAACGGGTATTGCCTGCTGTTTCCAGAGAAGTACGACTACTGTATAATAATGGGCCTAGCCTCCCGGTGTGACAACAAACACGGGAGAAAAGGGCCAACCACAGAGTATCCGAAAACTGGCACCAGCGGGGAACCGCTGGGGAACCGAACCGGAAAAATAATGGAATGAAGAAACAAAAAGGGAGAGGTAATATAGAGGACTATAAAACGGGTATCAATGTGCTCTGTTTTTTCGCCCTGTCTTGGGCCTCTTTGCCTAAAGTTGTGTGAAAAAATGTAGCGCCCCCAGAATGTTGATGATTTAAAGTAGCCAGCCTTTAAATCCGTTCGAAACGGGACATATGAAGCCACATGAAAGAAGAATAGAAATACAACAAGGCAACAGAAGCATTACCAGCAGAGAACACTTTTGACACGTGTTGCAATGATTATTCCCCAAGTCTTCTATGGAGTTGAGAACCGAATTCTGCTTGGAAATGTACCGTACATTGGGTGGGTGATTGCCCAGGTGTGAATGAACCTCTTCATCAGGGTCCGACAATTGAGCCTGGATAAAGCCTTTATCGGTCTTAGCAGCAGCCGAAAAATCTCACAAAGGACCACTCCCTTGATATTCCAATCGATATGAAGGTAGTATGCAAAGACCCTAAGCGTGGCCTGACGGGGCTGGACGGGAGAGGCGCGATAGTTGTTCAACCCAACCAACAACACTGGGCTGCAATTGCATGGTAAGGCGTCCAAAGATATACCGAGGCTAAGTTTATCTGTAACCCAGTTGACAGCTTGTCCATCGATGGAGTTTGACAGGGACGGGAGTACTCCGTATTCAAAAGCAAGTTATCGCTGTTGGCCTTAGAGTTGTGGTTCAAATGTTGTTTCCGTCCGGCCCAAGAAGCCTTCAGGGCCGGTTTCCCGATTAAGGTTAGCCTGGATTTGCGGAAAATCTTCCCAAGCTCCGTATCAAGTCGAAGCATCTCCAGCCCGCGACGCAACACCGCAATTTCATCTAAACCTCCCTCCTACATGCGACTTTCCTGCTACCGATGACATCGAAGATTCCGGGCCAAGCTTTCGCTGCAATTGCGCGGCAAGGGCGCTGGCGTGCTCCCGCCGCTGCTCTGTCAGTTTGCTCGCGAGCCACTGCCTCACATATCCAAAGACATGCTCTCTCCTCCGCTGCGAGCCCATCAGAAACACCGACAGCACCCCGATGGAAAGAGACCCCACCGGCAATGAAAGCTCCCGTACGGCTGCGTGGGAGCCCAAACATTCCAGAGTATCCCGTCAATTCAGACCCGAACATTCTCAACCAGTTCTACATTCGAATGCTAGGTCCTGACGGCGACAAGATGCTCACGGAAGAGGTCAAATGGCAAACCGTTACGCATAAAAGCTTTGATCAAGGGCGGAGGGGTTTCAACGAGCGATTGTCTTATCTTGGTATGTTGGATTGCTCGTGATTCATTTCTTTTGGCATATCATATGCTCGTGAGTGCTGATCTGCAACATTCAACAGGCAAACAAATTGTGCATCTCCAGGCCTCGCTCTCTCTACTGGAGAGCTCGTCTGTTTCTTCGCCGCAAAAACTCGAAGACCCATATGGTCGGACTCCGTTCGAGCATCCGTCCTTGCAAGGCTTGGACGCTCTCACCGAAGACAACAAGAATATGAGGATAAACCGAACGAAGCTGGCCGCACTCGCCGAACAATATAAGCTAGGAGAGGTCTTGAGATGGGTACCAAGATATGTATGAACATTCGTTTCGTAAAGTAAAATTTTGCCGTTTCCCGCATGCTAACTGTTCCATAGCGCAATGATCTTCCGGGATCCGGATTAGAAGTCGTTTTGACGCAGGCGATTTACGCGGTGGTTGGTGCAGTTGCGCTGGAGAAGGGGGGTGCAGTTGCGAACCAGGTGGCACGGGATTCTATACTCAAACCTTTGGGATTTGACATCGGCATGCCACGAGACACTTTATAGGGTGTTTTTCTTTCGTTCTTTTCTTCCTTGGGGATACCGCATTTTTGGTCGGCGTTTGTACGTTTATTAGACTCTTTTAGATTCTATGCGATTCTAGGTATTTATGTATTAACAGGATTTTATTTATATATAGTTTTCTTCTTCAGTTGTTCATTAGCCTAGATCGTTTAAATTAAAGACAATTATTCTATCTATATAGCGTATGTTTGATTCCTCTGACACCGCCCGCGTAACCAAGAAAAAAATACACGGCCAGTTCTTATGGAGTCTCCGTTATTCAGTCTGCGCACCACCATATCGCAAGATCATCAATGGCGTAACCCGAGAGCTGAACTCTGACAGAAAGCCAGAGGTCAAAATACAGGCAAAATCATGATAATTTTTGTGTTGACTTGCACTGTCTGTTGGGTGCGTGAGTTATAATATTTAAAAATACAAGAAAGAAAAAGTTTGGCGAAAAGCTTTTATATGGGATTGGGAGATGGCGCTAGACTCTATTTGGTCGTAGCGCCAAGTGGGCTGGTATCAAGTCGACGATGCCACTTGCTCCAAGCCGCGGGAAAAGACAAGATAGCGAATAGATGCTTTGAACTGTTGAGGAGTGATAAATGTGTTCTCTGGCGCCATATTGTATTTGATACCCCTTTGCTGATTTTCGTACCGCTGCGATGGCTAAATAAGCCCATCCACAGGAATCACCCGTTCCCTTCAACATTGAACCCCGTGCTGTTTGATGCCCAACAGCGCATCATGGCGTCCGCAGTATTCTTTCTGGACCTGAAGGGCAAGGTATGATCGATCCTAGGAAATTCGGGTCTACTAACATTTGTAGATTCGTTATTTCAATTCAATATACTTGTGTGTTGGAATAATCCTAGCTGACTAGCGGTTGATGTAGACCCTTCTGGCTCGCAACTATAGAGGGGATATTCCCATGTCCGCAGTCGAGAAATTCCCTATCCTCCTCAGTGAAGCAGAAGAAGAGAGCTCTGCTGTCCCTCCGTGCTTTTCTGATGAAGGCATAAATGTACGTTTATATTAGTTTCCTTTCCAAGTCCTGGGGAGTCCTTCCTTTCCCTTATCGTGCTGGACACCACCTCATATTTACGATACGATTACTCCATTAGTACCTTTATATCCGCCATAGCAACCTTTATCTCCTAGCTTTAACGAAACGAAACACAAATGCTGCGGAAATCTTGTTATTCCTTCACAAGATCGTCGAGGTTTTCACTGAATACTTCAAGGAGTTGGAGGAAGAGAGCATCAGAGATAACTTCGTTATCATTTATGAATTGCTTGACGAGATGATGGATTTCGGATACCCACAGACAACAGAGTCTAAGATATTGCAGGAGTATGTGCATTGTTCTGCTCAGATTCCCAGATTCCTTCGAACAAACTGCAGACCCCGTCATTGCTTGCAAGATCCCTGTCTAACGTCGCTTCAGGTATATTACCCAAGAATCACACAAACTAGAGATACAGGCTCGACCTCCGATCGCCGTTACAAATGCCGTGTCTTGGAGAAGCGAAGGAATTAGATATCGCAAGAATGAGGTGTTCCTCGATGTGGTCGAGTCGTTGAATCTCCTGGTATCCGCCAATGGCAATGTCCTTCGATCCGAAATCCTAGGGGCAATCAAAATGAAATGTTATCTAAGTGGTATGCCCGAACTAAGGCTGGGTTTGAATGACAAAGCAATGTTCGAAACAACAGGAAGAGCAACAAGAGGAAAGGCCGTCGAAATGGAGGATGTAAAATTCCACCAGTGCGTTCGATTATCACGTTTTGAGAACGACAGAACAATCAGCTTCATTCCTCCCGATGGGGAATTCGAACTTATGAGTTATCGGTTAAATACTCAAGTGAAGCCCCTGATATGGGTCGAATGTCTGGTGGAGTCACATTCAGGTTCACGTATTGAATATATGCTGAAGGTAAGCAATTCCAAGTAAATTTAGATACTAAGTCTAACTGTTACATAGGCGAAAGCTCAATTCAAACGCCGGAGCACTGCAAATAATGTTGAGATTTTGGTTCCCGTCCCGGAAGACGCAGATTCTCCAAGATTCCGCACTAACATAGGGTCTGTCCATTATGCACCAGAAAAATCCGCAATAATATGGAAAATAAAACAATTCGGTGGCGGGAAAGAATTTCTCATGCGCGCTGAACTGGGATTACCGTCAGTGAAAGGAGACGATGAACATGGAGGCGGTATGACTGGTGGTTTTGGCGGTAGTATGGGGGGTGCTGGACAAACTGGAAAAGGCAAACGTCCAATCAACGTCAAATTTGAGATCCCCTATTTCACTACTAGCGGAATCCAAGTACGATATCTAAAGATTATTGAACCGAAGGTAAGGGCTTCTCTTTTACTTTTTTGCTTTTTCCTACCTATCCATCTCCATCAGCATGGGCCAAAATTCCAATGACCCAAATTCGGCCACCTGCATCCCAAGAACGCATTTGCGATTCTATGACTGGACACATTGAAGCATCAGCGCTTTTATGCCAAGCTCACAGTCTACCCCCCTACATGCCGTACCCCGCACTCGATCAGCGTGCAACACATTCTCCTCTAGATTTGTTCAAAGCAGACCCCCTACTTCGGCCATCCGGCTGTTCCTCGTCGGAGAACCGACATTAAAACAACTTTGCACGACCGTGCTATCTTCTGCCTGCCCTCCCACTCACCCACCCTCTTTCCAGTCATCGCTATCATTCTCCGCACCTTAACACTTTTATGTGGGCGAAATATCTAACTAACAGCGCGTCCCTTTATATAGCTACAATACCCATCGCTTCCGTGGGTCCGATATATTACTCAGTCAGGCGATATTGCAGTTCGTCTACCTGACGTGCAATGATACAGCCCATCCAATGAAACGAGAGACACGCAGCGTGAACGAAACACGGACCCTAGGCCGGGATAATAAAATGTGTGGAAACAAACCGTTCCGTTCAACTATAGTCACGAATGTAATTTTGTTTTCTTAGCACCGCATCAGCGGGAGAGGCTAGCTGATGGGCTTCCATATCATACCTTATAATCTCTACATGAACCGCTTTTACCTTACCCGAACGCGAGGAGGCCGTGGCTTTTTTCACTTCGTGTCGTCTCTGTAGTTGCTTTATGGACGGCCCTTAGGTTGGGCTAGTTCCTTGCGCGTATGGCTGTGCACATTTAATAAATGATAAGACGATAGAACCATTTGGCTTTAGCTCCTAGTATCTGATTTTCTTTTCTCAAACTACAGCGTTGCTAACCCCCTTAAAAATGGGAAGTAAGTTTCGCATAATAAGGTCGGGTATCGAGAATTCAAGCAATATGGATGGTGTGGGGAATTCCTTTAGTTTTATTTTGTTAGGGGAAAAACTCGCATAATCTATGCGGTCTCCGAGGGAAGATGGAAAACGAGGAATGAAATAATAAACCAGTGAAACAGATGCCAGTAGGGTAAATCTAAATTTAACTATTATCTTATTTGATAATATTGTGCGGGATTTGTCTTTAGGAGGGGAGAGTTGGAAGGAAGTAAGTGGTGGGTTAACTAGGCACATGAATACTGCTCGAGGAGGGATTGCAAATGAGGTTTCGGAATATGCTGAGAAACTAGAATGCATGTTTTCAAGGTTTATCGCTATATGTGGTGTGTAGTCCATACGAGGTGATGCATAGAAGAGTATCTTGTGAAGACATTTTCATTTACTGAGGTTGCTATCTTCGGGATATCTTTAACCAATTCCATGTGTCTAGGTAAGTGACCGCTGAGAGTGGGGACACGATTAGGAATCGGGAAACTGTTGGAAAAGAAAGCGGAAAGGAACTAGCCAAAAATAAGACCTGAGGAAGTTGAAATGTTGCCTATAGAGAAGGTGGGGTCGACGTGTTGTAACGAAGGAATGATAATATCTTCTGCAGGATATTCTCAAGCAAAAAGGCAAAGAAAAACAGTTATGTTCGGATTTCTACAATTGAAGCGAACGTAATTTAAGCCATGGCAAATAGATGACAATGGCAGCTGGTAGGGGGCGTAAAGAAGAAGATTATAACTCGATAGATGATGGCTAGATTCCGATTGTTTGGACGGGTTGATTCCACAAAAATACCGATCTTCTGAACTGCGAATCAGGTTCTTGGTAATGCATGATATAGGACTACTACAGCTGATCAGGTCAATAAAGGTTATGTTTTAGTTTCTGTGAAAGTGCATAGCCAACCTACTTGATCATGGGTTGATCAACGGACCCAAATCTCCCCGTGCCCACTTGTCCAGCACCGCCTCGTTGCCTCCGACACCCCTGATGGAGACGATAACCCCTCGGCTATGAGGCCCTAAAGTACGTTAGGATCTTCCTTCATTAAACGCTTAGGAGCACTCACTTCGACTTTTCATTCCATGAGGAACCCAATGAGGAGGCCTGAATGCTCGGATCGCATTCAACGACTGCTCGACGTCAAGACTGCGTTCAGGAAAAGGGCCGCTAAAAGCTGCCAATCCAAGCAAGAGAGCCAGGTTTCCAGCAAGAGCTGTCTGTCCGGGGACATAAATATCCAGATTATTGTAGTCGTAGGTATATGGCATAAGTTCTGGCATCCATCTTGGGGATCCCGGAGCGGCAAAGACATTAAATGCAGCATCGAAGGCAAGAACTGATAAATGATCACCGGAGTCTATGGGTTCCAGATGTTTGAACATAAGTCTTCTCCAGCCATGCGCCTCGTCCGTAGTTCTAATCTCTTTTTCCACACTAGTTTTCTTGCAGTTAAACGGCACTCCCAGGAAAATATCCCTTTCGGAATCATAAAAGAGAGAACATTCTTGGACATTGATACCCCCAGGCACACGTGCCTGGGTGATTGAACCAGCGTCCCATTTTCTCCATCCAGTTGTTGCCACAACGGAAACGCCATTTGGGTCTGTCGGTGGGTACCAGTACGACTGGGGGTCGCGCATTTCACGCTGGACTTCGTAGTCTGGTTGTACGAATTCGATATTGAAATAAAATTTCAACAAGTTGGTAGACATGATGGTTTCGAGTACGATACCACGTGGGAGATGCTTGAGGTCCGCTAGACGCGGAAAATCTAGGTTGCTAAACATAAGTTACGGCGGTTGAAGCGCATACTGGGACCACCAAAGTTACCCACCGTGATTGATAAAATAAAGGGTAAAAAGCACACTCGATGTAAAGCTATAGCAAATTGCAAGGTTTTCGCTCGGAATGGACAAGTTGCTAGTGGCCTATGTTGCTGGTTTGGTCATGCGTGAGTGTTGACAGCAAAGCGCCCTGTTTTCATTGACTTTTATGAGTCAAGGGAAATAACCTGGCCTTTTATGCTCAGCCTAAATGAGGCAGGAATACCAAGGAGCAACATAACCTGGAGGAACTTTGGGAATTTGTCAAATACATCACCTTGCCAGCTACTCATTTCAGCCCCTTTTTTCCCGACTACGTTTGGCACAAAGAGTCAAAAGGGCTGCGTGGATACCCGACGCGAGGCAGAGTTGTCAGGGCTAAAGTTGAGATCATAAGGACACTGAAGTCCTGGTGATAGTCCAAAGTATGTTTTGGTATCAAGAATCGTTTGAATGGTCAGTACCCCGTAGTGTATAACCCATGTTAAGTCAGCACCAATGAATCACCCTACCTGGTATCAACTATCTACTGAGGCGTCGCATGGAGTGTCAGAAAGATGCCGTGGAAACTCGTTCTTTGGGCTTCAGTGCTGACACGGTAAGAGTTGCGGAATCCCAGGGACAGTTCTGTATGGAGTCCGACAGTCCGACAATCCGTCAACTGCGAGAGGATGACAACTTCACAAAATATCAAAGCCTCCGGTGCATCTAAACTGGACAGTCACTATCCAGTAAAAGATATGCTCGTCTCACTTGAATGTGGGAGATATCGTTGGGAGCCGAGTGTATTGTTTAGTGGAAAATTATCCGTATCTATTCCTCCTGCCTGCCCAAGGTGCTCAATCGACCTCTGATGATAGGTGGTTTCCTTAGAAAGCGTCGGTGATTGTCGGTCCATGATAACCTGCTGGCCAGTAGCCTATAAAATCAAAGTAAACTTCAGTATGTGGGTGGAATAACCGCTAGAAAAGCCCACTTGCACTTTAAAACCAAATGTAGTACTACTCCTGGGAGGTCCTTCTCCTTAGAAGAAGAAGGAAAGCCGTGACATATCTGACGGTGAGAAAAAGGAGAAGATGAAAACTGACAAGAAAGAAAACGTATACTAAAATAACGAAGATGAGGAAATCTCATCCTTGATATATAGACGTGTTGAAAAGGGCAGCTGACCTTGGCAAAGCAGACGTACGGAGTAGTTACATGTAACTACCTTCTTCCTAGCTTCTTTTAGCTAAATATTTCCACAGAGTTTGACACTCATTGGTTCAATTGTATTGGGCCACCCGCAGCTGTCAGGTCACGAAGAATGGTCTAGGCGAACCGGACGAACAGGAGACAGAAATTGCTGGATATTGATTTTTTTATGTTATTTATATATATATTTTCCCCTGCCTTCGGTTACACTTCTTCCGAGCTGCTTTACTACCCATCTGCATTTGGAGGGCATGCCACTGGTGCTGTTTGGTGTATATCCATATTAGCATTGGGATTTCTCCGTGCCCATGGCGCGAAGGTAACCTTGAAAGACAAACCGACAAGACATCAGTTCAGTCAATGTTAAAATTTTGAACAAGAGAGCCCACTTGTTCTTGGAGCATGGAAGGAATAGCGAGTTTATTCCAATAGTGGGTTGTTGATGCTCACATGGACCGAAATAGACCTACCATCAAGTGGTCAGTCAATGGCAGGTTTTCAAACGCTCCACTACTGGGCAGCGTTGTGACTCTCACACTTAAGAATAAGGCCAGCAATGTTGGAAGGAATCCTTTTGAGCCCTGGCGATAGGAAAACATTTGATGGTTGGGAATTAGGCTCAATCCCACCAAAGGGTGCATCCATTCTCTACGGACCTGACAGCCCAATCGAAAAGGATGATAGGCAAAAATAACCGGACAGGCGGAATAAGACTCGTCCACCAAGAATTCATTGTTAAGAGGTTGAAGTTGTGTTAGGGGACAGGAGTCTTCTCGCTGTGCTGTAGGAAACGGAAAAGAAAGGAGAAGTTGAAGCTTGGGTAGAAGAAAATTGACGTCTTGCATCTCGCGCATATAAATAATAGTTACAAATCCGCCTCCAAGGCAAACCTTATTTAATCCCAACAACAAACGATCTTTTCATCCTGTTTCTTTTCTCTCGACTCCCACCAGCTGTTGGCCGGTGCATCGATGCGTCAGCTACTACCTTCGTCACGCAGAAAAGCTTGAAGAATATGTTCTAGTGTCCTGCTGTTATTCTAATTCCCTTAAGCAGCGTGCCATCACATTCAATGGCTGTCCCTTCATACCAATAAACTTGAGGCTGTCCAATTAACTACCATTTACGGAGTACAGTGGACCTGGAGGCTCTACTGAAATTGATCGTGTACAGTTTGTGTTGTTCGAGGGTGTCAAAATCAATTTCGAGAAGAATTAGATTGGTTCGCGCCGGGACTTTTCTTACCAAGTCGCTTGACCTGGTTAATGCAATAGCTGGTATGGGCATATAACAAAGGTCGAATTTTATGTTCATTTCGTGCATATACAGTGTTTACTTTACGACATAGTTACGCTGCCGCTGTTCCTATTACAAGATTTTCTTTCTCAATTTTTATAGTGATACACACAGCAAAGTTAGCTAGGTGAACTGGCAGTCTGTTGAACGAGTTTGTGAACATTGTCTGTACTACGGCAGTCTATAGTGACAAATGTGTCAAATGGCTTTTTTCAATGTTTTTCCAGTGTAAAAACTTAATTCCACATAATTCTGATTTTATAGTCACACACAAATTACACTAGTTCTAATATAGTTAGTATATTTCTGTATGTGGTTTAGTCACTCTTGGCTTTCAGACTATCAGCTTGTACTGTACTGTACTCCGCGGGATAGAGGCGCCTCCAGGTATATAGATATAGAGTTCCCTTGGGTATAGAGCCCCTGGGTATAGAGCGGCCCCGGGCATAGAGATGGATATATTCCCCTGGAGACTGGCCGAGAGATTGTCCCAGGTCGAGAGCTCCCCACTGATGTGAGTCATTATTTCATACTTCAATGAGAAGATCTTGATTGCTAATACAAATCAGTATCAGTAATGTGTGCTCATTGAAACACTGTAACTATAGAATATCCATTTGTCACTAATGCTAACGCAAACACTCATACAAACTGGCTTCATATGCTAGTTTGACCAGCAGAAGTGTACAGAGGTAAAGTGCACTCTATTGGAAAGTCGTGCTAGCCACCCACCTTAATACTTTGAGGGCTGGCTAGAAACCCCGCGCCATGTTAAAAAGTCACACAATAAGCTGCAAATTGAACCTAAATGGGGCTGAGGGGCAGAGTTGACGGACAGATTGAGGTGTGTCTCGTTTTATAATGCCAATGCGATGGCTGGGATCATTCCCAACAAATCAACACTTTTTGTCTGACTTGGTATGTTCATAAAATAATATTGAAGTCATGTTTATATGCTCAAGGTCATGTACGGAGCATCCCTTGTTAATGTATTGAGCTGATGAGCAAGTTGTTGAGAGATAGGAACTCATTGCTATTTTCAATAAGATTTAAGCTCTTTTCGGATTTGCAGAGAGGAAAATAATATTTAATCAAAGCCAACAGGATTACAATGCTATCTTGGAAGATGACTAGCAAAACCCAGGAAAACGCTTAGATATTGAAATCGGATATCACAAATCGTTCTTGAGAACCGTTCAACCCGCCACAGACGTTAAACTCTTCGGCATCCCCTTACATAACTTCATTCCAACAATGGCCACGGCCAAGGGCTTTGTCGCAATCACTTCCTGGGAAGTTTCTCCAAGTGGGGCCATTCTTCTTGCAATTGGAAAACCAGCCGTTATAATCCATGCAGGTGTCACGACGTCGCTTGCATTTGCCATGGATGTTGTATTTGTAGCTGCAATTGGGACCACCGTGGTTGTTCATGCACGCTTTCTTCCCCTTCCGCTTCTGGAGGCGCCCGCTGTGGTCGTGGTCAAGGACGACCTTGACCCCAAAGTCATATACGTAGGCGTTCCCATGCTGAGCGTGCGGCTTTGGAGGGTTCTCGAGGTAAATAATGCCGTCTTTGATGATATTGCCTTCGACACCGGTGACGTGGGAAGTCTGCTTCCTGCCTAGGACTGAGTAATCGCCGTGAATTTTTGGGAGTTTGAGCTCTCCCAGGTGGTTTGCCTCGTGTTGTTTCCCGTCATGCGAGACTATGGCCCCCTCCACAGGGAAATAAATTCGGAATGTACCGCTGGATGGATCGTAGAAATAATTCTTCAGCTTTCCCCATTCCTGGGGGTTGCTCAGGTAGTGCTGGTTTAGGTCGCCACGTTCGTGCTCTGGAACTTTGACCTTCTTGAAGCCGATCAGCTTAATGGTATTGTTGGGGAGCTGATATTCGAGCGAGTTAAGGAAGCGTTCTTCGAACATGGTGATATCGCGGGCAGCAAGTTGCTCTGCCTGAGTAGGGCTCCATGTCATTGCGAGTGCCGCAAGTGACAGGGCCTGGGAAAAGAGTGCCTTCATTTTGTAATGGACAAAACAATTCGGCTTTGACAGGTTGGGTGGAAAAAATGTCAACAATGATCTGTGTCTTCCAACATGAAAGGCAAAAAAAATCCCCCGTGGATCGTGCCCACCTTTATATATTCACCCTCCTCCCCAAATATTCATGGCCCAGGACCGTGAATTCATTCCTGAAACCATTTGCTGCGTCCTCTCATACGTTTGATTAATGTCAGTCCCCATTAGCAACTGGGCCGCCTCGAAAGTGGCTAAATTTACCAGCTATACGGCGTGTTCCAAGAAAATGTACGAGGTTATCCGAAGAGATTAAGGTTCCTCCCCTGGTCGTGGATGAAACAGTAGGAATTCTTGACGTTTCTGGGGTAACTCCTCTGTATAAAACTTCACGGTTTGTACCGTTGAGCTCGTGTAAAGCGTGCAAGGCTGGAGTGCTTAGCTGTGCCGGCTCTATGTTGCTAGCTTAGCCCAAAGCATGAAGAGATTAGACCTGAGCAACTTGGCGCATACGCTTGATGAGGCTGCGTTTGAAAGGACCAATGAGGCGCCGCACATAACAAGGAATTTGTTTCGTCTGCTCGTAAATTCCCAGCCGTGACGCTGGAAACTCCACAGTGGATGATCATGAAGGATCAACATGCTAGTCCTACTCCACATCAAATCTTCAGAACGATGATTTTCTGCATAATAGGCTCCCTGGTGCCAAAAAAAAATACCAGATGCTTCCCGTGTCTAGCGCTGGTCGAGCGTGGCTTGGATCCTGCCCTCTGAAAGGTTACAAGGCCTAGCCAATCACACTCTACTATGGTAATCGGAGGAGCAGAGGCATGTGAAGACTGCTTTGTAGTCGGTGTCTGCTGCCAAGGCTACGTTCGATTCCGCTTCTGATTGAGCGTGCGTCAACCGCATTCATCATGTCTAGATGCAAAGCCCCATCCCCGTTCGTGTTAGCTTTAGCCAGTGTCTCAAAGCTCGTACCTTTGAGATCCACCGTCCGATACAACCTCAAGTTTTGCGGCCTTCACAACCATTAGCCTCCATAAACCCAATGTAACCTCTCCCTCTATTTGTCCCTCCCTCTGCGTGTGGTGGGAGAGTTGGCCAGCAGCATGGCCCCTTATATGAGGATAAAGCGTATCAACTTTTACAATTTAGCCACATCCCAGCTATGCTTGCCCCAACAGAATAGCGGGTCTGTCAAAGTTCTCAGGCATTCATTGAGAGTGTATGTATAAATTTTTGTGTTTGATATATTGTTAATGCTTTTTCTTGTTTTTTCCATATTGCTTCAGGCAGCTCATCAAATAAAGACTGATAATCTCTCCCACCCTGCACATGGGATAAAGAGAGGGAGAGGTTACATTGGAATTTTTGAAGGCTAACGGTTATCAAGGGCTCAAAACTTGAGGTTGTATCAGAATCCTGATGAAGGATCTTATTCCATCATGCCCAGGACGGTGACAATGGGAGCATATGATTGACAATGAGTAAAGGATTTTCATGAGCAGCCCCCCTCTCTCATACTACTTTCCAGAGCCAAAGTCTTTGGAGAACCTCTAATAGTTGCATCATAAATACTCTAGTTAGTCTCTTTCATTGTGAGATCATGGCAGCAGGCTAGTTTTCTAACAACCTTTACAACTAATAAAGTTATCAATGAAGAGCTTACATATTTTGATTTTCTCTATTAACAATGATTGAGGTCACTAGTACTATTTCTCGACTATTGCTAAGAGCTGCATCAGACACTTCATGAATTATGATCTCAATTTTTCTCACTAGAGCAACAGTCTTGATTATGTTTGTCAAATTTGTCAGTTAGTATAGACAGATCAAGACTCTGTTAAAATAGCTGCAACATTCTATGTATCATCACAGCAAGTGAAGTAGTATTTTGCAAAAATAAGAACCTGGATTCTCGACAATCATGCCTGAGATAGTGTGTAGAGGCCAGAAGCTGAAAGAAAAAGTACAAATTTGTTTGAAATTATTGAGTGCCTCAACATTCCAATTTTCTGTGGTATATAATCACCCACTGGTTGCAATAATAGTCTTATAATCATACTCTGAGTTACTATTTCATTTCCAAGTGGTTGTGTTGAGCCATTTGGATGGCGACACGCTGACAGGCAAAGATCTGATAAGATCGAGACACGGAGATAACCTTAAATTGATTAAACTTTTACGCCAACACCTTAATTAAAGCTTCGACAAACGACAATAATGTCAAAGTGTATAGCGGGTTAGCTTATTTACAAGCCTCAGCAGTGTGATTATCTACTCAATATGTCCTACGAGAAAGGTTGCATTGGGGGATTTTCTCTCTTTATACTTTTAGTAGATTATTGAAGGCTGTCGTTCCAATGCACGTATCCTAAACAAAGAGAATTTTATAGGAACTACTAAGCTGAGGAAACCATAAAGAAGCGATGGGCGTCCTGGCTTATCAGGTGTCGAAGTCCTCTGGTGACAAACGAGGCTGGATAATTGAGAGATTTTGATGGAACTCATGAGTTCTAGTTCATGATTATTAGATATTGATTTGCGGCGGATTCTCGCTTGGTTGCTTCTGGTGGTGATGTCGGATTTCGGTGGAATGTGGGGGGTGAACTACGGAGTTAAGACCCGTCCGCGGCCGTACTTTCGAGTATATCATGATCGAGAAACATAGGTCATTGGGTGTGAATGTCTAGTTTCAAGATAGACGGTGGGGTGGGCTGGTGAAATGAATTTAGCATCATTGATGGCTACTACTATCGTCATGAAAATTATTTTTTTTCTGATTCTGTTGGTATCGCATGATGGCTTAAAATGCAAGAATGGCCCATAATTGGTTAGCTACCGGCTGATCGCAAACCCATTTTCATTGCATTTGGGCCATTGAGTGTTCTGGTGAAGTGAAATAAGGAGATTTGATGGAAAGCATAGTGTTTGAAGAAACCGGTGAAATAATGTGTATTCCGCAACGAAGACATTTCGGAGTGCCCAGGCGGTGCCTGTGTTCAAGATATGGGATATCCATCATAATCCATATCGTGGTTCGATTGGTGCCTCATCTTGGCATTATTGGTGGAAAACATATCTATGGGTGTGAGAAATTATGACTCAGACCGTCAGACGAGAAACAGTTTGCGGATTAACCTTTGAGAGGTCCACAATGTCATCCGCACTTCGGCTGTACCATCGCGATGACATTTCCATACTTCCCAACTTCTGCGCTGGACGACCGGGTGGGTGTATGACACCTAATAATTCCTGGATAAGTATCTTTACCCATGTGAATCATGCATTCATTTTCGTATCGGAGACCGCATTTGTTGAACACTAGCGGATAGAATGGCAAGCTCCTCCACGCTAGTTATCCAATAAGGGGTGGGAACTCGCGCGGGTCAACGTGGCGAACGTGGCAGAAGAATTGGCTGAACAAACTCGGCAATTTATGAAAACGCAGATTATTATCAGAATTCAATAGATCCTAATAGATATGACTAGGCAATCATGAACAAGGGTTCAGCTATGGACAGCATGGAAATTATTTAGATATGATATTAAGGGCAACATGAATGACCCCATGCAGTGTGGAAAGGGCTTAGCAGTTTTATTATTCTTTCAAGGAAGGGGGGGGTTTAGTAGATTGGGACCGGTTCATTCGCCGCCGAACTCCAAATTTCCAGAGCTATCGAGATTCATAAGCAAAGGTTCTCCTCGGCCCGGGTCATTTTGCAGGTTGTTTACGAATAATACACTACTCTCTTGGTGCGCAACGCGGAGCCAGCCGACACGAGTCAGCAAACCGCCGCGGCTGCGACAGCAAATGGTCGGTAACTATATGATAAAAGTGTGGACAAGCTGGGAAGCATTTTTCCAAAGTGACGGAGAATACAGCTTAGAAAGAAAGATTTGTGCTGTACATACAGTACCTAGGAAATTTTTCATAGCCTCGGTGGAGCCCTGCTTTGCAATGGAATTCCTCCACATCCCTAGTTTGGGTGCAAAGTCTACTATCACTGGTCCCGGGGATCGGACCCTATTAAAAATATCACTAACAGCCTAGTATTTAACAGGTCAAGCTTCGTTCGCACATCAACAGCACAAGGCCTGGGCGCTAGACAATAACATTAATGCTAGAATTTTATTTCTTGCTGCGGCTCTTCTTTTTTTGATCCCGAGGACTGGCCCGATGAGAAATGATTGAAATCTCTTAAACCCAGGGCCAAGTTTCCTTCTTCCCTCCATTCTCTCAGTTTTTCTTTCTCTCTTTTTTCTTCCATTCGCACTCTTATTCCTATCAGTGGCCGTTACAGGTTATTATCAAACTGATCAGCCCCTTTTCAATTCCATTCAGTCTATATGTGACTGCTACAGCCATCCCAAATATTTTTTTCAATTGACGAGCGAGCATACTTCCGATTAGATCAGGAGGTCACATATAAGCTTTTCAAACCTGATCGACCTACATGCCGGGAATGCTGATCAGGAAGGCCTGGTGAACTAATGGCCCTCCTAAGTACCCGATCCCGGCGGTCGCGGGAGGATGGCATGGATACTTCTGATTCTGATACATTGCCAGCGGATAGCGAATATGAGAAGCGACTTGAGAGCCTCAAGAACACACATTCCCAGGGGCTGTCACATCCTCAGACTGGAGTCGATGTTCGGCGTGCCGAAGAGGACTTCGCTCAGCTTAGCAAGCAGCTTTCGGTTGTCTCGCGTAACAGCAGACGCCACTTCCATTTGGAAGAAAAACAAGGTCAGAATGATGTTGAAGGTCTAGCAGATCTGAAGAACAATGGGATCTTCAAGCTGCCCTTCACAGGAACCAGGCCGCTGAAGTCGAGGCCGGAATCAGGCCGAAGTGCATTGGTAGGATAAATTGTGTCCTGTCCACAATTTCCATGTTGGAAGCGTACTGATGAACTTGCCTAGGCGTCATTTGGGAGGATCTCACGGTGCGTGGTATTGGAGGAGTCAAGAACATTGTCAAAATGTTTCCGGATGCAATTATCGATTTCTTCAATGTTCCAGGAACCATCATGAGCATTTTTGGCATTGGCAAAAAGGGCACTGAATATGAGCTTTTGAAAAATTTCAGGGGCGTGGTTAAGCCTGGTGAGATGGTGTTGGTTCTCAGCAAGCCGTCGGCTGGCTGTATGACATTCCTTAAGGTCATTGCCAATCAGTGATTTGGCTACACCGGTATTGATGGGGAAGTCTTATATGGCTCTTTCGATGCTCAGACTTTCGCGAAACGGTTCAGGGGCGAGGCAGTATATAACCAGGAAGACGATATCCATCACCCTACTCTCACTGTCGCTCAGACTCTTGGGTTTGCCCTAGATACAAAGACTCCAGGCAAGCGGCCCATTGGCATGTCAAAGGTTGAATTCAAGGAAAAGGTGAGTCCGATGCGCTTCTCTACCTCCGCATATATCTTCCTGATTTTGGTATGCTCACACTGATTAGATCATCAACCTCCTGCTCAAAATGTTCAATATTGAACACACTGCAAACACAATCATTGGCAACCAATTCATACGCGGCATTTCTGGTGGTGAGCGGAAATGTGTGAGCATTGCGGAGATGATGATCACTTCCGCCACTGTTCTTGCTTGGGATAATACTACTCAGGGTCTCGACGGGACAACCGCTTTGGATTATGCAAAAGCTATTCAAATCATGACTAACATTTACCAGACCACGACGTTCATCTCACTTGCTCAGGCGTCAGAAAACATCTATAGCCAATTCGATAAGGTCATGGTTCTAGATGAAGGACACCAAGTCTTTTTTGGCCCCGCATCTGAGGCCCGTCAATATTTTGAAGATCTGGGCTTCAAAGAGAAGCCCCGCCAAACTACTCCTGACTATTTGATAAGCTGCACTGACCGCTTCGACAGAGAATACAAGGAAGGCTGCAATGAGGAAAATAACCCGTCAACACCGCAGGCGCTTGCTGAGGCGTTCGATAAGTCCAGATTTAATCAGCAACTGAAAGATGAGATGGCCGAATATCGCGCCAATCTCGAAGTTGACAAGCACGTTTATTCAGACTTTGAAATCGCCAATCGCGAAGCAAAGAGAAAGTTTACCCCAAAATCTTCGGTTTACTGTATCCCTTTCTATCTCCAGGTCTGGGCTCTCATGCGTCGTCAATTCCTCATTAAATGGCAGGACAAATTTGCGCTGACCGTTGCTTGGATAACTTCAATTACTATTGCTATGGTTCTCGGTACCGTTTGGCTGAAACTACCAAAAACCAGTGCTGGCGCTTTCACTCAGGGTGGCTTGCTTTTCATATCTTTGCTCTTCAACGCTTTCCAGGCATTTTCAGAACTGGCTTCAACCATGATAGGACGCCCCATTGTGAACAGGCATAGAGTCTTCAGCTTCCACAGGCCCAGCGCTCTGTGGATTGCTCAAATCAGCATAGACCTAGCGTTTTCATCCGCGCAGATCTTGGTTTTCAGTATCATTGTGTATTTCATGTGCAGCTTGGCATTGGATGCGGGTGCATTTTTTACATTCGTCATCGTCATCATCCTTGGATATCTTGCAATGACCCTATTCTTTAGAACTGTCGGTTGCATATGCCCTGATTTCGACTATGCAATGAAAGGCGTTTCGATTATTCTCACATTGCTTGTTTTGACAGCTGGATATCTTATTCAGTGGCAGAGCAGTCAAGCTTGGCTCCGGTGGATCTTTTACATCAATGCTCTTGGGCTGGGATTCGCAGTTCTAATGGCGAACGAATTTAGATGACTGACTATGACTTGTGAAAAGGAAACTCTTATTCCAGCAGGGCCAGGCTATAGCAACATTGCACATCAAGCCTGTACCCTTCCTGGTTCTGAGTCTGGATCCAGGATAATATCCGGAACAGATTACCTGAATGTTGAATTTAGCTACGATGTCAAAGATATGTGGAGAAATTTTGGTATTATCATCATCCTTATTCTTGCCTTCCTCTTCACGAACTCATTCCTAGGCGAGACTGTCAACTGGGGAGCGGGGGGTAAGACCATCACCTATTTTGCAAAAGAAACTCCTGAATTGAAAAGGTTGAACGAAGATCTCATGAAGAAAAAGAAAAAGCGGCAGAACAAGGAAGTCGATGAGACAGAGAGTGAGCTTAAGATCGAATCCAAGGCTGTTCTGTCATGGGAAAACCTGAACTATGATGTTCCAATTCAAGGTGGTACAATCCGCTTAGTTTGCTATGATTTTGGATATGTCCGGCCGGGAACGCTCACAGCCTTGATGGGCGCAAGTGGCGCTGGCAAAACAACATTGCTTGATGTTTTGGCTGCTCGTAAAAACATCGGAGTCATCAGTGGAGATGTTTTGATCAATGGTCGCCCCCCAGGCACATCGTTCCAGCGTGGCACAGCGTATGCGGAGCAACTTGATGTGCACGAACCCACACAGACTGTCCGGGAGGCTCTTCAATTTTCAGCTCTGCTTCGCCAACCATACGAGACCCCGGAGACTGAGAAGTTTGGGTATGTGGAAGAAATCCTATCACTGCTTGAGCTGGAAACCCTTGCAGATGCGATCATCGGCGATCCAGAAACGGGACTCTCAGTCGAGGAGCGGAAGCGTGTCATCATTGGAGTGGAACTTGCAGCGAAGCCAGAGCTTCTGCTTTTCCTTGATGAGCCGACATTCAATGTTGTCCGCTTCCTGCGCAAACTCGCTGACGCTGGCCAGGCTATTCTGTGCACCATTCACCAGCCTAACTCTGCGATCTTTGAAACTTTCGATCGCCTGCACCTCCTTCAAAAAGGCGGAGAGTGTGTTTACTTCAGAGACATTGGCAAGGATGCACATGTTCTTTTGGATTACTTCCGACGGAACGGGGCTGACTGCCCCCTCAATGCTAACACTGCAGAATGGATGCTCAATATGATTGGAGCTGGACAGTCACCACACGTAGAACCCCGGGATTGGGGTGATATCTGGCGTGACTCTCATGAACTAGTCAAGGTTAAAGAAGAGATCGCCACTATGAAAGCAGAGCGAATACAGTCGGTTCAGGATGAGACAGCGGAATTAGAAAAAGAATATGCCACTCCCCTACTGCACCAGATCAAGGTCGTCCTCAAACGAACCAACTTGTCCTTTTGGCGATCACCCAATTACGGATTTACGCGTCTGTTTAGCCATGCAGCTTTGGCATAGATTACCGGCCTCGTCTTCATGCAGCTGGATGACTCCCGTAGCTCGCTTCAATACCGCATTTTCATTATCTTCCAGATCACTGTCATCCCGGCGCTTATTCTAGCACAGGTGGAACCGAGATATGATATAGTGTGTATGATCTTCTATCGCGAATCAGCATCGAAGACTTATAAGCAGTTCCCGTTTGCTCTGTCAATGGTTCTTGCGGAGATTCCATACAACATCCTCTGTTCAGTAATATTCTTCCTCCCAATCTATTATATTCCAGGGCTACAATCATCCAGCGAGCGTGCAGGATATCAGTTCCTCATGGTTCTGATTGCTGAGATGTTCGCCGTGACAGGTGGGCAGATGATCGCGGCATTAACCCTTAGCGCATTCATCGCGGCCCAGCTGAACCCACCCTTCCATATCATTCTCGCTCTGTTCTGTGGCGTTGCCATTCCCAAGCCTCAAATTCCACGCTTCTGGCGTGTTTGACTTTATGAACTCAACCCATTCACCCGGCTCGTCAGTGGAATGGTGACAACAGAGCTGCATCAGCGACAAGTTGTCTGTACTATTGCTGAACGCAATACCTTCTCTGCGCCTTCTGGCATGGACTGTGGCACTTATATGCAGCCTTTCTTCGATATGGGCGGTCCTGGTTATATTACTGACAATGCGACAAGTGCCTGTGAGTATTGCGCATTCAAGGTTGGCGATCAATTCTACCAAAACTTTGGAATGGATTATGGCACTCAGTGGAGAGACCTGGGCATCTTCGCCGCATTCATCGCATCGAATCTTATTTTGCTATTTATAGGGGTAAGCATTTGATTTCTTCATCCACCCCAACTCTCCTTTTGCTGTATTTGTTTATAGAAAACGAAACTAACGCACCCATTTTCATGTTCACTAGTCTTGATACCTCAATTTCAATCGCTGATAGTTCATCATATTATCACTATACTTCCCGAGAGATTTTCTCAAATTCTGTATCATACAGTTTTCTCTCCTGAGTATCTTTTTGTCAAGTTGCTGTTTTCTTTCTGCTTCTTATTCTGGATACCGATTCCTACATTGATAGACTATTTAGACTACAGGTTATATAAATTGCACATATACTAATATAATATTTTTACTACCCCCTTTATTCATTTATTTATTTTTGGTATGCTGTTTTGTCGTTTCTTGCTGTGGCTTAAGTTACTACCTCTAATTTCTTTTTTTCCATTGCTAACACTATTGCAAAATTTAGTTACCATTCTGTTCTCGTTACTGACCATCCTCCTTATCTCTTTATGCATACCTTCAAAAGATAGGACGCCTTCACTGAGCTTGGCTCCCCGTTGCTGCGGTCTTGTAAGTGAAAGAGAAAATATTCCACGGTTTACGGTATGTGCATTGCTTTTAGACTTAGAAGTAATATTACCTTCCCCGAATACATAACATAGCGAGGTGGAATTGGAATTCCGTAGCAACTAGCTCTCAATTAACATTTGCAGCTGCGAAATGATGATACTAACTAATCGCATTCCAGGATTTCTCTCAGACCTTCCTCCGCGGTTGGCAATCCTTTTGTCTAGGAAATGCGTGCTGGGCTCTCCAAACGAAGCCCTTTGTGGCATTAACAGGGCTGAGCTACATAGTGGTGTGAAGTCCCTCTTTCTACCCGTCGGTCAAAAGCTCCGTCAGCTTCCTGTATTCCCGGCATACCTTTCAACCAACCATGATTATTAGCCTGTATCCTTGGTCTAATATCTACCGAAGTGTAGTTAGTAACTTATGTGATGAGTTCATGGGATTACTGGTTACAAGCCCTGGCCATCAGCTAGTTTTTTTTTTCCGACCGTGAACCGCGACCATCCCCCTACTTTTATTCGAAGCAACCTTGGTCTGGCAGGCAGCTCAGCCATACTTGAAGGGCAGATAACCATAACCATAGCCGGAGATACTACCTCAATGCAGTGCTGGAATACTGTCCCCGGAGCAATCAATGTAATGTAAATGGATGGAAAGAAGTTGAAGCAAAAATGATGTTGTCGCATGAACTACACGCTGGCTTGAACTCTTGTTGTCACCAAGTTTGCTCCCTTCCCTCGAGATCACATTTGCTACAAAGGCACGAGGATGAACGTCAAGTTCCCCTGCTTTGTGGACTGCGAGAACGCCGGGGGCAACACATATGCAATTTTTCTCCTTATGTTTCCCCTAAATCTAACCATAGCTCTGAGAGAGAGTAGGACTCAGAACGGTCTGCTAACCTAATAAGATACTCGCAATTCTACCGTTAGGTCTAGGGACTCGGCGGTCAACTATAAGCGTTACATCCGGACTATTATTACGGACCGCGGTTGCTCCGGGAGTAAGTTAAGTGGAAACATTAATAAGGTTGTCGAACAGGACAGGGATTTGCTGATTGGCCTAATCTATCACCCAGAGAGGCTCGGAAAATGCAATTGGTACAATAATAAACATAAATGCTAATTGGCGATATCTGCAATTGTTTTGAAACATGGGTAAAATGCATGAAGGGAGATGAGATGATAGGCCTTGAATTGAGTTAATATGGTTATAGGAGGGTTGCAATTCGAGTTTTGAGAAACCTACTGGATAATTTCAGTCTTTTTCGAAAGTTTTTTTGTTAATTAATTATTTATTTAACTGATAGAGGGTTGAATAGACTGGATAAGATCTGTGAAAGGGATATATATAACTATATGTTGGCAACCCGTAGAAAAAAATTTGGTAGCAATTTAATCTGACCCAGCGGAAGGAACAATTTGGATTTCTCTGTTTGTGGTTTAACTTACTATCTACGCACGCTGTTAGATAAAACTATGACTATTAATATTATTGAAATGAATAGCTTGGTTGGCTGCAATTCGAAGGGATGACGGAAACAGGGTGTAATTCGGGCAAATAGGAATTCAAGTTGCAGATGGGTTCTGTGGTGAATTTCATTCTAGCGGCCCGATTTGCTTGTGAATGATAACTTTAAGTTAGTTAACTACCAGGTAGTTAAGTATTATTGTACCCTGTAACTAATAGGGTACTAGAAGTGTCGGACCATATGGCCCGTGCTTAGTAATCCTCCTTCCACCTTAACTTCTGTAGGCTACTGGGCACAAGAGCTCAACCGCGGGACCCCCAACACCCCCCTCAGACCAGCTAACCACAGAGTACAGTACTCCTCTCAGTGGCTCCCTTCTGTGGCTCCCCACAGTGGCTCCTCTTAGTGGACTCACTCAGTCCTAGGGCTCAAGGGACTTCTAGGGCACACTCCTGGGATGTCTCTTGGCACTGTTAAATGTCCAGGGTATTTGTTGAGAATTTTTAAGTCCATTCTGAGATTGAACCCATGCATGTTGACCACAGCGGGGCTCACGCTTAACAGTCTCATAACCTGTAGGCTACTGGGGCAAAAGAGCTCAATCACCACCAGCGCCTGCTGGTAGAAGGGCCGATCAACCGCGGGACCCCCAACAACTTCTCACTTAGCTAGCAATCTTCAATCAAGTAAGCTGAATGGATTGAACTCATCTCAGCTTTAGAATCAATCGTCTTGTTTTGAGAGATGGTAACTAAACGATACATTGAGGTGCTATGGAATATATCCACATATCAAACGATTTGTTTAGGTGAGTTAGGTGTTCTGCTTTCCTTTAATTTTTATTGTCAGGCCCATGGCTATCAAACTAACTGCCCTTGCTGCTCGATTCTTGTTGTGAGCCCGAGTTTCAGCACCCCTTCAACTTTTTAGTGACATTTGGGTCAAATGGGTATTTTATACTAGTGTTACAATGAGCACACATCAATGAGATTGATTGTATTAGCAATCAAGATCTCGTCATTGGAGATCGTATGAAATAGTGATCCACGCCAGGGGACAGCTCTATACCCGGTCTCTATCCGGGGATCTCTATAACTGAGGGGGTTCTATACCCCGGGGGACTCTATGCCCGGGAGTACTCTATCCAGGGGAACTCTATACTCAGGGATTCTCTATATACCCGGGGGCTCTATACTCGGGGGATCTCTATACCTGGGGGGCTCTATACCCAGTGGTGCTCTTATATCCGGGAGTACTCTATCCAGAGGAACTCTGTACCCAGGGGGTCTCTATACCCGGGGGATCTCTATACCTGGGGGGCTTCTATACCCAGTGGTGCTCCTATACCTGGGAGTACTCTATCCAGAGGAACTCTGTACCTAGGGGATCTCCATACCCGGGGGATCTCTATACCCGTCTCTATATCGGGGGGATCTCTATACCCAGTGGTACTCTATACCCGGGAGAACTCTATCCAAACTCTATACTCAGGGGTTCTCTAAACCCGGGGGATCTCTATACTCAGGGATTCTTTATACCCGGGGCTCTATACCTGGGGGAACTCTATACCCAGGGTCTCTATACCTGGAGAGGGCCCCTCTACATACCTGAGAGGATAATATGATGAGAGAGATCAGTGGGGGTGGTTGGAAGCTCATAGTCTGAAAGCCAAGACTGACTAAACCATATATAGTAATATACTAACTATATTAGAATTAGTGTAATTGGGGAGTGTCTATATAATGAGAGTATGTGGAATTAAGCCTTTACACTGAAAAACATCCAAAAGCGAAGAATCCTTCCATCATTTAATCAAGCAAGGTTTTAGCTTTGCTGACACTTTTCTCAGCACATCTTTCCTTCAAACACCCCCCTGCCGGCTTCGTTTCACTGGTGCTGTGAAGCTCTCAGCCGAACTGATTAATCGATTTCTTGACATGGATGCTCTGCAACAGAAGCTCATCGACCATGGCTCAAGGTGGAAGAAAAATTTTCAACGTGGGGGGAAGCATCAAACCATGGTTAGTTTTATGAGGCCGGCGGCGGCAAGCGCGAATTTCCATGATTTTATCTGCTGTCATAGGGCTGGGAGAAAGTGGGATATTCTTTATCATCTTCTCTGGTTCATGCTGTTTCATTTTTGTCAGTTTCTTTCATCAGTTTTGTTTCATATTTCTTGTGAGAAGTGCCGGCCACATCCCTGATACCCTTTACTCGCGACCCCCCATTATCTCCTGTAATGGGTGGGGCTGCGAGTACCCATGGGAAGGGCATTCATTCACTGCTTTGTAACTGCTGGTTTGCCATGAGTATGCCGAGATGTGCATGTTACTTAGGACTACATTCCTACGTTCTCTTCTTGCATCCGGCCTGCAAAAAGTTCAGCTCAACTTGCCCATTCATTCCTTTTCCACAGTTGCATTTTGACATTTTGTTATTTTGTTGTCTATTATCCTCTTTCTTCCCTTTGGGTCTTGGTTTCTGAGAGACAGGCCTCTTTTCCTTCTCCTATCTCCTATCTCCCCCCCTTTTTTTTTTATTTTTTTTTATTTTTTTATTTTTTTTTTATTTTATTTTTTATTTATTATTATTAAATATTTTTTTTTTTTATTTTTTCTCCGAACACCGTCATTGTCTGATTGAGTTGTGTTAACCTGCCTATTTATTTATTTAAATCAACGACTTTCACTTGGCTCTGCTATTGCTCGTGGAAGTGCAAACCAGAGAAACTACACGCATTTAGCTGTTATTTTGTATACTTCTTTTGGAGAAGATATCTCTCCCTCTAGTCGGCGTGGTGTTGTACAGAGCTAGTCAAAGAACTGTACAAAAGTGGTCAAAATGCAACTAAAAAGTATTTTTCTGCTGACAACTGCCGCCGCCTTCGTTGCAGCACAGGAGCCGAAAGAGGTGTTCGCTCATTTCATAGTAAGTTTTACGCTTTTTACCATCTCAGTCCAGCTATAGAAGCCCATCTTACTCATATCAGCTAGGTTGGAAATGCCGCCGGCATGACCCACGACGAATGGGTGTCGGATATCAACTTAGCAAAAGCGGCCCTCATCGACGGATTCGCTCTGAATATCGGAGTTCAGGATCCCTATACGGACGAGGTTCTTAAAAAAGCCTACAGTGCAGCGGCAGCCGTTGGCGATTTCACCTTGTTTTTATCGTTCGACTATCTCTCTGGTGGCCCATGGCCGGTTGATAGAGTCGTACAGACTATCAACAAGTATAAGAAAGAACCTGCACAATTCAAGTACAAAGATATGCCTTTAGTATCAACATTTGAAGGGGTAAACAACGTCCACGACTGGGATTTAATCAAACCGGCTACTGGGTGCTTTTTCATGCCATCGTGGACTAGCCTCGGGCTTCATGGGCTCGAAAGTGTGATGGAAGTCATTGACGGCGTCTTCAGCTGGGATGCATGGCCAGTAGGTGCACAATCCAAGTCCACCCACACAGACGAGGAATATATGTCTCTTCTTGGTAATAAGCCGTATATGATGCCTGTTTCACCGTGGTTTTACACAAACCTGCCCCAATGGGGCAAGAACTGGCTGTGGCGTGGGGATGACTTGTGGCACGACCGTTGGCAGCAAGTAATCCAGCTGCAGCCTGCTATGGTTCAGGTACGTTATTTCACCAGAAATTGGCGTTGGCTTTTCGTCCATTTAACTTTTCATATATACAGGTTATCAGCTGGAATGACTACGGCGAATCACATTATATTGGCCCCATCTACAAGGCCGGTATTCCCACGGGTGCTGCTGAATACGTTGTCCAGAACCCACATGATGACTGGCGAACCCTCCTGCCTGTATACATCAATTTATATAAATCGAATAGCGCAGGTAACTCTAGAGAAGAGCCTGCTCAAAGCCCCAATGACCCTAAACCCACACCAATGGATATCATCACCTATTGGTATAGATTAAACCCCAGCAGTTCCGGAAGCAGCGGTGGCACAACAGGTAATAATCCCAGCTTTGGCCAGAAAGCTCTTGACCCAGGACTAGTGTCTGAGGATAAGGTATTCACGACGGTATTTGCTGCCGAACCTAGCGTGATTACTATAGAAGTTGGGCAATCATCTCCAACAACGTACCAAGCGAAAAGAGCGGGAATCAACCACTTCAACGCCCCATTCAATGGCCACACGGGCGCCGTGTTAATAACCATCTGGAGGAATGAAAACAAGGTGCTCTCTACAACAGGTCCTGAGATAACGGATGCGGGTGCTCATGGGAGAGTGAACTGGAATGCCTATGTTGGGTCGAGCTTGAATGGTTAGTCTGAATGTGGTTGATGTATTGATACTTTCAATTGTACAGTAGTTACATGTACAGGCCAGACCTATTCTCTGGTGCGGATATTTGAAGCGGAAATTTATTTAGATCTCTTACCTGGAATGTCAGGTGTTAGCCCTCCGTCGCAATAGTACAGTACGCCCCCAACCACTAGTGTGGTAATAGTGTGGTAGCTCATTTTTAAGGTTAGCCGCTGGCTAGTGGCTGGGGTCCTTAGCGAAACTGCAAACCCAAACCCTCCCGGGGTTCTCCCAATTAACTTCGTCCTCCCCATTGATTCTTCCTCACTTTCTCTGAACCTAACTAACGCCTTTGCCCCTGTTTTACTTGGACACTTCTTGAATAACCTGGCATAGTCATTCAATCCTTTGCTCAACGCCCAGCATGACCCGCCGTTTCCTGCGTGCGTCTAATTCCAGCGCACTTTCGCAGGCCACCACCACCCAGCTCCCACATCGACCTACCCAACCCCAAGAACCGACAGATAAGCATGCTGGTTCAAAACCTTCACCGGCCTCCCCAGAATCCTATGCCCAACCCTTCTGCGACTTCATGACGGCCAATCCAACCATATACCATGCCGTTGCCAGCTTCTGCTCCCAGCTCGACGACCACGGTTTCACCCGCTTGTCAGAACGCGACGTCTGGTCCTCCATCCTCAAACGCGGCGGGAAATACTACTGCTCTCGTAACGGCAGCTCCTTGATAGCCTTTACCATCGGTTCCGACTATGAGAGCGGCAATGGCTTTGGAATCGTTGCGGGGCACGTTGATGCCTTGTGCGCGAAACTGAAACCTGTTTCCAAACTGGGGAACAAGGCGGGCTTTGTGCAGTTGGGCGTTGCGCCGTATGCAGGCTCGTTGAGCTCGACATGGTGGGATCGTGATTTGGGGATTGGCGGGCGCGTTCTTGTTCGCGATGCACAGACTGGTGTAGTGGAGTCGAGGCTGGTGAAGTTGGACTGGCCCATTGCGAGAATCCCGACGCTTGCCGTGCACTTTGGGACACCATCCCAGGGCCCCTTTAATAAGGAGACGCAGGCGGTGCCAATTATTGGGGTGGATAATTCTGATCTATTTGGGAACCAGCAGGGTGGTGCCCATGTAGATGACGGGATTAAACAAGGCACTTTTGCGGCAACTCAGCCGCCGAAACTGATCAAAGCTATTGCTAAGCAGTTGGGCGTTTCTGATTTAAGCACCATCGTCAATTGGGAGCTTGAGTTATTCGATACCCAAGCCGCCCAGGTTGGCGGGCTAGATAAAGAGTTCATATTCGCTGGCCGCATTGATGACAAACTGTGTTGCTATAGTGCCCAGGAGGCACTTTTAGCTTCCCCAGCCAGTGCATCCTCTGGAATCGTCAAGATGGTGGGCATGTTTGACGCAGAGGAAATAGGTAGTCTGCTGCGCCAGGGTGCTCGGTCAAACTACATGAGTAGCGTCATGGAGCGGATCACAGAAGCGTTCGCACCCTCATACGGCCCCAATGTGCTCTCACAGACAGTTGCAAATAGCTTTCTTCTTTCCTCTGACGTTATCCACGCTGTGAACCCCAACTTCCTAAATATCTACTTGGAAAACCACGCTCCAAGATTGAACGTCGGTGTCGCCATATCTGCCGATCCCAACGGACACATGGCCACCGATGGCGTCAGCACGGCTATTTTACAACGGGTTGCTGATAAGTGTGGTTCTACTTTGCAAGTGTTTCAGATTCGCAATGATAGCCGTAGCGGAGGAACGATTGGGCCTATGACGAGCGCCCGGATTGGAATAAGAGCGATTGATGCTGGTATTCCTCAGCTGAGTATGCACAGCATCCGTGCAACGACAGGGAACTTGGACCCTGGGCTGGGGGTCAAGCTGTTTAAGGGATTCTTCGATCATTTTGAGGAAGTGGATCGGGAGTTTCAAGACTTTTAAAGCCCAGGATAGACCATTGTGGTTAGATGTTTTTAGATATCTTTTGTTCATTTCGGAGATTTTGCAATTGAGCTTATTGGCTCATAATTAATATTTCCTTTTTTTTTTTTTGCGGAAGAGTTATACTGGTGGAGTAATGCTTTTGGGGATTTTTTGACAGATAACCAAGTGATTTCACTAGAATCAGTCAATTCCGGAATGAACCTTAAAGAGCTGAAATGTTCGAAATTACATATTTTGTGATGTAGTTACGTTTAAATTAATAACACATCTCATCTTAATTTAACTCCCGATTTTCTACCGTAATCTTGCCTTTGCACACTCACACCTGATGTAAGTGCACCATACTATAATAATAAAAACAGTGTAACAATAAAAATGAAAGTAGGTATCTTTTACATAAGAATCACATATAAAAGATACAAATATCATTTTCTGTAATATCTTCATGAACATCTTAGATATGAGCATGAATGAAATATGAAGATTAGAAATACTCAAATAATATAAGGATATAATATTTTTTTCATACATTTTCTCAAATCTGAAAACCATACTAAAATTTTAGTACAAAATTTGAATTTTCATAATGAGATAATGAAAAATTATTTAATTTTAAATGTGCTGATATCATGAGATTTCTTGCTATTGATTTTATCTTCATCTTATTTTTCAAGTTCATATCTAAGATGTTGATGAAGATATTAAAGAAAATGATGTTTGTATCTTTTATATGTGACAAGCATCAAATGCTCGCTTACGCTCGCTTCGCTGCTTGCGCAGCCCCCTCTACCACTTCCACTCTCCACCTCTATCCCTCTCTTACCACCCCTTCCACCCCTTCCACCCCCTACCTCCTCTACCACCACCACCGCCTCTATCACTCCTTCCACCCCTACCACCCCTTCCACCCCCTAACCCCTCTGCCACCACCACCGGCTCTACCGCCCCGCAACCCCTCTCTACCACTTCTATCCCCTATCATCTCTTTCACTTCCTACCTCCTCTGCCATCATCACCGCCTCTACTGCCCTGTAATCCCCCTCTACCACTTTCATCCTCTATCTCTACCCCCTTATCACCTCTTTCATCCCTATCCTCTCTATCATCATCACTGTCTCTACCACCCGGCAATCCTCTCTATCACTTTCACTCTCTATCTCTACTCACTCTTATCACCTCTTCCACCTCTTTCACTCTCTATCCTCTCTACCACCACCATCACCTCTACTTCTTCTACTACTCTCTTTCACTCTGTACCATCTCTATCATCATTATCAGATTAATCAGAGCTGTACAGACTGCAGTCAGCTATTCAATCTCATTCATGAATTCAAAGAGATGCACATGATATCAACATGAGACTTTATTACAGAGTACTTAGCAGTAACTATATACTATAAACACAGAGATCAAAATGTGGTAGAGATAGTAAGAGAGGAGTAGAGATAGTGGTGATGATAGAGAGGCTAGAGAGTGGAAAAGGTGATAGAGAAAGGTGATAGAGGCAGTGGTGGTGATAGAGGTGGTAGGAGTGGGAGGAGTGATAGAGATGGTAAGGGAGGGGTAGAATGGTAAGATGAGGGTAGAGATAGAGAGTGGAAGTGATAGAGGGTGCTGTGGGGCGGTAGAGGCAGTGATGGTGATAGAGAGGTTAGAGGTGGAAGGGGTGGTAGGGTAGGAGTGGTAAAGGGGGGGTCGGAGTCGAAAGGGTGGTAGGGGTGGTAGAGGTGGTAAGAGAGTGAGTGGTAAGATGGGGGTAGAGATATGAAGTGGAAGTGATAGGGGGGGTTGCGGGGCGGTAGAGGCAGTAGTGGTGGTAGAGGGGGTAGAGGTGGTAGGGGTGGTAAGGGGGGTAGGAGTGGAAGGGGTGGAAGGGGTGGTACGGGTGGGTGGTAAGTGATAGGGGGGTAGATAGGGTGGTAGGAGCAATTGGCAGGCGCCACTACATATCCATGGATTTTTTGTAGACTACTGGGGCAAAAGAGCTCAGTCACCACCAGCGCTGCTGGTAGAAGGGCCTATCAACCCCCGGGACCCCCAACATTTTTGATGGGGTGCACGTGAGGTCATGTTACAGCGTTTTTTGCACGGAAAAGTCAGTTTTTCTATAATATATAGAGAGATTCTCATATAAAAGATACTATTTTCATTTTTATTGTTACACTGATCATTATTATTATAGTGTGGCGCACCCACATTAGGTGTGGATGCACAAAGGCACAATTAGTTCTACTGGCATCGGAGTGTCGACCTCGGGAGCTTGGCCCAGATGGCGCTAAGATAAGATAACCTTAAAAGCACATAGACCAACGAGCCACAGCCACTAACAGTAGAAAAATTATCATCAACCACGGGGACCGAGACGAACTGCACAATAGCGTCCCCGCCCAATATACCCGCCGCGCATGCCATATTTACCCTACAGAAGAACCCTATGGAACTAGAAAGTGTGTGAAAAAGTTCAAATACCTACAATCATGGCGGACACTACCTCCGCCACCAAGCCGATCCACACCATTGTCCTCGACGCAGCACCCCTCATCCGCAATGTACCCCCGATCTCGACGCTGCTTGCACAGTCCCACGCCCTCATCACCACCCCCGCTGTCATTTCCGAAATCAGAGACCCCGCTGCGCGCTCTAGAATTGAGACCTTATATCTACCTTTCCTCACACAGCGCACTCCCAAACCGGAGTCTATAAAGTTCGTTGCAGAGTTTTCACGGAAGACTGGCGATAGGGCAGTGCTGAGTAGGCAAGATTTGGAGGTTTTGGCGTTGGCATATGAGGTTGAGTGTGAGAGGAATGGAGGCGACTGGCGGTTGAGAAGGGAGCCCGGACAGAAGGGGATTAATGGGATGCCCCCTGCGAAGGTTGAGGAGGGGGAGAAGAAGAAGGAAGGGGAAGCAGACGATGACGCCGGTGGTGATGAGCCCGCTGTCGAACAACAGCCTAAAGTGGAAGATTCCATCGAGAATGTTACGAACGACTTGGCTGAGTCGATCCTAGCTGAGAAACAAGACCCCCAGGAAAACTGTGCAAGTGCCACGGACGGTCTTGCAGAAACACAACCAGAAGAAGATTCTGCCCAATACCCAACACCAACTCAAATAGACGAATCCGATGACGACGACGACGACGATGAAGAAGGCTGGATCACCCCCTCCAACATCAAAAAACGCCAGGTAAAAGACGCGGCAGCGGCAGCGGCAGCCTCCGTCGAAACAAAAACAATGCAAGTCGCAACCATAACCGGCGACTTCGCCATGCAAAACGTCCTGTTGCGTATGAATCTCAACCTCCTCTCGTCCAACAACATGCAGCGCATCCGCCGGCTAAATTCCTATATCCTCCGCTGCCACGGTTGCTTCGCCACAACCAAGGAAATGGACAAGCAGTTCTGCCCCCGCTGCGGAAAACCGACGCTAACCCGCGTTTCCTGCTCCACAACCTCCGGGGGCGCGTTCAAGCTCCACCTTAAGAAGAATATGCAATGGAATACGCGGGGAGATAGGTATAGTATTCCGAAACCGATAGCGGGGACGTCAAGTGGGAAGTGGAAGGGAGGTGGAGGGCTGGGAGGCTGGGGGACTAACTTGATCTTGACGGAGGATCAGAAGGAGTATGTGAGGGCGGTAGCAGAGGAGGGACGAAGGACGAAAAAGGAGAGGGATCTTATGGATGATGATTTTCTACCTGGGATTGTGACTGGGGAGAGGTTGAAGGGTGGTGGAAGGGTTATGGTGGGGGCGGGTAGGGCGGTTAATTCAAGGAAGAGGAGGTGAAGACATTTTGGGGTTATTTGTTTGATTGCATTTACGGTTTTGAAAAAATGGTGGGATAGAGTGCAGTGTTGTATGGTTTTATCCTTAATGATTTCATCATTTAACGATTTCATTTTTGTTACTAATGCTGGGAAGGAAGCAAAGATAGAGCGATCGCAAAATATTTAAATCTCATATTGACATTTCAGGCACGGGAAACAGCTTATATATGGAACGTACAGTACAATATGGAGTATGCCAGTGCTAGCTGAAGTCGAATAATAGTCCAATCTCAAATCGACTTCCTCGAGTACATCGGAAGTGTGGACTTGTACGGAGCCCACCAAAAGAAGAACCCGTAGATAAGCAACAGCAGATCAGACCAATTACAATATATGTCTCTTTTTTAACCAACCCCTTCCGTCGCCACAAAAGGATAACGCCATTCGCCCTGATTGATATAAATTATCGCTAAAGAACGCTCACATCTTGGATTCTAGGGCGCAAAAGTAGAAGAGATTAGCTTTCATTCCAGCAATCAAATAGAAAACAGATGAGTAGCTGGTGTCTTTTCATCCACATACCAGGTTGTTGCGTCAAGAGTAGTCCATATCGTTTCTTCAATGTAACTCGGTGTCTGAAAGATGTCAGTTTCGGTTCCTCACAAGCATATTTTTCTCATCTCAAAACTAACCTGGAGTACTTGTCATCTGGTGAGAATCTAGCGGGATGTGCGGATTTTGTGACCTGGCCATCCAACACTTTTTTCAGTGTGTAGACACGATTGCCTTCGTTGTCGAGGGTGTACATGAGATGCATTCTGTGGAGACTGGTTAATCGCCTGTCCAAGTACTGGGGGTTGCAGTGACGGTATCTCTTACTTGGCTGGCGTGTCTACGTCGATTCCTAAGAATAGTAAATGGAGTTCCAAGCGATCTTATATGTGCCGAGCTGGCCAGGAATGAAGATGAATAGCAGGCAGGCTGTTTGGTGGAGTGGTTTTGCCAGAGCGTAAAAATGAATTTTGGTGCTGCAGTTGCGCGGACTGAAATGGGAAGGTTTTGCCGACCAGCGCTAAACAATCGAGCTTCGGCAATAATTCTGCCGCCCACTCAGGAAAATTTCAACCTCACCTCACCTCCATCATTCAGGAAATATTCTGCTCAACACAACTTGTTCTTCCGTCTCTATACCTATGCTCGGGAATTGGCATATTAAAGGTTTTCACCAAAGCTACTAACACCAAGAAGATTATTAAGCAATAGAATACTATTTGTTTAAGAGAAAGGCTGCGGCTCTTTTGTCAGATACTGACTGAGCTCTCATTTCTGGCGGTGATCCATTGACAGGAGACCTGGTAAGTAATACATTCTCCTTACTGATGTAATTGAACTTGGACGTGACTTGTTGTCTGGATTATCCTGTAATTCCCCTTCTGTTTCCTGTGATGACACTCATAGTAGCCTAGTCAGTGGCACTGATTTCTAGCTGCTGTCAATGCTGGCTCTTTTATGACTACAACGGTATCTGAGGAACCCTACCTATTCTCTTTAATTTTCATTATTCAATTGTTTCTATTCAACGTATGCTGGAGACTTTGGTTTAATTCTAACTTGTTATTTCTAGTTACCCCATTCGCGAGTGGTCACTTTCTGAGCTATGCTCTGTTGATAATGGCTTCGTCTACCACTTCGGCCGTTTCGACTGTTTCAAATGGCCGTCTAAACTCTAGTAATAATAGCAACTTGGATCCCCAAAAAGATGCAGCTAAATACCCCCCTGCTCGGCCACGGCGGCCCAATTATAAACATATCCATCGTTTCCCTCTTCCTCTCCATGTCTACCCGTTACCACCTTTAATCCCCCACAATCCCCTCTCTCTAATTAGCATAGCTCTATCGTATCTCACATACTTGATCTCTCCTCCTCACCAGCACATCTACACCGCGTACTTTGATCCATCAACGTCTTCAATCCATGTCACTGACGCGAGAGCGATACGTACGCTGTGGGAGATGGGATTCTTCGGGAAAGGTAGCCTGAGTAGGAGTGAGCCAAGTTGGTTAGACCGAGAGAAAAATAGAAGAGGATTGACCGGCGATGCTACAAGTGAGGAGGTTACAGGGAAGAGAAGATTAGAACGCCGGGAACGCAAACTTGAGCGAGCCAGGAAGGAAAAAGAGGCTATTGCGGAACAGCTGAAAGCGGAAGCACAATTGCGGGATGCTCGTGGTGACTTTCAATCTAGTGAACTTGATAAAACGTTTACTGCCCTAGAAAGCCCCGTTCATGACGCAGCTGTTGCTCAACTGGACGACAAGCCCCGAGACACTCACGGCCAAGAGTCCACAGTTACAGCAAATAATTCCTCCATCTCCAAGCAAGATATGACCAATGGGCATGTTGGAAGTGTACGTTCGAATGGCGGTAAGACTGTACGCTTCTCACCGGTGGTCGAACAAAAGTGCTATGATGCTCAAGCTACTATACCATGGTTACCTGAACCTTCAATCCCGTCTACAGACAAAAATGAGCACACAGTAGTACTCAAAAATGAAGAACATCTGCAATTATCGAACGAAGAAGCTCTCTTTCTCGTCTATGGTCTAGGTGTTCTACAAGTGTATAACAGTGACCGCACATCGATCCTCTCTGCATCTTCCCTTCTAACTGGCTTCCGCCAACATTCCTACTTCCCGCCACGAGAGTCATCTGCTCCTGCCCAACCAGATGATCCATTTATGTTATCTTATGTCGTATACCATCATTTCCGCTCCCTTGGCTGGGTTATCCGCTCCGGTGTAAAATTCGGTGTCGATTACCTCCTCTACAACCGCGGGCCGGTATTCTCCCATGCCGAGTTCGCAGTTTGTTTGCTCCCCGCCTACTCCGATCCTTACTGGACAGCGACTGAAGAAAGACGACAAAAGACTGCGAAGAAAGAGGGCCGAACTTGGTGGTGGCTGCACTGTGTGAACAGAGTCCAAGCCCAGGTCAAGAAGAGTTTGGTCCTATGTTATGTAGAAGTGCCACCTCCTCACACCCAGCCTCCACCTACCGATGCCACTGGGGAGGGTGGTGAATTGGATATTGGTACGCTGCTGAGAACGTACAAGGTCCGTGAAATGACCATTAAACGATGGGTGCCAAATCGAAGTCGCGATTGAAGACGACTTTATGGTTTCTCATTTCTCATTGATATGTATGTGAAGGATATGGGTTAATTTTGACCTAGGCGTTTTGAAACTTTGCTGCAATGTTAGCATGCTAATTTGAAAGCTTTGCATGATGTCGGTCCAAGCTAACGCGTATGGATATATACCTGTATAAAACAACTAAAATATAACGAGTGAATGAACCTGACATGTTAGCAATCTTTGCAATATGGAGAAGGTCGGGCTATTTTTTAAAAGTATCCTTCCACGGCCGTTGTAGCTCAACTATATCGTCGACCGGAGGCGAGATATACGCGTTGAAGTCTATTTTGGCAAAGTAGATGCCAATTGAGACAAGACGCGCAATCCAACTTGAAGAATTTGTGGGTGTCGCTGATAGCCACAATTAGGGCCTGTTCGGTGCGTCCGTGTGTACTCGTTCTTTTTGTATGGATCTCCACTTTTTTTAAAAAGTACAGCCCCAATATCATGACTGTTCGGTGGGCAGAGTGTCTGTACTAATAGTACAGCTGCTTTTTACAAAGTACAGATGAAAATGACCAGATGTTCGGTGGATTGAGCGGCTGTACTTGCATCTCTTGTCAAGATCTTATGAATAAGCAGTATTTAACTTCAACGGTGTGTGATAGTGTAGAATAGCACTTTTAGAGGCAATATAGTGTAGAATAGTGTAGAATAGTGTTCATAGTGGAGATAGTTAACTAATATTGGTTAGAAGAAAGCTCATAAAAACGCGTTCTTTTTGAACGGACTCTGGACTCCGTTCAAAAAGAACGCGTTTTTATGAGCTTCCTTTCTCCATCCCAGAGCAGTGGAATAGTGTGGTGGCACAACGCCGGCTTGCTACTAATAATTGGTAAATACACTATTTTTAATGAGATCCACTATTGCGTTCAAAAAGTACGGACGCACCGAACAGGCCCTTAGGCATCATTGAAATACACGCACGTGACCGCGTGCATCCACAGTCGCGTTCGATGTCGCGAACTAGTTACCATTTTGGGTATCCAGGATCAGTAATAAGTTACAATTTAATTACGACCACGCGGGTTGTTGAGCCGCCTTGACCCGGGTGGCAGCGCTGGTCTGCGGACTCTTCTCTGCCCCCTTTTGAGTGCCTTAACTATGGGGAGTCAAGATGATAGCCTCGATTTGGGCTATCTGAAGCAGGCAGCCCTTGGCTTAACTGATGTTCGTGGCTGTATTTTATATATACCCTCTTTTTCCTTTTTGTGGCCCGACGAATATCCTGCCTGGTCTAGGTGTTACAATCGCGCTAATTGATGCTGATCGTTTGACAGGAACAGTCCACGCTGGACGTGTCTAGAACTTTACAATTACGAGGTGAGAATAACATTGGAACGATTGCGGAGAGGTGGCAGTGCGAGCCCCAGGACCACGAGATTCGGATCTCTCTGGAGACTGTGGTGGACGTTCAAAACATCCATTCTAATTGATCGTACCATACAACAGGCTTCCACCGTGTTCTTCCTACGCAGGGTCATGCCTTTTCATCCTTGAATATCGCTACAAGGCAGCCATCGCAGCCCGATGTTGAGCAGAGTTCTGTTCCGGAGTCACCAACCAAGATGGCGACGGTAAGCGGCAGTCTACCCGGCGATACGCAGCCAATTTCTCAATCGGTCTTCGAGAGTTTTATGAGCAAGGCAAGATCAAACAGGGGACATTCAAAACACCAGGAGGGAGAAGAAGAAGATGATAATTCGACGGCAAGGGACGCGACTCTACATGAGGGTGATACAGGCCATCTAGATTTACTAGCTGCGTTTGGGGAAACTCCTGGTGCAGATCGTGAGTTCGTCGACGAGGATGGAGGGCCGGAGCACCTTGATATAGTGGGTGGGGTCTCATCCCCAACCCAATACCAGCATTTCCCCGAATCTCAACGCTTCATCAGTAGAACTCCGGCGACACAGAATCGTCGAAGCTCGTATCCTGAGATCTCAACTACGCCAATACTCTCACGGTACCCCTTCAGCAGCGAACACAACGGTAGCACCGTAATGGCTTTGTCACAGGTGTTCAATGCGACCCAGAATCCCTCCTCGCCTTTTACTAATGGACCTCCACTTTCGTCGGATATGCCATCGCCAAATCTCCCTATTGAGCCCCGGTTGACCGGCACGACCACAGTGTTCTCGCCTCTACTTCCTTCCTCAGTTCCTCCTTCCAAGTGTCTAGAACCTCAGGCAAATTATGTTTCGATGAAGGAGTCGCAGGCTGTACGGGAGATGCTGGCGCGGTTACGTTCGACGGGGGAAAACGGTTCCAGTGATGACGATTTTGAGAAGGATGACAGCTACGTTCGGAGACATGTACGAGAAAAATATACGGAGGAGGAGGTGAGAAGGCAATTTGCCACTGTAACCGCACCCACTAGATCTAGCTCGAAAGGTCATGGAAAGACGGTTACAGCAGATCAATCCTCACCAGCTCCAGCAGACTCTCGGAGCAGTCATCCCCACCGCGCCGCTCTTTCGACGGTTGAAAAAAATAATGCTGGAAATAGTGAAGAGGAAACCGAGCAGGAGGATGAACTTGAAGTCTCACATAGCCGACGGCTTCTACATTCCCAGCTTCCAGGAGAAGATGATAAAGAGAATATCGACAGCGGGCCAGTTCATGTTGCTGACACTACCGCCTCTGCTCACGACGCCCTCTCTCAGGCCCTTGAATCAGACTCTCCAGCAGGCCATCGAAACTTAACCAGGAAAGTTTCAGGGCCATCTTACGGCAGCCAGGAAGTTGCGAGTCATCCCCAAGGCAGCCTAGATGAAAGCGAGAACACCACACCTACTGGCTCTCAAATCGTAAATATCGCTAATTCCCAGCCGTTCAGCGACCACGGTCCAAAAAGGCGCAGAGGCAGACCGAGGAGGGGAGTTACACATTTAACACAATCTCCTAGTGAGGAATATATACCTTCGTCACCTATTTCCGGTTCACGTAGCCAGCGAGGCTTTCCGCCAAATTCACATGTTTTAAATCATGGTTCAAAGAGGCCTAGAGGCAGACCTCGATCTCGAAAACCAGATATCCACTTGGCTCAATCACCCGGAGAAGAATGTGTCCCGTCCTCGCCTACATTTGACCCGCATGAACAGAGTAGATTTCCTGAACAAACCTCTCAAACCTCTCGGATGGGCCACCCTACATGGAACACTGCTTCTCGAACCCAACATAACCCTGAAAATGCAAGTCCCCTGGAAACGCCTCACAAAACTACACATCAACGCGGTCAGCCTGCAGATCAGGGTGCTCCAGATATGGCGTCATCGAATGATCAGAATGAATATCCTGAAGCTGAATCTAAAATTACATATCCTAATCCTTCAGCCGAGGAGATTGCGGGTCCGACGAAAGCCTCCTCCATGCCTTCTCGCGTTCTAGAGACACCAACGCAGAATGAGAAGCAGTCAAAACCATATCATCAGACTATACCAGAATCTTCTTCATTGGGTCATTTCTCTAAATCTATTACACGATTTAACAACAAGTCTCCTACATCTCCTACTCACGATGACGACGAGCTTCCTGTTGTCCCCCAGTTTTCACGCTCTCAAGTTGGACGTCTTGGAGTTCCCAGGTTGCTCCCCAGGGGTGGCGCACACCACACCGTCTCGGCTGTACTTTCTAGCCCTAGTGGCCGTCAGCGTCGGAGCATGACTGAAATTGCAGCGGAACAGTCGCCCTGCCACTCGCTGCCTGATTTTTTATCAGACTTTGGACTTATCACTGCAGAAGACAAAGAATTTGCGTTCATAACCCGAGAAGTAGCACCTTCTGCTAACAAAAGGAGACGAGGAAATGATAGAAGAGTCATCGCCTCATCGAATCCATTTGATCGGGACCAAACGCCTACCCCTAAAGAGACTCCCAGAGTGCTTCAGTCGGCAGCAAACGTGAGCGAGTCCATGAATAATGTTTCGGAGTCAGCCACCCCAATTCCAGTACCACATGCTCAAACGAATGTTATTCTTATTCAACAAAATCCGAAAACGAATGGCAAAAGGACTGGAAGTGTCTGGGAGGTGGAATGTTCACCGGTTCAGCCAAAGACTAGAAGAGGGCGCAAACGTCGCCTCAGTCAACCGTTAGAACGGGCTATTTCTAAAGCACGAACTTCTCAGCAGCTTATAAATAGTATTGCTTGGCCAATTGAAGAGCGCAAGTCAAAGATCCCGTCACCAAGTCCAACACAATTGATTGAGCGGGCCGATAGCCCAGACCCAATTCAAGGCGAGGAGACTCATACGTACTCAACATTAGGAAGTGTTTCACCATCATTGAATAGCCCTGCATTTGCAAATAAAGTATTTGCCTTTTTCAACGGCCGACCGCAGGGATATTTCCCAGCAACCTGCGTTGGGATTTCACAAACTGCGGGCCAAATTAGATACCTCGTAAGATTCGAGGACTCAATCGAACCTGATGAGGTAAATGCGGATGCAGTCAAGAGGTTGGAATTGAGAAAAAACGACGTTGTCAAGGTGGACTTGCTTCAAGTTCCTAAGATTCCGCACACGGTTGTGGGGTTTCGAAAGTCATTTGAGACCACTGCCTTCCGTGGTGGCGAGCGGACACTCTCTTCGACGATAACTGATGTCCATGGGCACCACTCCGTCATCCTTAGGCCCAGGGGCCCAAATGGGACCTTCCGCAATGGATCTGATATCACTGTTCCAATCTCTAATGTTTACCTTGATAGGATTCTGTGGACTCGATTGGGAAATAGGCCGTATTCGTACTTGCCCCAGCTTCTCCACGCCCCTAGGTCTGGGCTACAAACGCCCTTGGACCACCGTCACAGTTCTGTATATTCCGTTTCGCGAACCGCACATCGCTTCCCATCAGTCTCTGGCTTATTTTTCGGAATGGCTTTCGCTGTTTCATACAAAGATAACGAGGAGAAACGGCTGTGGATTGAAGAGCTCATTACTCAGAACGGTGGGCGGATCCTGAAGGATGGATTCACTGAGCTCTTTAACCAACCATTGTCCAACCTTCCTTCTGCATCTTTCGAAAACAATTCCGCTGTGACAACTTCAGCAGACGACAACGACAAATTGTTATCTTTGCACCCTACAGCTGAAACTACCGGTTTCGTTTGCCTCCTAACAGACGAACATACCCGCCGCGTGAAATACATGCAAGCCCTCGCCCTCAACATTCCTTGTTTGGCCGGTCGCTGGATCCATGATTGCGTCTCCAAAGATCAAATCGTGGACTGGGAACCCTACCTCCTCCCAGCGGGCGAATCTACTTTCCTCAACGGTGCAATCCGATCCCGGGCGATCGCCCCAAACCCAGCTCTAACAGCACGCCTGCCGGACACTATAGCAGCCCGCCCCAAGCTCCTGGCTGGCCAATCCGTGCTCCTCGTCATGGATCGCGGCAAAATCGCAGAACAGCGCAAGCCTTACAGCTTCCTCACTTGTGCCCTTGGTCCCAGCAGAATCGCTCGTGTACCGGACATGGATGCCGCAATTAAGATACTGGCACCACCTGAGCGGGAATCACCAGGGTCAAGCGCCTATTCGGATGTCGGCTGGGATTGGATTTATGTTGGTGATGAGAAAGCGGCTGTGGCTGCTCGTGCACAACTTATCCAGGCGTCGCAAGCTGGCCTCACCAAGGGGACTTCTAGGGCCCGCTCACGGGGCCGGCCACCCAAGAAGCGACAAGGTCGTGGTCGACCTGCGAAGGGGGCGCCGCGGATTGCCGCTGCTTCCGCAGATCTGGCCTCCGGCATAATCGGCGGTAGTGATGTGACTGTTAATGGAAGAACTGTGAGGATTTTAGATAATGAATTTATTTGCCAGAGTCTAATTTTAGGGAAGTTGTTTGAACCATGATCAGGTCATGAAGATGACGAATATGATGACCAAAAAGGAATTACGCAACCAATCATAGCTCATTCGCAAAGGTATAGCTGCTAGTTAATTCTCGTTTTATTATCCCTTGATTTTCTGTTACGAAATGTTTCTCACTGGATTTGTTGCGTATATTCGGATCTTTCTATTTATTCTCTGTTACCACCCGCGAAGGAAGGACGCTACGTAAAGTACGGATACATTGTAACGCCCCATTGGCCCCGTTCAGCCAGTTGGTTTGATGTCCAGTTCTTATGTTAACAATCTACCATTTTTGTCTCCCCATCCTTTATTAGCTCAGTTTTATATGGGTTCGCCCACTACCCTTTGACGTGGTCTTATTTACCATTTTCAGCATTTCTCCCACCCCCGCATCACCACTTCAGCGTGTCACAATACCTTATAGCACAATACCCCAGTTCAGCTTCTTTTCACCTAGAGAGGTTTCCGGGTTGGCTTGGGCAGATTACTTTTTACTTTTTCTTCTTTCTCTTCTTCCCTTAATGACCGGTGCCGCTGTATGCATGTGTGAATAGCCATTTCGCATTTTCATTGAGTCGACATGTGCTCAGGCATTCGGAAGCTACGAAGGATAATGTTCGGAGTACATGTTCATGAATAAGATTAAAAAGTATAACGAAAGAAAATATATTCAAGAAAGAAAATATATTCCAGCCAAAGTCCTCTCGTTCTAATATACAATAAAAAAATAAAATAAAATGCAACTCCGTCTACCAACAGAAGAATAAAGCTGTCACGAATCCGTTTTTCTTATTCAAACATGACCCCTCTACAGCTATGCTTTATTCTTCTTCCCCTTCCTCTTCGACTTAGCATCCTTCAACTGCGCCGCAATCTTCCTCCTTTCCATCCTCCTCCTCCACGCGGCAAAACGATCCTTCTTATTCCACTCAGGCACCTTAACCCCCGCACGCTCCGCCACACGACCAATCTGCCAGTTGGCAACACGGTACATATAGCCCGGTCTAAGCGTAGGCACAATTTCCGCCTCCTTGGCCGCCTTATTAGCCTTCTCCTGCTCAATATCCCTGGGGACGGCCACCATCCCAAGCCGTCTCTTGGTAATGGCGTTCCGGGGTAAGGGGAACTTGTCGGATTTATCAAAGGCGACGCCGATGTATTTGCGGTCTGGGTGGCGCGCTGGATCAGTGTAGTATTTGACATAGCCCGTGGCGAGCGAGTAGATGGTGTGGTCGCGGCCCATGCCACAGTTTTCGCCAGGAAACCATTTGGAGCCGCGTTGGCGGAAGATGATGTTTCCAGGAATCACATATTGGTCCCCGGACTTTTTTGCGCCGAGACGCCTGCCTGCGCCATTTTTCGTGCCGTTGTTGGCACGGCCTTGGGTGGCGTGGGAGGCATAGCGGACCTGAAGCTGGGTTTGGTGGATGGTGGTGCGGGATGGAAATTGGGGTGGTCGCTGTTGTTGAAGGAGGAGAATAGAGGAGCGAGAGGTGGAGGGAGGAGAGAGCGCCGTACCACTGAGACTGCGGGCCGTTCTCCGTGAGAGATGTGATAGAGATCGTGTGGATTGTTGGTTGCAGAGGAGAGATGTGGATGGGAGGAAGAGGGAGTCGAGAACCCGCAATTGGGTGCGGAACTGAGGTTGGATCATGGCAGCAAAAGGGGATCGAGACTAGGTAGATATATACTCCTCAGTCTCGATCTTGGGGCGATGTGGGCTGTTGCAATTGGTGCTGGTAATGATATTCTTAAGGCGTCTTCACATTTTCTTTGACGCCGAATTTGGTCCGAGTCATGTGACGAATATCACGTGATTATATGAGGACGAACAGGAGCAATTTGAAGACACCTGTCAGTCTATACAAACTACGGAGGAAAAAGCGCCAAAATGATCCACATAATCACCGGCACCCTCTTGGGTTTGCTATTTCTTGCGACGGGCGCCCGAGCTCAATTCCAATTCTTCGAGCAAATGTTTGGTGGCGGACAACAGCAACAGGAGTCCCAAGAGCACAATGTCCCCAGTGACAGTTCCTGGTACCAACGAACCTATGACAACGGTATGTCGCATTTGATATTGTATATATTCATTATTTTTCATTATATTTTTTTCATGCTGAATGCTAACGGCGGACTCCCCCCAGCACGATGTTCGGACTATCTCTGCCCCGGAACTCTAGCCTGCGTCTCTGTTCCACACCATTGTCCTTGTCAACACCCAGGTGTTGAAGATAAATTCGAACTAGGTGACGGAAGCGCAATTTGTGTGTCGAAGGGTGGGTTCAAGCCTGGTGAAGCTGCAAGAAAGGTCGAATTGGCCAGGAAAGGATTGCTGTGAATTCAATCGTCGGTTAGCTCGAACACGATTTGATATATACCCCCGTTATGAGACATGCTACACATTTAGCTCCCTGTCTTCGGCGCTATATATATCTATCCACGGTTGCATAGGACGTAGCGAGAATTTTTTATTCCGATCAGAGATTTTGTGGTCATTATTGTATTTGCATATCTTCCCCTCGCGGAGCCAGCAAGTTGGGCGCATTACTGAAATCTGGCGGAATAATAGCTGACAGGGCTACATAGGCAATGACAACTTATGAGTTATTTTTACATGGATTACGAATATATCTAGAGCTGTTATTTGCTTTTCACTAGAGTGCTGCACTTGAGATGTATTTAATGTTTCAATATCAAAAAAAAAAAAAAAAAAAAAAAAAAAAAAAAAAAAAAAATAAGTATTTAGCTGTTCCCTCGCGCTGCCAAGATATAATAGGTATTGTGGTGAACATATTACTTGTAAAAACAGAATTTTCCCAGCTCTCTCTGAAAATTAGTAGTAAAATATTATTAAAAAATCAAAATATCTGCATTTCTCTAGAATTATTCAATATCATTCAATACATATCTTTTTTAGTTTCATTTGATCTGATCTTATACATTTCTTGATGTGAATCTCACTGAGACTAATCATTAAAAAAACATGCAAAGTGACTATATATCAGATTTTAAAATGAGACTATGACTTGAAAAAAATGAGAAAGTGATCTCATTTAATCTCATTTAGTTTCATTCTTAATATAAAGTTATTATTTTTAGATATTTTGAGGTTTTTTTTAGACTATTTTTAATTTTTTAAAAAGTAATGCTTTTTGATAACACTTAAATGAGGTTTAAAGTCATTTAAAGCAATAAAAATAATTTAAATTAAGAAGTAGAAATTATAGTCTTATTTAAAAAATATGATAAGAGTAGATAGTAAGTCTCACTGAGACAGTATGAAACTACTATTTAATGTTAAAACAGTGTAATGAGATAAGTTGAATTGATAATAAGATTATCAAATATTGTAATTCTGGTCTCAGATACAGTTACACAGTCAGTCTAATATCAACTCTGTGAGTTCATTATTAACAAGATTATACATCTTCTTAAGAATAATTATATATCTATTAACTTACTAAGATTATATAAAGTATTGATTATTATCTGTATATATTGAATTCAATGAAATCTTTACTGTTTTGAAACTGTCAGAGAACTCTGTTTAATATATAATATAAAGTCAAAGATTATATTAGATATTTCTTCAATTCTGAAGAGATTTAATAAAGATTTTAAAGCTTTTTTATATTATATAGTTAAGAACTTCATAAGAGAAAAAGATATAAAAGAATATTTCAGATCTACTTATATAGAATAGTATTATAATAATTAGAAAGATTCAGATTATAATTTATTATAATATAAATTTAGAATTGAAAGTAGTATAAAATCTGTTCTTATCACTATAAATAGTGAATAAAGATAATTTGAATTTCTGTAATTTTATTTATTATAGTGAACTTTTTAATTCATTTCTTATAATTTAAAATATACTCTTATTAATATTTATATAAAGTAACTATTTTCTTATTAATCAATTAAAATATTTATTAAATTAAGATATTAAACTACTTTGAATTGAAGATGAAATAGTAAATTTAATACAAGATTTAACAGTGAATTCAATGAAAGATTTTAATAGTATATTTATAACAGACTGTGTCTGATCAATTATATAGACTATTCTGTTACACTTCACAGATTTCAACTGCTTCATTCTTGAACACATATACTTCAATTCTCAGTCATGACCCGGTGGCGTAGTGGTTAACTACGCTACTATGAAGCCTCAATTAGCGGCCTTCCCCCCCGGGGGAATGAATGCTAAGAGAGAGCAGGTTCAAACTCTGTGAGAATTATCTTAATCACAGCTTTCACTGTTAAGTTATAAAACAGTATCAGAGACTCTCAGATACACTATAGTAAATTATTATCAAGTTTAAGATGTTCATCTCAGAGATTCTTAAGTATTAATTCTCACTGATCTTAGAATTAATAGTCTCTCAGATAGACTAGCCGCCAGGACCATGAATTTCACATTTGATTTCATTTGATCTGATCTCATACATTTCTTGACATGAGTCTCACCAGGACCAAGCCTCAAAAAAATCTGAAAATGAACCATTTCTGAGAGAAATGATGTGAAAAATGACCAGATTTAATTCAAGAACAGTGAAATGAGAGTAATTTTTCAGAATAAACTGTGAAAGATAATTATTCTTTCAAAATCAGAATAAGACTGAGACTGAAGATTAAAATCAGTCTCATTCAGTTCATTCAGTGATTACTTATATAATCAGAATTTAATAACAATTATTGATAATACTTATAAAATAACTAAATACATTCTTGTGTAAGTTTATTCTTCACTTTCTTATAAAAACTACACTTCTCTGATATACTGTGATCAGAGATATTAAACTGTCTGATAATTTCATATTTTATAATTATGAGTTTCTTAATTATTTCTTCTTATAATTGTTCTTAGTAATAGTGATAAATATCTTAACTTGAGTTGAACTTTCACTTCATTCTCATCTCTGTCAATGAAATTATCAGAATATTATATATTATCAGTATAATAGTTGAATATATACTCTCAACAATTTTTCATAACTCTAGAATTAATTTAATGTGTAAATTTATCAGATTATCTTGAAGATAGCAGTTAAATTCAGTTTTACAAGTATGTAGTTTTACCTGATTTTCAGTTATAATCAATATATATAAGTTCTGTTTCAAAGTTAGTATTATAGTTCTATGTGATATAAAGTATTATTAAAGATTGTTACTTACTAGAGAATTGTATTTCACTGTCTTCATATCTTGAACATCTGCTCATTCAAATCTCTGATAGTTAGCATTGTAGTAGTCTTGAGCTAATTTAATATATAAGTCTTATTTCTTCTCTGTTCAATCTTGAGAAGTGTAGATATTAACTTAATAAAAGAGATCTAGTAGAGCTGCTATAGTATAGTACTCTGTAAAAGATTGTTTCATTTTACTGTAGTAATATATCAGTTTATTTCTTATAGTAGTAATAGCCTACACTATAGTATTATCTCAGACTGAATTTCTTTTTGAGTGATTCAACTGCTTCTTAAGATGAGTAAATAAACTATTATATACTCATCAGACTGACTACAGCATTAGTGTATAAGTGATTGAGACTGTCTTTATTATCTTATAAAACTGAAACAGTAAATCAATCACATATTTCAACTAAGTTCACTTTATATTAGAAAGTTTCAATATCTGAATCTTTTTCTAATCAGAGTGTTACACTCAATGATCAATTATCTGATACAATCAAAGAGTTTAAATAGTTATCTTATATATTGAACTTCACTGTATTCTAACATTCTGTATCATATTCAGTGATGTGACTGATTTATTTATTTATTAAATATCATGAAATTGTTATTATTATTTAGAAGAGATATAAATCACATTAGCAATGTTTTGAATCTATGATATTTAAATTATTAGTCAATCTATTCAAAACTAACAGTAGTGTTATTAAAAAGCATTATTAAAAAGTAATATTAAAATGTGATTCGGAAGAACATATGATCATCAGATAATAACGCGGCCGCTTTCAAACTAGCTTACGAGTGTAAAGAAGGTCATAGCGGCCACTAATTAATTTAGCATATGATATTACAATATATAAGAAGCCGGTGTACATCTGTAATCATACACTGACTTAACCAATCTTTGAATCACATCTGGTAGCATGTCTAAAAACCAGTGAGAAGTGCAGGCTTCTCCAGAGCATGATAATTCTGTCTATGAAGTGATTCATAGTTATCATGTCAGTGTAGTTCTAGAACATCTCAAAAGATAGTATACAAAGAACAGTGAGCAGAAGAGTATCTGATTAATACTACTTTGCTTATTAAGGAAAAACTTCACACTCAGATGAATGCTACATATGAGATGTAAATAAATGAGATGTGAGAAAGAAAATGAAACCAGTGAATAAGATTCAAAGAAGTCTGCTCTCTACTCAAAAGAAGAATAAAAAGAGAGAAGTGATTATCACTGAAGTTATACAATAATAACAGAAATTATATAACAATATAGTGATATAATAATATAGTAATATAATAATACAGTAATATAATGATAGATATTATATAATTAACAAGAAATCACTGAAATAGATATCTCTTCTAGTTAATATGAATAATACTCTTCTCTGCTATCTAAGCTGAAAGATATGCAGAATCTCTCAGAGAATTTACTTAAAGTAGTAAGAAAAGCAGCTGAGATCACTGAATCAGAATCAAAGCTCTGTACATGTACAAGAATTCTAAACAAGATCAAGGTCTTGTGTATACAGTGACAGATCAAGACAGAAGTCAAATAATAATTGACATTCACTGCAGATCAAGCATTCACTATGAAGAGCTTTATCAATACAATTATCATCATCAATAAAAATAGAGAAAACCAGATCTTAGATCTACAGCAGAAGATTGAATGTTTACACAGATAAGTAACTACACTGAATCTGAAGATCTTATCACAATTATTCACAATCTCTTCAGAAGTATACATATTATCAGAGACTGCTGTGCAGAATGAGAATCTGAGTATAAAATATATTAAATCAGAAGATCTGCTGAAGTTATCAAGCTTTAATAATAACTGAAAAAATGATGCTGTAATCAGCTGACTAAGTCAGATACAATTATATTATTAGATTAAATATGAACTTATAGACAGACAGTTAACAGAATTTCAACAAGTCTTAAGATCTGTCATATTTCTATATGAAAAAGTAAAGTCATTATAAATGACTGATAAAAAGATGAATCTCACAGACTTAGAGTGATATTCATTCTCATGAATATGAAATGAGTTTTTCAAATGAATCTTATATAACTTTGAGAAAGTAAATGTGTAAGATAAGTATTACAAATGCTTCACTGAGTGTAGATAAGTGAGTAATCTTATATTATACTTCATACACTTCAGCTTACACTATCTCACATTGAATGAAGAGCTTTTAACATCTTTCTATTTACAGATCTTCATTCATAGTCTTACATCTGAGTTGAGAGTGAAATGAAAATGCTTAATCTCACAGCTAAATATAGTGAAGAAAGCATATAATATTCTCATTATATAGAAATAAGTGAGTCAATTATAATAGAAAATACTGTAATTAAGTATATCTCAGTGAAGAATAAGTAATCAGACTTTTATAATATAAGTCACATATCTGAATACAATGAATCTAGATTTGAATGTTATTATTAAAGTACTGAATTCTCTGAAAAAGAGATTCTCTGAGTGAAAATCTTGATATTATAAGCATCAAGCTTGCTTTAACTGTGAATGCTAAAATCATGATGTAAAAGATTGCACTCAGCATATACAGTTAAGAGAAGTAAGAAAGTCAAAAAACTAGCAGAATCAGTGAGTTCAGAAACACTTACTAATATTCTATGAAAAGTCTTCAAAGTGAAAGAGATGCCTGTATTAGATGACTCTCTGAATTCTGTAAATATTAAGAGAAAGCAGGCTTCTGACTG